TGGAACAAATAAAATGATTTTATGTAATCGAAGGAGGGCACGTGGTTTGATACGATTAGGGTATCAGATGTCTGATTGTTTCTGTGGAATCATTGGTCCTATCTCCTATGTGCATGTGCCCTTTTTTTAGCGTTTAGACCCACCAACTCCAATCGTAGGCGTTTCATTTGTTTTTTCTGTGTTTAAAATTTGAAGTGTTTCATTTGTAACCAACGACATATCATTATCAGGGATAATTATATAAAAATTCACATTTAGACTCAAGTATGCATACACACGCAGCAGCAGCACATGTGTATATACATATGATATGTTAAAAGAAAGATGCGATTTTGATAGGTGGGTATATATATAAAATGATAATGGAGAAGTAAGTGAGAATACATTTTATGTTGGAGAATCGTGATTCGTGAACGCATTGGTAGGTTATGTGGTTTTAATAAACCCGTAAATGTGTGGTGAAATAGAGAAAAGCCTTTGGTAGTTTTGCGTAATTTTTTGTGTACGTGGACATCTAAGTTGAAAATGGTCGGAAATGGATATTTGTATTTCTTACCTTTTTGGGTAAATGATAAGAAGTGATGTTAATGTCATCTTGCTTGCATGAAATTAAACCACGTGTGTCTTGTATAATCACTAGCATTAGACTGAAATGGAGTCCGGTGAAATGATGGCGTCAATACAAAAGAAGCACATATATTAGTAGTGGACCTTTATTCTTTTCTCGACTCATACCAAACGTTGATAATATATGTAAAACATTCGTAAATATTAAGCGTGATACTCAAACACGACGTCTATAGATGGTGAACGTCTTTAATTATTAGGATTACAACTAATTTATGGAGGGGCTGCTATGGTTTGAGTTATTTTACTGTGTTTCCAATCATATTTTGCTACTTTATCACTATAGAATATAGATGCTTTAATTGGCAAGAAAATCCGATTTTTTCATAGGTTTGAGAGATTCATATGAATGTCCACCTAAAACTATTTCGATTAACTGGAAAAAGTTATGATGATAATTACCTAAGATAATATTTAAAAGGAGGAATTGATCAGTTTTGACAATTATCTATTAAGGTTTTGACAAGAATAAATGGCTACAATCTTTTTGTGGGAACAATCCAATTTGAATTGACCTCTATGGATTTAAGTCAAGAGACAAAGAAAAACACTTGCAAAACTAGGACACGTATCTAATGGCGGCACATGTAAAGACTAAAGAGTAAGATATAGAGCCATAGATAGCCAGGTTCAAAGCTCGATCAAAGACGTAATATTTAAGCTCAAAAGAAAACACTTCAAGGGTCGATGGAGTAATTAGAGAGGCTCAATTCAAATCGAAGGAAGTTAAAAACATGTTAGGATTAGTCGAAACGATATTACAATTGTATAGGAGATGTGAAGATATGATACTAATTAACTAAAAACAAAGAAAATATGGTGACATGTGTCCTCAATATATACATAGTAGAAAGATTATGTGTAAAAATGAACCATTTCATACAATTATACTTCATATGATAACAAGCAACTGCTGGTCAATTTTGTCTTACATCATCTCTCATTGGCGAATCAAGAGCCAAACAAATTATTGTTCATATAAAAAAAGAAGTCTTCGAAAATGGGTCCAACCACTTGTCAATTATTCATATACGCTTCCAAGTTCTTTTATATCTCTCCCAGTTTTTAGCGTATGATCATCAGATAACGATTGAAACCAACGGTTTCTCTGCCACCAGTAGTCGCATATACATATATATTCTATGGATATACCAAAATAAACATATATATTTCAAGATAATATAGGAACCGTCGAAATTCACATGCCAACGAAACAAAAGTATGTGGACATGAGGTTCCTAACCAAATAAACGAAACGTTTACAAATCAATACACATCTTACTATACAGTGTTATCAAAATTGCTAAACTGTATGTGAACATTACTGTTAAGCATTTACTGGATTCAACTAGTAACAATTCAAGAACATAAGGAAGAAATAATAAGTTAAATAAATATACAAAGATGAATGAAAAAATATATAAATAAACTTTGATTATTTTCTTTATGAGTATTGACTGGCCAAAATAAGTACACATTTTCTGTTTGCATTGTTGTAAACTTGTAATAGATATAGATAAGATAATTCATTCGACCAACACAAAATAAGAAGAAACGAATAAGATAAGGTGCGGAGTATAGAAATGTCTTACAGAACATGCTACACTTGGACAGACTCAATTGGTGCAGCTGCATTAATCATTATATTTTGCAGCCAATGCAAAACCGTCACGAGTCACGAGCGTCCAAAATTTTTAGTGCAATCACGTTCAAAGAGACTATTTCCCAAAAAAACAAGTAATTTATCGTTTATATTATCTCAGATTTATCTTCACGATAATGTAGGTAGAAGAAGATGAATAATCATTTATATATCTAAACTGAAAAAGTTTCGTGGGGTTGTGAAAGGTTGCAGTAAGTATGTTGGTTGCACTACTAAAGCTAAGCAACCCAAAGTTGTGTGAGAACAAAAAGTTCGTGTGAGACTTTATTTACTGTTTTTGTTTAACTTTGTCTCTGCGCGATCATGCAAGCAAAAAAAAGAAAAGGAACTCTCCTTTTTTATCAATTTTATTTTGCTACGGTTACGGGTTACCTTTATTTTTGTCGACAGATTACTTGGATCTTCAAAGATATTATATTTCCGTGATTATAACAACTGCAAAATCCTCGAGAGGAATTTTCAACCATTAAACCAACATGCTATTTTTTGCACAATTCCAAACAAAAATTACACAACTATATATACTTGGTATCGACGACCTATTCAACAAATGAATTAGATGAGTTTGGCCGACATTTTTTTCTTTCTTTTTGTTTTCATAAAGTATATGTGGTGATAAGACGCAGATAAAGGGGATAAATTGGAGAAATCACTATCATATAATTAGTTAAAATAGGTTATTTCGTGACAATAAAAAAAAGCTATTTATTCAAAGAATGATAGAGACAGTCATTGCTATTAGGGAAGATTCATATAATTTATATTGTTCTCTTTTACATAAGTGTATATATATATATAAGGGATGAGCTGGATACTTTTTTTTTAAAGTAATTTTAACTTGAGATGCCAAAACCAACAAGTAACTCAAGATAAAATAAAACTGCAAAGTGTAAAAGATTAAGAACATGTTTTATAAATTGTTTCTCTTTAATATAAGTAAAATGGCCTGTAAAGACGATGAAGTATAGTGATAATCCAACAACAATACACCGGTTCTTGAGGATCTAGTGCTGTTTTACTTAAGATACACGTGGATTACAATTTACAAATCATCCAAGTTAGTGTTAGGTACTAGACTACTAGTCATACATTTCTTAATATACTGTGTGTTGATATATGAAGATTATATTATGTGCTGAAACACAAACTAATCTTCAAAGCATGTGAAACGCTCTTTTCGATTTTTTATTTTCTTTGTCATTTAAAATATGAGAAATTAAAATTGGAGTGAAAACATTTCGACGACTGGTCGGACCATACTTAACACCATAACTACTAAACCACTAAATAACTGAAACAAAAGAGATGGATATACGAATATACCATATGCTTTTCAAATTATACACGGCATTTATCCATTTAGATCCTTGGTTAAAAGGGTCTACTGATTTAAACCACAGTTTCTAAGAATCTTTTGGTTATACATTCACAGCGTAATCTAATTTCAATGCAACTGAAGAAGCTGAACATACACTGCGTGTTACAGCGACATTCACTTCTTGATAGTTTAGCTTCTTCTTTTTTTCTTTTTTTTAATTTGAATATTTACTAAAATCATTTGTGATTAATCAATTCTAATGGGGCCAACGAAGCAGGCCCGTAGTACTGTTTTGGCCCATATATTGTCTCACGTACTCATCACCATTTCTCCCCGCCAAAAATTCACCTAAGTCCACAATTTCGTTTGTGCTAAATGCTATGACTGTAGATTTTTCCAAGTCGAACTTAGTGTTTATGTGAATCTGTAGGAAAAAAAATCTGTGTTTTCTTTTCCGAGATAGCAAAGTTTAGGAGATAGGAGAGAATATGATGATCGATGCAAGATCATATCGAAAGAATATTAAAAAGGACTCTTTTGTGACATTGATGACATTGATGTGATGATATGTTCATCAAAATTGTGCAGGAAGAAATAAAAGTTTATGCAAAAACCATAATTGACATCTCTGATGATTCTTGCTGTAAGTCTTGGTGATGTTTCCTAAGGAAAATTAAAGCTTAGCCTTAGCAGCAAATAAATCTTGCAGATACGTTATTCATTTTTCCATTTTTATCTTGCAAATCTAGCATAAATCTTGCAGATATTTTGAAGTGAAATAAAGACACTTGTTCACAGGTTCTCTAATCTCTATCATTCATCTAATCTGACATTTTTGGCTTTTCTCTCTTTCATACTTCACATGCTCTGTACTGAAAAAGGTTTTTTGATATTCACCCTCTTCTGATATCTGCCAGAAAAAAAACCAAACATTCACAACCTTATAAATGTACCAAATGTTTAAATCAAATTTTATCGATTAGTCTCTAGAGGTTGGCCTCGTGCAGTGTGTTCTCTTCACCTCTCACTTTTCAGGTTTCACATTGTACATAGTAGAAAAGAGAGTAAAATCGTAAAAAGATCTTGAGAAATAGAATTCTCTTCCTTTTTTTATAATTAATTATGTATTATTTCACTTCAGAAGCAAGAAGTGATAACAAACAAAAAAACACAGAATCCTAAACAAACTCAACTCACAAAACGAACACACTCGTTACAAGCAACCATGAAAACTAAGCCAGTAACAAACGAATCCCAATGATTCAGTGTATATGTTTTCTTCTTTTACTCTGTGGGGTTTCATTCTCTGATAACAACATTCTTTGGTTCTACCACAGCACAACATCAAGATCTAAAGGTTTTTACATCATATATGTCTTGTTCTGGTGGAGATTAAGGAAAGAACCAGACTTTGATGAAGAGAGAAAGAATCATTTGTAGACCAAACGCTACAGCCACTACAACCGTCACATCATTGCTCGCTGCTTCCAGGTAGGACCGTAGATTCAGAGCAACAAAGCACGACGATGCACCACCAGCTAAGAGTATAATCACCCATCTCAGAAACTCTACTGGAATCAGCAATGGCAGCTGGAAAAAAAGAACGATCCTGAGTGTTAGAATGTAGTATACCCATCAAAGTATGAACATTAAAGACGCTTTGATACCATTTTAGAATGATTTCATGTTACAGTACATGGTTCTATGAAAGTTAAGGTACTAAACCCATTTGTGTATCAAGCATAGGGATTTATCTTTAGTGCAAGATGCAGAAGTTACTGGAGAAACTTACAGAGGTTGGAACGAAGATGAAGAGAGAGTATCCCCAGAGGCACCAGAATCTAAGGAGATCAGCTTTGGACCCCATATACCGGAGTGAGAAATAGAACACCAGAGGCACAATTATTGCATATCCATAGATTACAGATGCTGCCAAATTTATGTAGTTCACATCAAAGACCCAAGGAGCATTAGCATCGGTTCGTTTCTTCACCAGATAAGTGGCGCAGTTTCCGAGTGAAGCAAGCACGAACACAAGCGTCGTGCAGATCCAGACAAGTCCATACCTAACAGAGCAATGGAAACACGTACACGAGTCATTAATCTAGAAACTTGGTAGGCCTAACCTGTAGAGGATAACACGTTTGGTGATTGAATTTGAATATATGAACTTGTTGTGATGCTTTGCAATCATTTGTCCAAGAGAAGAAAGGAAGATTTTTTTTTTTTAATCTCTAGCTTGAAGTAACAACATAGGAGTAAAGTAAATGCAACCTCCTATTAACTTACAAAGCTATCCACTACAACGGAATAACTATGCTGTTTACTGATTCCTGAGAATCCACAATAAGATAACAATGTATCTAAAGTCAGACCTTAGGGTTTTATATGCAAGAGATGACATTACATCAACCTTACCATAATCTCTAATGGAAACTATGAACATACCATTTCTGGTTTCGAAATTTGAAACTATGGTTTTAATAATCAAATACCAAACTTATCAGTAAATTATCTAACGCTGGCAATAGGAAAGCATTCCCCAAATCAATGACATTTCAAGCTCATTCCTCTGACGAGTAATCTCAATAGGAGCAAGCACAGTCACCAACAAGAGTCGAGGAAAAAAGGGTACTGAAAGACTTACATATCAGGGTTTGCATCAATCTTGTTGAAAAAATCAGCACTGGTGGGATACAAGGAGCTCATCAATCTGTTGAGAACAACGTCTGTGTCCACGTCGAAGTACTGAGTGTATGAGTAGACGTTGAAAAACCCCTTCCAGGTGTTTGATGGCTGTTGCTCAGGTCCTGGTCCTTCTACAAGTGGTATATCAAATAAATTGTCACATAGGACAACAACAACAACAACAGTATATAGGATCAGCTCGAAATGCAGAAGAAAACAACTCGACATGAAAAAGGCTAAAAGGTGTGTATGAACCTGTAGGGGTCTCAAGAGTTTGATAATTTCTTGCGTTTTTGCCTTGGTTTGGTGGAAAGTTTTGCATGCTTGCAGATGGGCCTGCAAAGCAAAGCAGTACACACATGCAACAGTTAAAAGTCTTTCACTATACTGAAGAAGATAGTTTAAGCAGAAACTAGGAATAGAGCGTACCATCATTTGCGGTTGATATGTGTACATCTGTGCTGCTTTTCTGGTCGTCGCTGATCACAGCCTTACCGGAAAAAGAAATATAAATTCTTTTTTGTATTAGAAAGGATAACAAAAGTATAACAAAGGATAGTGATGATACATACAATCGAAACATGTATAATCTAAGATGAAGCTAAGCATTTAAACCCCAATTTCAGTTATGTTTCATAATTTCAGACACGACTGAAAAAATGCTCTTGTGAAATGGAGAAAACTTCAAGAACACCTAAGCAAATAGAGAAACACAGAAATGTGAATTAATGAAACCGTCGATTGTTCAATGAAGCTAAGCAAACAAAAGAGAGGATTCGAAACAAGCTAACGAATCTAAATTTATTAAATTTTGTAAATCTACTTCCTAGTGAAGTTAACAAACCGTGTAGGATTCTTAAATTGGATGTTGTAACACTTGAGACAGAACACAAACACACAAGACAAAAAAACGAAGACATGCACCAAATCCGTCAAATTTCCTTGACGGGAACAACGATCCTAGAAAAAATCAATCAGTAAACTTATCAATGGTAAAATCGCAGAAGCAATGGACTTACAGGAACTGAGCCAAGCAAATGGCTCGTCTGTAGATTAGCGAACGACTCATCCATCGGAAGAGAGAGATAAGAATACCAAAGCGAAAGCTTTAGTGTTCAAAGAGAGGTTTTTTAAAAACTCATTCAGAAATCGATACGATCGGGGACAAATAAAAAGATCGTCTCTTTTAAATAAGGTTTCTGGGTTTCTTCTCCTCCGTCGTCGTGAAAAGCAATTGGGAAAGGAAGACGGAAACCGAGAAAAAACGAGATCGAAAGATCCACGCGCGTGTTTAAAGCAAGTGAGGCACACGCACGGTTTACACGTGACTGGGCCATAAAATTACAATCACAAGACTTACGGCCCAGATCAGCTTTTGACCCGATTTGGACCACCTGACCCGACCCGACCGAGGAGGAGCGTCGCCAGAAATTCACAGTGTTTCCCTCTTTGCCTTCCCTCCGGAAGAAAAAAATCTAAATGGAGCCCTAGACTGGTTTTTTATCACTTGCTTTTCACCTTCCACACCTCCATTTTCAATTTGTTTCTTTGCCGGAGAAGATGGATACAAGAGAAATCAATGGTTCCGCCTCCGCCGCGAGATCGATATCTCTTCCTAAGCAGCCCAATTACAGTAGCAAACCTGTTCAGGTCCTTCCGCTTTATACTTTTTGATTTTCCTTCTTGCGTATTTCCTTCGTGAAGCTTAGCCCAGGTCTTGTTTGGTTTTACCTTCTTTCACCTTTAGGATTGTTGCTTGAGCTTTAGTGGGGTTTTGCAGAGCGACGAATTTCTTGTTTGTTAAGCCGTTCGTGGGGGTTTTTAATTCGTCTATACCCCTTTGGATATATCTGTCTACAGGCATTGTTGGTGAAGAAACCTTTCAATTTTTTTGGTTTGATTCCTCAACGGTAGTGTTTGTAACAGTGTGGATGCATTTTGAATCACTTGGTTTCAGAAATGGTGACCATTTTTTGGCAGCTACCATTATTTAGTGAGGAAGATTGAATTGAATGTTCAATATTGGTGTTTTTCTTGCTTGATTACAGGAGGCATTGAAGCATTTGGCATCTATCAACCTCAGGGAGCTGTGTAACGAGGCGAAGATTGAGCGTTGTCGTGCAACCAGAGACTTGACGAGCTGCGGGAGATTTGTGCACTATGTGTTAAATCCCTGTGGACATGCCTCCTTGTGCACAGAGTGTTGCCAGAGGTGTGATGTTTGTCCAATCTGTAGAAGCTCGCTGGCAAAAATTGGAGATAAGCTTCGGCTTCGTCTCTACTACGAGTGTGTTGAAGCTGGTCTGATTTCTCGTACGCATGAAGAGGCGGTGTCACAGGATTCAGATGAGGATGAGCATCAGTTGGCAGCTGATGTTCATCGCCTTTACTCTCTCTTTGATGTTGCCATGAACAACAATTTGATATCTGTGGTTTGCCATTGTATCCTTCTGTTGCATTCATGCTAGTCTAATATTCGATTGCATATCTTATATATTTGTGTGATGTGTGATTCCTGTCTAATATTCATATGATAAGGCATGTGCAGTTAGTACTGTGTCTATATGGGAATGTAGTACTGATAGGTTCATGTAATCTTAGGTAGTTCTTGTTCCCTGCCTCCTCCCTGATGAATATAATGTGCATAGTGTTTTTATCATTCACTAAGAGGTATTATATGTTCGATGCATAATTGGCATATCCTTGACAGAAAATGAATAGATATCACGAATGTCTGCATGGACGAGACAGCTGTATCGAGTGACCCGGTCATTGCTTTCTTGCTGGATGAAGTTGTTGTCAAAGATTGGGTGAAGCGTACATTCCGCAGCATCTTAGCTGAGCTTCAAGAAATCTGTATCCTTTTAGCGGTTACAATGTTTATGTTTCTTAAACCAGTTTATGTGTGCAACTATTGGGGCCTGTCTATCTTTAACTTTGGTGTTCTCAGATAGTCTTGAAAGTAAAGAGATGGGAGCGTGGTTAGATAAACTCCTAAAGTGTTCGAAACAGGTGGCTGGCATATGTCGTGTGCTTGAAGTTATGGAATCAGCGTTTAAGGGCTCTGTTTCACCTCAGCTGCAAGACGTGCAGAAGCTTAGGGAGAACATTGGGAAAACAAAGCAGGTCAGCTAAGATTCTGTTCCATTTATATCCAAACAGCTTTGCAAACGTATGATTTAATAACTCTCTGTAGTTCCCAAGAAACATCCATTGTTTATTGAAGTTTCCTGTGAGCATTATGTTTAGTTCGTCTCTGCCACTAGAATGAGTTACTTATTTCTTATACGGCTTGCAAATGCTTTATATTTAGATGTATGAAAGACACGATATTGATCTGACGTCATTGGCTTGGATCTTGATGATTGTATCCCTACTTCTGTGACTCTATATTCATTTTCTTCTTATGTCATTAGCATTTAGTAATTTTTTTTGTGTGTATATTTTAACCTTATCATTGTGAGACATACTAAATGATATCCATGGATCACCATATGGCTCCTGACCAGGGTGTTTTAATTATATCAGCTCTTTAGTTATTTGTGCATGATCACTGAGCTTAACGTGTGTTTAACCTATCGTTGTTTTTGATTTCAGCATTTGGACATAATGGTCTGGTGCATAAGACATGATTTTCTAGAGGATGTGAGGTCTCGATATTCTAACTTCACGTCCTGGAATGCTCTTGTACGTGAAAGGAAGTCAAATGCAATTAAGCGTGCATGGCCTGATGCCGTAGACCAGTCTTCAGATTGCACTTTACAGGGTGCTTCCCTCTTTATCGAGGATGCTCTAGAAAATCTGGAGAGAGAGCCAGACTACAGTCAGGAAATAGGGGCAGACCTAGAAGTTGGATGTTTGCAGAAGGATGAGAGATCATTTCTGAGGTCCAAAATAGAGGGAACTTCAGGATCCTATCCATTTGAGAATCTTAGAACTGCTGCTGACATACTCTTTTTACATGGAAGTTCAGATTTGGTGGTCGCGAAGCAAGCAATTGTATCCTTTTATCATCGCTTATCTTTCACATTACATTGCAGTCTACTTTTCATAAATACTCAACATCTGGAAATCCTTTTCCTTAACCAGTAATTAGTTTCTTTACTACCTGTTTGATCGGCATTGGACTACCCCTGACAAATACTGGAAGCACATTATAGATGATTTTGCTGCTACCTTTGGCATAACCAGGCATTCATTGCTGGAGTCTTTTGTATTTTATCTTCTCGATGATCACTCAGAGGAGGCACTCCAGGTACCTTTCTGCATTCCCAGGGTTAACACATGGAAATATGTATTCTTGTGCATGTTTGAATCATCTCCTGAAACATATACATCGTGACATACACCATATATTTTTTATGTATTGTAGCTGAACATACTTTTCTGAATTATATATCAGGAAGCTTGTACGATTCTTCCTGAAATATGTGGTCCAGAAACCTATCCAAAGGTTGCGCAAGTCCTGTTAGAAAGGGAAAACCCGGAAACAGCTCTGATGGTCTTGCGTTGGTCTGGTCGTGATGGTCCATCAGAATTGGTTTCAATTGGTGAAGCTGTCACAGCTGTTCGTGTGAGAATGGAATGTGGTCTCCTGAGTGAAGCATTCACATACCAAAGGACACTCTGCTTGAAAGTCAAGGAAGATAAACTGAAAAATGGAGCTGTGATTCATGTAGCTGATGATGTAGACAGCTGGAGTTGGACGGAATGGATGAAGATACTTGTCAACGAATTCTGCTGTCTTTCTATTAGGAGAAACTTGGTTGATCGAATCATTGAGTTGCCGTGGAACCCAGATGAAGAGAAATATCTGCACAGATGTTTATTAGATTCTGCAACTGATGACCCCTCATCAGCTGTGGGTAGTCTTTTGGTTGTCTTTTATCTTCAGGTATGTACTAAATTTTTTCATGCTTTTGGTTCAGAACGAAAGTAGCTTTAGACATAGAAATATATATATGTTAGTGCAACAGCTTAAACTTCCAGAGCTTTAAACTACATATCTCATTTGGAATATAGGAAAATTTTAGTAAGGGATTAATTAGCTCATCCTATTAGATATTGGTATCTGTTCTCGTAGTTTCTACCTGGGCTACAATAATCTTTCTATCATTATTCGAGCTTGATGTAGTCTGGGGTGTTGAGAGTAATGAACAAAATGAAATTATTTGACAACCAAACACACTGCATCACTATAAACTCTGCTTATTCTCTGGAAATTTGTCTTTTGTATATTGTTGGGTATTCTGGCCTGTCTTTGACTGGAAATTACTGGTTGTTTACATTGCTGCAGCGCTACCGTTACATCCAGGCGTATCAAGTCGATCTTAAGCTCCAGAAGATTGAAGAGGCTTTTGTTTCCGAAAATCGTATTGGGGATGAAGTTATGTCCAGAATGCAATCACAGAGTCATTGGAGAAAAGAGTTAGTTGTAAGTATTCCAGCGACATTTCCATTGAGAAGGCTACATCCTCTAACTTATACCTTCTTGCGTTTTAGTGCTTGATACTTGTAGGATTGTCGTATTTTGCTGAATCTTGAATATACTATGTATGTGCAATATTACTTGATCCTGGCTATCTCAACATGAAACTTAAAACCTTTCCCGTGTTTCTGTTGGTTTGAAACAGGATAAAGCCATAGGCATGCTTCCAGCAATACAGCAGCAGCAGGTTAGATCTGGACAATTTTCTGAGATGGAAGATACCTCTGAAAATGCTTCTGAAGCAGCAAGAAACGCTGATCTTCCTGATGCACAACACCCTGAGATAATTACGTCTTCAAATCCCTTCTCTACTAGTTCCGTGTTTCTCCAACGGGCCAACAATGCCGGTGCTAGAGAGCCTGTGGCTAACAATGGCAGTCCTTTTCAACCCAGTTATTTGAAGGGAAACGCTTCCGTTGATACTTCCCATGGAAGGTTGCTTACAACCACGAATAGAGGACAAAAGAGCGAAGTTGGAAGCATTACCAAGACTCTCAAATTCGGTGAAGTGTCCACACCTTTTAAAGATCTCAACAGAGCTCGTGGGAACAGCCAGCTCAAAGGAAAAAGGAGTGAAGAAATATCTCCAGAGGCAAACGTTGATAGGTTCATGGAGAATGATATGAGCTCTCCTTATCTTCGCCAGGTCACAGCTAATAATCCTGTAACAATGAGATCTAGCAGCAACTTTGTCAATGGATCTGCAAAGAAACCGGAATCCACTTTCTTTGGCACAAGGATGCAAGCAGATAGAGAAGTCAAGTCCCATAACTTTGTCGACTTGGATGATCCTATGGACATGTCTTCAAGGTATATCTTTATCTCTTCTTGAAAAACTTTTTGGTTTGAATAAAAAGTTCGGTTTAGTTTCTGTTTAATTCTTATTGTTCATAATCTTTTACGGTCATGAATTGTAGCTTGAAGGACAACAACAACGTCTTGGCCAATGAGAGCAGAAACAACAGTGGCGGATTAAGGTGGCGGTCAGATGAAACAAGCGATGAGGAAGTTGAACCGAAGTGGGATATGGAACCGATTAGTTCCGGTTCCGTGCCGGTTAAGGGAAGGAGGATACGTAGATTCGCTGCAAGATGAAAGTAATCAAACACTGGAAAAAGACATATCATCAGTTGTGTTAAGCATAGAGAGAGAGAGAGAGAGAGAGACACAGAGCAAGTGGTGTAAAGAGAGTGAGTGATGGTAGTAGATTGAGCTTTGTTCTCCTGATTATCTTTTTGTGTTCGAGGCAAAAACATTTTTTAAAAGTTGTATCGGCTTCTTCATTAGCTTTTGGATATCATTTTGATGAGTATGTTTAACTTTTTACATTGGTGCAATCACATGAAGTATTTTTTTTTTTGATACATTTAAGTTAAATAGATTAAAATTCCTTATACTTCATTGTGTATATGTATTTCTACACAAACAAATATTTCTATAATATCCAAATTTAAAAATTCGTAAAAATAAATTAGGGCTTAATTTCCAAATTTCTAATAGCCGTCGTCAAGTGTACTCTAAAAGTAAAGTCTAAGACATACGTTAATTAGGGCTTCGGAGGAAACGGAACCAAGGAATAGGGTTAATCAATCATTCCTCTCCGTTACGACGGCTACGTTGGCCGAGAAGGTATTGAGCCTAAATACTAAAACTAATCTTATGAGATAAAACTTAACCACTGATCCAATGTCTATATATATTCAAAGCCCTAAACCCCCAGACCTCCTTCTCTCTGTTTCTCTGCCTTGTCTATTTAACTTCACAATCTCATATTAGGTGTTTTTGTTTTGCCTAGGTTTTGTTGGATCCTAGCTATCATGGCTACTCGTGAGTTATTTTCCCTTGTTTTAGCTTTATACGTCGCTCTTGTTCTTATTAAGCAGCTTATCAGATTTGTTTGTTGTTTTCGTTTTTGTTTTTGCAGGTCATCACTATGATAATAACAATTGTGACATTGGTGTATTTTCCAAACTCACAAATGCTTATTGCCTCGTTTCTGCCACAACTTCCTCCACAAACTTCTTCACGTACATATATTTTGATACAAAATTCAAAACTCTTTTCCACGTATATATTATATGTTACCTTTAAATGTTTAATTTTCTCGCTGTAGTGGCTTTGAGTCGAAGTTAAAAGGTGTTATCCCCATTGTTATGACCTCCATAGATAGTACTGGAACTATCGGTAGTCTATGTGTTGGAAACAAAAACGGACTTCTTCTTTCTCATACCGTTACAGACCAAGGTAATTGATTCTTTTCCACAATTTACAAGTTGTGTTTAGTTTTTGGAATTTTGTAATGATAATTACTAATATTGTATATATAGTTTTAGAGTTTGGTAATGATTTTTGTAATTTAATGTGAACAGAACTTCAACATATAAGAGATAGCTTGCCTGATCAAGTTGTAGTCCAGCGAATTGAGGAACCTCTATGTGCACTTGGAAACGCTATAGCTTGCAATGACTATGTCGCTCTTGTGCATCCAAGGCTCGAGAAAGATACCGAAGAGATCATAACCGATGTTCTTGGTGTTGAAGTTTATCGGCAAACCATTGCAAATAACGAACTTGTTGGAAGTTATTGTGCTTTATCTAATAAAGGTGGACTGGTAAGTAAACACCTTTGTTGTCGTGTTCGGTTTTACTTTTACTTTAAATGTTATGAAACTTACAAATTTGCGAAATGTTTTATGAAAGAAACACTCATCTTTGTTTATATAGGTTCACCCTGACACGAATGTGGAAGAAATGGATGAATTGGCGAATCTTCTACAGGTCCCTTTGGTGGCAGGAACCGTGAACCGTGGAAGCAAAGTGATATCTGCGGGTTTGATTGTGAACGACTGGACAGCTTTTTGTGGGTCGGACACAACTGCTATAGAGCTATCTGTTGTTAACAGCATCTTCAAGCTAAATGAATCTCAGCCTGATTTTGTAGTTAGTGAAATGAGGAAGCCTTTGATCGATACCTATGTCTAAACCTTGTTTCTTGTTTTTTTTTCGGGTCTTTTTGTGCTTTCATTGTGTTGCAAGAATTAGCTTCTACTCTTTAGTTTTACCTTCCTGATGATTTTTAGATTTTGGGAGTTCATTGATTTCATTATTTTTATTACTAGTGAAAAAGATTTTGAACGGTCTAGATAATAGAGACTAGAGACCTAAAACGAATTAGTGAACAAGAATTGAAGAAACATTCCCAAAATGGTTGAATCAGAACCGAAACGAAAATGGCTTTCATGGATTGCTGTTTTAAACCAAAGAAAAAAACTACATAAACAACACTTTTGATTGCATAGTGCTGTGTTGATCCTGAAATGGAACAGAGACCTTCATTTGTTGCTTTCCCGAGGTAATAATAATGGCTTTGTTCCTAACATACACTGAATCGTTCGGATTCGTTTGTTACTGGATTAGTTTTTTTTTTTTTTTTTTTTTTTTTGATAAACCCTATCGGCACATATTATTTTAATTAATTTTATTTATTCACATACCATTAACACATATTGTCGGTTATAAAAATCCTAGCAATCATGTGTGCATCCAGAATTAAATAATGAGATATACATCTCAAATAGGAGATAAGAATGATGACTATTTTGATGATTAATATGGAAATGAATATTTAGTTTCTTAAAACACTTAAATTATTCAAAGTAGATTGAAATAAGTGTAAACTGGAGTTAATATTGGTCAATAACTTTACAATTTAACAGATATCAATTATTTTAAATGATAGAAAATATAAGATTATATATTTATAGTACTTTAGCAAAAAATATATTAAAAAGGACTATGTATAGTATGAACAATTTGTTGAGAGTAAATAAATAACCATACTATTATCCTCACTTTAAAAAACATTCATCAGTTTCAAAAATATATATCATCACATCAAACTCAGATTATGCATTCTTACGCTTTTAAAAGTATATAATCACTACTAGTGGAAAAAACTTTATATTGTTTTTCAAAAAAGTCTATAGAATCTGACTGCATTTGCGTCCAACATAACACTACTCTCATTTCGAACTCTATAAATTCTCAGTTCTTCACCACACCACAACACAAACACTTAACATATTTTAAATTAAGAAAATAAAAAGACAAGTTCATTGTGAACTTTTCTCATATATTCTGATCTATCGTATCCATCAAAACCAAAATGGTCTTGGTAGTATCATATGTTTTCGTGGTTCTAACTATTCTTTCCATGGATCTAAGGATCTCTCAAGCCACATCCCGTGTCACTTTTCACGACTCATCGGTTGCTGACTACCACCAACAATGGATGATCCAATTCTCTAGAAATTATAGCAATGAATCCGAGAAACAGATGAGGCTTAAAGTGTTTAAGAAAAACTTGAAATTCATTGAGGACTTCAACAATAATGAGAATCATAGCTACAAACTTGGTGTCAACGAATTCACAGATTGGACCCAAGAGGAGTTCCTTGCCACCCAAACCGGTGGTCTCAGTGGCATTAACTTAACCTCATCATCTGAAGTGGTTAATGAAACGATGCCATCTTGGAACTGGAACGTCAGTAACGTAGTCGCCGAAAGCAAAGACTGGACAAAGGAAGGAGCTGTAACACCTGTCAAAAGTCAACAAGGATGTGGTAAGCTTGCCGAAACTATGTACTAAGTAAATGTCAAGATTAAACTCCACATACAAAACTTGATTCCCAATATTGTACTTAGGGTTATCATTCTAGGTTTAGGATTATACAAGATTTGTTGCGTGGCAATAAAGTAATCAATATATGTGCAGCTTGTTGTTGGGCGTTCTCAGCAATTGCAACGGTAAAGGTTTGACAAGGATTGTCCAAGGAAAACTCCTACCACTTTCCGAACAGCAGATCGTAGATTGCGACAAAATCAACGGTGGTTGCATTGAAGGAAGAGCTACGGACGCTTACGAGTACATAGTAAAAAACGGAGGCATTACAACAGATCTCATATACCCTTACCAGGCGAAAGAGGGGAGTTGCCGGTCAAACATCAGCCCCGCCATGAAGATCAGTGGGTTCGGGAACGTTCCGGAAAACAACGAGCGTGCGTTGCTCGAGGCTGTGTCGAGACAGCCCGTCTCGGTAGGAATTGACGCGAGGAGTGCCAGTTTGCTTCATTACAAAGAGGGAGTGTACAATGAGCGCGACTGTGGGATCGACATAAATCATAGTTTGACGTTGGTTGGGTACGGGACGACCAAGGAAGGGATCAAGTACTGGCTGGCTAAGAACTCTTGGGGTGAGACTTGGGGAGAGAAGGGTTACATTAGATTCCGTAGAGATGTGGAGTGGCCTGAGGGCATGTGTGGTTTAGCTCAGTCGGCTGTTTATCCGGTTATGTGACTAATTCGGTTATATTATTTATATATTTAAGTGATCGTATTATGTAGTTTTATCTGTGTATTGTTTAGATGTGGTGTAACTTAAGCTTGAACTTTTGCATTGTAATGTTTATTTTATAGCTTCATATAATGTATCAATTATCTTATTATATAAAGCTGGATGCGCACGACGTGGTTGCGACACATAGGATTTTTATAAAATTCAGGATCGCGACATGTGTCACTTTTAATGTTAAGTCCGTTAAGATCATGACACATGTTTTGAAAAAAAAATATTTTATTTTAGTTAAATATTAGAAAAACGAAAATTAAGAAAAGAAGAGGAAATTTTAATCTATTATATTTGTGAAATCCTAACAGAAAAAGGATTCCCATTCATCAAAATTATATTATCTTAACACATATTAAATTCAAAATAATGTAATAATAAATTTCTATTAGTACATGAAATAAATTATGTAAACTAAATTTCCTATAACTGCATGGAATATGTTAAGTGAACCCCTATAAAAAGAAATTTAAGGTAGTCTATTTTTTCTCATCCACAAACTCATCAAATCTTTTTAATTATCTTTCTCTAATTAAAAAATCATGTCTTTGAAAGTTCAAAAAAGGTGGAGAATATTTGACTGTAAGTCAATTGGATCGAAATAGATACTATCGCCGTACTATACATGTTATTCGAAAGTGGAAAGCTAGAAATCCTAAAGAAAAAAAATTATTTGTGAGAGTTAAGTTTTTATTACTTGATGGAAATGTTATTAACATATTATATTGATATTTATTATATAAATATGTATATAATCATAGATTAACATTAAATTTTTACATTTGTTTGAATCAGGAAAACACAATTCAAGGACAAATAGAAAAAAAAATAGCAATTTAGAAAAAATGTTACATCCATTAGGAAAATGAAAAAGAAAACATATTCCCAATACGAAAAGGAATAAATCAAAAATCAGAAAAAAACATGAAGCAAAAAAAAAAAACAATTGTTACACCCATTAAAAAAATGTGAAAAAACATATTCCCATTAAGAAAAGGAAAAAGAAAAAAATATATATAATAAGTTATAGCCTTCATGATTTATATGTGTAATTCTATCTTTTGTTTAAACTTTATCTTTTATTACAAAATAGAAAATCATATATTTTAATGTTCAAGATATCAATAAAGAATATTTAACTTTAGATCAGTTGGGTTGAAATTGAAATTTTTGTTGCACCATTTTTCTATTATATGATCATGTGATAACATGTGTTAACAAAAGAAAATTATAAAAATATAATCACATAAATAGAAAACTAACAAAATAATTGTAAAACAACTAACGAACTATGAATAAGAAAATTTTTATGGTCTGAGGCAAAACAAAATTGAAAAAAAAAACATGATAAATAGAAAATTAACAAAAAAATTATAACATTAAATATATAAATAATTGACCAATATTATAATTTTAAATATATTAATTTTCAATTTTTTGGTAGGTAAAACAGTATTAAGAAAAAGATTTCATCAACTAAAATCTCTTAAATAGAATAATCAAATTTTCATGAATTAATTAGCCTATCAAATTTAGATTAGATACGTATAAGTCTTTCTATATTAGATAAAAGAAAAAGAAAATAAATTAATTCATTTTCATATCATTAATTAAAACAAAATGTTAATTGTAATTAAAATGTAAAAATATTACCAGTTTTATTTTATTTAGAGATTTGTTATCGAATTTGAATATTATTCTACTTACTTTTAAAAGTGACAAGATTTGGTTTAATATTTTCCTATTGTTTATTTCAACAATATTAAAACAAACCCGCGTATACGCGGGGCCTAATCTAGTTACTTATATACAAAGTTAGGCCAGGCGTTGCAAAGTATAATTATATATGTAAGTGTACTAAGGTTCCTAAACCCTAATGAAATTACAAGAAACCTTCCCAAATGCTTAAACCAGAACGGTACCGAAAAAGGGGTTTTGCAACGCCTGGCCTAATATTGTGAAATTGTTTTAGTTCAGGGTCAAATTTTCGAAGCAAGACTATTTATTTGTATTTTTTCTTCTAAAACAACTTCTAATCGTTAAAAAAAAAAAATTACAATACGATGACATGAATTCGTTTAGGTGCTACCGTAAGAAAAATCTTGGATACAAAGAAAACAACGATTTCATAATTCTTGGATTCCAAATAACTAGAAAAAAAAAGAACTTTTAAAATAATAATGGTTTCACGTCTAATGGATTTTATGATCAGTCAATGAATTTAGCCGGAAGGAATATCTCAGGCTTTTACTTGAGTGGAGAAGAGAAGCTGAGATGCTGTTGAACCTTGACATAGATTTCAACTCTTTCATCATCTTCCTTGTATTGCAGGTTGGTGCAATAGAGATTCCAGCTCTTTTTAAACACTTAGAGTTGGCAAGTATGTATCTTACAACTTCTTTCTCTCCGTCTCTTCCCCCATATTCTTCCCACTCAAAGATCTCGAGATGGTTTGACAAACATTCTGGAACACAACTTGGTTCGTTGAACGTAAGTGGGAAATTCTCATGTCGTAGAACTACCTATTAATTTAGCAACATCAAGGTTTTTTTTTAACGTAAGCAACACTTAAAAAAATAAAAATGAAAAACTGCATGTGCAAGGGTACAAACCTGGTCGATGAGAAGGACTTTTAGTTTAGGAGAATTTTGAAGTAAACACATGAATGGTTCTAACCAAAACAAGCCATATGGGCTTATTCTACACTCTATAAGCTGGGAGAAGTTACTGGTGTTACAACAATCAACCTGCAATGAACACATATACCTCAACAAATAAGTCAATGTTGGCATGAAAAGTGATCATAATAATTGAAGCATAGGTAAGGTTGAAATACGTACCGTACCAGGGTTCAAAATTAAGTCGAGACACGTAACCGAGGAAAGAGATCTCCTAAAGTTGTCATCAAGGTTACAAAATACATTGATAAGTGCCTTATCAAGGGGAGGCTTGTTCACAATCGAGCAAGTGTTTGCCGTAGAATCCTGGAGGGATATGTTTCTTAAACTTGGAGAATCTATAATCAAAGATCCTTCCAAACTTTGTCTGAATAAGTTACAATAAAATAAGTTCTTTAAAGAAGGCACTTTCACACTGATCTTTCTCAGGTTGTCTTCTATATGTCGTTGCACATACAATTTCTTGAGAACACGACAACCTGATAAAAGCCTAACAAGAGAATCGTCATCTTTGTACACCACAGAGAGAAGGTAGAGATATTCTAGAGATGGCAGGCAAACCTGATCAGGAACATCAACCAAAATCTTATCGAAAAGAGTTAGCCAAACAAGCGTATTGCATAGGTAAAGCCTCTCAGGCAACACGATAGGCTCTGACAACAACCTTAGCTGAAAATTTAGACAGCGCACCCTTCGACCAGCTGCAATTCCAACCCATTTTTCGACATCCACATCAGCAGAACATCCTGGACCTAGTCGTATAACCAAACTTTCTAATACAGGGGCCTTGTGAAGTTGCAATGACTGGTCAATAAACCACAAAGTGTTTTCTTTCTTTTCAGGGCCTTGTTTATAGTCACTACCATTGTATACGAGCTGTGGCAGCATCGTCCAAACAGACCGCCATCGCTTGGACAGAATCGCCGTAGCCCCTGCCTCTTTTGTAGGGATGAGCAACAATATATTCAGGAGCAAATCGTCGGGTAATGCACTAATCCTGTCTTCAGTACTACTCTTCACGGATCGGCGGATACTACGTAACAATATCAGTATCTCACATGCGACATGCACTGAGCCGAATAGATGCAAAAGCTGTCCTAACATTTTTCTCTTTCTTTCTGAATGAAGCTACTACCAATGTTTTAGGGTTTTAAAGTTGTACACTCAATATTTCCGCTTATCCTTTTATTTATTTTTTAAGTTAGATTCCATTTCTTGACACAGAAATAAAAAGAGAGTACCAATCGCACTATTAGAGTTATACGTATCTTGGTAGATAAGGAAGTTTCTGTTACGTGTATATATATACTACAGATAATTAAGGACGTAAATAATTATTTGTGGATGTCAAAAAAAATAAAAATATATTATTTGTCTAAGTAACTAATTAAGGACATAAGAATCATTTTTTTTTTTTTTTTTTTTAAACTTCCTTTCTTTATTTCCTTTTCAAAAGAAGCGACATTTAGAGTTTACAAAAGCGGAGCTTAACAAATGGAAAGAAAGAGGTGTTTCAACCCCGTACAAGAGAATACAACCATAACAAAAAAAAACAGGAAACAGAAGCCAAGAGGAGACGATCCTCAGCGTTGGAATAACCTAAACCACGTGGTAAGGTAAGTGTCTTGAGGGAGAATCATTAATCGTACACAAATTCCATATTTGTCATTATCATTGTAGAAAAAGAGAGGGGGGAGTACCAATCGCACTAATCGCACTAATAGGGTAGATAAGGAAGTTTCTGTTACGTGTGTATATATATATTCAATTACACTTGATAGCTACTCCTCAATTAAGTAGATAGTTAAGGACGTAAGAATAATTAATCGTACACAATTTCCATATTTGTCATTATCATTCATTGTAGAGCACTAGAGATTTGTCGCTTTGGAGCAGACTCCATATTATTGTCTTCTATGTTTACGTCGTCCATAAGCTGTAGAAGCAGAAACATGCGACATAATTCGCTATGAATGTAACAAATGCTAATGTTATATAGACTGATGAGTGCTGCTTATTATGTTGTGTTTTTTTTTCAGTTTTCCAACGCTTTTGGGAAATCTTACGGCCAATCAAAGGCTGAAACGGGCCAACGGCGAACAAATACTTCTGTATCCTGGAGGCGCAATGGCGGACCCAACAATTGTTCTAACGAGGTCACTCGTTATGTTGCTATGAAAAATATATACATTTTGTCAAAATAATTGAGAATTTAAGAATAAATAGAGCTAAATAGAAGAAAACGAGCATATATGGAAAGAAATAGAAAACAAAATATAGTGCTTTTGTGTCTTTCAATTTCAGAATTTTGAAATAAAGCTTTTCATTTTTTTTTTGTTATAAGTATTCGACAATTGTTCTTAGAAAACCTCCAAACAATAAATCTCCCCATTCAAAATCCAAGGTGAGACAAAATCTGTCCTGAGATTCTATTAAAAGTTAAAACAAACCTTTATGTGATCCATCCAATCGTGAAATCAAGATCATTGAAAGATTAACACAGAACATTACATTCGAAAAGTCATTGAGAACATCACAGGGGAAAAGTTCCTATGAAGCGGATTTTATCGAATTTGCAGCCAGACCGTACTTACAAACCGCTGCATTTGCTGCTCTTAACTCTCCTCCAGATGCGTCATGAGCTATCTGATGCTTAAAGAACTCTCCACGTTTGATTTCCCTCCTCGCTTTCTAAAAGACGATGATGATGATGACGACGTGGAAGGTGATGCTGAGGCAAGTTTCTTGAAGAAGGATCTGAGAGAACTTCAGACTCAAGCCACATGTAAGAGAGGACTTGGCAGATACCTTCCTCTACCTCAGGGTTAAGGTTCCTATACCCTAGTGAAAACAAGAAATTAAAACAAATTAAGATGCTCTTTTACTACATAATCACAAAGTCACATACAATGTATAGTTAATTCAGTTATAATAAATAGATCTCGATATTTCTCGCAAACAAAAATTAATTTCTCTTCAATCATTGCAAATATGTCAAGTTAATTAGGGATCAGCAAAAACACATCTATCATAGACCCAAATTGTCTTTTTTGCAAATAGTTGTTTATCGCGTCGAAATTGTTCTTGGCTTTCTGCATTTAGAAATGTTTTCTCTTATATTCCTTTGCCATTTCTCACCTAAACGAATCATTATCAAGACCAGAAACTAGAACCAAAGAAGAAGAGAAAATGTAAAAAGGCATTATAATCTCAAATGGCTGTTAGCTAGTAAAGAAACATAATTGCCATTTTAAAAATACCCTTTTTTATGAATGCCGACATAGTACTGTCAGGGAAGGAATTTCACATGCATGAAGCTCGTTTCCATTTATTCTCTTCCACAGCATCCTTTCTTCGTTCCCTTTAAATTTGTTCGAGAATGAGTATAATTTATTGCTTAAAGCAATCATACGAACTTAAGTGACTTACACGGTTTCTGATTATACAAGACTGACTCTTTGTTCTTTTTTTCTAATTAGCAAATTATGCTCATGCATGGCTGTTCGGGATTTCTCGGTGGTTTTGGATCGGCCAACACCCCACCGGTGGCAACTCTACAACCACAAATTTTTCGCAGCCTAAACCGTGTAGCACATTTTGGGTGTACGTATAAACATATATCAAACCAATAATGTCGCAATGTCACAGGCCATAGTTAATTAAATTACAATAAAAAAGATTTTCGATATTTATCACAAACAAGTTTTAATTTCTCTTCAATCATTGCAAATATGTCAAGTTAATTAGGGATCGGCAAAAGACGTCTATCATAACATATGCTTATACCAATTAAGACGGGACTAATATTTCTCATTTTTATTTTTGACTACATTTAATTACCTCCAAATGTTCACAGCTACAACAACGAGCGGTTTTATCGTATTCGTGTGGTGGACAATACTTTTGGTTCCAAAACGGATGACATCGATACTCAATCAAGCCAGCATCATTAGTTGGGATCTGAGAAAGAAAAAAAAAGGAAATTAGGCAAATAAAAGATATGCTGGCTAAGTTCGCATTTGGGATGAGTAAGCTCTTTGAAAGCAGAGCATATGGCAGGGTTTGGTTCCTGACACAGAGAACTAAAATCAAGAGAGAAGACAAGACATACAACCTTAGTCACTTAAGAGAGATATATGCATACAAGTGTATATAATACACTAGAATCAGCTTCTGCTCTTCAGGACTCAAGTATTTAGTACATTATTATCTTCCTGATGATTTTGAGATTGATGTATGTAACAATTGCTAATTTTATGTGTGGACTGGTTAATTTTCATTATGCTATGTTATGTTTACAGTTAACCGAACCCTTATCAAAGGCTGCAACAGGCCAACGGCCAACAATACTTCTGTATCCTCTAAATCACCTGGTGGCGCAGTGGCCGACCCAAAAAAAATTCTAACGGGGTCACTCGTTATGTTGCTATGAAAAATATATACCTTTTGTCAAAAATAAATGAGAATTTAAGAATATTTAGTTCTAAATAGAAGAACACGAGAATACATGCAAAGAAGTAAAAAAAAAAAAAAAAAAAAAAAAAAAAACATCGTGTTTTCAATTTTAGAATTTTGAAATAAAGCTATTCAATTTTCATATCTTTGCTTATAAAACCTCCACACAGTAAATCTCCCCATTCAAAATCCAAGGTGAAACAAAGTCTGTAGTGAGATTCTATTCAAATTTAAAACAAACCTTTATGTGATCCATCCAATCGAAATCAAGATCATAGCAAGTTTAACACAGAACATTACATTCGAAAACCCATTGAGAACGTCACAAGGGAAAAGTTCCTGTGAAGCGGATATGATCGAGTGTGCGACGCAGACCGTACTTACAAACCGCTGCATTTGCTGTTCTGAAACCTCCTCCATAAGCTGGTGATGCGTCATGAGCTATCTGATGCTTAAAGAACTCTCCAAGTTTCTTCTCCACGTTTGATTTCCCTCCTTTCTTGTTAGAAGACGATGATGATGAGGACGTGGCAGTTGATGCTGAAGGCAAGTTTCTTGAAGAAGGATCTGAGAGAACTTCAGACTCAAGCCACATGTAAGAGAGGACTTGGCAGATACCTTCCTCTACCTCAGGGTTAAGGTTCCTATACCCTAGTGAAAACAAGAAATTAAAACAAATTAAGATGCTCTTTTACTAATTGGTGAAAAATAAATTCAAGAAACCTTACACGAAAGGGTTTTGTGGATTACTATTTAAAAATAAATAAAACGTAAACGAACTTTTATTGTAGAGGAACGAAATCAAACCGAATAAATAAAAAAAATTATCAATTATTGTGTTTTAAATTATATGCATTAGAGATAGATAGGTACCTTTTAGCCTAAGCCATCCATGCATCAGCTCGTGCGCAAGAATTGCTCCGGTTAGTAATCTTCATCCACCATATTTTCATGAATTTAGTAATAATTCAATTTTATTTATTTGTTTATGTGGCAATGTCCTAAAGCTAATTTGAGAATTGAGCAAGTAATACGTACCTTGGGAGCCCGTAAAGAACGAGAATCGCGGTGACTTCACATTTCCGTGTAAGCTTTTGAGGCTGAGTTCTCATACCAACAAGACGGTGAGCACCAAGTCTAGGTCTTTTAAGAACCTGTGAAGAACCCCCCCCCCCCAAAAAAAAAAGCAGAGCAAATTATTATTTAGAACTAAATAATGAAGTAAGTTGTTTTAACAAGAATTTCAAAAGACTTACACTTGTGACTGTTTGTTCTTCAGACAAACATAATCCACGTGTCTCAGGCATGTGATGATATCCCTATTGTAAAAAAGGAGAGGAATTTTAAATCGTAGTTTCAGAGACACTCTCAACGAAAAAAATGTTATGTATAAGTCTTAAGATCAAGGATTACATTTTTCTCTCCTACGATAGCATCGTTGAGAGCTTCTCTTTGAACAAGAAGCATGGGAATTTGTTGATCAAGTTTCATGTACATTCCTTCATAATAGTCTCTTATCGAGTGGTATAGTGGTTGACAATCTCCTGTGTCGGTTATTGCGGTCTCCATACACTCTAAACATAGACTTCTCCCATCTTCTAACGTGTAATATCTCACATCCCATGACTTCATGATCACAACATAGAAAGAACAAAAAAAATGATTTGTGGAAGGAAAGAAAGATATGGGCTTACCAATTAAGAGGGTACTAATATTTTTCATATTGGACTACATTTACCTCCAAACGTTCGCAGCTACAACAACGAGCCGTTTTATCGTATTCGTGTGATGGACAATACTTTTGGTTCCAAAACGGATGGCATCGATACTCGATCAAGCCAGCATCATTAGTTGGGATCTGAGAAAGAACAAAAATAGGCACATAAAAGATATGTGATGTGCAAGAATGCAATAATGTGATTGTATATTTACTTACAAAATGGTGACAAACTTCACATTTAGGATGAGTAAGCTCTTTGAAGCAAAGCTTATGATAAGGTTTCGTTCCTGATAGAGAGAACTTCAAATCAAGAGAGAAGACAAAACACACAACCTTAGTCACTTCAAGAAGGACATTAACACAAATTAAGAGTAATGATATATGCATATAAGTGTATCTTATATACCTCATGTTCGGTTATGGGATAACTACAAGAATGGCAAAGAAAGCATTCGGGATGAAAGAATGTGCCCATGCATCCTAAATAGTTCCCTAATCCAATATCGCGATTGCAACCGCCGCATATTCTGCTCAAAGTCGAGCAAACAATATTACCAAATGTGCGATTTTAAATAGTTGATTTTTTTTTCCTATAGTTGATCATCAATCTAGTTTAGTTCACTTCTATATCTCGGTGAAATTTTCGAAGCAAGACTCTTTTAGTAAACTTCGCGACTTGATGTTTCTATCGAATGAACTATAACCTTAACATTCGTTCATTATTTGAATTTTTCTTCAAACGCAAATTTTTATAGTAATTTTTTTATTGTTTGTTTAGAAAAGGACATGAGTTTAAAATTATAATACGAAGACATGAGTTTGAAGTTATAATTCTATAAGTGCAATTCCAATCAAACAGACACTGATAACAGAATGTGTTTTGTTGTACCTTTGTCTTCGTCTGCATTGATAGGAAGGCTCATACGGTGGAGGAATGTAAGATGATGGATTCAAGCCACCATGAAAAGGCCTTCGAAAATCTGGATTGTTATCCATTGACCAACCATATCCTGCTCAATTAACAAAAAAATCTCGAAGTTAATACAATAATGTTTTTAATTAACTTTGAATTTCTCTAATTTAATCTGAATTTATAAACGTATACCATGTGGGCGCTTCGTATCGTCAGCTAGAGAAAGTGAAACTGCACGGTCGAGTTCTTCTTTGGCTCTTGCAGCTCTTGACCGATCATCCTGATTCGTAATCCAAAAATGTAAAAATTAACCTCTTTTTACAACAAGTTATAGTTTTATATGATTGTACGCAATTCATTTATACTGACATCAGTAAAAAGAGTTGATGATATAAATTAACATATTTGCTTTTCTAAAAAAAATATTAATTTTTGTCCACATATCGATTTCATCTTTTTAAGATTCTAATGACTAAATATCATTAGTAGTGCTTAAGGGTATCGAAACAACCACCTCAATCCAATCGTACTCTTCCATCATGCATATTTTGTATTCATATTCATCATGGACTAACAATTATATTCCTAAACCAATGAGTTACGGCTACCCCATATTAACCTTTGTTTTTGAAAAAAAAATAAGTTTATAGAAAATAATTATAGAAATAATAATATATTTTATATACATTTTTTGTTTAAATTAATATTAGATAAAATTAACTCACAATTATTATTATAAACAATATAGCTCACAAAACATTATGAAATTATGTTGAAAATATCTCAACTCAGCCTACTGTTATACTGTATTAAATAATACTCCTAACTGAACCGACCGATAATTAAACCGATATCTACCTATTTTTGTCATCCTTAAATAGTGCTCAAGACCACATTGTCACATCATATCGGTTTAAGCATTAAAAATGAGACTCATGACAACAAAATAGATAGAAAAATAATTTATAGTTTTCATAGATGTGACAATTTCACAAAATGTACGTCAAAGACCCGTGATATTTCAATAACACGATGGAAAGAAAAAGTAGTGTTTGTATATTGGTTCTTTTAAAAAAAAGAAAAGAAAAATATATTCACATGTTTGTAGTAGATTAATATTGAAAAAAATGAAAGAACAGAGTTTAAAACTAATTTGAGGAATTTTAAAATTAAGAAAATAATTACCAAAGAGGATGAAGGTAGAGGAAAGACCATATTTTCGTCCTCTTGAAACTGAGGGAGATGATGATTAGTGCGAGCACCACCACCACCACCATTAGAACCACTCTTGAACAGCTTACTCACCCATTTCATCAACTTCCATTTTCTCTCTCTGTATGTTGATGAAGACGACGAGCCAACTTCCCCTGTATTGTTTTCAAAACGTACGTTAGGTTACTTCTTCAATATTATTAAGTTTAAAATATTTCTGTTCGAATGTTTTATCTATGGTGGGCTTGCGGACAAGCCTGGCCGGGATTAGTCAGGTGCTTATACGAAACCCGAATATTCAGTGCAACATATAAAAGGAAAGAAAACAAAACGCACCGAAGATACAAGGATTGGAGATATGGCTGACACGAGCAACACCGTAGGAAGAAGAAGAAGAAGGGGAAGAGGAGGAGGAAGCAGAATCCATGAGGAGTAAGAATGGCCCACACGTGATTATATATCTTTAAAAACGTGTGAGTGAAGCGAAAACGATGGCCAGAGAGAGAAGCAAACAAAAGAAGAAGAAGAGGAGGAAGAAGAGGGGAGAGGGGAGAAGAAGAAGAAGAAGTTATAAGTCATTAATTTTTTTTAGTAAAGAATAAAAACATATATGAAAAGAGAACAAAGAAAGAGAGAATCTTTGCAGAAGAGAGATCGGGCAAAAAAATTTAAAGAAAAAGAAAAGGAAGAGATGCTTAGCTTCTGAAAGGAAAGGAACAGAGAGAAAGAGATGTTTTTCTAAGAGAATATTTTATACATTTTTCCACCTTTTTTTTTGTTTTGCTGAGGCGGAGAATCCCTCAAACAACGGTGTGGGGAGGAGGAGGATAGTTGAAACCTTTTAAAGCTTCTCTCTTTTTCATTTCTTTTGTTTAAATTATCTTTGGAGAGAAAAACCAAAAAGTGAGAATTGTAAACGAAAGCATAAAAATTCTTCTTTTTGGGTTTTGATGGAGACACTCGTCCCGTTATCTCCTACCTACTATTTCCAATTAAGTTTCCGGTTTAACTTTGTTTTAATATGATTTTTGATTTTTGTCTTTTTGGTTTCAGATTTTTTTTTAAAATTTTTTTTGTGGTTTTGATGTTAAGAATTTGAGAAATGTTTTGATACCGTGGGCTTAGTTTCATGCATTATGTGTTGATTTCTGTTTAGTCCCATGCATTATTGCATTGTCACAACGAGGACGATGCTATAAAGTATAAACTAGTACTAAGTTTCATGTCCATACATTATGCGCCAACTTGTTTAATTTTGCGTTTTTCCTTAATTGCACTTTCGTCTTACTGTGGCGTGACTTTAGGCCATACACGATAAAGATGCGCTTTTGTACCACACACAACTTTATAATAATAATTTAAATCTTTATGAAATACAAACGACAGGACAATTAGTATAATATGGTTTTGGGGCATCAATCTATAGGAAGGTCGTGACTGGTGATGACGCAACAAAGGTGAAAGAGGCTTCAAAGTGGAATCAAACACCCAATTTTTACAGAACAAAAGTCTAACCTATAGTTATTTTAAAGTATTTTTTTACATTAAATCAAAATTAATATTTTGGGTTAAAGACAGCATCAGATCAAATCTAGCTTTTCCAGGAGCAGTTGCCACCTTGAGATCTGACCATTTCTTTATCAACTTGCTAAAGTCGATCTATGTATATGGACGATCCCATGCCTTATTTTAACTAAGGCTGCTTATTTTGGGAGCTTCTCATTTACTCAATCCGCTTATTTTTTGGATTAATATATTTTCGAGACGCTTCTTGGTTTTACGTAAGTTTTGAACTATAAAAAATACTTAACATTGTCGATATATGAATCAAGTTATGTTTATGAAGTTTAATATAACTATTGTAACAAAATAAAGTATATATGTATCACATGAAACGTGAGGCGATTGGCCGAGCTTTAGTAGCCGATGCAAGATCCACAGAATTTGTCTTTAATCACCTAAAATCCATGCATGCACTTTCTTATCTTATGAGACATCATATCCAGTGCCGTGCGAAGGTTAACGGGGGCTCATGGCAAATTTAGAAAAAAAGGGGCCTTTTCAATATAATTTTTTTTTTAGATGAATATAAACAACAAAAACCAAAAGAAAAATACAGCCACACCTCGAACTCGAGTTAAATACTTAATAATAACATGCCAAAATCACTGTGATACAATAAACTTTAATAAATTGGGGGCCCCTATAGTACTATATAATTTGGGGGCTCAGTGCAAATGCACTTTTAAATACATATAGAGCACGGCTCTGATCATATCTAAGTTACTATACATCTTTTTAACTTTGTATCTGTAAAGATTTTTGGTGAAAAAAGCCGTGAGGTGAGAAACGTGGAAGTGAGTTGGAAAAGAATGAATCAACCCTTTACTTTATTTCACACAAAAAAAAGGAGACATAAAAACTGTTTGTCAATGTAATGGCTGAGCTCTTTTAGGCATCACCGTGCGGATCATTCTGACCCGACCCATCCCAAAGTGGATAAGACATCAATCTAATTAGTTCTTTGTTCTTTATAGCTATATCGTAATTATCCAAGTGCGTTGGCTCAACCAGTTAGAGGGTTGATTCCAAAGGTTCTCGTAATAATACAAAGACCAAAAACTTCTAATCACAACTCCAACTCAATATTAATGTTTTTTATTTATTTCCTGAAAAATATCTAGGTGCTGCTTCAACGTTACTAGACAGGATGTGAATTATATTTGTATCGTTCGGTCTAGAGAGTTTATGGTTATGGGACAACTTAAAACATTCAAACAAAGATGATTATCCCAAATGATTGACTGAACATGTACACACAAAGTTATTTGTTCAAGGCCTCAAAGTTCAGGATTCTTACTAATTAGTACACACAAAGTTATTTGTTCAAGGCCTCAAAGTTCAAAATTCTTACTAATTAGTACACACAAAGTTACCACATTGTTGGACTAATTAACGGCCCATTATCCATTACGCTGAAGCCTTTAACCCACGTCGTTTTCTTACCTTCTTAATCTTATCACTATCTCTCAGTTTCTTCAATTTCAATTTTCAAAGATTTTTTAATTCGTCTCCATCTCCATTTTCCGATATACTTTTACTTTCATAGGTCTAATTTTTTTTCCTTAAAATAATGTAATTTTTATCATCGCGAAAAACAAATTCGAAAGTCTTTGCGCGTAGTTTCTTGTTTTTCTTTTCACTGATTGTTTCACATTTCTCTCTCGCAGCTCCACCTCTCGGGGCTTTTCTCTCGTTTTGGGGTCGGAGAAATTAGGGCTTTTTTTCTGGCTGTTCTGTTAATGGCGACGACGCAGGGGCAGCAGCAGACGGCGATTGACCCGGCGGTTCTCGATGATATAATCAGGCGGCTCACGGAGGTCCGGTTAGCTAGACCGGGGAAGCAAGTCCAGCTCTCGGAGGCTGAGATCAAACAGCTCTGCACTACCGCTAGAGATATTTTCCTTCAGCAACCCAATTTGCTTGAGCTCGAGGCACCCATCAAAATCTGCGGTATGTTTATCCAACTGAAATTCGATTCGTTGATTTAAGTTCGTCGGAATTTCATTTTAGGGTTCTTAATGTCCTCGAAAGTGTGAAATTGCGTATCAATCTCAAACTCAGGCGATATTAGTGTGTTTTGGGATTGTGTAGTTGAATGTTGACCATTGTGAAACTTCCGTTTCCATGCTTAATTAGGCCTTTGATTGTTGTTATGAAGCAATTAGAATCTGACTGAGAAATGTTTTGGCTTTTGAGTATGAAATAATGTTCTCAGATTAGAAAATATGTTACTTTCTTGGAATTTTGGTTGATTCTGAGTTTAGTGACTGTTAGCTATAAAGAAAACTCCAATCCGATTATGATTTGTGGTTTTGAATGTGTTAAACAAGGTGACATACATGGGCAATACAGTGATTTGCTGAGGCTGTTTGAGTACGGTGGCTTCCCTCCTAGTGCCAACTATCTCTTCCTTGGGGACTATGTGGACAGAGGCAAACAGAGTCTTGAAACGATATGTCTCTTGCTAGCTTACAAGATCAAGTACCCAGGGAACTTTTTTCTGCTAAGGGGAAACCACGAGTGTGCTTCTATCAATCGGATATACGGATTTTACGATGAATGCAAAAGGAGGTTCAATGTGAGAGTGTGGAAGGTGTTCACAGACTGTTTTAACTGTCTTCCTGTTGCGGCACTCATTGATGACAAGATATTGTGCATGCACGGTGGTCTTTCCCCGGAGCTCAACCATTTGGATGAGATTAGAAGCTTGCCACGTCCCACGATGATTCCTGACACCGGGCTGCTCTGTGATTTGCTCTGGTCTGATCCTGGTAAAGATGTTAAAGGGTGGGGAGCGAATGATAGAGGCGTTTCGTATACTTTTGGTGCTGATAAAGTCTCTGAGTTCTTAACGAAACATGATCTAGACCTTGTGTGCCGTGCCCATCAGGTAGATATTTTCTCGATCATCTCTCTCTATTTGAGTCTACTGCTTTCGTGATGTTGAGAATGAGTTTTGTGATTGCAGGTTGTGGAGGATGGTTATGAGTTTTTCGCTGATAGACAACTTGTGACGGTGTTTTCTGCTCCTAACTACTGTGGTGAGTTTGATAACGCTGGTGCGATGATGAGCGTGGACGAGAACCTTATGTGCTCGTTTCAGATTTTGAAGCCTGCTGAGAAGAAGACCAAATTCATGATGTCCACAAAGATTTGAGGTTAGTCAACAATCTGTCTTTAGCAAAACCAAACAATACAAGTGAGTGAAAGACTTCTTATGCAGTGATATGTTCATTTTCTTCCTTACGCAGGTGGTCTTGCTCGAGAGATTGATTCAAACTATTGAAAAGCTTTCAAGTGTGTGTTGATGCTAGTGAGAAAGGAGCAAAACCTTAGTCTTGTAGTCTCTTTTTTACCCAATTTCACTTTCTGCATTTTTTTTTTTTTTTCTATCTGCTTTTGAGGGTTTTATATGATTTTTCATCTGCCTGTTGAAAAGCAAATACAGTAGTTGGTGTGTACATGCGTATGAATCGTTTCTTGGATTTTAGGACACCAAATGAAATGATGATATTATAAAAACACAAGTTTTAGTAAGATGAGTTTTTTTGTCTCTTAAACGGCATGTGAAAGTGGAAGAGCATATAACGCATATGGTACAATCTTTAATCAACCAACATCAATTTCGAATGAGCATCTTAATTACAAGAGAACAAGTTCCACTCTTGGTCATGTGAAGTAAAAGAAGAATGTTACCTAGTGAAATGTCAACTCGTGTTTGTATGATCGAGTGAAACTGAAATGATATATGATCCATTTAATGGACACTAAGAAGGGAATATAATAATTAGAGGGAATGGAAAAAAAAAAATGGTATGTGGATGACATGCAAACACGATGCGATAAGCTTGTAAAAGTTACTTTTTGTTGCATAACGGAAGTCCATTTCACTAGAAATTAGACAACGTATTATTCATTGATCATAGAGTCCACAATTTTTTTCTACATATTATGTCATATTCGCCTAGACGTCCCAATTCCATTGTATGATTTGGTTGGAGTTGTTTGCAACACTGTTTATATACATAGATTAATTAGGCATCAATTGTTTTATACTATTGGTATAAAATAATTTTTTTTAATGATTAAATATTTTCAATTGTAATTCTTTAAATTGAAAACGTAAACGCCAAACGTAAAACGATGATTTTTATCATACATGCGTTTTGATATTTACGTTTGCAATTGTACAAATGAATTTATTGCTTAAAATTTGTGGACTCATTTGGAAAAATATACACTGATGGAAATAGAAACAATCAATCGAAGCATGGTTGTAGTGGCCGAATTGGACCTTAAAATTTTCACTGATCCAAGCATTCATATATGCAATTATGAATCAACTAAACCTTAAAATTTTCTTGGTTTTTCACTTTAACCAGTACCCTATTTGTAATTGTATAATTTCCTTACATTTTATTAAGAATCACCCCCAAAAATGCATGCAGCTTCATAATCGGAGAATAAGATTCGCTTAAATTGATTGATTAGCTTTTGCACGATTAAATGTTTTGATTTCTTTCTTCTCCTTCAATTTTCTTTTTCTATAGTCCTTTTCGCTCACAGTCTCCTTCATGAACTTTTACTATAAATAGAGACATCAAGCATCAATGTGCATTGCAACAAAACTTATGAACTATACGAGTCATATAGATTGACAAAAAGAAGAAAAAAAATTGTCCTAGTGAGTGAGTGATGGCAATAGCTTTAAAGGCTCTCCTACTTCACCTGATACTCTTCTTCTTTGCTTCTCTTGCGGAAACAAACAACCCGCGAAAGGTAAAAAAGTGTCTTTCCCTCGATATTCACAATCACAAATTCACAGTTCACACTAAATCCAAACGCTTTGTCGTGATAATATTTGGTCGTTAAGAAGATTGGTAATCGTAAGTCTTGTTTTAACTAACACTAATCAAAAACACTATCCTTTAATCCTTTTAGCAAAACAAAAAAAAGAAACTATTCCGTTGATGAGGTAATATTTTTTCTTTTTAATAATAATATTTTATTTTCTTTGGTGAGTCTTACTATATTCTCATGTGGATATAACATGTGCTGACATACACACAATATATAATGCATTTATCTGTCAAAGTTTGCATAACCAATAATGTTTGGATTTTATCATATAACTTCTTGCTTTTCTATGGCACAGATATACCTTGTGCAGATGAAAGTTGCTGGGCATCGATATGGGTCAAGTTCCGGTCACCAGGAACTACTCGGCGAAGTTCTTGACGATGATAGGTTTTAACTTTATTATTTTCTTTTTTGTCAACATTCTTTTTTCTTTTTCTTTTTTTTGTAATATTATGCTTTATTTAAAGGTCAAATTTCACAAAGAATTAATTAATCGTCTTTTATGTTATCACATGCAGCACCGTAGCGAGTGCACTCATCTACAGTTATAGGGAGAGCTTCACGGGTTTCTCGGCTAGACTCACACAAAATGAACGGCAAAAGCTCAAGAGTAAGAGCATCATTTGTTTCTCTACGTTTGCATTTGTGTTTCCATTTTAGACTTTTATTTTAATTTTTAATAATCTATCACATTGATAACTATTTTTATGTAGGGAGGAGAGAGGTCTTAGAAGTGTTACGTAGTAGAAACCTAAAGCCTCATACGACACGATCATGGGACTTCATGAATCTAACATTAGCAGCTAAGCGAAATCCCGAGGTTGAGAGTGAGTTGGTTGTGGCTGTCATCGACTCTGGCATTTGGCCTTACTCTGAGCTCTTCAGAAGCGACAGCCCTCCTCCTCCGGCTTGGCAAAATAAATGCCAAAACATAACTTGCAACAAGTACTACATTCATCATCAAATAATCTCTCTCCTTTTCTTATATTTTCATTTGGTATCTAGAACGCTTGGGCATCACACATGTCACATGATGAAACCAAAAGTAATATATAAGTGACATACCATGCTCCAATTCACTCATGCATTACTAAATTGTTTTGGTTTTAAGTTCCATGAAATTTAACGTGGTATATCACAATTTTAACCAAAGTAGGATATGTTTTCGATCCTAGATTAAGATTAATTTGGTTCGAATTAGACGGGGAAAAATTATCATCTTTGAAGAGATGTATTAGGAATCATTAGACGTGTGACTTCACTAGATGTGTTAGGAATCCTAAAGTATAATAGTGTGATATGGACTATCCGCTAGTTGTCCATTAGTTTTGAGTTGAAAGCATATGAAACATATAACAAAAAAAAACATTTTTTGAACCTACTATTACGTACCCAAACATCTATGGAGGTTTGGTTTGGGCTTAAACTATATCATTCACACTCTCATGTAACTTTAAATTATCAGAAAACAATAACAGAAGATTTTGTTTCTCCAAGATTGTTTAGGATTCTTTCTTGAACGTGTGAGAATAGAATTAATCTTACTACTGAATATTACATTTGCAGTAAAATTGTTGGTGCTCGATCATACTACTTAGAGAAGGAAAATTACAATCTGACAGAAGCGAATTCGGTGATTGACGTGATGGGACACGGCACGCACATAGCCTCCATCGTTGCCGGCAGGGAAATAGAGAAGGCCAGCTACTTTGGGCTGGCGGAAGGCACAATGAGAGGCGGTGTTCCCAACGCAAAGATCGCCGTCTACAAAACATGTTGGAGGATAAGAAACAAAAAAGGTAACGAGGTCTTTGTATGTCCACAACATAAGGCATTGGAGGCAATAGAGGATGCAATCAAGGACGAGGTCGACGTCATCTCGTATTCTCAGGGGTTGGATTATCCGGTTCCAATGCACGAAGATTGTGTCTCGTGGGCGTTTTTACGAGCAGTTGAGAAAGATATTTTGATTTCAACCTCCGCCGGAAACTTCGGCCCTAACTACTACGCTGTGGTTAACGGTGCACCTTGGGTAATGACCGTTGCAGCGAGCTTGAAAGATAGATTTTTTGAGACTAAGTTGGAGCTGGAAGGAGAAGATAAGCCAATTACTGTAAGTGAAACATTTTGATTTCTTGAGATTCAAGTAATCTCCTCATGATAGGTTTCTTGACTTGGAAGTGATCTCCTAATATTTTCAGGTATACAACACGATCAACACCTTCGAGACACAAGATTCTTTCTACCCACTTTTGTTAGAAACTGAATCAACAAGAAAACGTGAACTCATCGCTGAGTAAGTTAACAAGTTATATGGCCTCTAATTTCTGTCTGAAATTTTATTTAAAACATCATTATATAGTTTGCTTAATTTTGGTCGTATTGTTTGATAAATGGAAATGATTGTTTAATTTTCAATAAATTGTAGGAGCAAAGATGATTTAGTCTCCTCTAATCATAAGACCGACAAAGGAAAAGATGTTTTCTTCGACATCTCAGAAATGACAATATTGGACAAAGCGATTGAAGAGAGAGCAAAAGGTGTAATCGCAGTGGGTGGATTTAGCAACTATAATGAGTCTGAAAAGTTACAGTTTCCTATCGCTTCTATATTTTTGGACGACAAAATGGGAATTGACCTATGGAACTACTATGAAGATAAAAGGTAAAAACATTCACCAAGAGGACATAAATTAAGACTGATCAATTTCTCCAAAAAGTTAACCATGATTTTTGTTTTGTATTGATTCTTCATTATGACAGAAATCATTCAGTCAAAATCCATAAGACAGTGGAAATTCCTCGAGAAGAGGGATGGGATCCAACTATTGCGGACTTGTCTTCGAGGGGTCCTAATTGCGATAATTTTCTAGCAAACATTCTCAAGGTAATGTTACGTGTATCATACGTCAATTATATCACTTACAAAATAATCAACTTTTTAGGTTTGATTCTTATAATGAGTTTTGTTGGCAGCCCGATATAGCTGCTCCAGGGTTAGACATTGTAGCGGGTTGGCCTGAGAATGTGAATCTCTTACAAGTTCCTGCCAATGACTACCGCCATCTGAGATTCAACATCTTGTCAGGAACTTCCATGGCTTGCCCTCATGCCACTGGACTTGCCTTGTATGTCAAGTCATTCAAACCTTCTTGGTCTCCTTCCGCTATTAAATCCGCCCTAATGACCACTTGTAAGTCCCAACGCCGATGATACTTGTCTATATATCAACCAACGGTGATGTAACGTTTGATTAACACAATTATAATTCACTACGCAGCCACGGAAATGTTAGGTCTAGGCAATGACTTCGCATACGGGTCAGGACAGTTAAACGCTACAAAAGTCTTAGACCCTGGTCTGATCTACGAGACAAAGCACCAAGACTACATAGATTACATATGCAAACAAGGCTACAACACAGAGAAGCTAAGATCGCACGTCGGAAACCACAAGATAAATTGCTCCGGGACCAAGATAGACCAAAACGCAGACCTCAACTATCCAACCATGTCGGCTAGAGTCAAACTCAACGCCGAATTCTCCAAAGTCTTCTATAGAACGGTCACCAACGTTGGCGACCGAAACTCCACTTACCTTGGAGAAATCAAGTTCCGAGGTGAGAAGAGTTTATGGGCTAATATCACTGTGAACCCTAAACGGCTACACTTTAGCGAGTTGGGAGAGACCAAGACTTTCACGGTGAACGTCACCGGGAAAGCGGAGCCGAATTCGAAGTACTCGAAGGATTCGTTTATGATAGGGAATACGTGGCTCACGTGGACGGAGATGAACGGTTCTCGACAAGTCAGGAGTCCCATTGTCATATACTCTATTATTATTGATAAGGAATCTCGAGCTTGTCGTAAATTCCACAAGAAATAATTTAAACTGCCACTCTTTGCTTCAATAGTCTATCTAGTTGTAATAAGACTGGACTTTTAAATCTGAGTACAAGATTACATATTTACACTCCTACACTAAACTCGTGCTTGCATCTTATGGTGACTATGGGGGTTTAATTGTTTATTCGTTCATAAGTTAAATGTGATTTTAAATGTGATATTTTTTAATAACTAGTCAATAAATAAACGCTCAAAAAAGTTACATAACTCCACTCTTTAATTTAGCCTAACGTTTTCATTTGTTCACCACTATTTATGCCCATTTTGACAACTTAGTTTAATATATCTAATTCACAAACCTTTAATATCTTATTACTTTTCTTAGTCTTTTTTTTGAAAATGTTTTCCCGAGTATTGTTGTTTGTCTTCGCAGTTTCCATTGCCGTTGTATGTTCGAGCAGAACGTTGGCACCGTCTCCGAGCGATTCGAAGCTTAGGGTACCTCTTATTTAAATCTTGATCATTTCTATATATTTTGTTGCGACAATAATCCTCAAAGCATCTATTCTTCTTACCGAATATGATAAACAGGTTTATGTAGTCGTTGTTGATCGTGCGTTGTATCACAATGACTGTAAGAAATACGAACAACTTCTCAGAAAGGTGCTTCATGGAAGGTAATCTATTGATTTTTTTGGAATAGAGTAATTAAGACAGAAAAATAAAAAGAATTCATTTGAAGATGTATTAGCAAAAACTTGCCCCTCAAAATAAATAAATAATTATGATGGAAAATAAGGCTTGAGGAATGCAAGATGGTATAGTAGTGAAAAGAATCACCAATAGTTACAAAGACCCAATCAAGAATTATGTTTTATACTCTTTTCTTTCCTTTTTTCCATCAGGCCATCAGATCTAGCTCCACTACATTGCTACAAAAACGTCATGAGCGGATTTGCAGCAGCACTCACCGCAGAAGAAGCTGAAGAACTAAAAGGTACATTTAAAAAAATTAAACAATATATTTATTCAATAAAGAAAAAGAATCGTTTACTTAAAAAGAAAAATCACGTTAAACCAATTTTTGTAGTCAATTGGTTGAACACTAGAAATCTCTGATTATAAGAAGAAAAATAAAAAACAAGATTAAACTTCAAAAGACAAAAAGGTTTTCTGATATGAAAGAAGTGTGTCGGATGGGGAAAAAAAATTATTAAAAATATATTGTTGGAGAGTTAATTACCAAATATGCTGTCGTCTGTTGATTTAACCATATGTAAAAGGTGAAGTACGAAAATAATATTTGTAAGCTAACTTTTTTTTTTTTAACTTTTGCAGGTGAAAATGGAGTTCTTAGTGTAATAGTAGACAACATATACGATATCCAGGATTAAGATAACTTAGTCACCTGCATTAATGACTATATTGTAAGGTTATTTTTGGTAAAATTCTATTGTAAGGTTCATTTCAAAAGTTGGAAGAACCAAAAAATATATATATAGAATTGAAATGCAGTAATCAAATATTATACTCTGTCCTCCACAACAATATACGAATATTTTGGCATTCGCAGTCTTTAAAGAAATTTCACAATGGGACACGAGTTGTTGATAGTATTCCAGGTTCGAACCCACTTAGACTCGTCCAACATCTATAAAATTCATAAACTCAATCAAATAAAAAAAATTGATGTAATTATCGATGGTAAAAGTTGACAAAAAAACAAAAAAAATTATTAATGGTAAAATAATGAAAGGAAAGTACACATGCAACCAAGAGAAATTCACAATTTTGTATCATACCAACAAACTATAAGATCGAGGCTGGAGAATAAATTATTTTAACATATAAATCAACAAAAACATTCAAAATAAAAAAGAAAGCTTTATAACTTGTGAGAAAATAAAAAGAAAGTTAAAATAAATTATTTTTCAACAAGCCAAAAATAAATCACGCATTTTAGCTTGGAGAGAAATCAAGTTCCTAGATGAGAAGAGTTCTTGGGCTAATATCACTGTGAACCCAAAAAGGCTACATTTGAAAGTGAAGAGACCAAGACTTTCACCGTGAACGTCACCGGCAAAGTGAGCCGAATTTGAAATACATGAAGGAGCTGTAGGGAATATGTGGCTCACATGGACGGAGATCAACGGTTCTTGCCAAGTCAGAAACCCCAATGTCATATACTTCATTAATATTGATAAGGAATCTCGAAATTGTCGTAAATTCCACAAGAATTAATTTAAACTGCCATTCATTGCTTCGATAGTCTTTATTTTTTTTCTTTTTTTGACAAATTGATTCGATAGTCTATCAAGTTATAATAAGACTGCACTTTTGAATTTTGAGTAATGATAAATATTAGCATGGTTGGAAGCTTGGAGTTCATGGTTTTTGAATTACCGTAACCAAATTAAAACCTAATCTAGTATGCATCATATACATGCATGTACCATTTGTTTACAAAGAAAGACACATTCAAATCGGTTATTCCTCTTTTGTTTGGTTCGGTTATTTATCGATTTATTTTTTCAACTAGAAACAAAAAAATATCAAGTTTTAGATCAGTTATATTTTGGTAATTGGTTTATCTGAGTGCAAGATTACACATTTACACTCCTAGACTAGACTCGTGCTTGCATCTTATGGTGATTATATGGGGTTTTAATTGTTATTTATTCATAAATTAAATGTGATTAAAAGCTGAAAGACAACAGCTCATAAGGGAGTCTAGTAAATAGTCAATATATAAACGCTCAAAAAAAGTTATAGAACTTACATAACTTCACTCTTTAATCTAGCCAAACGTTTTCGTTGTTCACCACTATTTATGCCCATTTTGACATCTTAGTTTAATCAATCCAATTCACAAACCTTTAATCTCTTAATACTTTTCTTAGCCTTTTTGTTGAAAATGTTTTCCCGGATATTGTTGTTTGTCTTTGCATTTTGCATTACTGTCGTATGTTCGAGCAGAACGTTGCCGCCGTCTCTGGACGGTTCGGAGATTAAGGTACCTCTTATTTAAATTTTGATCATTTCTATAGTTTTGTTGCGACAGTAATTCTCAAACCATTTATTCTTCTTACCGGATATGATAAACAGGTTTATTTGGTCGTTGTTGATCGTGGGTTGTATCACGATGACTGTAAGAAATACGAACAACTTCTCAGAAAGGTGCTTCATGGAAGGTAATCTATTGGTTTTTTTGGAATAGATAACTAAGAGGGGAAAAAAGAATTCAGTTGAAGATGTATTAGCAAAAACATACCCTTCCAGATAAATAAAATGGTATGATGGAAAATAAGGGTTGAGGAATCCAAGATGGTATAGTAGGGAAGATTGAGAGATGGTGTAAAAGAATCAAGAATAGTTATAAAAACCAATTCAAGAATTATGTTTTATGTTCTTCTTCCTTTTTTTCAACAGGCCATCGAATGAAGCTCCAATATTTTGCTACAAATACGTCATGAGCGGATTTGCAGCGGGACTCACCAAAGAAGAGGCTGAGGAACTAAAAGGTACATTTTTATATTTATTCAATAGAGAAAAAATAGTTGTTTTGTTACATGAAAGTGGTTGAGCACTACCAATTTCTGATTACTAGAAGAACATTAAAAATAAACATTTAACTTCAAAAGAAAAAAAAAAATACATTTTCTGATATGAAAGAGAAATGTGTCCGTTGAAAAAAATATATAATATTAATTGATAAAAAAAGATATTGCTGGGGAATTAATTACCAAATATGTTGTCGACTTAACCATATGTAAAAAGTGAACTACGAAAATAATATTTGTAAGCTAAATTGTTTTTTGTTTCTAAACATATGCAGGTGAAAACGGGGTTCTTAGTGTAATTTTAGACAGTAAACACGATATCCAGGGTTAATTAAGATAACTTGTAACCTGCACGAATGACTATTGTAAGGTTATTTTTGGGTAAATTGCTATTGTAAGGTTTGTTTCAAAAGTTGGAAGAACTAAAAAAAATGAATAATGTATACACAACTGAAATTCAGTGATCAAATATTATACTCTCTCAGTCTCTCCTCCACAACAATATACGATCTCTTAAAATCTCAAAACCTGGCCTGTTTGACCAAACAACAAGAAAAACAAACTCAAACCCTAGCTTTGATCGAGCCCAAATCCAATCCCAAGCCTTACTTCGAAGAACTTTGAATTATTCAAAAAGTCAGTGATAGTCCAGCCCAGCGCAAAGTAAAGGTTTTAGTTAAAGCTTAGTTCTAACTTCTAAGTCTAACCCGGAATTAACAGGACGTGAATAATTTTAAATTTGGTGAATACACAACTTCGATCGAACAACTCTGAACAATTATTTTATACTATTCATTATTCTATTAAAAATAATGATGGGTAACTACATCACCGATAACATATATACCTGCGAATCCTTAAATTTTTGGATATTTAATCCATCCCAACCCTAGTATAATAATAAACCATATCTTCTTCTTTTTTGTCTTAATGTTAAGAGTATAAACCATATCTTAAGTACATTAATAAACTCCAATTTCTAAATGCAATGTTTTCTCAAATGTTTGAATTCGAACTGATCCACTGGGTACGTACGTATAGGATTCTTTTTCATTTTTACAGATAAGAAAAGGAGCAAGTGCTTCTTGTTCAGCTTTAGGGAAACACAAGGAACACTAGGCTTTTATCATCTCTTTTTTGTTTTATACTGTTTAGGTATTGTTATCTGTGAGTTTTGTGTTGTCTTACTTCTATATATCCCAATATACACATTCATTGGTTTCGTTCAAGTATCTTATCTTTATGATTTAGTAAATTTCTATCGTAGTCTTTATACAAATTTCACAATAGGAAGAAAAATCAAGTTTGTAATGGAACTTAAATCCTTAAAAACAAGATAAGAAAATATAAAGAAAGTTAAAATAAATTAGTTTTCAACAAGCCAAAAATAAATCATGCAAAAGCATCAATATATACATAGAGTTCGAATGGCCATTACTACGAAGAATCATAAATCCTGAAGAGATTTATGTTGAATGGATCTAAACATCTAAGCCATATGAAAAAATCTGCAATGTCAACTAAGCATAAGAGATCCAAACGGTATATTGGTCCAAAAATGGGGAGCAGAGAGCATTTTTAGCTAAGAGGTTCTATAACCCTCAAGCTATGGCTCTCCTTAACTCATAAAGGATCCAATCCACTTTTAAAAGGCTGCCTATTTCTCATCTCTATCTCTATCTGCAAGTCTTTTTGACATTCTTGATGTCAATGGTGTCCATTAATCGAGAAATTTACACATGTATGGTGATGATGATAGTTAACATGGCATGAGTCCCTCAATTCCCATGAAGGACACGTATCAACACACTTTTTTCCCATTCAATCTTTTCCTTTACATGTTTATTTTTTGCAGTCGAATTATTCTTTGCTTGAAGAGCCTATACCATTAGTTTTCTCTTTTGCATAATTTGCATTGTACAGATAATTCTAAGTGTTTGTCAGATACAGTTACAACAGGTCATGTGGTGTATCTTTACAGAATGTTTTAAAGCGCATGGTCAAACAAATAACCGATCAAACGAATCTTAGGACATATACCCATCACACGTATTGACATTATATTCTATCGGTTAATTAAGCTCCGTTTATAGATTCACAACGTTGTTTATTCTTTGTATCTCTGCCTAATTGTTAATCTTTTCTCCCAACGAAATGCTATGACTTTTGTAACTTTCGAAAATTAGAGTTAACATTAGGATTCATCATTACTGAATTGATCTAGTAAATTCAGAATCTTCATTGTCATTTTTATTATCAGTTTTGAATTGGGATGGTGACACATATCGACGACGCTAAAACAAAACACTACACGTACATGTTCGTATATCAACTAGTGTTGTTTCTCAATCAAAGGTTTGGGTGGTTCAGGCCTAAACATATTTGTGTCTTTTGTTTATAAGACGTAACTATCATGTATAAGCATATTGGATTTTTGCAACAAAGCTTTATAGCAATTTGTTCTTGAAAACGATATCGTATATGCTGACTAAAGGATGTTTTCTTGTTCTAATTTTTTTTTTTTTTTGAAAAGTACATTTAAAAAAATATATAAATCAAACTTAAAACAGAAAATTATAACCACGACCGAAATGTAACTTAAATTTCTGTTTCTACTTGTGTTTGCAGTTACCAAAAACTAATTGATATAAACACATACTAAAGTTTGTTTCTTAAGGTTTATCACAATATTTAACTTGCAAACGTAGAACCATGGCAAAAGCAAATTCAAGGAACAAAAGATGTATCATCATACTTTGACCAATAGTCTTGGTCTGATTAGCACAACGCATCCAAGAAATATATATAATACAAATTACTAAATTAGAGTTCAAATGGATATTGGAGTAAGATAAGTTAGAATGTTTTTTTTGTCTATGTTGTCATGCGGAAGATCCAAACCAGGAAGTTTTGTAAAATTTGGTATATTCTAATGCTAAAGGGCACCTTAATTATGTCTATTAGTGCCGAAATTACCGAAACAAAATAAAGAAGAACAAAAAAAATAGTTGGTTGCAAATATAGTCAAAAGTTGACAAAGTGTTTAACAGTGGTGCCTATATATAACCTTAGAGGAGAGTGATCAAGTCACATACCTCCCATCTCAAACAACTTCAAACTTTTCGAAGTAACTTATCTTTCTTTCCTTTCTCCACCTTTTTCCTTCGAACATATATCCCTAATCCTACAAAGAACTAACCCTTTAAGATATAAATACATTTGTACACACACACACAAGTAGTCGACATAAAGTTCAAAAGAGCGACCATGGACAAGAAAAAGTCAGTATCTAGTTCCTCTTCTTCATCTTTCGATCATATTTTTGGTCCAAGAGTCTCCTCTCCGTCCTCTTCATCAACAACAGGATTGTTCCAATCCATTTTCCCACCACCCTCAATGGTATGAATCAATAACACCACCATCATTCTAAATATATACATTCCATTTACGGCTTTCTTATCTATAATTCATTTGTTCTCAACTTAAGGGGACCCAAGCGGACTTGGCAAATCGACATGCAGCTACCAGATATCAACCTCCAAATTCGGGAATTCCAAGTGAGTCTACTGCTGATACTAATTGAGTGTTTGTTCTTACAAAGTTGTATATCTAAACTTAGAATAATTAACTATGGACTCTACTTCACGTCGCTAATTAGTTATTAAAAGTGAGAATTTTGAATGTGGTACAGATAAAAGAGGAGAAAGGAGCAAGAATAAGGAGAGAAAGAATTACAAAAGTGAAGAAACACAACCACCATGCAACTGGAGCTCATCCATTTACTATGGAGGCCAAGAGAGCTATTCCTCTTCAACACCATCACGATCAACAACCAAACCAGATGCTGTAAGTCCCTACCTCTTGAATTACTCACCAAAGCATTTGTGTTGCATATCGACAAAAATACTAGTGATTTGGTTTCTATCTTATGTAAGCATTACTATGCACACTCAGCGTTTTTTAGATAGAAGTAGGATAGTTGAGCTATATGAACGCATATAAGCAAAGTGATATTGTATATGTGTATTATCATTGAACCTAGGTTCATTTGGATATATCATTCTTAATGTCAAGCTTCATGGATATTATTCACACTATATGTCTACTTGTATCAACTCTATACTCACTAATTCGGAGTGTGTACAGTATAAGAAAGATGGTGAAGAAGGCGATTCCGACAGTGCTTCAAGAGGAAATTGGTGGGAAGGTAACTAATTACAATCATTTTATATCATAAGAACATCAGTGTATCATAATATATCTTTCATTCATCTATAGATATGATATGCACGAAACTGACTTAGAGATAATCAAAATATGCAGGATCGCTTTATTACTAACTATCAATCCTGGCCGATGAAGCACGATAAGCAAAGGTACACGCCACATTGAATGTTTCATGAATATAGTAAATAATCGTCTAACCTACGGCTTACGCTTTTCGGAATTTGTAAACTAAATAGTTAGTGGATAAAAATCTGATATTAGTTATTACCAAAAGTTCTTGGTTGGGTATTACTTTTTTTTAAAGTCTACATTTTATTTTTATATATTACAAAACAATAACAAACAAAAAAAATTGGAAAACCAGTACCTCATCTCAAAAGGGTTTTTTTCATTGATCCAGGTTTCATTGATCATTTTGCAGGAACCTTAATTAAGTGAGAATGGAAGTTGACGTAATGAAATATACCTAGTGAAGATATATATCAAAAAAACAACTAAATAAGTAATGTAAAAGTATGTATAGATGACTTAAGAAAAGAGTGCAAGTATAGTAGTACTAGTATATAAGATGAAATCATCGTCTACATAAAAAAGGAGTGGACTCGTTCTTGACAGGTTGATTGGCAACAACTTAGACAAGCCTCTTTATAGTGCGTCTGTCAAAAAATCTATGTATTTAGTTTGAAATGTAATCTAATATTATCATGCTGGGTATGTAATTGTATTACCTCACGCTAATCAATCATCTGTTGTTAGCGGAGGCAAAAACTGTATCTTCATTATCAACACAAATAACTGATGCGAAGGCCCTAAACGGCGGCACATTTATCGTTTTAGATAAGTAGAATATTGGGCCTGTGATGAAAAAAGGCAGAGCCGCAAGAATGGAAAAATAAAATCTTTCGCCGTTGCCGGGGATCGAACCCAGTCACCCGCGTGACAGGCGGGAATACTTACCACTATACTACAACGACTCTTGTTGTTGACTTTACAGTAAAATAATATATAAGTATATATCAGAAGGAATTGTTAGGATTTTCCCTTTTCCCTTTCAAGCAATCTAAATAAAGAAAGTTTGAAAATTTTTATTTGAATTGTATGCAAAATAACAACTTAGACTCTGTTAATTGATATGCGTCTCAGAGATCTTGCAAAACTCATGCATGTAAAAAGTTTCAAAACCATTTTATGGTGAATGTAACCGACGGGTCGAATCCATTTGATTAAACCTATTCACAGCTCATCTGAACTAACAATAAACTGCCAAATATGCACAAACAAACAAAAATTGCTATTATATTAAGTAACCATAACTGCATAAGTGAAAACAGACACTCTTTAGAAGATTAACGTTTCCGAGGCTTTGACCATTGACGGTTCAACTATAGTGAGTTTCGCTAAGCACACATACTTTCTATGTCGCACGTGTTGGGCTCGTGAGTAACGGTGTACACCGCACATGATAAACAGTTGGCGTCGCACGTGCTATAGCGTTGCAAAACCGAGTGAATGAAAAAGAATCATTCCTTTTGCATGTGGCGGGAGCAATTTTTGGGCCATTCCCTTTGCTTTGAGAGTTTCTAAACTCAAAGAATCTATGTTTTTAATCTTTTGTTTTTCTTATTCCTTCATTTGATCTGTTATTAGAATAGTTAAAAGCTGCTTTTAGTTTCGTCGGTCGTCATTATATCTAGTGGAAACTGGATCGTAGATTCAATTAAGAAATTTGAGATCATGCCTAAAGCGATTGCTGATATCATATTTCATGTAGTAAGCTTTTTCATATTTTTTTTTAATAGAAGTAGACACAAGTGTATTGATAATTTGATATCATACAGTGATTAATATATTCGTATCTTTCAATTTAACAAGTAGACACGAATATGTTGATATCTTATTTGCATAACATGAAAGTCTCATTTCCGTAGAAATGATTAAAAAAAATATAGATATTTAAAAAAGCAGTGTAAACGGATTTTGATAACTTGAAGTTCACGAGATCCAAATGCGGGTGAACGTTGGAACAGCTAAATCCACGTCAAAGAAGACGAAGCTTATGATTAAAAATGGACAGTTAAGATTCTCGTCCTATGCAATTTCCTAATACAATATACATTTAATCTGTCTCCCTCCCAAACTCGTTTAAATTCTTTCTGGTGGCTTGTAATCTATCCTGTTATTTTGAAATCGAATCGCAAGATAAGCTGGATTGGCTATGAAGTTTAGGTTAAGGGATTCAACGGGTCAAATTTATTTAAATATATATCTTTTGAAAAAATACAGGTCACTATTATTATATTATCAATTTGAGACTTTTTGTTTCGACTAAATACAAATTTGTTTGTTTTATTATTTTTTAGTTTCGACTAAATATAGTCGTATTTTAAACAGTTTATTTTGATAACGCTTAAATTGTTTACATATGAAGACTAAGAGTGTCACTTGTTGCTTTTAGTAAGTAATCTTTTCTTTGGATTCCTTTATATTTTCACAAAAAAATGAAGAGATGAGAGAGAGAGAGAGAGAATTTCAGCTAGAAAAGTGGGAAAACTATAGTAAAACAGAGAAATTCTTCTGGATTTTCCTTCCTTTTTGTCTTCTCTCCTATTTTCTTTTGTTATTGAACCATTTACATTTATCTATTATAATAAGTTGATAACCATCTTAAGCTGTCTCCACTACTATTTCTAATTTTGCTCTTACGAATCTCCCTAACTGTTGCAATTTTGCACGTATAGTACTAGATTTTCTGCATACTAGCTTCTGATAATGTATCTAAAGAGGTGGAAAACGATGTGATACGCTTCACTAGTGCAATCTAGGTGTGATGGGATTAGTCTGTGAAGGAGAAATGCAACCAGGTGCTCGTGACCCGCGTGAAGCTGATGTGAGCACCGAACAGGACTGGTTGGGACAAGAGAGATTATGGAACGTTGCGCTTGTCCACTACATATGCTCCCAACCTCTAGATGTTGGATCTTCGTTTGTTGTTTTAAAACACCAAAAACACTTACAATATTAAAAGTTTTTTGAGTAAAACAGAAAACAACGATAAAACATGATAACGTTTTGCCATCTATAGTAGAATTTAGACTAGTTTGTTGTCTAGTGCATATACTCAATACTTATTTAAAGAGAAACAAAAAGAGGCATGTCCAATTGTCCATATCCTGTTACACTTATTACCTATAATCTGTGTTCTAAAAGTCGGCCGAGTTGCCGAGTACTCGGTCCTAAAACCGCCAGAAGGAGGTTGCCGTTCCGACTTTTTAAAAACCGAGTAAAGATATGGTCAACCGTTGACCGTACTTTGACATTCACATTTTATAAAAATCAGTAAGTAAATGTTAAAATCTAGTGGGCTAAAGTTTGATTTTTGTTCACAATTAGCCCCAATTCGCCCAAAGTGTGTAAAGCACTTTTCATTCAACATAAAACCTTAAAAATGTAGTATATGACTTTTATATTGATGTATTATATATAAAAAAAGAATGTTATTTGGTAATAATGTAGTATATGATTTTCATGTTGATGTATTATATATAAAAAATTAAAAATGTTGGAAATATATAAAAATGTACTTAAAATTAATTTCCGAGTACTCTCCGATTTATTTCCGACTTTTAAGAAAATCGCTAGAAGGAGACGGAGCGCCCTAGTACCGCCTAACGAGTTTTAGAACACAGCCTATAATAAAGAACTTGATTTTCGCATTTGAAATTGACGGATGATGTCTTCCTGTCACTATATATCCCTGTGAGCTTTCGGCGGGAAATTCGAAATGACATTTGCAGATTTGCTTGTTTGTTTTTCCTGGTTAGTCTACTCAAGTTATTTCTTTATTTCTTTTCTTGAATTTCGAATCCAACCCTAACATATCACCTAGTTCAAATTCGGATAAACAGTAAATTACCCCAACCATTCATCTCTGTTCTTATTGTTATAATTTGACGAGGAAAATTAATATTTTGTTTTCTAATGTTTTGTGGAATGAAGGCAGAGAGAAAGACAGCTTCTGTAAAGCATATGCTGTCAGACACAACCCACCTTCACTTGCCTCCCTCACGCGCTCTTCCTCTCTCGTGTATTCCACTTTCTTAAACTCTCATTGCCCATAATTGGTTGTTTTTGTTTTATCAGCCAAATCTGATAAATCCCGTCGTAAATTACGGCAAAAAAATGGATTCCACCTCAGTTTTTGTTTTGTTATCACAATATCAGCTTCTCAGTGGTGTTTAACAGATTATAAAGCATTGATGAAGTTTATAATATTATAGTGGGGTGCTCTTAAGGTTCGACATTTGAGAGTAGACTCCGGAGACAAGTGAAGCAACTAGGGGCACAATTTTTGGCGTAACATTGTAGTAGTGTATAGTATTATTAAAATATTAAATGGGGTTTTTGTTTTTTAATTTTGTCGGCAAATATTAAATGAGTTTAAACTTTTGAGTTTCTTGGTTTAAATTAATAAAGATGTGCTTAGTCTATGTTTTCTTGCTTCTACATTCCAAAGAGAAAAAGAAGAAGAAGAGAAGAAGATCTGTTCCCGCTCTTTTGACTTAACGGTGCTGTCCTTTTCGGCAGGTAAAAGCTGGACCCCACCACCATTTCACTTCTATCTTTTTCTTTTTTTCTTTTTTTCTTTTTTTTTATCTTCTCACGCTAAATATCTTGGCGGGAAAATTATATATTATTATTATCCAATCCAGATTATAAAACGGTTTCGAATCCGTCGTTAACGGCTGTTATCACGGCTCGTTTCTCAGAGCAGTGACCATATCGAGAAGCAGTCGTTAAGTTTAACGGAGGGAGACGAAATAGAAAGATAACTGTTAAAATCCGTTACGTCAGACGGAGGGAGGAAGGGAGAGAGGGACGGATGACTGATTAAAATCTGCCGAATCTGCTGAAATGCCACGTCACCTAGACACCTATATTCAAATTTCCTGAGTGGTCACGAGATTTATATGACCGATTTTAAAAGTTAATTTAAAGAAGAAAAAAAAACATAGAAAAGAGAGGTCTTCAATGGTTACCAGAAAAAACCGAACAGACGCCGATTGGGTTTAACCTTTGGGCATAGCAAATAATGTATTAACGGAATTTAGTTGCAATTAGCGCCAATTTTTAACGTCATTCTCACTATTTTTACGTTTCATAAAATAGTAAAATACTAAAAGTAAAGTAATTATTCAGCAGTAAATGTGAGAGGGGAAATGATGAGAAGGATTTGCATGAGGAAAAGAGAGGAAGGCGTGATTATGAAGTGTTCGATGCTTTTGATTAGCCCACATAATTTTTATTAATTTTTTTATTATTAGAAAAGACTTGAGATTTTTATTTAGGGTAATTAAAGCATTTAGAAGACTATGGTCTATGAAGCTGTAAATGACAACTTGTTAGGGATTAAGTGGGTTCCCACCTGTATTTCTCATGCCCATACACATAAGTCATAACTCTACTTTTTTAATTACTCATAAAATATTAAAAATACAGTTTACATAATTTTAAAAGGGCTCTTGAAGGACATAAAAAATAATGAAATGGTTACAAAATACAAATCAAACTCTCCAGCCTGAATTTTAAATTTGATGTCATCCAACATTCTTTGAGTTAGCTTAAAGAGAGATGGAGATTATATATATTGGATGACATAAAAAATGAAGCAATCTATTTTTTTTGTTTCAAACATGAATCAATTTACTAAATTTAGTTAATATGAGATATTCTTAACAGTAGAAATTTAACTAAAATGGGATAACTGGAAAATGAAATATATTTTCTAATAACGCAAAATACATAGGAAAGACCGAGGGACACAGTTTTGATTTTCGTCCATCACGCATTAATTACGGATAATTATATGTAGAAATTAAAAAAAAAAAGAAACAGAAGAGATATTAAAGTGCTTTTGAGCTGTCTCATAGAAACCCTGAAACCTTAATAAAAGCAACCATGTCTTCAACATTCTCCATCTTCCTCCTCACTTGAATTTACACCACCACTCTCTCTCCCTCTCTGCTCTTTATCACCACTGTCTTCTTCTAATGTCTCGCCTCCCTCCTCCTTGTCTCTCCGTAAACCTCCCCATCATGGAGAAACACCTTTCTTCCGAGTTAACCCCGACCCGACTCGGTTTCCCGACCGAGTTCCCTTACGAGTTCGACTCTCCAGCTTTCTCCCCTGGTTTCACCTCCCCGGGAGACTCCACCGAGACGGAAGACGAGAGCAGCGACGACGAAGAAGACTTCCTCGCTAGTTTAACTCGCCGACTCGCTCCCTCGACTCAGCGTCTTCCTCCTCCTTCCTTCAACACCAAAACTGAGGTAAGAACGCCTCAAAGTCTCTTCTTTGTCGTCAAAATCAAAACCCTTTTAGCTGATTTAACCGTTTCGTCTCTCCAGGAGAAACGTCAAGTCGCAGCAGCGACTTCGCCACAGTCGACACTGAGTGGACTCGGAAGCTTTTCAAACTCCGGAAGCAGAAGCCCAGACTTTCCACCGCCACAAACGCACACGACGTCATTTCGTAAAGACAATGCCTGGGATGTGATCTCTGCCGCAGCTGGAGAAGTAGCAAGACTCAAACTCGGAAGCTACGAGTCTCATCTTCCCCGTCACAACGCAAACCCGAGTCCAATTCTCCGCCGTCAAAACGCTGCGTTTCAAGCTGAACAGCACTATCTTCAGCAGCAGCGTCTTCTTGACCAGATGTGGCTCTGTTCTCAGCCAAGAATCAATTCTTCGGAAAATCATGTCCCCAAGAGAGTAGTGAACGATGAAGTTACGTTTGAGAATCTGAGATACATGAGGCACAATGCTTTATCCAACGCTTCTTGGACTCCGCAGCACCCTGTAGCTCCCCTGAAACGTCCTTCCGCCGGCACCGGAGTTTTCCTTCCCCGGAGATACCCAGCAACCTCTTCCGATTCCCTTAGAAAACCAGGTAAGCTTGTAATTTAAAATATCTTCTTTTTCAGTTTTTTTTTGCTTTTTAATGTGTCAATGTTCTGATTATTGTGCGTCTTGTTTTCCAGTGACAGTCAACACAACAGCTATGTTGCAATCAAAGGTCAATCCTCCGCCAAATCTCAACTTTGATGAGTTTCCTAATCTTGGGTCAAGGCGTACCAAGTTGGATTACGGTAATGATTCAGTTACAGAGTCAGACAATGACTGAAGTAGATAAGTTTGAATATTTTGACCTTGTGTGTTGAAAGTTTGTTTTTATTCTTTTTATTTGAGCAGAGTGCATGTTAGCGAGAAGTTCACTACTGGCTCGTCATGGAAATTTCAGAGGAGTTGGTGGAAACGGTTGTTTGAATCAAGAGAGACGTCTTCCACATGATTGGATGTATTAAGTTGTTTGGTCTCAACAGCTTTGAAAAACATCAGGATGGTTTAGTTTTAGAAGTCGGTGGGTTGGTTTAGGTCTTAAATTGAGATTGTCATGTTATGATTATTACTAGTAATAAGGATTTGGTTATGAGAATAAAACTAGGTTTACATTCTTACATTATATAAATGTAATTTTTTAGTCACTAAGACAAGCTGCTCTCTGTAATTTTTTTGTTGACCTTGGGAGGGTTTAAGGAGGTGGTAGTGTTGAGTGGTTACTATTATTTTTTCACTTTAGTCAAAACAGGGGAAATTCAAAATGTGTGGTGTGGGGTGGTGGGGGATATTTTGTTATTTTGTATTAATTTTATGGTGTTTTCTGCTACTTTTGGAGCATCTAATGGGGTTGTAATAAAAATATCGGAATTATTTTGTTTGTTCTAATGATTATTACGATGTTAATTCTTCTCTTTAACCCTCGTTTAATTAGCAAGCACTTGAGATTTTGTTGTACTTGACAAATCTGACTGGGTACTTGAGCATGGTTTCGTATCCTAATAGATGTATGACGTGTACGCGTTGAAAATTTAAACTCAAAAACAAAAAGAAGAACAGTGGTAATGAACATGAACTACTACTGTGTATGGACTTCGATTATTGAAAAGAAATCAAATTGGGGATAGATGTAATTTTTTGAAAAATGTAATAAAGAAGCATAGTGACATGGAAACATGGAAAAAGCAAAAAAAGAAAGAGCAAAAGAAGATCTGGAAAGAGAAAAAAAGAAAAGCGGAAGAGAAGGGTTGCGTAGGCGTGAAGCAGTGGGCAAGTATGCACAGACTTTGAAATACGGAACACACCTTTTCATTTTCCTCTCTGTAAATTCGATCTATTATTATTGGAGACCTTATTATTATCTACTGTATATATGTGAGATGCAAGATTGTATGTCCTCAAATTTTTCTAAAACTTTTTTTGATGTAGTATTTAAACTTACAGTCGATCGGTCCTACGTCTTTAGTATAAGTTTCACTTTAGAAAAAGGTGAAAATGCTATCGATACTAATAACATTTTTGTGTATCCTAGCAAAAACATTTTTGTGTACGAATACAATTAGCGGATTATTATCGTATGTTAAGAAAACTTAGAAAAGATTATGTTAGGATCAAAATATAAGAATCCATCATTCAACGGACTGTGTCCAAATAGTAGATCATATTGACCAGAAAGGAAATCAAAATACAACTGTATGTTAGATTCGATATGGTGTTAGGTTTAACGGAGAAGAGCACTTCTACATACCAGAGAGAATCAGAATTCACAAGTCACAAGACTCACAACTAATGAAAATACAGTTCATGGTTTAACCAGAATAAATGCTAGATTATTCCCCCTCACAAAATGAAAAAAACTATAGAAGACCCGAGAACCAAATTTACAAGTTGTCAAATATTACAGAAAAAAGCCCTGAAATTTAGTCTTCTTCTACTAATGATTGTTGTTAAAAAAAAAAATCTACTAATGATTCATTCGAAAAAGAGAAAACTAGTTGCATTACCTGTGTGTCAACGAAACAGAGCTCGAATTAGAAAGATATCAATGATTATTAGAAAACCACTTATTATTATCCGTAATTATTTCATTTTCAAATTTTGAACATTTTCAATATCTGGTGGTTGCTCTGTGTGTAGGTCCATATTTCAATTCAAATTCAGGATATAAATAGTATAGTTGAGTAGTATGTTCAAAGTAATCTAAATATACTAACCATTTTGTATTTTCAGTTTCGCGCTTTTAATTGGTATAATCTTGTTATTTAGAGAAGTGATATGCACATACTTGATTACTTTGAATATCTGTTTGGTCGTTTCAAATTTTAGAAACTGAGAAAAAGAAAATTAATAACTGATATGATATATATATATATATATATATATATATATATGTGTGTGTGTTGAGAGCGTTGATTGTTGCACAGAATCCGCATAAATGCCAATAGCAAATTAGCAATCACACTTCTTGTTCGACACTGAACAACAATGCTTTATGTGCTACACTACAATACACCCGTATTCGGAATTTCAAAGTCTCTGAGAGATGAAGACAATGCCACAAAATTCTAAAGACAAAAGAGTGAAAACATGTGTTTGGTTTGGGAGATGCGAATCCACGCAGCTTTCTCCTTTGACTCGGTCAAACTTCGAGTTTAATGGTGTTATACAATTTACTATGTTTTGATTTTTATATTGTTATGTGATACATACTCCAAGTAATGTTTAGTCTGTTACTTTCCAAATAATGATGTTACAATACCTACACTAGCCGTATTTTTTAGTCGTTTGTCATTAGTCTTTGTAGATTTGACCCCATCCTAATAATCATCCAAAAATATACTACAAAATCATGGTAAACTTTTCATGCAAAATCATTCCCAAACAAATTGTAAGCACTAAGCACGCATGTATTATCTATATATTCACCACAATCGGGGGTGTATGATTAGGAGTGCTCATTTAGACCTAACCTAATTATTCAAAATAAAACTCATTGTAGAAAAGAGAAACTTGGTTCTTTATCCGAGATGTACTAAAATTTGAACTCAAGTAAATTTTGCAAACAATCTTAAAATATCAATAAAAAAAAATCGGGGGTGTATGATTAGGAGTGCTCATTTAGACCTAACCTAATTATTCAAAATAAAAATCATTGTAGAAAAGAGAAACTTGGTTCTTTATCCGAGATGTACTAAAATTTGAACTCAAGTAAATTTTGCAAACAATCTTAAAATATCAATAAAAAAAATCATACTCACATTTGTATTTTCATTTTAATTATAAATTTCCAAGACTAAATCAAATTAAACATTTCGATAACTTAGCCAAAGCAAACGAGTATTAAACTCTTGATTCAGATTAATCTCGTGTCTAGCTAATTGGCTTAACAATTTTTTCGAACCAAACAAACATAAAAAACGAACCATAGTATAGTAGTGAAAATAGCCACTCCTATGAGTCTAGAACGGTGGAGGCTTATTATTATGTTTTTGGTAGGTCATCATTGTTGATAAACAATTTATCGAAAATATAATAATTATTCAACCATTATGTCTCTCAGAGGAAGACAAGCCGTCCATAAATATGGCAGCAGTGTGAGTAAAGCAAAAGCCATACTCAATCTTCCTTATCTGATTTCGATTTTATCGTGTAATTTGTATTCCTTTCTACGCAACTGGATAATGTTGTTTTACTTCATTTTTATTTTTGATAACTAAATTTAACAGTAATACTGTACTATGATTGCAAACGGAGAAACATTCTGAAATAATCCAAAATAGTAAGTTTTCTTTATCACAGCAAAGTTAAAAACATAACGATATTATTATAGACTTGTTTATGGATGCAAAACCAAAGAAATTAGGAACACACATATTGTGAGTGATAGTTTAATGGACTTTATGTCGAAGCATAGCAAGACCTTTTGTGGGCTTTTGGAGGCCCAAACTATACATTCAAAGAACTCACTTGCTCTTCTTTCCTGATTATGTTAACCCAATAATTGCAAGGAAAGTTTGAAACCAAAATGTCTGAAAAACATAGAATCATGCACTTAACCATCAATATACCACTAAAATTCCCACTTTTCATTCAAAATATTAACCAGGAAATGCTGGATTAGTACTCGTAAAGTTTCAATATTCTATGATCTGAAAAAGAAAACAGAATCAACAACGAAATATTGAATGACTGTTTTTGTCTCTAAGTTAGCTCAAAGCCCTTAAATCTTGCCTCAGCATCTGACTTGATACACCATTCTTCACCATTCCAGCAAATTTCGGGCGAGCGTATTCATCAGCTTTCAAGCTCTGTTCCACTTCTCTAAAATAGCTCTTGTTCAGTCCACTCCTTATCCAAGCAACATTGTTCAGATCGGTAGCAATAGAGATCAACTCTTTATCCAAAACCGCAGAAGAAGGCTCCTCATAATCCACAAACTCTGGCCCCATCAACGAGTTGCGTGACGACGACACTATGCAGCAACCGTGACCGCATTTCGAAGGGATGTTGGGTTCATAACAAAGAGACTGAAGGAATTTACCAGCCAACGAGTCAGGTCTTGAAGCTTGAACCAAAGGTCCTTCACATGGAGCCACATGGTTGTGGTGGTTCATGTATCCAGGCTTGTAGACACTAAACGCACCCATTCGAGCCACAGGGCGATGAAGAACATCAGGCTGTCTACTACACTTTTCTTCCCGAGGCTTGTTTGCATCATCATCATCAACTTTATCATCTCTCTGCAAATGTTCGCTGGAGTATGCGTCCGATATCTTTCTGACCTTTGCTTCATTGATGTAAGGAGAAGCCATTGTGTTAGACATCCATAGCTCTGCGTGTTTGCGTTTAAGCGCCGAGTTCCAGTGGTTCTTGATGGCGTTATCTGTTCTCCCAGGTAAGAGCTTTGCAATCACACACCATTTGTTCCCGTGAACCTCGTGTGCAGACATTATCATCTGATCCTCCTCATCTGCATTTAGAATCATAAACAGTTTGATTCAAAACTAAGAGAATGCTAAAACGAATACCATTTCATAAACAAGACAATCTCTTTAAGTAAGCTTTAAGAACATAAGAATCTGATACTTCATATTCAGCAGATAGCAACAAAGATCACCATCTAAAAATGAGAAGAAACCTCCAAATTATTCTAAATCTTTTCCCCTAATGGTTACAAACATCACTTTTTAGCTGTTTTTCACCTCAGAAGCTCCTTCAATGGTTTCACAGGACATTTAGAATCATCGTTGCAAATCATATTCTTTCAAAATAAGCTAAAAAACGTCCACCATTTCTCATTCCTATTGCTGAGAGAAACGTATACGAACCAAATCCACTAAGATCCTGAATCAACAATAGCAATATGGCAAAGGAATTTGAAAATCAAGGAGAATCCAGAAATGATCGAGAGAGAAGTGTAGTTAGGGTTATTTACCGGTGAAAGGTTTCTTTTTGAGGCAAGGATCGAGCTGATTACACCACCGCAATCGGCAGGATTTGCCAGACCGACCTGGGATCCCACGGGAGATCAGAGTCCAGTTTCTCGGCCCTAGCTGGTTCACAAGCCTAGTCAGAACCGCATCTTGCTCCGGCGACCAAGGTCCCTTCACCCCCTTCACTTTTCTCCTTCCTCCGCCACCGCCGCCGTTGTTCGAGTCACCTGCTGCCGCTAACTCGGCGAGCTCTGCATCAACTGCAGCGTTTATCGCATCCGATTCATTAACAAAAGCCGTAGACGGATTCGCCGGAGAAATCGGCCGAGAGATTTCTCCGTTCATCGTGGAAGTAATTTTGTTTGACTTGCTTCAGAAAAAAACAAAAAATCGAAATTTTGAAAAAAATGTGAATCGGTCCTCTCTCTCGAGAGAGAAGGTCCCGTACCTGACAGCAGCCTAACTGCAACAGTCGAGTGTTGAAATTACCTTCTTACCCTTTTCGAAACCGTTTTGGTATCATTGACCTTTGGGTTTTCGGTCCCAGCCCCCCTACTAGTCACAATAAATCGGAATCCACCCAAATTTTCCGTCTCTGTCTATTTCCCTCCCCCAACAACTTATTTTTCTATCGATTCCCCCATATCAAATAAAATTCTCTAATCTGCATTTTAACCTACAAAAACACGTTTCTGAGACAGTGATTGCCCGATAAAAAACCCGCTTTGTCTCACGCTTAAACCCGTTCTATCATTACAAATAAGAACGACGAGGAACAGACGAAATCGACGAGTTCTAATCCTCCAATGGTTGGTCGATTTCAGTTTTCTACTCTTTTATAAGAATCCTAATTCGCTTTCCCCAAATCAATTTCGATTTTGAAATCGATTTTGAAGTTTTGTGTGAAGTGAAAGTTAATTGTCGGGTTTGGTAATGATAGATCGGGTTTAAGCGTGAGACAAAGTGGGTTTTTTATCAGGCAATCACTGTCTCAGAAACGTGTTTTTGTAGGTTAAAACGCAGATTAGAGAATTTTATTTGATATGGGGGAATCGACAGGAAAATAAATTGTTGGGAGGGAATAGACAGAGGCGGAAAGTTTGGGTGGATTCCGATTTATTGTGACTAGTAGAGGGGGGCTGGGACCGAAAACCCTTGACCTTTTGATCTTCCCAATTAGTATTAACGGAATTAAAAGGAAAATGTTATAATGAAATTTTAAGGAAAAAACAGCAATTCCTTAAGAAGTTACAAATTGTTGGGTAAAAAACAACTAGAAGGTGTCCTTCTCTATGAACCAGTCGTTTTGAAGATACCAAATTCTGCTGTGAATGATTCTTACTATTCAAAGAAAGATGTTTATGGAGATAAAAGTAACCAGTGAGGTATAACAACACAGTCTTAATATCTAGTCTTTGTAATCACAAACATTTCCTCTACAAGTTTCAAAATCGTTAAACCAAAAGGTCACGTACCAAATCAAGCAATCATTCCTTTAGAATGTTACATACTCAATAGAACCAGCTGATCAAATACTTTTGATGGTATAGACAGAGATTTTTTATCTAAACTCTAATGGTAGGAAATTAAAATTGTTGGAAAGTGAGTGGCTTTTTCAATAACCGTCGTATGATGTATATTGTTGAATTTGAAATCAATGAACGAAAAACAATCATCTTATAAGATGTAATAAGTTTGAATTATACATAATGTAGCATATATACTGATGAATGATGGTACGGTTATAGAGTAAGAAAGAGAGGTAGTGAGCGACAAGAGCACTACTGTGGAACTGGAGTTTTTGTCTTACCAAGAGCCGACATTTACATATATCATGTTAACCACACTAACATATTTCCAAATGTCTCACGTTTGTATGTGTTTCTTACTAGTAATATATATTTCATTTTCATGTACTACATATATCGAGGTAATGCTCAAGTAATAAAAAAAAAAAGAAGAAGAAATAAATTCGAGTCCAGACCACGCATGCCCAATTTACCCTACCATCTGCATGCTCTATATGCATGTATGCGTCCACAAGCACATTATACACGATCGATCACTTCTGACAGTGACTAAATTTGTATTATTTATTTCTGAAGACCCCATAATCTTGCATTGCACTGTCTTCTTTCATTTTGAAAACATTGGTTCATAATTTTTAAGTAATTGTAGTAGTCTTCCACTTTTCCTCATCGTACATGCATAAACACGAAAACGAATTAAGGGTGTTCAAATTCACTGGCATATTACTCTATCGGTTTATCCTATAACATACTTAATTTTGGAGGCTTCACTGATATTGGTTTGCATGTTAAATTTCAAGAAAGTGAATATTTTAGATTGGCTTGCATGTTAAATTTTTGAATGGAGAAAATATCAATCTTATGTCAACAAGCCAGTTAATTATTGACATGTATCATAACAATGCATAATTTATATTCTGATATCATGTCTAGACAATAGAAATGCATTGGTCCATGTATATATTAACAGTCATATGATATGACCATATCTTTGACATGAATCTGATTATATGGTTGCGAGTTTAAACGCAATACAGATTATATTTTATGTTACAAAGTATCGTATAACAGCTACAGAAATCAAATATCATTTGAGGTCATGTGTGAATCAATATGGCATTCACCACTCTAATCATATTTGAAGAGTCGGTGCGAAGAGTTTTGTGTCGAAAGAGAAGGGGGCATCGATGGACCACACTTCTTTTTGTATTATTAAAATAAGCCAACGAATTTTATAAAGACAAAATAAATAATAGTGTCACCCAACTTGTGGGGAATGTCTATTTGGTATAGCCTGTTTTGTTCGGAAAGTTGATTTCGCAAGTAAAACCTCTTGCCTTTAAACGAAAGAGAGGGTAAATATTTAGCTATTTGACTCATTTCTGATCATTAATAGAGAGTTGAAATTTAAGAGAGACACATACAAAAAAAAGATATCTATAGTCAAGTTAGTTAATTGATATTGAGTTAGTGGTGAGAGATGTTTGAGCAAATGGTAACCCAAAAATGGAAAAAATAATGATGAGAAAAAAGACCTTGGAAGGTCAGAAGGTGGAAACTAAAAGATAAAAGTAGTTATATTATAACATTAAGAGGAACATGGTCATTGACAAAACCATATTGCTCTCAACTTTTAGAGTGGGAGAAAGAGAGAGAGAGAGAAGAAGAAGAAGAAATTATTCATAGCAACTAGAGGAAGGATCCAAAGGGATCGCATTGATCCTAAATAAGGCAAATTCTCCTGATTATTGTATTAGCTTAACAATCCCAAATTTTTTTGCTTGGTTTTGGATCATGCCATCTCTTTGGATTCATCCTTCGGTAGCTTCCTCTTCGATCAAAAGGTTATATTAAGCTATGGGATGTAGCGAGTGGAAGTTTGAAGGTCACGCTTACTGGACATATTGGGCAAGTACGAGGCCTTGCTGTCAGCGACACACTTACCTACATGTTCTCTGCTGGTGATGACAAGCAAGTCAACTGCTGGGACCTTGTGCAGAACAAGGTTATCCGATCTTATCATGGTCATTTGCATGGCGTCTACTGTTTAGCTCTTGATCCAACTTTGAACGTGTTACTATCCGGAGGGCGAGACTCTGTCTGCAGGGTATGGGATATCCGTGCGAACACGAAAGCTTTTGCACTCTCGGGACATGACAGTGACGTTCTCTCCGTTATCTCCCGTCCGACTAGCCCACAAGTTATCACCGGGTCTGCGGATTCAACCGTTAAATTCTGGGACCTCCGGTATGGCGGCAGGGCAATGACGACTCTAACGAATCATAAGCGTAGTGTCCGAGCAATGGCTCTCCATCCGAGAGAGAATGCTTTTGTTTCCGCATCAGCTGACAACATCAAGAAGTTTAGCCTTCCTAGGGGAGAGTTGTGCCACAACATGCTCACTCATCAGAAAGCCACGATTAACGCAGCGGCTGTGAACGAGGATGGAGTGTTGGTCACTGGAGGTGATGCTGGAGGCTTATGTTTCTGGGACTGGAAGAGTGGTCACAGTTTCCAGCGAGCAGAAACTATTGTACAGCCTGGTTCGCTGGAGTGTGAAGCCGGTATTTATGCCGCGTGTTACGATAAGACCGGTACAAGGTTGGTGACGTGTGAAGCAGACAAGACCATAAAGATGTGGAAGGAAGATGAGAATGCGACTCGTGAAACTCATCCTCTCAACTTCAAACCTCCCAAAGTCATCACACGCTTCTAAAGTCTCCTCAGTCTCTCATACCTCTCTAATTATCTCTCAAACTCTCTAGTCAGACTAATCACTAATCTCACCAATAATAATCTGGTTATTGGATATATATTTTTCTTACCAGTTTCTTAATTCCCCTAGATAAATAAGAAAAAGAAAAAAACAGCACTGTAATTTCTTTGTTAAGTATTGTTTTAATACATCTACTTCTAAATTTCACACAAAAAAAAAATGTTTGGTCTATGAACTTATGATTGGTTCGTTCGTTCAGTTTCCATGAGGTTTCATCATCATCATCATCATCCATCTTTTGAATCAACATGATGTCGATTATTCATGTCTGATAATAATAATCCGATTTCTCCGTTTTCTATCCTACTTCAATAACCCTACGATCGGGTATAAACGTCGATTACTCGAGATGCATAGATTGTTAACATGTATATATAATGCAACTTTTATCGTATCATAACAAGGACAACGCATAGATTATATTCTGATAACATGTCTAAACAATAGAGATGCATTGGTCCATGAATATATTAACAGTCATATTATATGACCATATATTTGACATGAATCTGATTAACGCAATACAGATTATAGTTTAGGTTACAAAGTATCGTATAACAGCTACAAAAATCAAATATCATGTGACGTCATGTGTCAATCAATATGCCATTCACTACTCTGTCTCTAATCATATTTGAAGAGTCGGTACGAAGAGTTTTGTGTCGAAAGAGAAGGGGGCATCGATGGACCACACTTCTTTTTGTATTATTAAAATAAGCCAACGAAATATAATAAAGACAAAATAGTTAATAGTGTCACCCAAACTTGTGGGGAATATATAATGGGATCGCATTGATTTCGGAAAGTATTAACACGGTGAGACTAGAGGAAAGTATATAATGGGATCGCATTAATTATTAGTGTCACCCAAACTAGAGGAAGGATCCAAAGGGATTGCATTGATCCTAAATAAGGCGAATTCTCCTGATTTTATTATATAAAGCTGGATGCGCGCGATGTGGTTGCAACACGTAGGATTTTTATAAAATTTAGAATTGCGACATGTGTCACTTTTAATGTTATGTCCATCAAGATCGTGACACGTGTATTAGGGGAAAAATTTAAAATTTAAAAATTTCTAGAAAAAGGATAATTAAAAGAAATGAAAATTTAATCTATTATATTAAAAAAAAGGAAATTTAATATATTATATTAAAAAAACGAAATTTAATCTATTATATTAAAAAAACGAAATTTAATCTATTATATTAAAAAAATAATAATATCCTAACAGAAAAAAGTTTTATATTCAGCAAATTTATATTATCAAAACACATATAATTTTCTAAATCCTATTAGTACATGGAATAAGTACTTAAACTAAAAATCCTATAGCAACATGGAATATGTTATATGAACACCTATAAATACAAAGTTACAGCAGTCTCTTTTTTCTCATTCACAAACTCATCAAAGCAAATTCATCAAATTTCTCTAATTCTCTTTTTCTAATTTAAAAGTCATATCTTTGAAAATTCAAAAAAATAGTGGAGATTATTTGACTCTAGCAATTGGATCGAAATCGAGATTTATGTTTTAAATTTTTTATGTTTTTGTTTTACAGATACAATTGGCTATATTATTAAAGTGGATAAAGGTCATGTACGTGGTAAAACCACTCCACTGCTACGAAAAGTGGAACTGACTCTCTTGCTTGAAGGGTAAGTAAATATTTATATCCAATATTTACTTACGAGAGTAAGTTTTCTGAACTATATCCAATCTTATTATTATATATTCATATGTTAGTTCATAAAGTCAAGGTGTTTAATTTATAGTATTAGCTAACATATCCTTCTGTTTTCTGATTATCCAAACAGAGAAAAAGGGAGGCAACGTGATACAAGAAATTGGGAGATTGGGATCGTGTACCTGATATTTCTGAAATACAATCAGTTTGTGTGCATCGGCATCGACGGAGCATCACCTTCTTTTGTATTTGTATTTTCAAATGTCTGGGTTGTTTTTATATGTGTAAAACCTGGAACAAAAGAGAAGGATAATGAAATTACAAGTTTTCGAGAAACAAGGAACAAGCATATAACCATCTTTGTTTTAACCTGCAAGGGAAAATATCAAAAGACGATCTTTGATGAAAAATGCTACTGCTAAAATAAAATACGCTACTTTAAAGAAAAGTGCAAGCTTTTCTAGAAAAACAATTTTCCAATACGAACCCATTGATGCTTGACAAAACCAAAATTGTGAATTCGAACAAACACCTAACTTTCAGGATATCCATGGTCTTAATAAGGAGCGGAGGAATCGTAAACTCCATGCGGCGCCGACGGTTGAAGAAATCCAGTGAACGGAGAAGAATTCTGCGGCGGCGGGTCACTGGAAAGACCTTGAAAGGTCGCTGATTCATCAGCAAATCCTATGCTTTCAACCTTTTATCTTCTTCTCCATGACCCATCTTTCTTCAGTTTCCTCTTTATCAGTCAGATCGGAGAATTTCCAACGGGATGAAAAGAAGGATGGAAAAGAGCGATGTCTTTCTTTTCTCTTTTTTTTTTTTTAATTTTTCTTAATCAATTAAATTATTGCCTTATAGTCCTGAGATAACATATTATTCCACAATTGGACCCCATAGTTATTATTAAGAGTTTTAAAACCGCCGACACAGCATTATCTACCAACAATCTCCATCGTTTTTATTTTTTGGTGGTATATATTTATTTTTAAAAATTATGATAGTCTATGACAGAAAAAAAAAACGAATTAATAACATTATCCTTAAAAATAACAAATAGCTGGATGCGCGCAACGTGGTTGCGACACATAAGATTTTTATAAAATTCAGGATCGCGACACGTGTCACTTTTAAGTTTATGTATGTTAAGATCGTGACACGTGTCATAGGAAAAAATGAGAATTTAATATAATTTTTTTTCAGAAAATGTTAATTAAAAAACGAAATTTAATATAATCTATTATATCAAAAAGGAAAAAATAATATTTGTTATATCCAAAAAGAAAAAAGTTTCTCATTCATCAAATTTATATATTAAGATTGAAAATAATGTAATAAATAAAATCCTATTAGTATATGGAATAGGTACGTAAACTATATTTCCTATAGCTGCATGGAATATGTTATATGAACACCTATAAATAGAAAGTTACAATAGTCTCTTTTTTTTTTTCTCATCACAAACTCATCAAAGTAAATTCATCAAATTTTTCTGATTCTCTTTCTCTAATTTAAAAATCATCTCTGAAAGTTCAATAAATAGTGAAGATTATTTGATTCTAAGTCAACTGGATCGAAATCGAAATTATCGCCGTACTATAGTACGTGTTATATAATAAGATAATTATATCAACTGAAGTTCACGTTGCGCGCATCCAACTTTATATAATAAGATAATAAGATTATATAAATCTATATATATAGTCATAACATTGATTAACATTAAATTTTTACTTTTGTTTCAAATAGGAAAACACAATTTAAGTTTTTGTACATGATTCACTACTTCAAAATTTCGGAGATCAGATCGCCAAAGAAAACATCATCTAAATTCAAAATTTTAGTGTGCAGTCTGCTGTTCAAAAATCTTATAAAGTTTCCAGCCATTAGTTTTTCATAAAAGTGACAGAAAGAACGAAAATCAAAATTATTAGCCAAAGTGCCTGCCAAATTCTTTGGAAACAATTTCGGCTTCAGACGTATAAGGATTTTGTCAACCTTCAATATCTCTTATACGGTATTGTTTTCATGATAAAATTTAATTATTTTCCATATTTATCATGCAATGTTCCATGTATTGTTTATTTCAAAAATCGTATAATAAACCCGCGTATAGGCGGGCCTTAATCTAGTTGTTATATATTAGCTAAACAATCCTAATTTTTTCGCTTGGTTTTGGATCATGCCATCTCTTTGGATTCATCCTTCGGTAGCTTCCGTTTAGACCAGATGGTTTTAAATTAACCAGCCAGACGCTTCCTTCGGAGACCTTGGTGGCTTAAAGATTCTCCCACGGTTTGATCTCAAGTCAACAATGCATGAACTCTCTTCTTACTAAGAAAATATCTGAAAAATATCTTCCTCACCCCTCGAGAACTAAGCATGCCAAGAAAATCTGTTTCTTCTATTCATCGAATTTAGGGATCTAATTTCCAACGAAATTAGCTGGAAAAACTTTATTGATTAATTATGAATATTACTACGTATCGACATCTCTAAGAGACTTCATCTGAAATTAGTTTTAGTTGGTTAAACTTACCCTGCAAATACCTCCACATATGGCCATTTCTGATAACTTTTGTTTCTTCAGTTACATACATGGTGTGTATTAGTGCATTCGCATATGTCTGTCATATCAATTTTTTCTCCAATTATATTTTCTCAACTGCCCAACTCTTATTGTGTCAGTCAGTTTCTTAGTTTGGGTTTACATGGGCCGTTAAGTTGTAATCCTTGTTGCCCATTTTGGGCTTTTAATACAATCTAAAGACCCCAGAATAAAAAAAGGAAAAAAGAAAAAGTATTATAAATACTTAAGACCCTCTATTCTCCTCCATCTTCGACACCCTCTAGAAAGACCTAAATCCCTAGATCTGAAAAATATCTTCCTCACCCCTCCGAAACCTAGCGCAGTCGCATCTTCTCAAATTGCCCATGAAGAGATCCGCCACCGAAGTAAGATCTTCTTCGATGATCCGTATGGCTATCTTTAATCTCTGTTTCTGGAATTGAAATATCTGATTAGATCTTTTGTAACTTAGGATCTGGAATTGATCGATAGTCATCAAGACTTGCGAGAAAGCAGGTAAAAATTGTTTGTTTTTTGGTTTAGATGTGAGATGTGTGTTGTTGTGATGATCTAATATGATCACGTGCTGACGTGGCGATCAGCTGGAGAGAGATGGCCATCTTTTATACTCCCTCCGTTTTTTTAAAATGAATTTTCTAGCAATTATGTGTTGTTTCACAAAGATAATTTTTTTACCTTTTTGAAGCACTTTTTCAGTTTTCAAGAAACATTGATTGTATTTGTTGGATTTTTATTGGTTTAAAATTATAAAAAGTTGTTTTATTGCAGAAATCTATGCATTTATGATTGAAAATCAACTTTTTCTTAATCTGTGTGAAAAAACTAGAAAATTTATCTTTAAAAAACGGAGGGAGTAGTATAGAACTAGGAGAGAACCCGCGCAATGCGCGGGTTTATTAAACCAAATATTTTTAATTTAATTATTCAGAACATTAGATTCGAATATATCATTTGTTTTTTACTCGAATATATTAGATTCTGTAAGTTTTGCATTTTGTTTTTTTTCATATAGTTTTAAAATTTAGTTGTTATTTACGTGAAATCTTATATAGACTCATAGTGAATAGTTTCATATGTTTTTTGTTCTTTTATACAATAATTTATCGACTGGAGTTGAGTTCTTCTAATTTTCCTTATACTAACAATCATTATAGATTGATTATTATCCTACAGACTCATAGATAATAATAATTGCAATCCTTTTTAAAAGGAAATGAAATGAGCTAATTAGCCAGTAAGCCCATTTAAAGCTACCATGGAAACGAAGAGGTCCGATAAATAATCAAGCCCATCAAAACGAACAGCATTACACATAATTTTGATTTAGATTTTTTTTTTTAACGAAAACGACGTCGTTTTGGTGTAAGACGAAAAAAAAAAAAAAAGCGCAAAACGACGTCGTTTTGGTGTTAGGCGGAAAAAAAAAAAAAAGTGCCACGTGTCAAGGCTTGAGAATGTCCAAGCCTTATGTAGATTTGCCTTCATTATAACCTAACCGTCCATTCAACTCTTAGAAATTCCCTTTCACTGTATCAAATCATCTAATAGCTTTCAAGTACCTTTTCCTCTGACAAGTTGTAGCCATGGTGCTTTCTTTGTATTTAAACTACCAATTTTTGCTCATTTTCCTCCTTCCCACCAAACAAGTCCATATGTGATTGGCATTTTCATCTCCGGGCTTCTTATTGGCGTCATATCTCTGCGTATGATCTTTAGTCTTGAATATCTGTAAAATGTACAAAAAAAAGACAGAATCTTTTGCTTATATAGAGACGCTTCCAAGTGTTTGACCTATCTAACGCCGATTCTATTCTCTGCCTGACCAGAAGAGGATCAAAACCATCGGGAATCGGACAGCCGTTGATGTCCCACAACACCGACGTTTTCTAAGTGTTCATCATCTCAAAATCGCAGTTATGTCTTTACTCTACAAGGTAAACACAAACATCAAGGCACCTTCTTATCAAAATCACCGAACCCGTTTATTGTAAGAGGGCCACGCCGACAATAACTACTTGTGGTTGGTTTATTGGGCCCATATAAATATAGAGGACAAAAGAGCGAAGTTAGAAGTTAGAAGCATTACCAAGACACAGAAATCCGACTTTGGTCGGCCTTTGTTGTGTTTCAATCTAAACACTCAAGAAAAAAAAAAGGAAAAAAGAAAAGAAAAAGTATTATAAATAATTAAATACCTCCTCCTTCTTCTTTGACACACTACCTAAATCCCTAGAACCGAAAAATATCGTTATTATTGCCTCACCCCTCAACTTGTCCATGGAGGGGGGATCCGCCACCAAAGTAATATCTTCTTCGAGCATCCTTATGGCTTTCTTTAATCTCTGTTTCTGAATTTGAAATATCTGATTAGATCTTTTTCAAAACCTAGGTTCCGGAATTGATCGATAGTCATCAAGACTTGCGAAAAACCAGGTAAAAATTGTTTTTTTTTTGTTTTTGTTTTTTGTTTAGATGTAACATGTGTGTTGTTGTGAGGATACTAATATGATCACATGTATTGCAGTAGAAGCACTGTGAGCAGGATTTACGTTGAGGGATACGACACTTGGCTTTCTGGCTATGAGTTGGCCATCTCTATGAAAAAACATTTCGCTTCATGTGGACATGTGATACATGTTCACATTCCCGGATACTCTCGTGGCTCTAGTCTCACCAGCGGCGTCAGCAGGTTTGTGGCGTCTTTGTCTTTCCTCAAACATGTTTTCTTAGCTTTTTTTAAACTCTTGTTTTTTTTGTTTTTGTTTTACAGATTTGCCTTGATTTATATTCGTGGAGAAGGTGCACAAGACAAGGCGTTGGAACTTAGTGGTGCAAGGTTGGAACTTATTGGTGGAAGTTACAGCAGCGGAGAAAACAAGTTGGTCGTTAAGCCTTACCCGTTCCGTGCCAAAAACCCTGACCCTGACTTGGCTCGTGAGTTGGCTCGTACGAGAGACGATGACAAACTGGAGCATCGCATGTAAATTCTTCTTTCTTTCTCCATTGATTTTCTTGTCTATGTTTTGTTGATGATGATAATATTATCTCAATCTAATTATTATAGAATGCGTGTTGATGGATATGACACTTCGCGTTCCGTGGAGTATCTCAAGAGCAAGCTGTTTAAACATTTCTCTCGATGTGGAGAAGTCGTGTTTGTACAAGTTCTCAAAGAAAAAGAAAACGAAGCTGTTGCCAGGAGGTTTGTGGCTTCTTCCTCCAAAATATGTTATCAAATGCTAAACAAAGAAGAAAATGATGTGTTTTTGTTTGTTGCTTTTTGATAGAGTCGCTTACGTTGATATGACGGGAATACACGCAATAGAGAAGGCGCTGCAACTTAGATGTAATGTTAAAGGATTGGAGAATGTTAAAGTTTTTGAGGTTGCAAATCCTCTCAAAAATGGAGCGCTATTCTGTGGTGGGCCAATCATGACGTGGGATCCAGTGTTTGATGCTACAGCTCCTGAGGATCCCAATCTCCCTAAGCCTCCTTCTCCGAGGTTTAGTAAGAGACCTTCGATAATCCGTTACGCACCTGAGGATCCATCTCTCCCTAAGCCATGGAAAGCTCTTGTGGATTGCAGCACTGGGTTTAAGTACCTTTGGAATACAGAGACTAATGTTACCCAGTACAACGCACCTGATTCAGATTCAGATTCAGATTCAGATTCAGAGACTGAGGATACCCAGCTCAACTCGTCCAGTAATTACAATCTCCGTAAGCGTAAGTGCACTCTTGCATGATTGGCTTTAATCCTAACAAATACATGAACTTGATTCTTGATTCTTGTTCTTGATTCTTTGTAGCAAAGTAAAACCTCTCATTAATTTGTGGTTTTTTTAGGGGTAAGAAGATAACTACGCTTCCAAGTGTTTGACCTATCTAACGCCGATTCTATTCTCTGACGGACCAGACGAGGATCAAAGCCATCGGGAATCAATCGTTGGACTTACATAATCATGAGACGATAAAAACCGTTTTAATTAATACATAAATTTTTGTTTTAGTTGCATGAATATATATACTCCCTCTGTTTTTGATGATGGTTATATACATAAATTATGATGTGACGTTATTGTTCATTGATACATAGTGGTTATCAATGGTCATGTGAACCTTATCAGTTAATATATAACCTTAATATATAAGGTTATAATGATATAATTATGTTAGACATGTTGTGAGAAAAGGAGAAGAGAAATGAGCTTATTCATTCATTTAGAGGTGATGATCCTATATATGTAAGGTTACAAATAGGGTTTATGTAGAGTTTATGTTAGAGAATAAGATGGGCCGATTGGCACCTTCAAATGAAAATCACCGAACACGTTTATTGTAGAGGGCAACGCCGACAATAACTACTTGTGGTTTATATGGGCCGATATAAATATAGAGGACAACAGAGCGAAGTTAGAGGCATTACCAAGACACTGAAATTCGGCGAAGTGTCCACACCTTTTAAGGGACTTTTTTGGTTTGCATACAAAGTTAGGGTTTGATTGCCAACGTTTGGACCGCTTTCTGTGGGTCAGACACAACTGCTATAGAGCTATCTGTTGTTAACAGAATCTTCAAGCTAAACGAGCCTCAGCCTGATTTTGTAGTTATAGTGAAATGAGGAAGCCTTTGATTGATACCTATGTGTAAACCTTGTTTTTTTTTTTGGGTTTTACGAAATGTTTTGTGCTTTAGATGTTTTCCAAGAATTAGCTTCTACTCAAGTCTTTACGGAGCATTAACTTCCATTTTTTTTTCTTTTGACAGCAGGCCTCTCTTAGAGTATTAACTTCCATATTTATTTTCATATTTATTTTCAGATATTGGGGTTATTATTTTTATTACTAGTGAATTTTGTTTTTAAGTCGACGGTCGGTCTAGGTAGAGACCTAAAATGGGAGTTCTTCATCATGATCATATCTCTTTCTCAGCATCAACATATATACTCCCTCTGTTTTTTTAAGATGAATTTTCTAGACATTATTTATTATTTCACAAAGATAAAATTTCTAACTTTTTGATGCACTTTTTCAGTTCTCAAGAAACATTAATTGTATTTGTTGGACTTTTATTGGTTGAAAATTATAAAAAGTTGTTTTATTGCAAAAATTTATGCATTAATGATTGAAAATCAGCTTTTCCTTAATATGTGTGAAAACTCTAGAAAATTCATCTTAAAAAAACGGAGGGAATATCAAGTAAGCATCCTCTTTCCTCCACCTCAGCTTGCATAGATCATTTACATCGTTGTGAGAATCACACAGTAATAGTAGATAAGAGATGTGGTTTTAGAAGATACATTTTATTAGATCAACCAAAGTTCAAGGTACAATTTGTCTCGTCGACAAGGCTTGACGAGATGAATACAAAGAGAATAAGAAAGCTAAGAACAAAGAACGAATTATAGCTAGGGTTTTGCCTCTCTGCGCTCTCAGTGATTGTGGGGGATTTCTTAATGATTCTGAATGGTCTTCAAGGAATATTCTATTTATATGGAGAAGAAGTCGGCTTCTTCAAAATATTTTTCCATATTTCTTTTGGAAATATTATTTTTTTTGGAAATATTATTTTTTGGTGTTAATCTCTTTCCATTATTTTTTGGAAGTAGTCTTACTTCTAGGAGGTGGAAGTGAAAGTTTTCTATCTTATCTTCCGATTGTTCTTTTAGTTTCTACTTTTATGTTTTTGTTTAATTTAAATGGAATAAATCTTCTGGCTTGTCCAGATTTTAATTCCGACTTTGTTCGGCTTTTGTTGTGTTTCAATCTAAACACTCAAGAAAAAAAAAGGAAAAAAAAAGAAAAAGTATTATAAATAATTAAATACCTCCTCCTTCTTCTTCGACACACGACCTAAATCCCTAGAACCGAAAAATATCGTTATTATTACCTCGAAAACCTAGCGCATTCTCAACTTGTCCATGGAGGGGGAATCCGCCACGAAAGTAATATATTCTTCGATCATCCTTATGGATTTCTTTAATCTCTTCTGAATTTGAAATATCTGATTAAATCTTTTTGTGCCCTAGGTTACGAAATTGATCGATAGTCATCAAGACTTGCGAAAAACCAGGTAAAAATTGATTTTATTTTTTTGTTTAGAAGTAACATGTGTTGTTGTGATGATCTAATATGATCACCTGCTGTCAAATAGCATTGTGAGCAGGATTTACGTAGAAGGATACGACACTTGGATTTCTGGCTATGAGTTAGCTACCTCCATGAAGAAACATTTCGCTTCATGTGGAGAGGTGATACATGTTCACATTCCCGGATACAGTGAATACTCTAGTATCGTCGACGGCCTCAGCAGGTTTGTGGCGACTTTGTCTTTCCTCAAACATGTTTTCTTAGCTTTTTTAAACTCTTGTTTTTTTTTGTTTTTCTTCTGTTTTACAGATTTGCCTTGGTTTATCTTCGTGGAGAAGGGGCAGAAGACAAGGCGTTGGAACTTAGTGGTGCAAGGTTGGAACTTATTGGTGGAAGTTACAGCAGCGGAGAAAACAAGTTGGTCGTTAGGCCTTACCCATTTGGTGCCAAAAACTCTGACCGTGCTTTGGCTCGTGAGTTGGCTCGTACGAGAAAGATAGACAAAGAGGACACTTGCAGGTAAATTCTTGTTTCTTTCTCCATTGACTTTCCCTTGTCTATGTTTGTTGATGATAATATTATCTCAATCTATTTATTATAGAATGCTTGTTGCTGGATATGACACTTCGCTTCCCGTGCCTTACCTCAAGAAAGTGCTGCTTAAACACTTCTCTCGATGTGGAAAAGTCTTGTTTTTACATGTTCGCAATGGCGAAAACGAAGAACCTCTTGCCTCGAGGTTTGTGGCTTCTTCCTCCTCCCAAATATGTTATCAAATGCTAACCAAAGCAGAAAATAATGTGTTTATGTTTGTTGCTTTTTGATAGAGTCGCTATCGTTGATATTAAGGGGATACACGCACTAGAGAAGGCGCTGCGACTTAAAAGTAAAGAGGAAGGACTGGAGAATGTTAAAGTTTGTGTGGTTGACCATCCATCCAAAAATGGAGCGCTCTGCTGTAATGGGCCAATGATGACGTGGGATCCAAAGTTTGATGCTACAGCTCCTGTGGATCCCAGTCTCCCTAAGCCTCCTCCTTCGTTCTGGAGTAAGAGACCTTCGATAGTCCGTTACGCACCTGAGGATCCATCTCTCCCTAAGCCATGGAAAGCTCTTGTGGATCTTGGCAGTGGGTTTAAGTACTTTTGGAATACAGAGACTAATGATACCCAGTACAACGAACCTGAATCTGATTCAGATTCAGATTCAGAGACTGAGACTGATGATACCCAGCTCAACTCGTCCAGTGGTTACAATCTCCGTAAGCGTCAGTGCACGACTCGTCCAGTAACTACAATCTCCGTAAGCGTAAGTGCACTCTTGCATGCTTGGCTTTAATCCCAACTTGTTGATTCTTGTTCTTGGTTCTTTGTAGCAAAGTAAAACCTCTCATTAATTTGTGGGTTTTTTTTCAGGGGTAAGAAGATGACTACGCAGTCAAAAGCCCGGAGAAGACATGTTTTCAACTTATTTGCTTATGTTTGTAGCAAAGTAAAACCTCTCATTTCTTTATGTTTGTTTTCAACTTATTGCTTATGGATGTTATATGTATTTTGCCTTCTTTATAACCTAACCTAAGCGTGATGAATTTATCTGCATGTTTAAAGTAAGCCCAACAATTTATTATCTGCCTTCATAAGTATGTACGATTCGTTTGGTTAGCTACGAGAAATCGTAATCTCACACTTCATTTCGGTTATGGCCAAAGCGTCAAGAAAGAAGATTAGTTGTAACTTGTGCTCCCCCAATACTTTTTTCCTACCGAGGAAGCTGATCTATGATTCTTTTGCCACAATATAAAAGTATGAAACAAGACCATTTCATCTGCGACGATTAAGGGCACAAGTCGTGAGCCAAGGAAACAAAGAGTTTTTTTTTTCCAATCTTTAGAGCAGTAGCTTTTGGAATTAGTCTTCGTTTTGGTTAAAGATGATGGTCCAACTATTATTATTTTAAAAGCACAATCTAATTGTATAAAGAAAGAAAACTTGAGCATTTGAGTTATAAAGACTGAAAATGGTCAATGTTTGATGGAAGATAAAAGAAAGATGTTTAAATGTTGACAAAAATGGGAAATTTAATCGGTTGACATAAAAAGGTTAAAATGTTTTTAGTTGACTTTCATAAAGATGAAATTATGCAATCTTTTGAAGCCCATTAAGGCCCAATAGTATTAGTTTTGACTGAAACGTCTCCTAGCTCCATTAAACATATCGTCTTCCTCTTCCTCGAACCAAAACAACAGTCTTCGTCTAGTCGAGAAAATTTCTACACTCTGCGTTTTCGAAAGCGAGAATCCGCAGAACCACAGAGATCTGATATTTTCTGGATCGGATCTGTCCGCCATGGAAGAGAAGAAGGCAGAATCGACGAACAAAAATGCTAAGAAGGCCAATTTGTTGGACCACCACTCGATCAAGCACATCCTTGACGAGTCCGTCTCCGAGGTAAGGCCTACTCGCTAAAATTCCTTCGGTTTCTCCATATTCTGCGATCTGTAAATGAAGATCTTCCTTGTGATGCGTAGATCGTCACGAGCCGCGGCTACAGGGAGGACGTGAGGCTGAGCAACCTCAAGCTGATCTTAGGAGTGGTGATTATCGTGGTTGCTCTTGTTGCCCAGTTCTACAACAAGAAATTCCCTGAGAACAGAGACTTTTTGATTGGATGCATCGCATTATATCCTTTATAAACTCTGAATTCGCTTTAATGCTTTTTGCTTGATTACCATTTGGCTCCTCCCCTGAATCGAATTGCGTAGATAGATAACTGTAGATTGATTTGACTTATTTGCGCTTAGCAGTAGATTTTGATAAATCCTCACTGTCTCAGAAAGTATGACCATATAAAAGCTCTGCTCAATACATTTCTTGTATTTGGATGATTTTTGAAGAAGATTGTATGTTTGGTTCTTGACTATGGCAAGTATGTAGTGTTGAATGCGGTGTTGCAGCTGATTCTCTACATTAAGGAGAAGAATGCCATTTTGTTCACCTATCCTCCTGAGGTTTGTTCTCTGACTCTTGAGAATATATTTTCATTGAATAGCAATCTTGGATAGTTTGGTAACTGGTGCGCTTGTAAGGTCTGTGATAAATAATGTAATTACTTCCCCCATTTCCTTATTTCAAACTGGAACTGTATTTTGATCTCCGGTGTCAAACTTTTGCCTTCCTTCTGTTTTTGTAAGGAATTAGAATTGAGCTTCTGCTAGCCTGCTGATAATGTCAAGTAGAGTTTGCATATCATAGGACATCTTGGTTTTTAGCGTTTGAGCTGTACGAAAATCCATTTTTCCATTTTGGACATATTTTGAAGATAGAAAGATAGAAAGATTAGGACATCATTCTGTATATATTTCCATTTTTCAGTGTTTTGTTTGATTGTTTAAGGTCTTGGTAATATGACTATGGCTTTTCTTTTAATCTTTTGGTATTTGCGATTGCTGCTGTCTTGTTTCTGGAAACATAATTGTCTTCCTTCTCGTACTTTTGGAATACAGAGACTAATGATACCCAGTACAACGAACCTGAATCTGATTCAGATTCAGATTCAGAGACTGAGACTGATGATACCCAGCTCAATTCGTCCAGTAGTTACAATCTCCGTAAGCGTCAGTGCACTCTTGCATGCTTGGCTTTATTCTTGATTCTTTGTTGCAAAGTAAAACCTCTCATTAATTTGTGTTTTTTTTCCAGGGGTAAGAAGATGACTACGCAGTCAAAAGCTCGGAGAAGACACGTTTTCAACTTATTACTTATGTTTGTGTTTTTTCTTTCTTTTTAGTTTTTAGTTTTTACCCTTTTCAGTGGATGTTAAATGTATAGTATTTGCCTTCTTTATAACTTAAGCGTGATGTTTAAAGTAATCTGCATGTTTAAGTAAGCCCAATAATTTATTATCTGCATTCATGAGTATTACGATTCTCGATCGGTTGATTAGCTGAGAAAAATACACTTTTTTATATGTAAAAAAACTGTTTTAACCTTATTTTAACAAAATGTTACTAAATAATTATTAAATTAAAAAAAAAATTTGAAAATATTATTACGAATTATATTATATTATTTTTGTTCATTTATTTAAAACTAGATTAAGGCCCGCGTATACGCGGGTATATTTTAAGATTTTATAATAAAAGCATGGAAAATATTAAACAAAATTTGATCATTTTTAAACGTAAACAAAATAATATTGAAAACCCGATAAAAAATATTTAAATAAAATAAGATTGGTAATACTTTTACATTTTTATTGTAATTGATTTTTCTTTTGAATTTATGATATGACAAAATGAATTAATTTGTTTTACTATTATTTTTATCCAATACAGAAAGACTTACACATGTCTAAATCTGATCAACTGATTAATTAATCAAACTTTTATTATTCCATTCAAGAGATTTTAATTGATGAAATCTTTATTTCAATTTTTTTTACCTAACAAAAATTGAAAATCAAACTATTTAAAATTAGAATATCAATTATAATTTTTTAATATTAGTTAATTGCTTGATAATTATTTTGTTAGTTTTTATTTATATTTTTTCTTTCTCAATTTTGTTTTTGCCTCGACCATTATAAATACTATATATTGGTATTTTTCCTTTTCGAAATGGATTTTTTTTCCTTTTCTTAATAGATGTAACAAAAGAATTTAAATTATTTGTTTCCTGTTTTTTTATTACTTTTAATGGATGTATTATTTTTTCATTTTAATTATTTGTTATCTGTTTTTCTAATTTTTAGTTAGTCTTATACATATTAATTTTTTTTATTATTTTTATTCCATGACACATGTTACGATCTTCATACTTCCAGAATTTTTTTTTTTAAAACACATGTCGCAATTTTGTCAGTTATAAAAATCCTATGTATCGCAAAACTTTCAAAAACATGATTTTTAAATTGGAGAAATAGAATCAAAGGGATTTGATGAATTTGCTTTGATGAATTTATGATTGAGAAACTTGACTCTCTTTTATAGGGGTTCAAGTAACCTATTACATGCAGTTATAGGAAATTTAGTTTACATAACATATTCCATGTACAAATAGGATTTTATTTATTACATTATTTTGATTTTATTATTTGTTTGGATAATATTAATTTGATGAATGAGAAACCTTTCTCTATTAGGATATGACAAATATATTTTTATTTCTTTTAACTGTAATGGATTTTTTTTAAAAATTTCCTTTATCTAAATTTATTATTATTATTATTATTTTTTTTCTCTAAGACATGTGTCACGATCTTAACGGACGTAACATTAAAAGTGACACATGTCGCGATCTTATAAATTATAAAAATCTATGTGTCGCAACCACGTCGTGCGCATCCAACTTTATATAATAAAAAATTTGATGAATGAGAAACCTTTTTCTGTTTGGATATGACAAATATTATTTTTTCCTTTTTGATATAATAGATTAAATTAAATTTCGTTTTTTTTAATTAACATTTTTCTGGAATTTTTTTTTTAAGTTCTCTTTTTTTCCTAAGACACGTGTCACGATCTTAACGGACATAAACTTAAAAGTGACACATGTCGCGATCCTGAATTTTATAAAAATCCTACGTGTCGCAACCACGTCGTGCGCATCCAGCTTTATATAATAAGATTTTGAATTTTAAAATTGATAAATGTAGAGAAAAATTTAAAATTTGTTGAAATTCTTGGAATCTTATATAAACAGTTTTAATATCACACATAATCTATCTTATTAATAAACATTGACCATAATTATAAAGCCACAAAATAAGAATACAAAATGTTTTAGCAGATAAATATTAGGTTATTAGTTTTAAATGAAAAACATCAAAATCCAATCATAATCTTTTGTTTTTATTTTTTAAAATTTATTTTTATTAATTAAATTTCGATTTGATTAAATTATTCCGAAATTTTAGATTTGAATAATTATCCAAGTTTGAAATTTCAAATTTGGAGATATCATGATTTTTTGTTTTTCAATATGTAATCGCCCGCAACCGCAAACGCTTGCGGAAAGGAACTTTTGATTTTCAGCGATATAGAGCGGTACAGAGTGGTATATAGCGGAACTAAAAACATTTAAAGTTCATTTAGTAACTAGATTTAAAAAAAATATACAAAAAAATTTTAGGGAACTACAAAATTAATTATGAAAAACTATATAGACAAAATAACTAAAAGAGAATGTTACAATATACTTAGTTCAAAGCAAACATAGCCAACTTTGCAAAAGAGTTAGCCTTAACATTACATAGTCTATATATCTTATATATAATTAGGGAGTTGCTCTCTCCATTTGAGAGTGTCCACATCAGCACAAAAACATTAAATTGTATTTAAAATATTTAATAAATATATGACTATTCATATTTCTTTACATTTATTCATATTTAATAAAAATATACAAATAAATTGATTAATTAATAGAAAGTATGTGATAATTTGATGTTAAAAGTTATCAAAAAGTTGGAATATAAAATAGAGATGGAGTAAAGAAATATTCAACTTCAAATAGTATATATTTACTTTATTATTCAAAGGATTTATCCTACTTTAAAAATGTTAGAATGTGTTTACAAGTTAAAAAGTTGAATATAAATTAATTAAGACAATAGAAAGCTAATGAAACATTAGAGTTAGAGTTTGTTTTTCTAAACAAATAGAAATAGAGTTTTATATGTAAATTTAATTGTAGTGAAAAACAAGAATATGTTTACAAATTTTAACCTTCAGTCAAATGCATATACATATTTATAAATTTTAACCTTCAATCAAATACATATACATGTTTACCGTCTAATAGAAGTAAACATAATATTTATAACATGATAAAATTTTAGAAATAGAAAACTCGAGATAAAGCAGAGTGTTAATATCCTAATAAATTAAAATAAAAACAAATTATTCATATTTTTTAGTGTTAGTGGTTGAGTTAACTCAAAACATAACAAAAACATGAAAGTTAACACAAAACCATCATAATTCAAATCAACAAGAGAAAAACTATCGTAAACAACCCCGTGCTTGCGCGGGGCTTCAAATCTAGTGAAATAAAATAAGAGAGTAACAAAAGAAGAACAAAGAATTTGGCTAATGTAGTGTAGAAGACATTTTAGTTCATGTGTGTAGTTCTCTTTGGCCTGATGAGAGAGATCAAGGTTTGCACACTAGAAACCGCTTTATTCGTCACAATAGCTTCAAAGAAGTAAACAGTATACTTGCATATTGCTATGGAGCAGAGAAGAGAGTTCATAGGAGAATTGATAATTCATCTCATACCACATTTATTTAAGAATGAAAAAGAGGAAGCAAGACGAACGAAAACGAAGAAGAGCAAAGTAAAATATTAGTGTAGATGAGTGAATATGAAGAAAAAAAATGAATAATACTTAGGGCTCCCTGAACAATTTGGAAGGAAAAACAATTTGGAAGGAAAAAGAAGGATATGTTTGAAACAATCATCAATAAAGTAAGCCAGAGAACATCACACTGGCCTGCAAAGTTTCTTTCATATGCAGGGAAAGAAGTAATGATTAAATCAGTTGGAGTAGCAATGCCAGTTTTCTCAATGTCATGCTTTAAATTACCGGCGAATGTAACAGATGAAATCAGCAACTTGTTAATGCGCTTTTGGTGGGATAAAGGAGATAGAAACAAAGGAATCCCTTGGGTGGCTTGGAAGAGACTACAGTTTTCTAAGAAAGATGGAGGTTTGGGATTTAGGGACCTCCCACGTTTTAACGATGCCCTTTTAGCTAAACAAGCATGGAGACTACTAAAGCATCCAGATACTCCGTTTGCAAGATTGATGAAAGCACGTTATTACAAAGACACGTCAATATTGGAAGCAAAACATCGAATAAATGAATCGTATGGTTGGAGCTCAATAGTTACAGGTTTGACCCTGTTGAAAAAAGGAATGAAACACATCGTTGGAGATGGTGAATCTACAAACGTTTTTGAGGATCTTTGGTTACCGGTTCATCCTCCAAGGAGAGTGACTCGTAACGAAGGACAGGAAGATTTTCTAGTGAAGGAATTGATCATTGACAGCGGCTGTTCAAGAAAATGGAACCTGCCTGTGTTGGAAGCTATACTCAATGCAGAAGATCGGAATTTGGTTCAGAAATTATATTTACCACAAAGGAAGAAGCAAGATCGTCAAGTTTGGTGTTATGATAAATCGGGTGACTACACAGTTAAGAGTGGGTACTGGTTGGCTTTTAGGGAACATCTCCACGACCACCCTGAGATTACCATTCCCCATGGAGATCCGGTCCTTAAAGATCAAATTTGGAGATTGCAGATTATGCCAAAAATAAAACATTTTTTCTGGAGAGCTTTGTCTAAAGCTTTACCGACTGCAACTAGATTAGTTACTCGTGGAATGAAAATTGACAAGGTTTGTCAAAGGTGTTGTTTACAACATGAAACCATTAATCATACTCTCTTCTCTTGTTCACATTCCAGAATGGTCTGGCGAATGAGTCAACTACCTTGGCAACCTTTGAACCTACATGATGATAACTGCGATGATCAGGTTTCAAAATTCTTGGAACTACAAAACATAAGGGGTCTATCAGATTACCAGAAACTCCTCCCATTTTGGCTTGCTTGGCGGATATGGAAATCGAGATGCAACCTAATTTTCAAGAAACAAGTAACGGCTCCATGATTCATTGTACAACAAGCTCATATTGATGTTATGGAATGGTTGAACTCAGGGTCTTCTAGATTCACTAGTCCAACTGGAAGTACAGATCTTGCCCTTCCGACTTCATCGAGGAAACTACCATGGCAGAGGCCTACACTTGGTTACTTCAAATGTAATTTTGATGCAAGTTACGATTTGCACTCACAACAATCGATGGCGGGATGGATTATTCGTGATCACAATGGAGTAGCGTTCTCATGGGGCACAACTAACTTGGGGGTTTCGAATTCGCCACTGGAAGCGGAAGCAAAGGCGTTATTGATAGCTATGCAGCAAACTTGGAGCCTGGGTTTAGATTATGTAGTTTTTGAGGGAGATTGTAAATTGCTCATAGATAGCTTACAAGGAAATCCCATAGACTTTAACATAGAAAATATTTGTTGGGACATTGATAAATGGCGCAGAGATTTTAAGGAGTGTGTTTTCCTTTACACTAGGAGGGAAAATAATATGGTCGCCCATAGTTTAGCTTCCACGGTGCCTCCCAATGACATGTTTTATTCCTCTAGGTTAAATCCACCTTTGTGGTTATCACATTTGTTGTATAATGATCTTGTAATTGTTACTTAACTCAATAAAGATATACTTTCGACGAAAAAAAAAAAAAAAGAAGAAAAAAAATGAATAAGAATAAAGGAAAAGAAAAAGAAACTACCAATTACAAAGACAAGGAAAATTATAATGTTTTTTTCTCAAAAGGTTTTAATTCAATTCACTCAAAAACAATATTAGTTCAGGCTGATCATGTTGTCATATTATTGAAAAAGAAAAGTTTAGAATATGTTCTTATGTCGGATTTTATGAAGAATGGACAAAACATATAAATATATCTAAAATATCTTATGTTGAGTTCTGTCAAACAAATATATCAACGATATAAACATACAATACAATTTTATGCAGAGTTTTGTCAAACAAAGATATCTATGGACTCTAATCATTAAACTAAAACGAGTATGGAGTTTTGACGAAATTGTAACACAATATAACAGTACATCCAAATCTTAAATCAGTATGTTCTAATAGAGGTGTACTGATTTTGTTGCACATAGTTAACCTATATGAAAGCAACTTTCAAAATTTCTAACACTTTTTGGAGGTTCTTACAAATTCTCATGTAAGATTACAGAAACTAACAAACATTATTTATCTAAATTGAATAAATTAATATTTTAATTAAATAAAATCAAGGGATAGTTGCAAAAATAATATGTGAATTAAGGTGAAATGCATATGTAACCTACATTTTCTCCCCTTCAAATGCAAAATAGCAATACAAACAAAGTAGCAGAAAATATAGTTTCAAATTCATTTTTATAAAAACAAATTTGGGTACATCCATTATCCATTATCATTTGATAATTTTAAAATTAGGGATTTAGGTAGAAAGAAGATGGAGGAGGTATTTAATTCCTAGGATTGAAGAAACTTAATCTAAAAAAAACAAACTAATTTGTAAGATATTTTCTTAACAAGTTATAATTTTAATATTATATATTTTATATTAAGAAAAGCGAAATTAATGTGGTTTTCCTTTTCAAGTCATTAGAATTTTTTTTTTCTATTTCCTAAACACTATGAATATAAAGAGAATTTAATATTAAGTAAATATCATAATAATAATTAAAAAGGAAATCATTTTAATGTGCTTATGTAAACCAATCAAATTAAGTTTCTTCAATCCTACATATTAAATACCTCCTTCGTCTTTGACACACGACCTATATCCCTAGAACCGAAAATATCGTTATTATTATTGCCTCACCCCTCGAAATCCTAGCGCATTCTCAACTTGTCCATGGAGGGGGAATCCGCCACGAAAGTAATATCTTCTTCGATCATCCTTATGGCTTTCTTTAATCTCTGTTTCTGAATTTGAAATATCTAATTAGATCTTTTGTAACTTAGGATCTGGAATTGATCGATAGTCATCAAGACTTGCGAAAAAGCAGGTAAAATTTTTTTTTTTTGTGTTTAGATGTAAGATGTGTTGTTGTGATGATACTAATATGATCAAATCTATTGCAGTAGCAGTAGTATTGTGAGCAGGATTTACGTTGTGGGATATGACATTTGGCTTTCTGCGTATGAGTTATCTATCTCTTTGAGAAAACATTTCGCTTCATGTGGAGAGGTGCTACATGTTCATATTCCCGGATACAGTGAATGCTCTAGTATCCCCACCGGCCTCAGCAGGTTTGTGGCGTCTTTGTCTTTCCTCAAAACATGTTTTCTTAACTTTTTTAAACTCTTGTTTTTTTTTCCTTCTGTTTTACAGATTTGCCTTGATTTATCTTCGTGGAGAAGGGGCAGAAGACAAGGCGTTGAAACTTAGTGGTCGAAGGTTGAAACTTATTGTGGAAGTTACAGCAGCGTAGAAAACAAGTTGGTCGTTAGGCCTTATCCGTTTGGTGCCAAAAACTCTGACCGTGCTTTGGCTCGTGAGTTGACTCGTACGAGAAAGAAAGACAAAGAGGACTCTTGCTTGTAAATTCTTGTTTCTTTCTCCATTGATTTTCCTTGTCTATGTTTTTGTTGATGATGATGATAAATAATATTATCTCAATCTAATTATTATAGAATGCTTGTTGATGGATATGACACTACGCGTCCCCTGGATTACCTCAAGCGCATGCTGGAAAAAGACTTCTCTCGATGTGGAAAAGTCTTGAATGTAGAAGTTTTCGATGAAGACGAAAACAAAGCTCTTGCCTCGAGGTTTGTGGCTTCTTCCTCCTCCTCCCAAATATGTTATCAAATGCTAACCAAAGCAGAAAATGATGTATTTATGTTTGTTGCCTTTTTTATAGTCCCGCTTACGTTGATATTGAGGGGATACACGCACTAGAGAAGGCGCTGCTGCTTAAATGTAAAGAGGAAGGACTGGAGAATGTTAAAGTTTGTGTGGTTGACCTTCCAGCCAAAAATGGAGCGCTATGCTGTGGTGGGCCAATCATGACCTGGGATCCAGTGTTTGATGCTACAGCTCCTGTGGATCCCAGTCTCCCTAAGCCTCCTCCTTCGTTCTGGACTGAGATGAGTAAGGGGCCTTCGATAATCCGTTACGCACCTGAGGATCCATCTCTGCCTAAGCCATGGAAAGCTCTTGTGGATCGTCGCAGTGGGTTTAGGTACTTTTGGAATACAGAGACTAATGATACCCAGTACAACGAACCTGAACGTGATTCAGATTCAGAGACTGAGGATACCCAGCTCAACTCGTCCAGTAATTACAATCTCCGTAAACGTAAGTGCACTCTTTCATGCTTGGATTCTTGATTCTTTGTTGCAAAGTAAAACCTCTCATTAATTTGTGGTTTTTTTTTCAGGGGTAAGAAGATGACTACGCAGTCAAAAGCTCGGACAAGAACAAGATGTTTTCAACTTATTACTTATGTTTGTGTTTTTTTTTCTTTTTAGTTTTTAGTTTTTACCCTTTTCAGTGGATTTTTAATGTATTTGCCTTCTTTATAACCTAACCGTCCATTCAACTCTTAGTAATTCCCTTTTACTGTATCAAATCATCAAATAGCAAATCACATATGGATCTGTTTGGTGGGAACATATGGAGCCAACGTAACACTACTATTGCCTTGAATTTCGTCTGATCACCAAGAAACTAGTTGATTCTGGTCAATCATATCTCAAAAAACCTCCAAGGTGATAAAACGAATTGGTTTTCTGACCAAAGCTTTCAAGACTCAGGCATAAGCCCAACCATAATACCATATGCTTGGCAATCATTTACCACCATGCTTAGATAAGGACCAAGTACAGAGTGAAAGACAAACAATACCTTGAATTATTTTGTAGACATTCATATATTGGATAAATTCATTAGTCACTATATTGTGACGTTGTGACTCTAAACTAGGGGAAATTTCAAAACTACACCTCTTGAGGTGCAAATTTTCAAAAATACACCTCTATGGTGCCAATTTTCAAAACTACACTTTTTTCATTTAGTAAAAAAACTCTAAATCTTAAAATATAAATCCGAAACCCTAAAATCTAACATTATACCCTTAAATCTAAACCCTAAACCCCAAAATCTAAACCCTAATATAGGATTAGTGAACCCAAACATATATATTAAAATTGGGAAAAGGTGTATTTTTGAAAATTTCCACACTATAGGTGTAGTTTTGAAAATTTGCACATCAAGAAGTGTATTTCATAAAATTTCTCTCTAAACTATTGTTTCAATATGTAGGTTTCAGAAAATAGGACTTTCTTGTTGATTATGTCGATTAATAAACGAAAAACAAAATATGAATATGATTTTGTGTTTTTCTTAAACCACATTTTATTCGACACACACCCCAAAAATTGAAAGCTACCTAATCTCTCTACAAATTAATCCTAACCGTCAGCCTTTATGGATCCAATCTAGTTGTATAAAGAAAGAAAACTTTCAGCATTTAAGTTCAAAGACTTAAATTTAGACAAATATATGATGGAAATATCATTTCGATAAAGAGGATTTAATCTGTTGACAGAAAAGGTTTAAATATTTGTAGTTGACTATCATAATTATGCAAAGCGTGCAATCTTTTGAAGCCCATCAAGGCCCAATATTAGTTTTGACCGAAACGTCTAATAGCTCGTCTTCCTCCTCCCTCCTCCTCAAACCAAAACAACAGTCTTCGTCTAGTCGAGAAAGTTCCTACACTCTGCATTCTCGAAAGCGAGAATCCGCAGAACCACAGAGATCTGATATTTTCTGGATCGGATCTGTCCGCTATGGAAGAGAAAAAGGTAGAATCGACGAACAAAAATGCTAAGAAGGCCAATTTGTTGGACCACCACTCGATCAAGCACATCCTTGACGAGTCCGTCTCCGAGGTAAGGCCTACTCGCTAAAATTCCTTCGGTTTCTCCATATTCTGCGATCTGTAAATGAAGATCTTCCTTGTGATGCGTAGATCGTCACGAGCCGCGGCTACAGGGAGGACGTGAGGCTGAGCAACCTCAAGCTGATCTTAGGAGTGGTGATTATCGTGGTTGCTCTTGTTGCCCAGTTCTACAACAAGAAATTCCCTGAGAACAGAGACTTTTTGATTGGATGCATCGCATTATATCCTTTATAAACTCTGAATTCGCTTTAATGCTTTTTGCTTGATTACCATTTGGCTCCTCCCCTGAATCGAATTGCGTAGATAGATAACTGTAGATTGATTTGACTTATTTGCGCTTAGCAGTAGATTTTGATAAATCCTCACTGTCTCAGAAAGTATGACCATATAAAAGCTCTGCTCAATACATTTCTTGTATTTGGATGATTTTTGAAGAAGATTGTATGTTTGGTTCTTGACTATGGCAAGTATGTAGTGTTGAATGCGGTGTTGCAGCTGATTCTCTACATTAAGGAGAAGAATGCCATTTTGTTCACCTATCCTCCTGAGGTTTGTTCTCTGACTCTTGAGAATATATTTTCATTGAATAGCAATCTTGGATAGTTTGGTAACTGGTGCGCTTGTAAGGTCTGTGATAAATAATGTAATTACTTCCCCCATTTCCTTATTTCAAACTGGAACTGTATTTTGATCTCCGGTGTCAAACTTTTGCCTTCCTTCTGTTTTTGTAAGGAATTAGAATTGAGCTTCCGATAGCCTGCTGATAATGTCAAGTAGAGTTTGATTAGGTATATGACTGCGGCCGTTTTTAAAAATCTTTTGGTATTTGTGATTGGCGTAGTCTTGTTTCTGTAAACATTATTGTACAAACTAAGTGGATGATTCTGTTTTGGTTTGTATCAATTCTCATTTAGTTTGTATCCAAGCGGATGAGATATTTCCAAACGTTTCATCTTCGCCTACATTTTGTTTTGCTGAAACCACTTTCTAATCGATACATAAGAATTCGAACGGATACAAAAGTTGTTCTTGTTAGCTCCTTATTTGCTACTTTATTAAAAATCTTATAATTGGTTGGTTAATATGCAGGGATCGTTCACGAGCACTGGCTTGGTTGTATCTTCAAAGCTGCCCAGATTCTCTGATCTGTACACTCTCACCATCGACAGTGCTGATCCAAAATCAATCTCAGCTGGGAAGTCAGTCCAGCTCACCAAAAGTGTCACCCAATGGTCTCTCTCTCTCTTTCTCTCTTTGTTATTTTTCTTGCACATCCTCGCGTTATATCTGCACATGATAAACTCATGCCTCGTTTTCATGTTTTTTTTTTTTGTATTTTCAGGTTCACGACAGATGGAGTTCTTGTTGAGGGTTTATTTTGGAAAGACGTGGAAGCACTGATCAAGGACTATGCAGCAGAAGGAGAGCCAAAGAAGAGGAAATGATGATATTTTGGAGGACATATATGTTCTTAAAACTCCCAGATGTTGCGTTTTAGATAATTAAAAATCGATGGCGACTTTTATTTAGAGACGAGACTATATAATACATTCCCGATAAGAATATTCGGGTTTTTCTTATATAAAAAAAATTCGAATGAAATTGAGATTTTATAATCACTCTAGGACAAAATAAAGTCTATCTCCAGTTAAGCCAGTGGCTCACATCTCAAGTTCATGTCATGAGTAATTGGATTCTTTTTATATTGTAATCTACGCCAAACAAATATGCCTTTGTCGTTTAGTTTCGTTTATTTGTACTACTATTTCACAAAGAAATAATACTGGTCGAGTGCTGCACGAGTTGTGTATTGTCTGGTTTATAATTTTGTATGAGTAGATGTATGAAATATTCAACGATGAGTGGCTTGTGTTACTCTAGGCCTTCTAGGCCGCTTTTTCTTTTCTCATATTTCTCGGATAAGGCTCATATGTTGATTACCAGATTCTCTTTACTAAAAACTCCAAATCATAAGCGATACATTTGTCAATATCATTCCTAACCAGATCGTATAAATATAATCCATACATTAATTATCCATCCCTTTGCCACAAATATAATCTTGTCCATCGTCGATAAAGAGAAAAATAATCAAATTATGTACTAACACAAAAAATATTTGTTTGTAATAAAAAAAAATGACACAGGCCCATCCATTACTGGGTCCCATTTAATCGAAGTGCAACCAGACATTACTCCAGTTGACGTGGCACTTGGTCGTAATCGGTTATTACATGGGACCCACTCCTAATCTCGTAGGGCCCACATTCGGGCATTTGGGCTTATGGTGTCAAATTGCGTGCGTGCGAGCCGGACCTCAAATGCAATCGAAAACCCACGTTTAATTAAATTATTTCGAGTCCGTCTGCCAGCATGTTACGCACATACATATAGTATATATATATACACAGACGCAGTTTTGGTTCCTTATCTTTCCATCTTCCGCGACGCGAAGTGAATCAAAAAAGGCACTTGTTTCAATTTGTTTGTTCTTTCGCTAAGATATTTTTTTTTCTTCTTCTCTCTCTTTTAACATATTCAACAACTCGTCGTCGTCGTCTCTCTCTCTCTCTCTCATAAAAATTATAACAAACCATTGCCTCTATTGCATCGAAATCTGTGGATTGATTCTTTGAACCATTTTATCGCTCTGTAGGGTTTTTTGGACGGAATTTTTTTGTTTGTTTGCAAATTTCTGGATCGAATTTGGTTCTTCGTTTTTTCTCTGTATTACCAACTAAACAAGTTACCGATCCGATATTGACATGGCCGATTCTAGGAAGCGAGATGCCGGAGACGATCACCACGATCAGCCAAACGACGGCGAGGATGTCTCCGATTCGTCGACCATCGATACTCGATCTAACGCTGCCGATGCTGGATCCGAGCGCGAGAATGAACGGACGAGGATCGCGAGTAGAGTTTCGGATCCGTTGACTGACGACGAAGGCGGTCGAGACTTTTTGCTCGGGGAGGATAGGGTTTTGCGGTGGCTGCAGGCTTTGGATATGCAAGTCCTTGGAGCTTGTCGAGGTGATGAGAGATTGAAACCGTTGTTGAAGCTCAACGTATCCAACGGGATGGCCGAAGATCGATTGCTTGCTCATCTTAGCCAGGTTTGGATAATCAGTCTCCAGTTTCTAAATATAGGATTTAGGCTTCTCGTTTCCGGTTGAGATAATCTGATTTCTTTGTTCTGTGAAATAGCACTTCGAGCCGGCGGAAATTGGTATGCTGGCGAGATGTTTTTGCATACCTCTGGTTTCAGTACGCGTCGGGAAGATCAAGAAGGATGGGACCCTAATGCGCCCCACTACGATAAGGTAATCAACGAGTCCCTGATGTTTCATGAGTCTTGCCTTTGTCCATTGTTTGAGCTCTAGGGCGATAGTATCTGTTTTCATGTTAATCAAATTTCACTGTTGGTTCTTCGTTGTCTTAGAGAAATGTGAGCATGATGGTTTTTCCGGCTATCTAGGCTCTCTAGAGCTCTGTTTATAATTGTTTCTGTGCAATCTTTCATTGGTTAACCCATTTTATGAAAGAACGTTCACTTAGCGCTAAAATAAATGGTGATTTTTCTTTGTGTTCACACACACAATGCATGTGTCACAGTGTGATACTCCTTTTATGGCGTCGTTTTAAAGATTTATTTGATAGCACTCTGTCTCAGAGTTTCTCCATGTATGGTCTCATGGTCCAAGCATGTTTGTCAAATAGTATGCGTGTTTCATATCAAATAATATACTAACCTTTTGCAGTTTTAACATGTGCTTTAACATTTTGTGGGTTGGTGTATTACTATTACATAGTTTTTTTGTTTATTTCTGTCATGAAGTGCAAAATAACAACGACCTTAATCTGTATCCATCTGGTCAGTTCTGTTTGTATAAATGAATTTCTAACTTTCAGTAATCATATCTATTCATGACTGACTTGCTTTGGTTTGATAAAAGGCCTTTAGAAATCATAGGAACTCAATCAATTGTATGGTGATACTGTTCATGCTTCCCAATAAAATGTATCTTTTATTGTAGGTAATGTGGGCGTAATCTGTTATGATCTCTGGTAGATGATGAAGTAAAGGTAGCTTCGCCTCCAATGTTGTGTAAATTGCTCTTGATTTCTAGTCATATAGGGCTTTAATATTCTCTCTGTTAGTCATGGCATCACTGACTATATATCCGCCTCCAATGTTGTGTAAACTGCTCTTGATTTCTATTCATATAGGGCTTTATATATTCTCTCTGTTAGTCATAGCATCACTGACTATATATCCTTATTAACCATATTATATTATCTCACTGTGACATTCATTTAATTGATTGATTTTTTATACTAAGCTTTTTGTTTGCTTTTGTTTCTCTGTTTTTCTTCTTGTTTCAACCTATCTGATTTCAAAAGTTCTTTTGTGCGTACTGGTTGGTACCATTCTTTTCAAAAATATGATAAAAGGATCCTATGTAAAGTTCGTTTGGGAAAATATTAGACTTGCAACTGTTGCAAGAGCATTTAATAAGCTCCTGGACCTGATCCATGTTCCTTGATACGTATCTAGTGTTTTTTTTAGTTAGTGGGTTTGCTTTTGATATTAGAGGCTTGCTGACTGATCTCTCCTGCTATTTTATCTCCCATTGGTCAGGGGTAACTTGAGCCTTATGGTCTTGCCAACATCAGACATGCGACTCTCGTTTATCGGAGACGATGGTCACTCAGAACAACTCTTTACTTATACCAGAAAATCTCAGTGCTCCGCGGTGTCAATTGAGGAGATAACTGCAGACAGCTCTGGTAGATCTTTTGTTATAAGGATCGCAGATGGAAATGCTTTTTACTACTGGTGCTCAGAGAAGTCAAAACTTTTGGGAACTGAATTGCGTAGGAAGGTTTGTTATATTCGTCTTTGCTTTTGCTAATACTCGTCTTTGCATCTAAATCTTCATTTTTCTCATAATCTGTTCTCTTCGTGATTCTCCTGTGTAGATGAAAGACTTGATCAAGAAGAAGCCATCAATCTCAGAACTAACTGGAATTGAGGAATCTCGTCTTGGCTCTGTTGCTTCTCATCTCCGTTTGTATCTCATTGGTTCGGTGGTGCCTAACATCAAGGGTTGTCCGGTTCCAACTCCTGATTCATTATCGTCTTCTGGCTCTTCTGAAACAGCTGATTCATCCTCCTCTAGTGCATCATCGAAATCTCTTAGATCACGCCACTCTGGAACTCAACTGACCAAGTCGCAAGGAAGCCTCAGCCCTAGATCAAGCTCTTTCAAAGAAAACACACTGAGAAACTCTTCTCTACGTATCTCTTCTAGAGACAAATCAAAACGACGCAGTGAAGGCTATTTCTCAATCTTTGATAACTTACCCACCAATGTAGAGGGGCTTATCCAGTCAGAAGAAGAAGGTGAAGAAGCCGCAGAGGATAAGAATGTGTTTGATCAAATATTCGCTTCTGATGCAGCCGAGTCAGCGCCAAGTGCAATGACCTTACCACCCCACTTTCCTTTGAAGATGGGTCCACCAGTGTTTTCTCCATACTACTGCTGGTGCCCTCCAAGCACATCATCACTTCACGCACCATCTGCTTCTTATCAGTTTCCTCCACTATCCATCGAGCTACCTTCGCTTCCACCTCTCTCATCCTTACTACCATCATCCGGATCCGATGGGTTCTTGATCCCGTCATCGCCGCTCGATCTCTCTGATATCCCTCCGTTACCATTAGTCCACCGCATACCAGGCTCATCATCATCCTCCTCTTCCCAGCAGATGATGATGCCTATAATGTGTGACCCTATCGTTCACATTCCGGTAATCGATATATGCTCTTCGGGTCAAGGCTATCTGGTGAGTGCTGGACCTACAGGGATGATAACCACCAGCATCACTCCTCTCCCTGTGGAGAATGATTCGCTGGTTGAGAAAGGTGCAAGAGAAACTCTACGGTTGCTCATAAGCGGAGCCAACGCAACAACCTCAGCTCCTTTGAACCACCATGGAAATAGAGGTCTGTACAGTGGGAGCCGAGAATTAGGTGGTGCGAGCTTGTTTGCACCTATTGGGCTGCAACAACCAAGTCCAGGTGACGGAGGAGATGTTGGTGGTGGTGGTGAGAGTGTGAGCTCAGGTGAAGCAGTTCATGTACCTCCCCGAGAGTCTTCTTCTGGTTAGCGTTTTTTTGTTTGTTTCTTTGTAAGTGTGATTCCGAAACGGAATTGAAAAAAAGTGTATAGAAAGAGAGAGGGCTTGTAAAACTCATCTCTCGGTTAGTTCTTCTTGGTTTTGTCCTTGTTTCTGGTGTAATTAGTCGGGTTTTTTTTGTCTAAGAAAATACGATTATAATAAAAAGTTAGTTGGCAAATTAAAAACTTCATTTTCCTGATTGATGGAGAAAAAAGGTACTTACATGAGAAAACAAAATTTTGTCCAACGACTTTGCTTATTGGGTGAGCTTCTTTAATGACCTTGTAATTAATAGTCCATGGGGATAATAAGACCTTGTTTTATATTCTGTGTACTGTTTTTGTAGCGAGATCTGGCAAAGTGCAACATTAAGAGAGGATCGCATCTCCACCGTTTAACTTGACTGTATGAAAAATTAAATATTCTCTCTCTCTCTCTCGTCCCACTTGATCCAAAATTATTAACCAGACGATATTTGATTCCTCTCCCACTTTCTCCTCCCTTCCCAATCCGCTTTCTTCTTCCTACGCGTGTCGACCTCTCCTCACTCTCTTCCTTCTTCCTCGTTTTCTCGGATCTCTCCCACTGCTTCCTCTACTCTTCCCCCGATTCACCACCGGCCGGCTATTCCGATCTCTGCCTCCTCCTCCTTCTCCTTCTCCTTCTTCTTCTTCTTTTCACTGTCTTCTGTTTCTATTTCTGTGTCGATCTGCTGAGGTTTATGCTGAGATTCGTCTTCGATTTCAATTCGAAATCGGCTTCTGCTGCTTGATACTACTGATTGAAACTGATCCCGGAGATTCGACGGAGTAATCGAATCTTGCCGATTACTTTTATCTTTTTAGTTGGTTGTTCACGATCCTGTTCGATGACGATGGAGGATCCCGATATTAAGAAGTGTAGATTGAGCTGCGTGACGGTGGATGACGTCATCGAGCAAGTGATGCCTTACATATCCGAGTCCAAAGACCGCGACTCCGCTTCCCTGGTGTGCCGGAGATGGTTCAAGATTGACTCCGAGACGAGGGAGCACGTGACCATGGCCCTCTGCTACACGTCGACCCCGGAACGTCTCAGCCGTCGGTTTCCGAACCTGAGGTCGCTCAAGCTCAAAGGGAAGCCTCGAGCCGCCATGTTCAATCTGATCCCTGAGAACTGGGGAGGTTACGTAACACCTTGGGTCAACGAGATATCGACCTCGCTGCGGCAGCTCAAGTCTGTGCACTTCCGGCGGATGATTGTTAGTGACCTGGATCTAGATGTTTTGGCTAAATCGAGAGCAGATGATCTCGAGGCTTTGAAGCTCGATAAGTGCTCTGGCTTCTCTACTGATGGACTCTTGAGCATCGTTAAACACTGCAGGTACTTCTTTGTTGTTTGCTATCAAGAAATTGAGTTTGATTCATTGAATCGATGCTTCTGAGGTTTATCAATTATCACATTCTTTTGCCACTGCAAGTCTCTCTTATCTTCTTGACGACACTTGTCATTTCCTAATTTGACTAATACAGAGATTGCATTTTTTGAAAATATGATGTATCTAAGTAGAAACTTTGGTGCCTACTTTTTTTCTCTCTTCGGTGGTATATTGTTGAACCTTACCTTATATGAGTTTCTAAGACACTTTTACACTTTACATAAATCGCAGAAATATATTCATTTCTGACATTCTTGGATCCAAATAGATTGAGTTAGTTCTCACTTTGATTCATATGCTTATGTATGTTGTTTTTTCCTCAGGAAAATAAAAACGTTGTTAATGGAAGAGAGTTCTCTAGTTGAAAAAGATGGTAACTGGCTTCACGAGCTCGCTCTGCACAACACATCTCTCGAGGTTCTAAACTTCTACATGACGGAGTTTGCCAAAATCAGCCCCAAAGACTTGGAAAGCATAGCTAGAAACTGCCGCCGGTCTCTGGTCTCAGTGAAGGTCGGCGACTTCGAGATTTTGGAGCTGGTTGGCTTCTTCAAAGCTGCAGCGAATCTTGAAGAGTTTTGTGGTGGCTCCTTGAACGAAGATATTGGAAGACCTGAGAAGTACATGAATCTGAGCTTCCCTCCAAAGCTATCTCGTCTGGGACTCTCTTACATGGGACCTAACGAAATGCCAATACTATTTCCCTTCGCTGCTCAAATCCGGAAGCTTGATTTGCTCTATGCGTTGCTTGAAACTGATGATCATTGTTCACTAATCCAAAGATGTCCCAATTTAGAAGTTCTCGAGGTAAAATTATTATATATGTAACCTCATATTCATATATGTATGTGACTGACCATTCTTGCTGTGTTTCCAGACGCGGAATGTAATCGGAGATAGAGGGTTAGAGATTCTCGCACAGTACTGTAAGCGGTTAAAGCGGCTGAGGATCGAACGAGGAGCAGACGAACAAGGAATGGAGGACGAAGAAGGCTTAGTCTCACAAAGAGGATTGATCGCGCTGGCTCAGGGCTGCCAGGAGCTTGAGTACATGGCGGTGTACGTGTCAGACATAACCAACGAATCTCTCGAAAGCATAGGCACGTATCTGAAAAACCTCTGCGACTTCCGCCTCGTGTTACTCGACAGGGAAGAGAGAATAACGGATCTGCCGCTGGACAACGGAGTCCGATCGCTCTTGATCGGATGCAAGAAGCTAAGACGGTTCGCGTTCTATCTAAGGCAAGGAGGGTTAACGGACGTGGGGTTGAGCTACATCGGGCAGTACAGTCCAAACGTGACGTGGATGCTTCTCGGTTACGTTGGTGAGTCGGACGAAGGTCTAATGGAGTTCTCGAGAGGTTGTCCGAATCTGCAGAAGCTGGAGATGAGAGGGTGTTGCTTCAGTGAACGAGCGATCGCTGCGGCGGTGATGAAACTGCCCTCGCTGAGGTATCTTTGGGTGCAAGGCTATAGAGCGTCGATGACAGGGCAGGATCTGAGGTTGATGGCTAGACCGTACTGGAACATAGAGCTGATTCCGTCGAGGAAAGTGCCGGAAGTGAATCAGCTTGGGGAAGTTAGAGAGATGGAGCATCCGGCTCATATATTGGCTTACTATTCTCTGGCTGGTCAGAGAACAGATTGTCCACCAACTGTTAGAGTCTTGAGAGAGCCGTGATATGATGATGGTCCAAGCAGAGGTTTGTATATAAAGATTTGGTTTATTATCTTTTGTAGTCTCGAATTTTGGTGTCTCTCCACGAACTGTGTAATGCGTTCTGTTTTTTGTTTTTATGTTTCTCGTTATGTTGTATCGTCAATGGTTTTGAGAGATTACATAGAATCTTGTTTGTATTTTTTTTTTTCTAGTTGAAGAGAAGGGGTCTCTCTACTCTTTATTTTTTTGGAATAAAACCCCAAAGATTTTGAGAGATGAATAGATGATTTACATTTGATTTGATTGAGATTTCGAATTTGATCCTAGTATAATAACTCTCTTTGTTGTGACGATTTTATGGTAATTTGCATAATTGTCTTTTGCCGACAATGGATGATAATGGGACATGGAAACTCATAACAAGCTTAACTAACTAAATAACCGATAATAATGGAATCTATTATTGCCGACAAAAAGAGAGAAAAGGAATCTGTTTTGTGAAATGAGTGGGCATACCATTACCACCACAAAGGCGACCCTTAAGGTACATTCGCTTTCAGATTCTTGTAACCATAAAAGAACCTTTCGAATAATAACTATTACATTCAATAGACGTAACGAAATAATTGTCGTATATGCATCTCTCTCATTTAACATTCAGAAGATTCTCACATGTTTTGTAATTTCTCTATTAGACAGAAAATGGGTCCTCCTCAGTCCTCACTCCTCATGACGCAAAATCAGCTTTGGGTATGGGTCAATAGGTGAAAAGAAGGATATTATTAAGCAACCAAAAGAAACAAAATCAACACATAATTTATTGACTAAGAAACTTGTTTCAAACAAACAAACAAGCAAAACAAGTGAAAGTGAAGTCTAACAAGGTTGGACCAAACTTGGAAGATAAGAGCAGGCAAGTGGAGGTTCCTGCTCGTGAGCAGATTCTCCAAGATCAACTTTCTTAAAGAACCCATCGGCTCCAATCACGTAAGCCAGGTTGCGAGCAGGGTGTATATCGAGATCGTCTTCTTCTTCATCAAAAACAATAGCGAGCTTCCTCTCCTCGTCAATCAAGAAACTACCACCTGTAACCGTAAACTGAAACTGAGGGTGAATCACTTGTTTCAAACTCACTTTCAAGAACACCTCACTCTCCCACGTCACAGCATCAGGCTCAATCTTGCTCGTAACCCAAATCTCCACTTTCAAAGTGTCCCACGGCTGAAACAAAACCGCCAGCTTCTTCCCTCCTCCTCCTCCGACGACAGATAGACTCACAGTATCTCCATCTTGAGGGGAATGCTCGAAAGGCAGAGGCAACAGCGGCCCAAACGTCTCTCTTGTGAAATCAAAACAGACCAAGCAGCAATCTCCTGAAACCGCAGCTGTAGCAAGCCAGTAGGCATTCCCATCGAGAGTCACGCTAGATTGATAAGAATTCACCCGCCAGCTTGCAGTGATATCAAGAACCCTCCATGAATCAGAGTTGTTGTTGTTGTTGTCTAAGTCGTAGATTGTGAAATCTTTGCGGTCCCTAAATCTCAAGACTTTGTGGGATTCGCTGCGCTTGTCGTATCCGAGGGCATACCAGAAACCGAGGTTTATGCCTTGCTCGATCCACAGGGGCTTCCCGCAATACGGGTTCCAAACCACCAGCTTAGCGTCGTCTCTCGAAACGCATAGCAATAGACCGTCGCAATGAAGCACTTGGCGCACTTCGATTTCGGGGCCAATCAGTTTGCTTTGTCGCTTTATGCATGATGATTCCTTGTCGGAGAGATTCACTCCCATCAGATAAACGCTGAAATCCATCACCACCACCATCATCAACTCCTCCTTGGCTGCTGCTTTTGCAAGATGCTTCTTTGCAAAGAAGGTGTTTTTGGATAAAGTGTTCCACTTTCTGCAAGTAGATCGGACTTTTCTCAGACCTGTCAAAGGGATTCTACACAGCACCTCCTCCCACAAATCCCTTGTAAGATTCGACATCGTCTTCTTCTTCTTCTTCATCGCACAACACCTTACGTTTCAGACGCAGGAAAAGGAGAAGGATTTGGTCGACCGATAGAACAAAAACTCAACCGGACTTTAAAATCCCAAAATCACGCGATTTATTTTCAATTATCGCTTTTCTGATTTGTTTTGTTTTGTTTGACGCTATTTGTGTTTGTGAAATCAGATTCTTTTTTTTTGTATAAGTTGTAAGAATCTCATAGATATACATATATGTATTTTGAAAGTTGAGTCCTTAGGTATCGTCGTCAATAGGTGAAAGAAGGAGAATGATGGAAGAGTAACTGAGCATTGGGTACAAATTTGCATCTAAGAAATGTCGATACTGCTTCATCGCCGTCTCTCTCTGTGGGAGATCAGGCGTTATGCAGTCGTAAGGGCTCGGTTTGCTCGTGTCTACAAATGGCTCCCATCGGTAACCGGCCCGGTCAGGTAGTGAAACAATTGTAGCTAAGTGACTCGTGTTGAATGCTACATAGATTTCTCTCTTCACTGAATCCACCTGCACATAATAATAAGGGTTAAAACAAAACAAAAACATGTGTGAGAGTTGAGAGAGACAATGACGTAAGTAACAAGGAGAGAAAATGGTGGTTACCAGTGAAAATGCAACAAAACGACTTGTTTCAGACCAATCTGGCATCCCAGGAGCAAGACCGTGCCATTGTAGACGCTCTGATGTTGGGAAGTCGTTCAGGCCAAGTGATTCACATTCACTACCAAGACAAAATCATATATATACTCCATCAAACAAAGAAACCCAAAACAGGGGATTGCAAAAGAAAGAAAGAAAGAAAGCAATCATATAAGCAAATTAAAGGAGAAATACATATAAAAGAAGATAACATACTCGCGGAACTTGATAAGAAGACGACAGAATCTGAAGAAGTCAGAATGTGCCTCTTCCTTTTTATCCCACCGAAAATAATTCAACTGCATCAGAATTATGTCAAACATTATTGTACAGCCACAAAATTACTTTAAAATCACCATAGAAAGATACGTTTGAGGGTTTACATAGTTGTCATGGCAATAAGTGTTGTTGTTTCCCGCTTTCGTATGGCCATATTCATCTCCCATGTACATCATTGGGACACCCTAGTGACAAATAGTTCAGAATCATGTGAAAAGAAGTAGAGCGTAGTACTTAATTGCTAGGTTATCTTTTGGTTTGATAATTTGAACTCAAGACCTCTACTCCAGTATCATAGTTCAATGTGACTAACATCAGTGAAAAGAGCTTAAGCAGGAACTAAAACAAAAGCAAGTAACAAATGCTTAGCTTTACCTGAGCAACCATGAGGGAAACGAAGAAATTTCGCATCTGTCTTTTCCTTAATCTCTTCACCGAGATACTCGCAAACTCTCCCTCCTGCATAGCCCAATACCAACTCAGTGAAGCCTTTTATAGTTTAGGTAACAGTGTGATGATGGCTAACATGTTCCACATTCCACACAGTTCAAATCTTACCTCTCCACAGTTCCAGCTGCAATTGTGATTCTCTCCGTCATTATTCTCTTCTCCATTTGCCAAGTTATTCTTATTGTTGTAGGTTACTAAATCGGCCAAAGTAAAACCATCATGCGCACATACAAAGTTGATGCTGTGCCAAGGTTTCCTACCTCCCTGATGCACATAGACAGTCGGATATTAAAAGCTACACAATAAAAATATGAAGCTTCCCAGACCAAACAACCAAGACAACACCAAAAAAGATAACTTTACCTGGTACAAATTTGGGCTTCCACAGAGACATTCAGCAAAAGCACCAGAAAAGCCGTCGGTGCCTTTTATGAAGTTTCTCACAACATCCCGGAACTGAAACGGACAAGAAATGTCACTGTCCCATATTAAATTCACAACGATGATAGATATCATGCACACACACAATGGAAACTGCCACGAGAACTTAACACTCATTTCTTGTTGTCTCATGTAAGAATACTGTCTATCGGGTCTTAACATTAAGGCATCCATGTTCATCACTAAATCAGGCTGATAAACATTCTGTTTGCTAGTATGAAAGATGAATAACCACTAACGTTTACATCACATTTGGCTTGAAACCCTTTATACACTGACACGCTTAACTTAACCATATCCCTTGCTACAATAAAAAGAAAACAAGTGTATCCTTGTAATACATTTACTGACCTTTCCGTTCCACTCAGACCAAATACCCCAATGTGGAAACATGCCAACTTGGTATAGCCCACCCGCATCCCATGCTTCAGCTATAAGCTGTTTTCAAACAAATAAACATAACAAAGAAATCTCACGTCGTTAAAGACTCTATACATTGATGAATGAAAATCGAAGTTATCTAAAGAGGAAATGCCACGGAAACTAGCTCCTTACCTTAACACCACGGAGTATTGGATCATTACTTATCATGTCAATTACTGGAGGGCAGCTAACAGGGGTCCCAGTTGTCAGCAAGTCACCTTCTACATCAGCGCCATAAACATTGGCTGCATCCCAAAGGCTAACAAGAATAGAACAATAAATATTCAAGAAACACATGGACCAAACAAGCACTCATTTGACGTACTCTAGAATATCTGCACCTGCTGCTCCTTGACATGATTGAACCAAGATCAAAGCGGAACCCGTCCACATGCATTTCTGTTACCCAGTATCTGTTTAAACAGATATATATATTCAAAGGCTTAGGAAAAGTTAAGTGAGGAGAAAAGCATGAAATAAATTAATTTTTCGAAAATCAACCTAGAAACTAGACATAAAACAAGAGGAGTATTAAAATGTGGAGCACGAAACCATGAGAGTTCGCAATTACAATAATAGAATATGATGTACTTAATTTGACAAACAGCCAAGCGGTATATCTACCGGACTTTTGCGAACTACCTCAAGCAATCCACTATGAACTGACGCACCACAGGATGATTGCAGTTGAATGTATTACCACAGCCTGAATAATTATAGAACTCGCCCTGTCAAATCACAAAATATGCATATACTTTAGATTCACTAATAAAGAATCATATCAGAATCATCAGTTTGACACTACAAACTAGAAAACCAATAGCATTATGAGTGTAAAGTTAGATATCATTCTTATGAGGAATGTACTCTACTTAGCTCGACCTAGCAGAATTATGAACATGACATAAAGAAAACCCAAAAGGAGCTTCCTACAGGTTTCTTATGCAGAATAAGTTACTGGACCACCCAATTATCAGAATTTCTAATCCGCAGAATGACTTAGTTTATTAAGTGTAGTAATGTCTTAACTGGCAGAACAGAAGAGACCTAAATTTCAGATTCATACCCACAGATCTTTTGATTGCCTCTTGTTCTCTAAGCAGTGAAACTCTAAAAAAAGAAACATATTGACTGCTTGATGAGCATTTACCTTTGGAGCAAGCATGTAATACACACTGTTATCAACTCCTCTAAATGAGACAATGGGTCCTTTTTCATTGCCTTCGGCTGTGTGGTTCAAAACGACATCCATGATAACCTGCTTACAATAATCTATCAGCAACTGCATCCGAAAACCTTAGCAGCAAATATTTAGAGACCTGGAAACTAGTTGTCACCTCAATTCCTCGTTTATGTGCCTCTTTAACAAGAACTTTAAACTCATTTATGGCTCTCCCAGCAAAGTTCTGAGAGCTTGCTGATGAGTATCTGATCATTGGCGAGAAGAACCCAATGGTAGAGTAACCCCAAAAATTAACCCTGCAACAAGCAACACAACATTATTAGTCATGCTATATACACAACATTTAGCTGATTTCTTTGTGAAAGTTAAAGTTGATATGGTTTCGTGTGAGACAACCTATGATCTCCCAATATCTCATTGTAGCTGTAATACTCCAGCTCATTAAACTCGTGACATGGCATTAACTCTATGCAATTTATCCCAAGCTCCTGTCAATATGTAAACAATTTATCCCAAGCTCCTCTCATCCCAATCTCTACTTGATAATATTTTCATTTAGATAAGGGCTCAGTTTTGATAAAGCCAGTACCTGCAAATGGTCAAGCTTCTCTGCAACACCCTGGTATGTGCCAGGAAACTCAATTTTGCTAGACTCATGCCTTGTGAAACCTCGCACATGCATTTCATATATGACAAGGTCCTTCTGTGAAAGCCTCGGATGCATATCCCCTTCCCAATCAAACTGAATAGCATCAAAGGCATCACAACACCAAATGTAAAATTTTACTAAACAAGTAACTGATCTAGCTCTAACAAAACAATATCATAGGTACCTCTTCGTCAAGAGTGGGCACCATACACGCCATTTGAGGCCAACAGACTTCATCAGGTCCCAAAACCCCAAACTCATCTCTGCTTATAATTGCCTACCAAAACCAAAAGGAAACAGTTACATCCATTTTCTTCACAGCTGCTCTATGTATTTAATCATAAAGCTTCAATTTTTTGCAATTACCTTTGCGTAAGGATCCAATAAAATATTGGAGGAGTCATAATAGTGACCTTCTTCAGGAGAAAACTTCCCATCAAATCTGTAACCATACAACATATCTTTGAAATCACCTTTCAAGAACACATGCCAGACATGGCCTGTTCTATTCGTTGATGGATCGAGCTGAATCTCCTCCGTCACTTTGTTCTGCAACGTGAAAATCAAACCCACAGAGAAAGGGGTTTCAGCAAAAATGTCGATTGAATCGAATTAGGGAAACACTCAATTGAAAGCTAACCTGACGAAGATCGGAGAGAGAAAACAAGCAGATGGTGGCGGAAACGGAGTTTGCAGAGTAAACAGAGAAATTGACTCCGTTGTCTCTCACGGTGGCGCCGAATGGGGAAGGAAGTCCATCGGAGAGAAGGAATCTCTCTGATTTAGGAGGTTTTTCCACTACGGCGACATTTTCAGCTTCGCTGCTTCTTCTTCTGTCCTTGGCGGAAAGCGACAGTGGCTGCTGCGCAGCTGGCCGGAAGAGGTGATTGAAATTGGGCGCGCGGAGTTTAGGGAAGTTGTGATTAGAGTAGAGAGTGTTGAGCTTGGTGCGATGGAGGAAACTGGAGTTGCATTTGATTGCGTCCATGGATGCTATTTGAGCTTCATAGACAGATGAAGTGTTAGACAGTTTTTGACACTCAAAGAGTGATGATCATTTTTTTGATCTTTTTCTTTTTTTCTTCCCAAATTCTAACAAAAACAAATATATAAGTGAAAATAAAACGTAAAACACTCGGGAAGTCTCAATCAGGCCCTGCCTTTTTTCTCTCGTTTTTAGCGGCGCCTCCCCTTTTCAGATCTGGAGATCGGTGGTCGGTGGCTTCCAAAGCACCGTCGCCGGTCTCCCCCTTCTTTCTCCCTTCTTTCTCCCTCTCTTCTACTCCGTCGCTCTGCTCGTGGAGTTTTTCTTTGGTTCTGTTTTGGCTTCGATCTGGTTTCTTTCGTCGTCGTCGCGGCTGGCTGTCGGCGGATCTCTGGTGGTCCGGCTCTTTAGAGCGACGGAGCGGTTCTGCCGATTCACCTCAGAGTTCTGCTGGCTGGTGGCTCTTTCCGGTTTATAGTTCACGAGTGTGGGTTTTATCCTTTGAGGGTTATGGTGCTTCTGCTGCTCGCCGATCCATCTTCAGTTTCTTGGCCTTGCTTTCGGGACGCCTCTGTGAAAAAGTATTGCTGCGGAGGTATCTGCTAGGCCTGTTATCCCTTTCTTCTTAGTTTGGGTTCGGGTTCTTTGACGATGCAGCTGTTTCGATCTTCAAGTCTTCTCTTGCGAGGAGGTGGGAGTCTCTGTTCTGTAGGTCGCAGAGGCTGGTTTTCACAGTGTCCGCGTGTAAGAGTTGTTGATCTTCTTAGGCGTTTTTCTCAGGTGGCTTTCTTTTCCTTATGGTTTTGGAGCCTTTGTTGTTGTGCTGGCCTTTTCTGCTGTTCTTCGGTTTGCAGTAGCTTCTGGTCTTGCGGTTGGTGTGGTCCATTGTTCTTTCGTGCGCTTTTCTTGCGCTTGTTTAGGCAGTCGGTGTTACTGCTTTGGACTTGGAGTAAGTCCCTTCAGAGTTTGGGTTGCTCAAGTCGGTTGGTTTAGTCAGTTTTTTGGGGGATCAGATCATCTTCAGTTCCAGTTTTAGCTCCTTTCCTTCTTTAGCTAAGTTCCCTGCTCGTTTTTATCTTATTGCCTCCCTTGTTTGGGCTATTGTCTCCCTTGTTTGGGCTTTCGTCTCCCTTGTTTGGGCTAATGTATCCGGGGTTTTCTCTTTTCTGCCGGCTTTGTAATGTTTCATGTTTTCTTCCTTGTTTGTAAGGTTAATAAAATTTAGAAATTAAAAAAAAAAAAGTGAAAATAAAACGTAGGAAAAAAATAAATAAAAGCTACAAAATGGGCTTATGGCCTGGTCTCCGCAGGCCCAAGATCCATTCTTTCAGTGTGTCCACGGTTCACGGTTTCCTGTAACCAAAGGGACATGAAGAAGATTCGCCGGTTACTTCGTTTCTTCCACGTTCGTTTCAGGGTGAACCTATATTAACAAAGATGGGTATTTTTCATAAAGTAGTCTTGTAAAATTGTAAAGTTTTGTAACATGTAAAACGGAAGTAAAAGCAAACGCAAACAAACAAGCGAACCCAAATCTTGGTCACTTGAACCCATCATCTTACATTCCTCCACCTTATGAGCCTTCCTATCAAAGTAGACGAAGACAAGTGTACTAACAAAACAACTTCTCTTCTTCAGTTTCGTCAAATCCCGGTTTAGTGTCTGTTTGATTTGGAAATACAGTTTATAAAATTATACGTTCAAATTCATGTCATCATATTGTAATTTAAAAATTTACGATCAGAAGTTTTGTTTGAAGAAAAATACAAATAAAGAACGATTGTTGGTAATAGTACCTCCGATAGAAACATCAAGTCGTTAAATTTACGTACTAAAATATTCTTGCTTCAAAATTTTCACCGTGACCAAAAAACGACTTCTCTTAAACTTTTCTAGGGTTTTTTTTCCTATAAATTTTGGATATTTTCTAGGGTTTTTTTTTCTATATAAATAGTTATAAGTTATAAGCTTAGGCATATCTTATTATTCTTATCAATCAAAGCAGAGTTTTATCTTCAAGTAAGTACAAGACATGAACACTAAGAAAACGTCGGTTTTTTGGGACATGGACGGGTGTCCGATTCCAGATGGTTTTGATCCTCGTCTGGTCCGTCAGAGAATTGAGTCGGCGTTGAAGAATTCAGGCTTCTGTGGTCCTCTCACCATCACGGCCAGTGGCGACCTAAGACAGACTGGCGACGAGGTCCTGCGACACCTTTCTTCCACTGGAATCGCTCTAAACCATTCCAACGGTTAGTCTTGTTTCATCTCTTTAACCAATTCTAATAAGTTAGGGTTTGAGATCCAACGTTGCTTTTCCTTTTTTTTTTTCTGAAACAGATGTGGATTTGACCGTGGAGGTCTATCGTAATCGTAACAAGGAACCGTTTAATATAATGCACATATCCGGTCTGTCTATGCTGGAGCTCAACGCTCCTATGATTTACGACCTTGCAATCAATAAGGGATACACAATTCTTCTGGCACATCCTCAACAAGATGAAGCTAAAGAGTGGCTCTGGAAAAGCTTTCTGCGTCGTGTTACTAAAGATTGGCTCTGGGGAGACTTACTGAAAGGTGTTTTTTCCTCTTGAAATTGAAATAAACATGAAAGCTCTTTTGTCACTGAACTAGTTATCAATCTTTCCACAGATTCGGGGACTGCGCATGAGCATGAGACAACTAGACTTGTTCTTCTTGAGAATAAATCTCCCTTTTCATGTGAACTATGCTATGTTGCTCCCAAAAGCTTTCAAGATTTCGCCACGCATCTCAAGAGTGTATCTCATGCATATAGGGTAAGCATAAATATTTTATCTATACATAAAAAAAAAATAAAAAAATAAATAATACCTCTGATTTTCCAACTGGATTTTTGTTGTCAATCAGGAGTGGGACTGGAAGGCTAGTGAAAACAATGTGGATCGTTTAGAAAATAAGCCTGATCCTCCAAACGATGATCCTGAAACCATAAAGGCAAGCTTTAATATGGTCACATTAGTTTGAATATTTATTAATACCTCTCTGATTTGATTTTTCCATTTGGATGTATGCATTTGGTTGTCAAGCAGGAGTGGAATGCGCTGTATGCTCAAGACATGGAGCGTCGACATAATCGACATTATGTTTCTGTCAGCATTCCTGAAGACATTGCCAAGACCTTGATAAGTCTACCACAGGCAAGTTTTTAATACCTGAATTTTTTTTCTTTTTTTTTTTTTGAATTTACTATTGATAGCACTGACTTTGGTTGATGCTAAAACACTTGTAGCCCGCGGCGAAAACGTTGGTGTTGTGGGACATGAACGGGTGTCCGATTCCCGATGGTGTTGATCCTCGTCTGGTCAGGCAGAGAAAAGAATCGAAGTTGAATAGGTCAGACAGTTACCGACCAAGTCCTCTCACCATCACTACCATTGGCGACCTAACACGCTTCTCTCCTGACAAGCTGCGAGAGCTCTCTTCCACTGGCATTGATTTTAGGGTTTTTGATTCGGCGACGCTGCTTTCCTTTTCAGAAACAGATATTAAAACGCATTTGCATAACTGTACCCCTTGTAATGCAACTCCGGCTACTATAATGCTCATAACCGGTCCCGGCAAACTCGAAGGCTTAGCTGAAACAATTTACCATCTATATGATCGTAAAGATTACAGAACTATTCTGGTGTATCCTCAACGAGATGAAGCTGCTCCAGACTGGCTCTGGGAAAGCTTTCTGCGTCGTGTTTCTAGACAGTGGCTCTGGAAAAGCTTACTCGAAGGTTTTGTGTCCCCTCTCTCTCTCTCTCTCGAAATTTTAAATTTAACATGCAAAGCTGTTCTCGCTGAACTAAGCTATCTTTTCTCCACAGATGAAATTGATTCGGGGAATTCGGATGACGAAAAGGAGAGGACAAACCTTGTTCTTCAAGATAATAATTGCAGTGAAATGGGTGAATCTCGCTGGTCTTGCTCACTATGCCCTAGTGTTGCTCTCCAAAGCGTTGAAGATCTCGCCGAGCATCTCAAGAGTCATGTAAGCATCTCTATTGTATCGATACATTTGTCATTGTCTTGCCTAATTTTTGCAAGTTACAATTGAGTTCAACTAGACCGCATATATGAAATAGATAGATATCATGTTGATTTTGGATTTACTGACTTTGTGATCCCAACAAACATTCAAGGTAAACAACAATAAGAGGAAGGAAGATGAAGAAGTTGACCCGGAATGATTTGTGAACAAGATGGAAAAGACATGGCCCATGTGGTGGTGATGTTTGTTCTGCTTCTACCGGCAAGTTAAATGTTGTGTGTTTAATATATGCTTCTCTTCTAGTATCGGTTTTTAAACATTTCTTAAATTCATTTCATAAGACATTTCATATGGTTAAGAATGGTTTGGTTCTACTTAATTCTACCGGCAAATGTTGTGTTTCCTAATATTTACATCACATTTGGCTTGAACAAGTTGCGACAATTGCTTGCAGGCACAAGTTTCATGTAATGAATATTTTAGAGTGTCCACAATTTGTGAAGTTGTTTATTTGATCCTACGAAGCAAGAAAATAGGAAAAGTATGTATATCCAAAACTTTCTATCAATCGCCCAAACATGAAATTTCTGGAAAACATGATTTTTTTTTTTTTAGAACAGGTTTACATGATTTTTTCTCTCTCAAAAACATGAAATTGTACAAATAGAGAAAGGAAGAAAAATTGTGCATGGTCATTTACTGCAATTTTTCTTATGAAAATTTAGGAAAATTATGAAGGAGGGCATGCATGGTGTGACTCCGGGACCCTTTAATTCTCAGATTCTTCTAATAACCACAAAAATAATAATAGAATAATGAATATAATTGATTGGTACGTAACGTACATCTGAATTGTTTATTGTAAATGCATACGTCACAAATGCATGCATACAGATGAGTAGACGATGAGACTGCATATGACTTCAATAATTGTAAAAGACAAAACTCAGCAAGTTACCAAAACTCTGTAGACTGTACGTAGGTGTATGGAGGAAGACTAGTATTATCATGGAGTATTGATTTCCACGAACATTACACTGAATGAAGCCAAACTTTAGCCAGATCGAAAGCCAAACCAAAAACAAGGAGGAACACTACATCTCCTGAAACCTACTCTAATCAAGACCCCAAAAAGGCAGGGCAAGATTAGCCAAAAAAGGCAGAGCATGCAGTGGCGGACCTAGAAAAATATTTTAGCTGGGTCAAAATTCAAATAAAATAAATAGTAGGTGTCAGTGGAGACGTGGAGATTCGAACTGGTGTTTAGGGGAGTCAATATGAAGGATTTTACCAATTAGGCTATTGGATTTTTGTGTTTTTGGCTTACAAATTAAGATATAATCTTATTTTAGGGATGTCAAGTGAATCAATATCTATTCATGTGGGTCCGCCTCTGAGGGCATGTTGTATCTCTTTCAAATAATTTTATTTGTTAAATTAAATTTAAAGAAGATATACCTTTTATAAGCTGTTCTCAGTGATTAGTTTTTTTAGTCCGGATGGATTAGATCAGATCAGCGTGATAAATATATAGTGTTCAATCGAAGATGCGTATGTTATTTTTCTCTTACTGGATAGAATTAAGAGCTTATAAAATATTTCGTTAGATTTTCTTTTCCATGTCTTTGCAAGAATTGGGAAAATAAATAACGTTTCGTTAGATTTTCTTTTCCATGTCTTTGCAAGAATTGGGAAAATAAATAACGTAAAAAAAAATGAAAGTCGAGGAAAAGAGATGAGCTTTCGAGTTAAGGAATGGCCATACATACTGATAATGCCGGGACCCATTTACACAAAAATAAAAATAAAAAAGCAAACGATAATTACTCGTTAACATACGGTTGAAATCTTGTTGTCGTATACACAAGTTTCAAATACGTACATATTATGTATGGTCCCACTGTCCCAGTGAGATGCTTCGATATATACTCTTTCGTATCATTTTATAGGTTGAAGTTGTAGACTAATTTTCACGAGATATTTTCGTAGTTATTGAGGACTTCCGTAGAGAAGATTAATTTGTTGTAACTTTCGTACTTAAAAATGTAAGTTACAAACAAATTCATAAGAGAATGGTTACACGGTTACACCAAATAAGAATGATTGTATCTATTAGCTTATTTCAAGTGAGAGAACTTGCATAAGGCATAGGGGGTCCTAATATAGAAAGATCTATGTTTTTGAAGTTTAACTACTGTTCAATATGACTTTGAACAATTAGAAGTTAATAGATATGAATGATGATAAATAATTGCTGACGAGACGTTACAATTATCAAAGTTCAAATACATGACATGATTCATTCACGAGTCTTCTAGTAAATCATTTTTAAGAAATTTGCAACCTCACAATAGTTTTATTTTTCGAGTTTCTTTCCTGTTTGCATTATTCAAACAAACAAAAGCTGAAGTGGATCGGAATAATTGAACCAGTTTATCTAGGTATTATACTATTATTTAATATTAATAGTGTGTATATATGTTTATCTCTTATTGGATAGACCTAAAGGCGTATGGTGAAATCGAGAAAGGATGATCTGTCAGCTGATAACTCAGTTTAGTCCATTTTTAGTCTTTTAAAGAATATTACATTTTGAGTTTAGATTCTTTTTGTTCATGTCTCCACCAAATTTGGAAAAGCAAAATAAATTACAAAAAGAATAGAAGACGAGGTTATATGATCGAGTAAACAAGATAAGCTGAGCAGAGATCAAGTTGATCACATCACACAAAAGTCACGTACTCACGTGTATGTCTCTCTGTTTTCTTGTGACGAAAGGGCAGATTGTGTTCAGATCTTGATTTAAAACTAAAGATTCTTTTGAGCTCTGCAGCTCCTACATACATAAAAAGGTAAAGAAAATATTAAAAACACAATATTCATAAAAATCTGCAATAATTTGAGAAAAAAAAAAACAAACTTTTCTCTAAAACATAGTCTTTGATTTGAAGCTGTTTGATCATTGAATAAAAATGTCTGCTTATGCGCATCAGATGGAGAGGGAATTCTCAGGTCTCTCCAGCCGAAACAATTCTGGTAATATGTTCATAAAAATCTTCTAACATCTAAGTTTAGTCTGATTCTTGAATTAGACCAGAGTTCTTGCAAATGGTTTTGGATTTATATAATCTTCTTTGACTTCTTTTGGTTGCAGAGATGGGAAGTCGATTTTCGATAGATTCTGGATGTTACATGACATCTTTAGCAGCTACCATCTTCATAGCTTCTCTTGTAACATTTGGAGTGTTGATGCTAACACTTCTTGTAGCTATTTCAACCATGTTACAGAGCTGCCAAAACCAAAACCCTGGAGTCGTCGAGGTCCAAAGATTTGATGACGAGAGTTTCGGTTACTGCAAGATCTTGTCTCTACACTCACAGCTCAACAGTATCGAATTACCATTGTTATGCAGAGATGTTGCTTCACGCAGAATCAAACAAGGAATCTACTTGAGAGAGTTAAACTTCACTGTCCAAATTGCTCTCTCTTATTTCCAAACCATCAAACCGATGAAAAATAACCGAGATGTTGTTGTCATCGATATCGATGAAACCAATCTGTAAGTTCTTTTAACTTCATCTACATTGATAAAGTTATTCAAATTGTTAAATTTTGTTTCTCCTCTCTCTCTCTATTACTCTATATATATATATGTAGATTAGAAGAAGATAGTTATATTGAAGAAGCAAAGCAACAGAAAAGGAAGCTAACACTTGAGCTATACTCTAAGCTAAGATCACAAGGCTATTCAATGTTTCTGTTATCAAGAAGACATGAAAGAGAGCGGAATGCAACAACCGAGGAGTTAGAATCTAGAGGATATGGCGGTTGGTCCCGTTTGATCATGAGGTTTGTAACTGTCTTCAACTACTAACTTCATTCACAAGTCACATCAAAGTAGCAAAACAAAACAAAAACAGAGTAACTTGTATTCTCTAAAACGCAGGGAAAATGATGCTAGACAGAAGCAAGAACTAGAAGGAGAAGACCGAGTAGTTGGAGTTATTGGTAATCATATGGATGTGTTAACAGGCCAGTGGAATTGGCAAAGTAAGCGTCTGTTCAAGCTTCCAAGTCTTAGCTATAGTGATGGTTTTGGATTACAGTGAAAGATGAGATCATGGAGTTTGATGTGTATAGCTTTTTACATACCGTTTCAAAGATAATGTAGAGAGACATATTGTAGTCATTGATCTCATTTACACAATCACATACATTTTCTAGTTTGTTCATTGACTTCCTGAATTGGTCTGCTTTTTGGTTACTTAGGAGAAATCAAATACAGGCAAAATCTAGAGAAAGATTTTTCAAGAGTTAAGAAGCTCTATGTTCATGTGTCAGTTACAACCCTAAGCCTCTGAGCGAACGAGACAGTGCTCAAATTTGGATCCTCCTTGTAATGTTAACTGTTGTATTCACACAATATGTACACAAACTTGTTTCGAACTGGAACTTGTAATATACATCAATGGCTCAATTCGGTAACTTGTTAGCTTCATAAAACAGAATCTGTGGCCGAATCTTCTTCTCTCCGCAGAACCTGACCACACTCTTCCAGCTACCAACAGCCTATGATGGCATCGCCACACATATCTATATATCAGTAATCTTCTCACCCATCAAAAGTTTCAAGAAAGACAAGCAAAATTTTCTTCTTACCATTTTTGCTAAAGCTCCATGTCTGAAACTGACCCACCGGTTCTTTTTAAAAGCCATGCAAATGTGTTCTTCGTCTTCACCACAACCAACCTGCACACACCTCTGCAAATATTCTGAGACTGTAACAGAGAAATACTCTGCAGAACAATTTAGCACAAACATTTTGTAACCATGTTTCAAGATTTTACCATTGACACAAGCCGGTACTTTGTGTTTGGTTGCAAGCCTTCATATACCCTGCTCATATCTATCTCCCACTCCAATGCTTTCGTTGTTTCAGATATTTCGTTTTCAATTTCATCCTTCTCCCATTCCAACACTAATGTTGCAAACCCCACAAAACACCAACTCTTTGTTTTTATCATAGTGCATAAATAAGAAATTTTATGAGTTAGATAAGATCAGAATCATGGTCAGACACTTACCGATTGTGAAGATGGGAGGGCATGTACTTATCATGTGATGAACCAAGTTTTCCTTTCCACAGCCTCCAGTTTTTATGTCACACAACATTTTCTCTTCCATGCGAATCACCTTAAGGATGTCCTCAAACTTTATATCCCCAAAGGCATACTGCACATATATAACCACATAACAACTTCTTAAATGGGTAATCATTTACCAGTTTCTGTAGGATAGACAAAGTGGGAAATATATGAAACATACCTTCAACTCTCTGATTGAATCTGCAGCCATAACAACACCATAAGAACTTTGCTCAGGATAATTTGGCTTCTTTCTGCATTTGCTACAACTCATTCTTTCATATTCTTCCAGTTTAAAAAGATGAGTCACCACGCTTTCTGGTTCGGGAGTTTTCCAGCAAGGCCAGAACTCAAGGATGGATACGAGTAGCTCAACAGCATTACTTGACTGAAAAGAGTTAAACAAAAAAAAAACAGAATGACATTTGAGACAACAAAATCAAGGAACTTAAAAGCATATATAAATATTATCCGCACAAACCATGAAATGAGCATCTTCTAAGGAAGCAAGCAAGTTGCCAAGGAGGTAACTGTAGAGTCCCTCTTCTTTTATCTGATTCGAGACAAAAGCAGTAAGGAAATTTTGTAGTGCAAAAGAGACTTGTTCTTCCACGTTTTCAGGAAACCAATGCCGATTCTGCACCAAATACTCTTTAAGAACCTTAATGTTACAGAGGGCCTGCAATTTGTCAAAGAAAATAAGGAAGTAAAGAGATATAACATGAGCTGAATCAGTAGAAGAGATTTTATGTTATTGAATGTTTTATCTGTTGGTCCCTTACCTTCAGCGTCATACCAAGAGCTAAATTGCATATGGCTGGACCTTCTTCAAGTGTTGAATCTTCTCCAGTCAAGATCCGCATATCTTGAAGATGGCAAATGAAAGAAATAAGAACCATGTATCAGTATCACAAAACAAAGTAGTTTTAGCATATTCATTGATTGAGAATCTGTTTTACAACCAGGGTCACCTTTAGCAGATTCCTCTTGATTGTCAGTGGTGGATGAAATTTCAACTCGAGCCGTTTCACTTGAAATAGTAGATTCTGGTTCCACAGCATCTTCTTCCGCTGATTCTGGTTCCACAGCATCTTCAACAACCTTCTTCTTTCTATGTTTATTTTTCTTTGACCGTAAGTTCTTCTCCTTCTCTTGTTGTTCCTGGGATATAAGATCTGCTGCTTCTGCTGCAGCTACCATTTCATCTAACTTGTCCTAGAAAAAGAGACATAACTTGCAATATAAGCTACATGTCAAAGAGAATATCAGAGGCAAAATGATAAAGTTTCAAACCAACCCGCAAGAAAGATTTCAGCAGATGAACGATATAAGGCCGGTGGTCGAAAACAGAAAGCCTGATGAGGTCATTCAGCAAACCAATCCTTGAATTCTCAACAAGCAAAATCTTTGAATCGGCTAGCGGAACCTGCAAGGTAATAAATACATACTTAACGATAACAATTCAAGTATGTTGTTAATAAAAAAACGCAGATCAGTAACGAACCTTGTCGGCAACCACTGATCTCATAAGGTGAATGCGCTCCAACACTATATCATCACTGAGATTTTTGTGTCCATGTATAAGTTTCAGGCAGTCTTCTAGATCGGCGAAATCAAATGCCGGATGCGCTGCTCCTTCAAGAACATCTCGCACTGCACACAAGAACAGGCGTGTGTTGAGAGAACATTCAGAGTCGTTTGTTAAACGCTCTTCACACTCATCGCCTAGAAGAGATGCATATGAGTTCCATTGATGTTCCGGGATATCGCTTCTCCTCTTATTTTCGCATACACATAGGTTTATGGCGTCAATAAGACCTGCGTCATAACCTAAGATACTCAACTTCTTTGCATATTTGGCTCCCACATCCCTACACGTGAAGTGAATGGCTCTCAGAACAGCCACCCATACATCAAGATTGTATGCCCTGATAGATTTGGGAAACTCAAAGCTCTCATACTCCAGAGAAAAATCAAGTAACCAGGTTATGATGTCATCTCCCTGAGGATGTGTCTTGGCGTAGTAAACATCCTGACCACAAAAATCTATTGCTCCTTCATCATCGAACGAAGCAATCTCGTCTCTCAGCAGTCTCTTATCCACAAGCATATATGAAAACTGATCATCGATTTCGATCTTCTCCTTAACTCGAGCACGACGCCATAAACTCTCCACTTCTCTGCTAACCAGATATCCACCATCATCTCTTTTACACTTGATGAGCTTGAGAAGGTCTATAATCTGATTGAGCTCACGACATTCCAGAAAGCAAATACTCTGAGGTCTTTCCACTATGCGACACTCGGTAGTAACAGTATGCTCGGAGACTTCAAACTCTGCAAGATGCTTAATCAGAAGCTGCATCATCCAGTCTCGAACGCCACAAGAAAGAATCTTCCGCTCTCGAAGCAACACAAGAAGCAACTGGATTTGCTTGAGCAGCTTCCTGCGCTCTCCATCTGCAGCTAAAGGCCAGTCTCTGGACCATCCATTCTCATACACAAACGCTTTCACAAGCTCGAGCCGAGTCTTGATCATCTCACCAGCAGCTACTGTATCAACTGGTTCCCATTCTGCTGCAGCCGATGATAGCATACCAGCCCACACTTCATCCACCCTCTGAGCCATATGCTTCGTCGTTGAAGGTTTAAACTTCGCGGCATGTGCTTGCTCGAGATGGTTCTTAAACTTCTTGTGATGAAAGAACTTAAGCGAACAAGTTCGGCACATCCAGAATCTCCACTTCTTGTTCCTCCTTGCAGAATCAAGAACTTGCTCCCACTCTTCTTCTCCTTCTCTACCAAACAATCCCTCAACATAACTTGTAAGCTCTGCGATGCTTACTCTCAGAAACTTCTTCTTACTCTCAGCACCCATACCAGCCCAATACGACTTCAGTCTTTTGCCTGCAACAGCATCCACAACTCGAACATTCTCTGCCTCCCTAACGTTTGGCTCAGAGATTTTACCAGTAACACCAAGTAGGATCTTTGACTCTGCCACTTGGAGTACGCTCTCGAGTGTGCGTTTTGTATCTTCCTCGTCCAGACTCAACCGATCAAAAGAAGCAAGAAATGACAAATTCGATTCCGCAGCTTTCTTGGCTTTCCTGTAATACAATGCCGAGTCGAGATGTTTGGCCAATTCAAGCAATGCCATTGCAGCGTAAGCGTGTACACCAGGATCCACCGTATAGCATTCCACAGAGCTTAACAAAAACGCCAACTTTAAGCCGATGTGCTCTGTTTTCTTCCCTTGCTCAAACAAAACAGAGCCTTCGATGAAATTCAACGCTCTGGGGAGTTTCTGTATCCCACGTTCTGAAATCGAGTCTTCGATTACCCCCAAGGCGTTGATGTAATCTCCTTGAGTGAAGTAGTCCTCCACAAGTTTCTGGCGTTTTGCGTCTTCAGAAAGATCCATGACGGATTCTCTCAAGGTTTCTTGGTGTAGACTCTCGAGAGCTTTTGCTTGAGATAGAAGATAACAGTAAAAGGTCGAAGCTTTATCACGTGAGATCCGCGTGATAAGAGAGAGACGAAAGACGAAATCGTGTCCTCTGTTTCGAAAAAAAGACTCTTCCTTTATTGGGGAATTTTGTCGAGCAGCTTGTGGGCATTCCACATTTGTAGCACGATGCTGTTTCAAGTAGAATGATTTGTCTTAGCCAAGCGATACGCAGCTCCTTGTTTCTTGGTTGGCGTTCCAAATGACTAAGCATCTCATTCATGATCTTCTCGTACCTGAGAAGAAACAAATTTGAAAACGGTAGAGTAAAGAGCCGAAAATGAGAGAATGCAAGGAACGTAAAAGAATGATCTTTAAAGCAACTCTCTTTTTTAATCTTCTGAGCATATGCAATTGCAAGACAAAGAAATAGATTATTTGGGTGGATTTTTGTCACAAGAAGCACATATAACTCTACCATATGTATCAAAATCTCAAACTTTATATATATTACTTCATGTATTGGTTCAATAATTTTGTAAATTGGTTTAATAATTTTGTATGATATCTAATTATTTGAGAGATAAAGTAATATCAAATATATTGAAATAAAATATATCTATGTAGCATAAAGAAACTATTCTACTAATTCATAAAGTATCTATTAACTAAAACTATATACTTTTATTTATCAATTAGTAACAATTCATTAGTAAAAAGTAGTAATAATCTATAAAAAAAAATTATAACAAAATCCAATGTAATTTTTTTAGTGCATTTAATTTGAATTATGTAAAATATTTATTTCAGCGATAATATTTCTTTATTAAAGGAAAAAAAAAAACTCAATTGAGAAATGCAACAAATTATAAAACTTGAATGCAACAATTAAAAAAAATAAGAATAAAAAGGAATAAATCAATGATTAAATAGTTAAAAATTAAAATTAGATCTAACTATTGAGAAAAGTAACACTTTCCTATGGACATGAACAAGTCTTTCCTATGGACATGAACAAGTCGCATACTCGCATTGGAAATATCGGCAAAAGAGTGGTTGAATAAGGAGAATATGGTGGCTCTTTACAACTATCAACTTTTGCACCGCTTTGATGCTTACAGGACCTAGATCTAACGGTTGGAAACCACGATGACATCATGATGATCCAATCCTAAATCACAAACGCGTGTTCATTTTTCGTTCATTTTTCTTCAATTGCTTCCTCTGAAAAAAAAGAGATGAACAAACAGTAGAGATCTTACAGCATCAACTGCTGTTTGGTTGAGAAGGAAGATTTTCTTGCTCTTGACGTAATAAAATAATTTATTTATGAAAACTGTATGTTTCTAAAAAAAAGATAAAGAATGGTTACACGTACCAAATAAGAGTGACTATCTATTAACTTGTAGTTTTAAGTGAGCGAACTTGCATAAGGCATAGGATCCTAATCTAGAAAGATATACTTTTAAGAAGTTTAACTGCATCCTGACTTTGAACAACAACTCATTAAGTTAATAGATATGGTAAATGCATGAAATGATTCATTCACGAGTCATCTAGCAAATAATTTTTAAGAAATTTGTCACTTCACAACAGCTTTTGTTGTTGTTTAATTGTTTTTCCTATTTGCATTATTCAAACAAACAAAAAATGAAGTGGATCGGAATAATTGAACCAGTTTAGCTAGTTACATTATTTAATATTAACAGTGTGTATATTTGGATTACAATGAAAGATGAGACTATGTAGTTTGATGTGTATTAGCTTTTTTCAAGAGTTGCTGTGATTAGTTACATACCGTTTGATAAGAGAATGTAGAGACATTGTAATTGATCAATGTCTCATTTGTAAAATCACACAGTTTCTAGTTTCTTCTTTGAGTTATTAGGAGCTATCAAATACAAGAAAAATCTAGAGAAAGTTCATATGTGTGAAGAAGCTCACAATGTTGATTAATGTGTGCCAAATATCACACAATTGTCACTCTGCTAACAAAAGGATTAAGGATCATAAAACACGAATCTCGTAGAATACAGTCCTTAACTCTAAGCTAATGAAGACGTAAAAACATTTGTTCTTCTGACTTTTTTCACTTGGAAGAAGCTTCAGATGCTTTGACTTGGACAGGGCACTGAGATACATATGGTTTCAGCTGTAAAATCCAAATATTCAATCATTAGAGCTAAATCACACAACAAGCTTTAATGCATTAAGTAAGCGGTTCCATTTCATGTCCCTAACACAAAACTTACAATGAACAAGTTTTAACAGGATCACAAACCTATGTAGATACTATTAGGCACTTGTAATTTGTAAAAAGATTCGCCACTAATGTATGGTTCTCATGTTAAACTACTAGGGTTCAAGCTACAAACTCATAGCTATTTATATAGAGGAATCAAAAGAGAAAAAAAAGAACCTTGAAGCCGGTGAGATCAGGGACTACATAGTTTGGCAATTTATCCGTCTGCACAACATATCCTCCTGCAAAACCACGTCACAGAGTTAAGAGAAAGATAACAAATGATCAAACTTGGTCAAAATTGAGTTACAAAGTTGTTAACTTTCCACCTAGTGAATTCCTGAAACTTAGCTGATAATAGCTCTCCTTAGATAGCATTAGCAAACACATCTAACTCAAAAACAACTTAGCATTTAAACCGCCGAAGAACATTCAGTTATCAATTGTTGATGGAAATGGGTTGATTCTCAATTGCAGGATGAGAAGTGGAAAAAGACAATTGTTCAAAGCAGAAATGAATTGATTCTCAACTTGGATAAAAATGAAACCTTTTCTGGTGGGTACTAAACAACATTCAACTATCAACAACTAAACAAGTATTATACGAAAACCCAATTGTTCAAAGCAGACGTGAGATTATTTTTCAACTTAGATAAAAAAAAAATGAAACCTTTTCTGGTGGTACTAAACAACATTCAATCATCAACTACTAAATACGAAAACCCAATTGTTGAAGTTTCAAGTTGTACTTCGAATCAGAGATGCAATGGTTAAACTGAATGAAAGTGCTTCAGGAGATGGATAAAAATGAAACCTTTTCGGGTGTGGAAACCGGAAGGTTTGCAGTTTTTGCCCTTGTAGAAGTCTCTGGGAGCTCGTTTGGGGGAGAGAATGTCTAGCGAAGAAGCTCTCTTTCTTCGGAATGCTCTTCCGATCCCTAATAACAACCCTAGCGTCATCCTTTCCAATCTATTAATCTGTGAGAAAATATTTAGAGGAAACCGATCAGTTAGGAAAATGTCGAAACCCAGATCAGAGAAAATTCGAAATCGAGAGAAAGCTATTGTGAATGAACAAAGATCGCCATTAAAAAGAGCTGAAGGATAGAATGAGAGAGATACCTAAAGTAAAATCACCGAGGAAGGAGAGAGATAGGCGAAAACTCGTCCGAGTAAATTAGGGTGAGTGAGACGTGAACGACGAAGTCAGTGTGAAACGATGATGTTTTAGGTGGAAGTTGAAACGACCTCGTTTTTGGTCCATAAGTGAAAATGTAGAAATTATATGTACAAAAGATAATTTAATGTTTTTTACACATGTAAAATTCACATTACATCTTGGTAGAACAATAGTTAACTATGACATGTTATTGCCAAATATGTATGTGGATATACATATCAAAGTATCAAACCATATAACATTAAGTTTAATGTATCTAATTAATAATTATGTATAATTATTAAGATGTCAAAAATATCACTTTAATTTCTTAGATATTTTATGTAAATTTTAAAATTAACTAAAACAATACATTAATATTATTGTGTAAATGTTAACAATTATCAATTTTAAGATAATATTAGTATATAATATAAATTTATGCATAATTAAGCTTGATAGATAGATAGATAGTTTTAGTTTATGATTTATCTAAAAATAAAAAGTGACAGTTTAACAATATACATACTATTTTATCAATATTCTAAACTATGGTGAAATTGATTTTTTTTTAAATAACATGTGACATGTGTAAGAGTCTCAACATTCATTTGAGTATCAAAACATCTGTTATTCAAACATAATTTTTTTATTTAAAAAAGAAAAAATCATCTCCACTAAAATACCTTAAAACCACAACATATCTGATAAAATAAAATCCATGACTTTAAATATTTTAGTGGAGTTTTTAGTTAAAAAATATAAGAATCTAAATATCATGGTTGTAGTCTTGTAGATGAATTTTAGAGTATTTAATTTAAATCATAAGAATTTTCCTAATTCACCCAAAATTATCCTAAGACTCAATGGAATAGACCCCATCTGGATAAGATACTCAATGTTCAATACAAATGGACTCCTCTCCCCACCTATATATAGTGCCACCCTCTTCCCCATTAGCTTACACAGCACATATTGAGTTATTTCCAACAATCTCTCTCTCCCTCTAAAAAACATTTGTTCTCTCTTCTCAAAAATGAAGCTCTCTCTGTGTTTGGTCTCAGCCGTTCTCATCTCTTCCATGCTTCTGGTTGCCACTGCCACAGGTTCATTACTCATGCCATATATATATAATGCATTGCTTAAAAAGAATCATCAAAGACCCATGTCTTATTGTTCCTCATTTTGATTATAACTACCAGTATATATATATACCTTTATGATTACTCTTGCGAAACGCAATATATAATAATATAACACATCTATAATCATCATCTACTGTGAATAGTCTATCTAAATAACCATCTCTGTCTATTATTCTATTCGTGTAAGTGACCAAATTGTACTTGTCTCTAGAGATGGATCCCTTGGCCGATGCGCCAAAAACCTGTAAGACATTGAGCAGTCACTTCAAAGGGATATGCTGGAACTCAAACAGTTGTGCCATCATCTGCCATGGTATAGAGCAATTCGAAGGCGGTGAATGCGACGGAATCCTCCGTCGATGTTACTGCACCAAACCATGTTGATGGGATCTTCATCATGATGATAAGACTCTTACAAACAAATTGTTTTCTATTTATCAGTACCATCATTGTAATAGTATTTCGAAAATATATAGTATCGTAAATAGGGACACAATTTCATTTGTGTTCTCTACTATTTCCTTATCTACATTAATATCAATGGATTTTTAATAAGATTTCAAGTCTATGAACTTTTGGTTTAACTTTGGATTATATTTATATATCCCATAAGCGAGAAAAGATGATTCCGGTCCTCCATATATATGTGCGTGTGAATGAAGTAATCAAATTAATTAGCAACCAAGTAGTACGACAGAATATACAACTATATAACTGAAATATATATATGTTCTCAAATGAAATTAACTGACGTAATTAAAGCAAAGTTAACGTACCCATCTAAGTATTGGTAGGTTTATATTTTTTTGTTTGTCAAAAAGTTAACCCACTTTTGTATTTTACTCGTCATGTCTTCATACAACAACTACTCTTAGCTTATACAATCAATGAAATAGTCTAATAAGCAAAATCAAATACGATAGTCAAAACCCATATTAAGCGTCTGTCCAAGCTAAGTGTTGCCTATAATGATGATTTTGGATTACAATGAAAGATGTGATCATGGAGTTTAATGCGTATAGTTTTTTAAAGACTTTATGTGATATAGTTGCATAAGGTTTCAAAGATAATGTAGAGACATCTTGTAATTGCTCAATGTCTCATTTGTAAAATCACATACAGTTTCTACTAGGGGAAATTTCAAAACTACGTACTTTGACTTCCTAAATTGGTCTGATTTTGGTCACTACTAGGCTACTAGCTATCAAATACTGGGAAAATCTTGAAAAGGGTTTTTTAAAAGTGACCCCTAAGACCTGAGCGAAGGAGAGGGAACTCACATTTTTAGCTAGATGAACAAAGCTTATCATACCCTGTCCATATCATCAAGCAAATAGAGAGAACATCAATCTCATCAAGCAAATTAACAAAAACAATACATTAATATTGTTGCGTAAATGTTAACAAATATCTATTTAAAAATAATATTAGTATATAATATAAATTTATGCATAATAAAGCTCGATAGATAGAAAGTTTTAGTTTATGATTTATATGTTAAAAAAATGTCAATTTAGCTTTATACATACCATTCTTATCAACATTCTAAACTATTGTGAATTTGATTATCAAAATAACATGTGGTATATTCATTTGAGTATTTTAGATGATCTGGAGTAGTTTGTACTCAAATGACAAACACCTGTTATTTAAACATAATTTTTAAAAAATGTTTTTAAATTCAATTATGCAAGAGTTGTGGTTTGTTATGGGAAATATTTAAAGTCATGGATTTTATCAGATTTGTTGTGGTTTTAAAGTGTTTTTGTGGAGCTTTTTTTAGTGAAAAAGAAAAATAGAATCCAAACTCATGGATAGATTTTTGAGTATTTAATTAAAAAATTATAAGAAATTTCCTCATTCACCCAAAATTACCCTAAGACTCAATTGAATAGACCCCATATGGATAAGATACTCAATGAAACAGGACTCCCCTCCCCACCTATATATAGTGCCACCCTCTTCCCCATTAGCTTCTTACTAACACAACACTTATTTCCAACAATCTCTCTCCCTCAAAACATTTATTCTCTCTAATTCTCTTCAAAAATGAAGCTCTCTCTGTGTTTGATCTCAGCCCTTCTCATCTCTTCCATGCTTCTTGTTGCCACTGCCACAGGTTAGATATATATAATGGATACTTAAAAAGAATCATCAAAGACCCATGCCTTATTACTCCTCATTTTGATAAATATAACCAACATATATATATATATACCCTATATGATTATTCGTGTAAAACGTAATATATAACACATCTATATAAGCATCATCTACTGTGAATAGTCTATCTAAATAACCATCTATGTCTATTATTCTACATTTTGTTATAAGAACAAATTCATGTAAGTGACCAAATTGTTATTCTTCTCTAGAGATGGATCCCTTGGCCGATGCGCCAAAAACCTGTAAGACATTGAGCAGTCACTTCAAAGGGATATGCTGGAACTCAAACAGCTGTGCTATCCTCTGCCATGATATTGAGCAATTCGAAGGCGGTCACTGCGAAGGAATCATCCGTCAATGTTACTGCACCAAAACATGTTGATGAGATTTTCATCATGATGATAATAAGACTCTTAAAAAACAAATTGTTTTCTATTTATCAGTACCATCATTGTAATAGTATTTCGAGAATATATCTTAAACAGGGACACAATATTTGTGTTCTCTACTATTTAAATAATATAAATGGATTTTTAATAAGATTTCAAGTCTATGTATTTTGGTTTAACTTTGGATTATATATCCCATTGAGGTCCTCCATATTAATGTGAATGAAGAAATCATATTCCTCGTGGTGCTACAAATTAGCAACCAAGTATAGTACTGAAATGTATATGTTCTCAATAAAAATCAACTGAAATATATACCTCCATGTGTATATGTTCAGCAAATTAACCGACTTTAGTATTTTAAGCAACCCTCAAAGTCTTCATACAACAACTGCTCTAATTTATACAATCAATCAAATACGATAGTCAACACCCATATTAAGCGTCTGTTCAAGCTACCAAGTCTTACCTATAATGATGAATTTGGAATACAATGAAAGATGTGATCTTTGAGTTAATCTGCATATATAGCTTTTTCAAGAATTTATGTGATATAGTTACATAACGTTTCAAAGACAATGTAGAGACATTTTGCGTAATTGATTAATGTCTCATTTGTAAAACCAGATACAGTTTCTAGTTTGTTCTTTGACTTCCTAAATTGGTCTGATTTTGGTCACTACTAGCTATCAAATACAGGGAAAATCTTGAAAAGATTTTTTAAAACATGACACCTAAGACTCTGAGCGAAGGAGGTCTTCAGATGAAGACGACCTACTCCATATATATTCGCCAACGGTGCTCAAATTTGGATCCTCCTTGTGCTGACTCCATGCTGACTCAAACTGTAAGCCTTTGCTCCTGTGAGAGAGAGAGAAACAGAGATAAAAATGAGACAAGGAAAAGTGAACAATCTTCGGCAGTGAGTGAACTTGATAAAGCCATAGAAACATACTCTCGGAGTAGCATCAAGATACGGAGGATAAGAGCTCTAATTTCATCGCGCTCCTTACGCATCGATGACTGTTTGTACAAGGAAACAAGCTCCTCCACCAATCTGAAATGATTGAACTTAAAGAGTGGATAAGATTTCTCTGGAAGCAACACAAAGTTAATGCTCTTAAGTGTTTTAGAGGCTTAGACCTTGGAATCACAGGTGAGTTTCTAATCCATGTCAACCTCACTACCGTCTCCAGTCTCTCAAGAACCTAAAACGATATACACAGGTACTAAAACTTAAAATGAGAAAGGCAAAATCTAGCATTCCTACTACAAAATGGTGAGGTGTGAAAACAAGAGCATACCAACAAAACGGTTTCAGCATCGTCTGAATGCATCCATTGAAAGAAAAGAGGGAAGATACGTCGAAAATGAGCAAGCAAGAACAGGCCTAGAGCGTTCAAGAGTGGCTCCATGAATCTTAGCCAAGCGATACGCCGCTCTTTGTTTCTTGGTTGGCGTTCCACATGGCCAAGCATCTCATTCATGATCTTCTCGTACCTAAGAAGAAACAAAATCGAAACCAGCAAAGTAAAGAGCTGAAAATGATGGAGCAGCCAAAGGATTACATCTCATTTATGATCTTTACCAGGGGCTGCGTGGATTGTTTGGGTGGATTTTAGTCACGAGAAGCACAGATAAAACTACCACATGAATCCAAATCTCATCATCTGAAGCTATATTCTGATAACAAGCATCAAGAACCACATCTCCATACGAACCAAGATCACTCGAACTCACATTTTTAGCCAAATGTACAAAGCTTATCATTCCCTGTCCCTATTATCAAGCAAATAGAGAGAACATCAGTCTCACTATAGCCTTAAGCTACAAGTACATGAAAGCTTCAAAATTTCCCACAAAATGAAGGCTTAAACAACAAAACTTGGAAGATTTTTGCATCATGTTTACAAGTAATAAGACAGAGAAGACTTAGATAAAATCCCTGCAATTCAGAAGGACTTACTTTGACTTGAGGAGACCAATGATCAAGTGCTGTCAAAGCACAAGGAACCACCAAGTTGCAAACTTTCGCCAAATTCGGTTTCTCAACCTATCAAAAACAACATGTTAGAGCAAAAGGTTAGATTTTTGTTCATGATTGAGCAAAAGGTTAGATTTTTTCATGATTGAGCAGAGTAAAGTTCCAATTTTTATGATATAACACAGACCTGAGTCACAAACCATCTGAGCTGATGAACAGCCAGGATTGCATATTCAACTGGTTTTCTCGCAATTGCAGCTGAACCATCCTCTGCTTCACTGTTTGAGCTCTCTTCGATTGTGTCTTTCAACTCCGGCAACACAATCGGCAACAATTCAATCACCAATTCCTCAAGCTTCTCACCATTACTGTTCGGAGATTCACTGAAGTAATCCCGAGAGATCTCGCGGAATGCTGATTCCCCTGCGATTGAGAGGCTTTCTGGGATCCATGAGAGGAGTTCGTGAGTGGAGGATCGAGAAGAAGAGAGAAGGGCACAGGCAAGCGCGAGACTCTTGATGGAAGCGAGACGCTCTTCTTCGTTGATTAAGTGAGGAGAGGAAGTGTTTGGTAACAGAGACAAGAGTATATCTTTGGTGGATACTTTGGCTGTGGTCTCTTGCGGTGTGCGTCTGAGAATCTCTGCTATTGGTTCGGATAATCTGAATCCTCAAAAACAAATTCAGAAATTAGGGTCATCCTTCCACTAAAGGGAGAAAAAACAGAGGCCAATAGGTAATTAAGTCACTCACCGGAGAAGACGGCTATGGAGGTCAGAGGTTGTATTCGACATTTTTCAAAAAACCAAACCTCTGGGCTCGCGAACGAAAACAGAGTTTCACGATCTAAGACGAGAACTTCAAAACGGCAACCAGTTTATGCGTTTTGATGATAGCAGCGCCTTTTGGGTTTTGGCTCCGATAAACAATAAAAATGATTTTTTTAGCAAAGTGTCTATCTTTATTATTGAGGTACAATCCAACTTTGCATTTGCTTTTTAAGATCAATTTCAATTTGTTTTTTTCATGGATTTTAAGAAGGTGATTATAACTTCTGATGAAGAACAAGCGTAGAGTCTAGAGAAGTTAAATTTCTATGCAAAGTGAGGCAAATTTCTATTTTTTCGGTAGATACACTATAAATGTGATTAACCCTAAAAATTACTAAATATGTGGTTAATTGCTTTCAAAAATGGATGATGGAAAGGAACCGAGCTTCTTGATGTCGTTTTGAATCAGCACACTATGTGGTGCATTTGAAGTGCATAAAGCATAGTGAATGTGTTAATGGAGAAGTGTCAAATTCTCAGTTCGACACATTTCCATAACAATTTGCCTTATGCACAGGCCCTATTAGACATGTTTATTTTGCTAATCATATCAAACCCCCAAACAATAACCGGGATCCTTGACCTGGACAGGGACCGGGATCACCTCTCCGATCATGTTCCGATATTCCTCAACCATCACGTTCACACTGTTTCCTCCGTTCATGTTTTTTTTGTTTCTATTTCTAGCTTAATTTTTTGCTTAGTGTGATATAATGGAAACACCCTCACTCTCTATTTATATTGAAACGTTCGATCACAAACGGTTAAAGTGAAAGAAATAGACCGCCTTCATATATAATTTCCCATGTTGTCATTTATCTATTTATCTCTAGTGAATGCCCACGAGAAATGAAAAAAAGCGTAATAACAAGAGCTACATCAAAACCAAAAAGCGAATTTTGGTCATTTTCATGTACATTTTCATTTGACGATACATTGCTCAAACTAAACAAAAGCTTTCAAATCCATTTCTTAGAAATTTCAGAAATAAAAAGGATGAACAAAAAACACAGAGGCATCATTATAATTTATCCAACGTCGATAGTTTCACCACATCGATAATGGAGATAATCTATGGAATCTGAGATATACCATGGGCCAATTGCTATCACAATTGATATACCTTTCACACATGCAAATTGAAGGCATGTAAGTTTTGGCTTCATACATTTTTCTAAAACGGTTTTTGGTCTGTTGGAGAAAGGTTTAGATTTTGGAGGAAGGTTTAGGATAAGTTTGATTAAGGTTTGGTATAACTTTTTCATTGTGTTCTGGTTTTGTTTTTTTTCGAGATTAATTTGTATGGTTTTGGTTAGTCATGAAAATGAAAGTATTTTTTCAGGGCACATCTTTGCTTCAGCTCCCTTGATTTGGAGCAACCAAATTCTTTATTTCCTCTATTGTACAAGTGTAACACTATCTTATCAAATTCCTAATGAAAACAAAAGTTAAGAAGATCTGCAAATATTAGTGAGAAATAAGGAAAACAAAAAAAAAGAGAGTAATAAATTTGATCTATCTTGTTAACATTATCATGCAACCGATTGGAGCAGAAGGCAATGTAGAATCACAATTCACAACAAGAATAAACTCAACAAGAACATGAAGTAGTGAAGAAAGGTAAAAACAACACATCACAAACACAAAAGACCAACCCAACTGAAATCAGTTTGGTAGTAACATATTTTTTTTGTAACTTAAAATTGGGAGGAGAATTCAGATTTATTCTGGAATGGCTTCTACAGCATCTACAGCATCTACAGCAGCTAGAGCAGCAGCAGCTGTAGCGGCAGCAGCATTGCGTTTGATGGAAGCAGATTTGATGAGGTGGTTGTAGCTTCCTTTCTCCTTGAATAGCTGAGAGAAATGGTGTTTGCAGTACAAAATCCCCTCGAGCGCTGCATAGTTCGACGGAGAAAGCGCGCAGCCTCCATGCGAACACTTGAAGCAAGATTTATGGTAACACAGGCTCTCCACAGTTATCTACAAGTTTTTGAAAAAAACAGAACAAGAAGATATAAATAAGAAAAGAATGTCTCAAGAGATCTTCATGTTACACAAAATCCAGTATTGGAGTACGCAAGAGTGAACGAACCTTTTCGATAGGATAAACGGTTTTAGTGCAAGTAGCGCATTTGTCTTGTGTTCCAGAGAACATTCCAGCAAGTCGGCTTGGTGTCCTTGTCTGAGAAACAACCAAGAAGAGGATAGAGTCAATGTAACTTTAAAAGAAGTAAGAACACATGAAGTGTTGTTAAAGAGAAATGTTTTACCAGCTCAGGGGTTGGTTTGTCAGACAATGGCTTTGCAGCTGTTTGAGAGGACAAAAACAGTTTGAAGATAAAATTAAAGTGAGACTACAAGAGTTGAGATCAAAATGTAAGAATTTGGGTCAAGAAAAATAGTTACACATACGTGACTGAAAGTTCTTGTTGAAACTACCAGTCTCCTTGAAGAGCTGCTCAAAATGAGGCTTACAATACAACACACCTTCCATTGATGAATAGTTACTTAGCTGTAACAAAAACCAAAACCATCCACACAATTTAGCTTCATCATATTAAAAGCATACTAATTTTCGATAAACGTAGCATCTCCTTTAAACCAACCACAACTCTCGCTAGATAAAAACTCTACATGAATCTCTCAACAGTTTCACAGAGCTAATAATTATATTCAGTAATTGCTCAAGCTTGAATCTTGAATTCAGAATCAGAACATTTGGATTAGATAATGTCTATAATTGATCAAACATTTCATATCGTAATGAAGGGAAAGAGCAAAAAAAAAGAAAACTGACTTGGAGAGTGCTTTTGCAGTGAGAGCATCTGAAGCAAGACTTGTGAAAAGGGACTCCATCAGCTGAGAGAAGCTCCATTGGGTACACTGTCTTCTCGCACGCTCTGCATTTCTCCTGTGTTCCTGTAAACGACATCGTTTCCAACCCAACTTCTTCACTGATTCTCTTCTTCCTCTACGTCGAAAGATCTCTAACCTCAAACCTCTTCGTCTTCCTATACACACAAAGAGAGTTAATAAAAAATCCAATCACACACATTCTTGGCTTTTCACATTCATTGCTTAATAGTGCTTAGCTTAACTAATTCCATCAATTCAAGATATTCAACAAATCAAATCAAGACTGTGTGATTAAATCTGAACACAGAAATCGCTACTTTTTTATTTTCTACAGAAACTAAAAAAGCTGACTTTAACAGAATGAGATCGTTAATAGAATTAACAAAAGGCGAATTCTTTACCTCTTTGTCGATCTGAATCAACGTCAAACGGAAAATGCGGTATCAGAAGGAGAAACCCAGAATTGAGAAGAGAGAAATGCAGGTTTGAATCGGAGCTGAGAAGAAAAGGAAAACGAAGAAGGTGCTGCGTGAAGACAAGGTGAAGAAGAAGAAGATGAAAGGTAATGATGATGGAGCACGATCGACAAAATAATGGATATAGCAAAGGAACGCTTTACCTTTCTTTTTTATTGAGACAGTGTGGGGTTCCACTTTGGCCGGTCTAATTGTTTTTTAACTTCAAATGAAAACAGCAAATCATTTTGAAGATTAGTTCTTGTCAAAAATCCAATTAAACAAAACAACAAATTTCTGTTTCTTATCTTCTCCAGCTCACTAAAATTAAGTATCTGTTTATTTCCTTCCTAATCTGATTCCGTTTCTAATAGATTGATTAATAAAATGACTTTTATAATTTTTGTTTTTAATCATTTATTGGCCTTATTGAAATTTTTTGATACTGATTTCGTTTAGATTACGGAACTGTTCTTTTCGTTTTATTAATTTCTTCTGCCAATCTGCCGACAAAATTAAAAGAAAGTAACATATTAGGGCCAAGTTGCTAATAATCATTACAACTGTGATTTTTTGTCATTTACAACAACTTATTCAAATCGAAATTCATATAGGTACGTATACTAGTACATATCAAAAGTGGCTTTAACTGATTAATAATTCCTTGATGGTTATAAAAGTGATATCATTTTGTATACTTCTAAATTTTATTTTGTTATTTAGCCTATAATGGTTACAAATAAAAAAAAGGAAGCTGACAAGCATTTTGGTAGAAGAAAGGACCACGATGTCTAATTATAATTACTATATATACAACTAATGAATCACAAATCTGCAAAAACGTGAAAGTTTTTGGAGTCAACGGCGATGAGCCTTACGGCTGCAATGGCGGCAGCAACAGACATCAAACTAAAGAAGACAACGTTAAGCCAATGCCATAGCTTTTGCAAAGGACTAAGCTTATTGTTCTTAGCTTTATAATACATGTGGTTAGCTAGAATGAACGTGAGAGGGAATGTGCTCACTGCACCAGTGAGGCTCATAAAGTCCCCAAGGAACGGCAAAAACGCCGAGAGAAGCGTGCTAACCGCAATGTACCCACCTCGGGCCATGATCCTAAACATCAAGTTCTTTATTGCCAATGGGTTTCCTTTGACCCCAAACTTTGTGTCCATATACTCATACGTTGGACTCGCAAAAATCTACAACAAATAAAGTAAGATATGGGTTACAAAGACTGAAAGACATGCAACGCATACGCCAAGACTCTGGAAATTTTGTAACATTTTTGTTGATATACGTTGATATAAACTTTATACAAGACTTGCGAATAGTTTGAAACGGTCATGCATAGAAACTTACGTGCAAACAGATAACGGACTGAAGAAGAGCGGAGATGTTAGCTAGGGCTTTGACCCATGTAGGGCCATTGACATTGTTTAGCAGATAGGTGGAGGTTGAGGAACCGTAAGCCCAATATCCGACGAATGTAACCACGAACATCGGCAAATTACCGGCAGTGAACTGAAAGTATAGAGCCTTCATCATGTTTTTCACTACCGGTTGCCTCACTGTCGCCTACCAAACCGGAAATTATAAGAAGGTGGGTCATTTATGCGTCTACATTGGCATTATGGCATATACGTAAAAATCACATTCTGCTAAAGGTTAGTGGTTTTTCATTCATTTGTTGTGTTTACAACTAACAAAAGAACTTTGTTTGCTATAGTAAAAGGTGAGGATTTTATTGAGAAAAATACACACTACTAAACTTCCTAAAACATAAATTCACCTGAATTTCTGGAAGCATCCCTGTGTTGAATACGAAAACAAGATTTGCGGACGCAGCTGTGATGGTAAAAAGTTTACTTATAGATGATCCTTGTATCTCGTAATCTCTTGATTGTGTTTTCACTCCTAAAGAAAACAAATTAAACCAAAAAAAAAATAGTGAGTAAAGAGTCAATTTTATCAGTAGCTATCAAATCCATAAGTCATCATTTCAAGTAATACCATCTTTAATCGACAGAACGATTGCCACAACAATGTAGATGAGACTAAAGATGGTCGATACTACAAGCCAGATCCCAAGAGCCGATAAGTGAGGAATCGCAACCGCGAAAACCGCACAAATCAGACCTGCGATGGCTATACAGTGAGGCAGTTTCAAGGCATGATCATCCCTAAAAAGCACATAAACAGCCTGCAAAAACAGAACACTCTCCAAAATAACTAACTAGGCTCACGGAATCAAGAATCAAGAATCAAGAATCAAGAAAGTGGTTACTACCTTTAAAGCAGAACCAGCTAGGATGATAAATCCACAATTAATCATGAAAAGATTAACATATTGCAATCCCCATGTAAGACAATAAGCCTTTCTACCTGATCAAAAAAAAAAAAAAAAAAAAAAGATAGATATTCATTTAAATGAAAGTAAAAACAGAGAAGAGAAACAGAGCAAATTAAGAGAGGTGGTTTGGTTTTCTCTTACCGTAAATGAATCCAGCGAGGTCTCTATAGCGAATGTGTCTTTTGCCACCAAACTCATGAAGTTTGGCTACGAGAGTGTTTGCATAGAGAGAGATTACAGTAGCAAGAAAAAGACCAACCACACCACCAACCCAGCCTAAAGGAACCATTATTGTTCCTGAATATCCCAACACGTAAGCGTTGTTTATACCGGTCGTCAGAACGAACGCCACTTGAAACCATGAATCTGTACATACATTCCACAAAACGATACTATAAAGCTTCCCAAAATGTAATCTCAGATTATAAAAAGCAGAGTTAAGCAAAGCAAAAGGTCCCAGTCTTATGGTTGTTGTCAAATCTGAGAGGCAGGGGATAAGCCACCAAGAAACTTGAAAATTATCACATTCCAGGATCATTAAAGGTGACATTTTCAAGAAAGGGTCACTGTTATACTTATGAAAGAAGACATTTTTACGAAAAGAAATTATCCTCATAATAGAAAAATGTTCTATGTAACCAAATAGAAAAATGCTGTGCTACTTTTGGAAAAATAAACTTAGTAGTCCATACTCAGAATAAATACTATTTCTTACTTCCTTTTAAGGTATTCTTTAGCAAAAAGAAGGTCTTGTAATTCATAAGTTCTATTGTCTCCTAAATTTTGCTAATATATAGTTTTTCTTCATATATATACATAAGGGTTTATCTTTTGATTCATCTTATGGTAGTATTAAAAAAAAAAAAAAAAAAAACAACAACAAAGAGAAAAGGAGGGAGAGAAACGAATTACAAACCGCTGCCAATCTGATGAGCAGTGTCAGGGATTTCGATGTCAACATCTTCTCTGATATTGCCGTTGCTTATGCGATTCTTAGCTTCGGTGCCATTCATGACTTCTGTGCACTTGTAGTCTCTTGCCGTTAAGAGCTTTTCTCCTCTCTTCTCCTCCAACTCCTCGTTCCTCGACCACAAGAAGAAATCTTGAGAGAGCCAGCTTTTATAATATTTTGCTACGTTGGATTTAACGAGTGGTCGAGTTTTACATACGGTCGAAAATCGTTATCGCACATGCATAATTATTTAAGAGTCAATTAAATATTCATTCATATGGTCCCAATGAGGTGCCGTCCTAGTGTGAACTCCACTACGTACCGACCAAGTTAAAGTGCTACACTATTTTCTCATCCCACTTTCTCACCAAATTTTCTAAGGCTTGGTAGAAAATATTTGATGGGTTTTTAATTTCACTCTTCAGTCCGTAGGTAATTTCCTACCAATCTCCTACCATTCTTAGTTTCTGTCATAATTTCTTAGGGAATTGGTAGTTTTTTGTAGGAAATCGTCCCACTTTCTCACCAAATTTTCTACGGCTTGTAGAAAATATTTGATGGTTTTTTTACGGCTCTGTAGGTATTTTCCTATCATTTTTATTTTGTCATAATCTCGTTATGTTTTCTTGTGGGGAGTGTATATGATGTTTGCAGTACACGTCAACGACTAAGTTCACATCAAAGTTATTGCATGGAAGATACAAGACAAGAGCAATAGTTTAGAAGCTAAAATACGGCGCATTTAGAGTCACTGATGATATAGATAGGTGTATATGCCGTTTCTAAGATGATGTAGAGACAAAGTGATGAGTGTCTCCTTTATACAAATCACTTAAAGTTTCTTCTTTCTACTTTCTTCTTCGTCTTTTCTTTTTGAATCTGGTGTGTCTTTTTCTTTTTGAATTTGGTCTGTCTTTGGTCAATATCACATCACAAAAGTGAGTGTTCATGTATCCAAGAACTTGAAGGATATATATTTAAAAAAGTGATTTGAATTGGCTTATCACTCCTTGATGATCAGCTTTTAAAGTAATACATCATGGAAGTAGCAATTTGTATACGTTTAACATTTTATAAACTTTTTGTTCTATTTAGGCTCTAGGTTAAGAAGAAATAAAAAGAGAATACAAAGCTTACTGTATAATAAACCTTGCCTAAGAACAACAATACAATTGACTACATAAATATGTCTGTATAATTGAATTACAAATCCGCAAAAACATGGAAGTTTTTGGAATCAACGGCGATGAGCCTTACGGCTGCAATGGCAGCAGCAACAGACATCAAGCTAAAGAAGACAACGTTAAGCCAATGCCACAGCTTCTGCATAGGATTGAGCTTATTGTTCTTAGCCTTATAGTACATGTGGTTGGCTAGAATGAACGTGAGAGGGAATGTGCTCACTGCCCCAGTGAGGCTCATGAAGTCCCCAAGGAACGGCAACAGCGCCGAGACAAGCGTGCTAACCGCAATGTACCCGCCTCGGGCCATAACCCTAAACATTAAGTTCTTGATAGCCAATGGGTTTCCTTTGATCCCAAACTTTGTGTCCATGTACTCATACGTTGGACTAGCAAAAATCTACAACAAAAGAACGTATTAATGATCAAGAAACATAAATCTTGATGGTAAGAAGCTGTTTTCTTGAAAGATAAACTTACGTGTAAAGAGATAACAGACTGAAGGATAGCAGAGATGTTAGCAAGGGCTTTGACCCAAAGTGGGCCATTGACACTGTTGAGGAGATAGGTGGAGGTTGAGGAACCGTAAGCCCAATATCCGATGAATGTAACGGCGTACATCGGTAAAACTCCGGCTGTGAACTGAAAGTACAGAGCTTTCATCATGTTCTTCACAACCGGTTGTCTCACTGTTGCCTATCATTGCATGAAAATAACACTAAACATAAATGCAAACAATTAAACTTGAAGACCAAAACAAGAAGCTGAAATCTTAAAGAAGAAATCACCTGAATCTCTGGAAGCATCCCTGTGTTGAAAGCGAAAACAAGATTTGCAGCTGCTCCTGTGATGGTGAAGAGTTTGCTAAAGGATGATCCTTGAATCTCGTAATCTCTTGAAGGTGCTTTCACTCCTACAAACAACCAAACGTAAGAGCCAAGAATCAGATTTTTTTATCAGTAGCTATAAAATACACAAGTCTTGCTAAAAGCCTAGTCTTTGTTTAAAGTTATACCATCTCTAACTGATAGCACGATTGCTATAACAATGTAGATGAGACTAAGGATGGTAGAAACTGCAAGCCAGATCCCAAGAGCTGATAAATGAGGAATCCCAATGGCGAAAATGGCGCATATCAGACCAGCGATGGCTATACAATGAGGTAGCTTCAAGGCATGATCATCCCTGAAAAGCACATACACAGCCTGCAGAAACAGAACACACCACAAAATCACTAACTCGGCTCACAAAATCAAGAATGTGAGAGAAAATGGTTACTATTTACTAGTTACCTTTAAAGCAGAACCAGCTAGGATGATGAATCCACAATTAATCATGAAAAGATTGACATATTGCAGTCCCCATGTAAGACAATAAGCCTTCCTACCTGATAAAGAGAGATCAATCAGTTCAATGAAAGTAAAAAACAGAGAAGAAGGGAAACAGAAAGAGAGCTTCTTTGGGTGTTGTTACCGTAAATGAATCCAGCGAGGTCTCTGTAACGAATGTGTCTTTTGCCACCAAACTCATGAAGCTTGGCTATGAGTGTGTTCGCGTAAAGGGAGATCGCAGTAGCGAGAATAAGACCAACTACGCCACCAATCCAACCTAAAGGAACCATTATTGTTCCTGAATATCCCAACACATAGGCGCTGTTTATACCGGTTGTCAGAACGAACGCCACCTGAAACCATGAATCTGTGTACATTCCACACAAAAAACATACTTAGCTTTTCCCCCAAAATGTGGTCTCAGATTATTACAAGAGAACAGAAAAAAAAAACAGAGTTTTGCAAAGCAAAACCTCCCAAACCTATGGTTGCTAAACGTTTTGAGAGAGTGAGAACCCATCAAGAAACTTGAACTACATCATTTTCGGATTCATTAAAGACAGCATTTTGAAGAATCAACATTTTCAAGGAAGGATCATCGTCAGAACCATCAAAGACATCATTTTGAAGGACGGGTCATTGTCAGAACCATCAAAGACAGGATTTTAAAGAAAAGGGTCATTGTCAAAATCATCAAAGCAACATTTTGAAGAAAGTGTAATTGTCAGAATCAACAAAAGCAACATTTTTAAGTAGTCAGAGACATCAAAGGGAACATTTTGAGGAAAGGGTCATTGTCACAATCATCAAAAGCAACATTTTTAAGTAGTCAGAGTCTCAGAGACATCAAAGGCAAGATTTTTACAAAGGAAAGCATTTCTGCTCCTCAACGAGAGGCAAAATGTGATTGGGTAAAATTTACTCTTCCTGGTAAAGTTTGTCATAGTCAAAAAAAGGTTTAAATAACAAAAAGTAATAAAAGAAATTGAAATTGGACAGCCGTTAGTTAAGAAAAAAACAGATTTAATTTGACCCCCTAATAAGAACAGATTAGAGAACAGCAACAATTGGATTCAATAAGATTGAGATTACAAAACAAAAAAAGAGGGGAAATCGAAATTACAAACCGCTGCTAATCTGATGAGCAGTATCAGGGATTTCGACATCGTCTCCGGCATTGGTTTTCCGATTCTTAGCGTCTGTGGCTGTCATGATTTCAACGACAAACGGCTCGTCTGTCTCTGCAGATAAGAGCCTTTGCCTTTCTTCTCCTCCTCCTCCTCCTTCCTCGACCACATGAAGATATTTTGAGAAAGCCAGCTTTTATAATTTTGTAGAATTTCGGCTTTTTTTAGCGAATATTTTCTCCTTCTCTGTCTTTATTATTGTTCCGCTAATTACGATAAAATAATTTGATTCCCCCTGAAAGAAAAATAAAATGGAGGCAAGAATCCAGCTCGGTTCGTAACTGAAACAAATTATCTGTATTCAGTCAAAGGAATGGAGATTAGAAATCGAATCGAAGAAGATGAAAAAGGTGGTTCCTTTTTTTATGATTAGTGCGTGTTAATTACGACATAGCTTAAAAAGATATTGGTGGGTCTGAGGTACTCTCAGGTTGCTTGTCTGATTTTTTGTTTTTGCATGAGATTCCTAAAAGAATGGCCAAAGTTTTCAATTAATGAATAATTTGAGGTTCTTTATTTAGTTTTATATAGGGATCTACTTGCCAAGGTTTGGGAATCCGCATAAAATGCTATTAATTCTTTTTTGGGCATCATGTGTACTGTTTTTATAATTCACAGTACACAAATTCAGTTTAGCTTCGGTCACTGTGGATAATAATCTCTTTATCTAAATGGTACTATGTCTAACCAAGCTAATCCAACTACTTTAGTTATATCTTAGTTTCGGTGAACTAATTATGGAAGAATTTTTTTTTATACTTGATCCAAAAAAGAATAAAAAAGAAACAGTTTGTGCTTAAACAAAAACCCTTATACTTGGTATGAATGTTAAGAAAGTGTTTTATATTTTTTGTAAATGTTAGGCTAATTACGTGGATGTTACAAACACTGACTACGCAGTAGAAGGAAAGTAATTGAAAAACCATTTGGAGTATTATGTTTGTTGCCTTGTTGCAATGTAATCTTGAAATTGTTTGTCAACTGGAGTATGTTATTTTGATTTTACTAAAATAGTATAACGATTCCATAACACATAATTATGTTCTAATCAGTTTGACCTTGTTCGATTATTAAGAATATTTTTTTTGTCAAAGACTAGTAAGAATATATTGACTTTAAGTAGATAATAAAATTCCCATCAACGTCTTTACACTCGAGTGAAAAGTCCCTTTGGCGATTTTGCCAAACTTCGTTAAATTTCCTTTCTCACATTTGTAATCTTTATATAAACTTAAAGCTCTTTTGCCTTCAAAGAAAATGAAGTTGAAAAGTAGGTTTTAATTGTGTAAATTTGGGTTTTAGTTGTATATGTTTTGTATACAATCCACATATTCTGAACCTGAAGAGCAAGTTGATTGGGGCCATGCAAGTTACAATCTATTGGCTGAAGCTGATGGCAGAAGGGCACAACTTCCCACAAATCTAAAGCCATTTGGAAGTACAACTCGGATTTACTGCATTGTCCAAGAGAGTAGTATAAAATAATCAGGGCCGTGCCTATGTTATAAGTTATAACTTTAGAAGCATTGGCCTACGTCTAATTATTTTCTTATAGTTTTCTTATAAACATTTCTCAAATATTGCCTACGTCCAGATTTTTTAGAAATAAAATGTAAGAGATTATTTAAACTTTTTAACTGTAGTTTGAGACTATTTGTATGTACAAGTTTAGAAGATGTAATTTTATTTCTATGAACAGTCTATGATTTACTTTTCCAAAGCTAGAAACTAAATAAAGAATAAGAAACAAAGTTAAGTATTAAGATATTAAAAAAAGTTTTGTAAGCATTTTTGTAAATTTTTATCTACAAATTGTTTTTTCAGAGACTGGCCTATGGCCTCTATACACGTTGGCACGGCTCTGAAAATAATGAATGGACCCCTTCAATTATAGAAACTGATTATACTATATCCTAGACTTATTTTTACTACAAAAAATTAATTTTGTCGAAGGTTTATTACTCCGAGTTGTATGTATTAGGGTATAACTAGTTTTTTTTTTTTTAATATTGAATCAATCTCTGTACATAATAATCATCTGCCACTTGACCATGACACAAAGCAAAATTCTTGGCAGAAAATATAACATACTTTATTGTATAAAAAAACTCATAATTCGGATGGTGGATATCAAAAACTTTTTTATTAGTGAAGTTTCGTTTTCTCTGAACAGGATTTTTTGTTCCGTGTAGGGTTTTCGATGGATACTGTATTTGAAGAAAACAAGTAACTAGGAATAAGTATACTATATCGTTATATCCTAGATGCTTTGAAGTGGCCTCAATAATGGACCATAAAGAAGTCTTAGTGTTGTGGACGCAATTAATTTCAAGGTCACTTCGTAACAAAGTCCAGAATTTTCTTTTGATTCCTATAAGAAAACTTTGAATTGCTTTTAAAAGAAAGAGAAAAGAGAAGAACATCTTTTGGACCATCTTTATTTTGGTAGGAATATAACTTTGGGTGAAAACTTGACTAATAAAAGTTTCATCAGAACAATAATTGATTTATAAGATAATTTTAAGATGCCAATTTGTTTTTCATCTCAAACAATGTAATATCATAAGCATATATATATAAAAAATTGCGTAAACAGAAGGTTTCGCATTAATGACTTATCTCCTCTACAGCGGTTCAATCTTGGCTCGTTAGACACCGAACCCATGATATGAGGATGAGAGCATTGAATGCAGTTTGGTCCAATTCGGATCATCATAAACCATGTGTGATGCTTTTGCGCGCGGTAGGAGGATAGTGGCACTGGCACGTGTTAACCGTGTGTAAAAACCTTAGGTGGCCGAACTAAAGTACCACTACTGGGCTTCTAAAGCTGAGCCCACGAAGACACTTAGTTTTGGTTCGGAAACTTGCCTAGTTCTTACATGAACGTAGAAGATATCGGGCAAGTTTTCTTGAAAACCCACGATTATTGTAAAAAAACGAGTGAGTTTTGACTTTTGAGCCCGTGACTCATCATGGACAGCAAGAAAAAACCACCATCAGAAAACTAAGACCAAGATCAAGGTGTGATTATGAAACTTGGTCACGTTATAGCAATGCACGTAAGCTCACAATGAGGTAATACTAAGAGAGTGAGCAAGACACTGAGCCAGGTAGAAGGAAATGCCAAATATGTCATGTGCTCTACACATAGATCATTCTACATGCATAACTCTAGATAAACCATTTTAATCGTTTCAACAATAAAGAATACTATAATACTAATACTCCATAAATCTATCCTTTTTTTTACTTCTAGTTTAAAAGAACTACACCTCTTGAGGTGCAAATTTTCAAAAATACATATCTATGGTGTTTATTTTCAAAACTACACTTTTTTCATGGAGTAAAAGAACTCTAAACCCTAAAATCTAACATTGAACCCTTAAATCTAAACCCTAAACCCAAAATCTAAACCCTAATCTAGGATTAGTGAACCCAAACATATATATTAAAATTAGAAAAAGGTGTATTTTTGAAAATTTTTACACTATAGATATAGTTTTGAAAATTTGCACCCCAAGAGGTGTATTTCATAAAATTTCTCAAAGAAAAATATATCCGAAGACATCACTTAGGCTTAATATGCTTTTATGTCCAGCTGCAACAAGTAGATAAGAAGATTCTCAACCGAGTTTTATCTCTCCCGCAGAGCAAGAAATTCGATCGAGTTCTGCAACGTTGGTTTCACACATGTTAAATTATAAAATTTGAGTAGATGTAGGGAAATGTAGGGGTAGAAGTAGATGTATTAAAACAATACTTAACAAAGAAATTACAGTGCTGTTTTTTTTTCTTTTTCTTATTTATCTAGGGGAATTAAGAAACTGGTAAGAAAAAAATATATATCCAATAACTAGAGAGTTTGAGAGACGGGGACTTTAGAAACGTGTGATGACTTTGGGAGGTTTAGAGTTGAGAGGATGAGTTTCACGAGTCGCATTCTCATCTTCCTTCCACATCTTTATGGTCTTGTCTGCCTCACACGTTACCAACCTTGTCTCACCTTGTACACGTTACACGCTGCATAAATACCGGTGATAACTTGTGGGTTAGTCGGACGGGAGATAACGGAGAGAACGTCACTGTCATGTCCCGAGAGTGCAAAAGCTTGCGTCTTCTTACGGATGTCCCATACCCTGCAGACAGAGTCTCGCCCTCCGGTTAGTAACACGTTCAAAGTTGGATCAAGAGCTAAACAGTAGACGCCATGCAAATGACCATGATAAGATCGGATAACCTTGTTCTGCACAAGGTCCCAGCAGTTGACTTGCTTGTCATCACCAGCAGAGAACATGTAGGTAAGTGTGTCGCTGACAGCAAGGCCTCGTACTTGCCCAATATGTCCGGTAAGCGTGACCTTCAAACTTCCACTCGCTACATCCCATACCTTAATGGTACGATCAGCTGAGCCAGTGCAAAACCATTGATTGCTTGGGTCGAACGCAACCGATCTAACCCAACCCAAGTGTCCCTGGATCACCCTGTATGTCTTCCACGGTGCATGCCACTCTGGACGAGGCCATCTCCTTGGTGTTCTCGAACAAAACATGCTATCCCAAATTAGATATTCCCCACAAGTTTGGGTGACACTATTAATCATTTTGTCTTTATTAAATTTCGTTGGCTTGTTTTAATAATACAAAAGAAGTGTGGTCCATCGATGCCCCTTCTCTATTGACACAAAACTCTTCGTACCGACTCTTCAAATATGATTAGAGTAGTGAATGCCATATTGATTCACACATGACGTCAAATGATATTTGATTTTTGTAGCTGTTATACGATACTTTGTAAACCTAAACTATAATCTGTATTGCGTTATAATCAGATTCATGTCAAAGATATGATCATATCATATGACTGTTAATATATTCATGGACCAATGCATCTCTATTGTTTAGACATGATATCAAAATATAATATAATCTATGCATTGTCCTTGTTATGATACGGTAAAAGTTGCATTATACATGTCAACAATTAACTGGCTTGTAGACATATGATCGTACGTTATTTTCTTCTCCATTCAAAAATCCAACATGCAAGCCAATCTAAAATATTCACTTTCTTGAAATTTAACATGCAAACCAATATCAGTGAAGCCTCCAAAAATAAGTATGTTATAGGATAAACCGATAAAGTAATAAATTTGAACACCCTTCGTTTTCGTGTTTATGCATGTACGATAAGGAAAAGTGGAATACTACAATCACTCATGCAAGCCAATCTAAAATATTCACTTTCTTGAAATTTAACATGCAAACCAATATCAGTGAAGCCTCCAAAAATAAGTATGTTATAGGATAAACCGATAAAGTAATAAATTTGAACACCCTTCGTTTTCGTGTTTATGCATGTACGATAAGGAAAAGTGGAATACTACAATCACTTGGTAATTATGAATTTATGAATCAATGTTTTCAAAATGAAAGAAGACAGTGCAACTATGCAAGATTATGGGGTCTTCAGAAATAAATAATACAAATTTGGTCACTGTCGGAAGTGATCGATCGTGTATAATGTGCTTGTGGACGCATACATGCATATAGAGCATGCAGATGGTAGGGTAAATTGGGCATCCGTGGTCTGGTCTCGAATATAACCTCGATGTATAAAATATATACATGAAAATATTAAACATATATTAGTAAAAAACACAAACAAACGTGAGACATTTCAGTCAAAACTAATACTATTGGGCCTTAATGGGCTGCAAAAGATTGCATAATTTCTTCTTTATGATAGTCAACTAATAACATTTTAACCTTTTATGTCAACCGATTAAATTTCCCATTTTTGTCAACATTTAAACCTCTTTCTTTTATCTTCCATCAAATATTAAATACGTGAGTAGTAAATACGTGAAGCTGTCTCATACCGTATTGAAGGTTCCATAAGGACGCGGCTCAACTGGAACCAGAGCTTCTGCATCAGAAGAAGGTGACTCGGAGACAGTCTTTTGTTCTTTTGGCATTTTTCTGTGTGTCTGCATTATATACAAGTATTCAAGAAGAATCAGGGAGAGAAATGAATGAGGACAAGAAAACTCATAGATTCATGATTAATGCAAAACTAAAAGGAAAAATGTAGTAAATATACGGAGGAAATGATTGGCGTGGTGTATATGAAGCCATTTATACCTGCATCCGCGTAACAATCACCCAAATTAGATTCGTCATAAGAACATTGACTGATCTGCACAGAGAAAGAGCTATCATACTTTAAATGAGACTTTAAATGAGACAGAGAAAGGAACAGAAAAAAAAAAAGATTAAACTATTGAAGTATGGATGCTAAATTGCCATGCCACCAAAGTTTACATTCAAATAACAAAACAATGAAGCCTACAGGACCTGACAGTAAAAGTTACACCATCCACCTAGAAGCTCCACTAAACAAGCAACACTATAAGAGCATAAGATGATAGATAAAAAAAGAAGATAACACTACATGTAAAAGGTATGGATGCTAATTGCTAAATTATCATTAGCTGCCATGCCACAAGAGTCTACAATCAAATAGCAAAACAACTGTGACTACAGGACCTGGCAGTGAAAGTTGGACCGTCCAGCTAGAAACAACACTAAAAGAGCATAAGATGATAGCATCAACAATGTGACCATGGCAAGTCTTCCATCATAGCCTACAGTCCAGACACCCAATGAGAAGAATAATGAGAAAGAAGTAAATCACCTAAGCACTATTTTGCATCTAAAACGACAGAATCATCCATTCGATGTATGGCATTGTTAACTAATGACAACAGACTAAAATCTAGCGTATACAAAAAAAACAAAGCACGTAAAGGATTTCGGATTTACCCGGCTAACGACTGTAAATACACAAAAACCATGAAAGCGAGGCATGAGTTTATGATGTGCAGATATAGCGTGAGGGTGTGTAAGAAAACTGCAGAAGAATTGGGTGACACTTTTGGTGAGCTGGACTGACTTCCCAGCTGAGATTGATTTGGGATCAGCACTGTCGATGGTGAGAGTGTAGAGATCAGAGAATCTGGGCAGATTTGAAGATACAACCAAGCCTGTGCTCGTGAATGATCCCTGCGTATTAACAAACCAGATTCTAAGATTTTTAATAAAGTAGCAAATGAGGAGCTAACCAAAACATGTTTCGTCTATAGCAAAACAAGTGAAGGTGAGCATATGTGCTTTGACATTACAATATGAAACAACCCGCTAACAAAATTATTGTATCAATTTGAAATGGATTCAGCTAAGCAAAATGCAGGAGCTCTTTCCGTTGCATATTCTAGACCTAACTAATTAGTAGAGAATGAAAATGTCTCCTTCTCTTGGATACAAACTATATGAGAGGAGTAATCTTGTTCAAGCTGGTGAGAACGAGAAGGAAGACAATTATGTTTCCAGAAACAAGACAGCAGCAATCGCAAATACCAAAAGATTAAAAGAAAAGCCATAGTCATATTACCAAGACCTTAAACAATCAAACAAAACACTGAAAAATGGAAATATATACAGAATGATGTCCTAATCTTTCTATCTTTCTATCTTCAAAATATGTCCAAAATGGAAAAATGGATTTTCGTACAGCTCAAACGCTAAAAACCAAGATGTCCTATGATATGCAAACTCTACTTGACATTATCAGCAGGCTAGCAGAAGCTCAATTCTAATTCCTTACAAAAACAGAAGGAAGGCAAAAGTTTGACACCGGAGATCAAAATACAGTTCCAGTTTGAAATAAGGAAATGGGGGAAGTAATTACATTATTTATCACAGACCTTACAAGCGCACCAGTTACCAAACTATCCAAGATTGCTATTCAATGAAAATATATTCTCAAGAGTCAGAGAACAAACCTCAGGAGGATAGGTGAACAAAATGGCATTCTTCTCCTTAATGTAGAGAATCAGCTGCAACACCGCATTCAACACTACATACTTGCCATAGTCAAGAACCAAACATACAATCTTCTTCAAAAATCATCCAAATACAAGAAATGTATTGAGCAGAGCTTTTATATGGTCATACTTTCTGAGACAGTGAGGATTTATCAAAATCTACTGCTAAGCGCAAATAAGTCAAATCAATCTACAGTTATCTATCTACGCAATTCGATTCAGGGGAGGAGCCAAATGGTAATCAAGCAAAAAGCATTAAAGCGAATTCAGAGTTTATAAAGGATATAATGCGATGCATCCAATCAAAAAGTCTCTGTTCTCAGGGAATTTCTTGTTGTAGAACTGGGCAACAAGAGCAACCACGATAATCACCACTCCTAAGATCAGCTTGAGGTTGCTCAGCCTCACGTCCTCCCTGTAGCCGCGGCTCGTGACGATCTACGCATCACAAGGAAGATCTTCATTTACAGATCGCAGAATATGGAGAAACCGAAGGAATTTTAGCGAGTAGGCCTTACCTCGGAGACGGACTCGTCAAGGATGTGCTTGATCGAGTGGTGGTCCAACAAATTGGCCTTCTTAGCATTTTTGTTCGTCGATTCTGCCTTCTTCTCTTCCATGGCGGACAGATCCGATCCAGAAAATATCAGATCTCTGTGGTTCTGCGGATTCTCGCTTTCGAAAACGCAGAGTGTAGAAATTTTCTCGACTAGACGAAGACTGTTGTTTTGGTTCGAGGAAGAGGAAGACGATATGTTTAATGGAGCTAGGAGACGTTTCAGTCAAAACTAATACTATTGGGCCTTAATGGGCTTCAAAAGATTGCATAATTTCATCTTTATGAAAGTCAACTAAAAACATTTTAACCTTTTTATGTCAACCGATTAAATTTCCCATTTTTGTCAACATTTAAACATCTTTCTTTTATCTTCCATCAAACATTGACCATTTTCAGTCTTTATAACTCAAATGCTCAAGTTTTCTTTCTTTATACAATTAGATTGTGCTTTTAAAATAATAATAGTTGGACCATCATCTTTAACCAAAACGAAGACTAATTCCAAAAGCTACTGCTCTAAAGATTGGAAAAAAAAAACTCTTTGTTTCCTTGGCTCACGACTTGTGCCCTTAATCGTCGCAGATGAAATGGTCTTGTTTCATACTTTTATATTGTGGCAAAAGAATCATAGATCAGCTTCCTCGGTAGGAAAAAAGTATTGGGGGAGCACAAGTTACAACTAATCTTCTTTCTTGACGCTTTGGCCATAACCGAAATGAAGTGTGAGATTACGATTTCTCGTAGCTAACCAAACGAATCGTACATACTTATGAAGGCAGATAATAAATTGTTGGGCTTACTTTAAACATGCAGATAAATTCATCACGCTTAGGTTAGGTTATAAAGAAGGCAAAATACATATAACATCCATAAGCAATAAGTTGAAAACAAACATAAAGAAATGAGAGGTTTTACTTTGCTACAAACATAAGCAAATAAGTTGAAAACATGTCTTCTCCGGGCTTTTGACTGCGTAGTCATCTTCTTACCCCTGAAAAAAAACCCACAAATTAATGAGAGGTTTTACTTTGCTACAAAGAACCAAGAACAAGAATCAACAAGTTGGGATTAAAGCCAAGCATGCAAGAGTGCACTTACGCTTACGGAGATTGTAGTTACTGGACGAGTCGTGCACTGACGCTTACGGAGATTGTAACCACTGGACGAGTTGAGCTGGGTATCATCAGTCTCAGTCTCTGAATCTGAATCTGAATCAGATTCAGGTTCGTTGTACTGGGTATCATTAGTCTCTGTATTCCAAAAGTACTTAAACCCACTGCCAAGATCCACAAGAGCTTTCCATGGCTTAGGGAGAGATGGATCCTCAGGTGCGTAACGGACTATCGAAGGTCTCTTACTCCAGAACGAAGGAGGAGGCTTAGGGAGACTGGGATCCACAGGAGCTGTAGCATCAAACTTTGGATCCCACGTCATCATTGGCCCATTACAGCAGAGCGCTCCATTTTTGGATGGATGGTCAACCACACAAACTTTAACATTCTCCAGTCCTTCCTCTTTACTTTTAAGTCGCAGCGCCTTCTCTAGTGCGTGTATCCCCTTAATATCAACGATAGCGACTCTATCAAAAAGCAACAAACATAAACACATTATTTTCTGCTTTGGTTAGCATTTGATAACATATTTGGGAGGAGGAAGAAGCCACAAACCTCGAGGCAAGAGGTTCTTCGTTTTCGCCATTGCGAACATGTAAAAACAAGACTTTTCCACATCGAGAGAAGTGTTTAAGCAGCACTTTCTTGAGGTAAGGCACGGGAAGCGAAGTGTCATATCCAGCAACAAGCATTCTATAATAAATAGATTGAGATAATATTATCATCAACAAACATAGACAAGGGAAAGTCAATGGAGAAAGAAACAAGAATTTACCTGCAAGTGTCCTCTTTGTCTATCTTTCTCGTACGAGCCAACTCACGAGCCAAAGCACGGTCAGAGTTTTTGGCACCAAATGGGTAAGGCCTAACGACCAACTTGTTTTCTCCGCTGCTGTAACTTCCACCAATAAGTTCCAACCTTGCACCACTAAGTTCCAACGCCTTGTCTTCTGCCCCTTCTCCACGAAGATAAACCAAGGCAAATCTGTAAAACAGAAGAAAAACAAAAAAAAACAAGAGTTTAAAAAAGCTAAGAAAACATGTTTGAGGAAAGACAAAGTCGCCACAAACCTGCTGAGGCCGTCGACGATACTAGAGTATTCACTGTATCCGGGAATGTGAACATGTATCACCTCTCCACATGAAGCGAAATGTTTCTTCATGGAGGTAGCTAACTCATAGCCAGAAATCCAAGTGTCGTATCCTTCTACGTAAATCCTGCTCACAATGCTATTTGACAGCAGGTGATCATATTAGATCATCACAACAACACATGTTACTTCTAAACAAAAAAATAAAATCAATTTTTACCTGGTTTTTCGCAAGTCTTGATGACTATCGATCAATTTCGTAACCTAGGGCACAAAAAGATTTAATCAGATATTTCAAATTCAGAAGAGATTAAAGAAATCCATAAGGATGATCGAAGAATATATTACTTTCGTGGCGGATTCCCCCTCCATGGACAAGTTGAGAATGCGCTAGGTTTTCGAGGTAATAATAACGATATTTTTCGGTTCTAGGGATTTAGGTCGTGTGTCGAAGAAGAAGGAGGAGGTATTTAATTATTTATAATACTTTTTCTTTTTTTTTCCTTTTTTTTTCTTGAGTGTTTAGATTGAAACACAACAAAAGCCGAACAAAGTCGGAATTAAAATCTGGACAAGCCAGAAGATTTATTCCATTTAAATTAAACAAAAACATAAAAGTAGAAACTAAAAGAACAATCGGAAGATAAGATAGAAAACTTTCACTTCCACCTCCTAGAAGTAAGACTACTTCCAAAAAATAATGGAAAGAGATTAACACCAAAAAATAATATTTCCAAAAAAAATAATATTTCCAAAAGAAATATGGAAAAATATTTTGAAGAAGCCGACTTCTTCTCCATATAAATAGAATATTCCTTGAAGACCATTCAGAATCATTAAGAAATCCCCCACAATCACTGAGAGCGCAGAGAGGCAAAACCCTAGCTATAATTCGTTCTTTGTTCTTAGCTTTCTTATTCTCTTTGTATTCATCTCGTCAAGCCTTGTCGACGAGACAAATTGTACCTTGAACTTTGGTTGATCTAATAAAATGTATCTTCTAAAACCACATCTCTTATCTACTATTACTGTGTGATTCTCACAACGATGTAAATGATCTATGCAAGCTGAGGTGGAGGAAAGAGGATGCTTACTTGATATTCCCTCCGTTTTTTTAAGATGAATTTTCTAGAGTTTTCACACATATTAAGGAAAAGCTGATTTTCAATCATTAATGCATAAATTTTTGCAATAAAACAACTTTTTATAATTTTCAACCAATAAAAGTCCAACAAATACAATTAATGTTTCTTGAGAACTGAAAAAGTGCATCAAAAAGTTAGAAATTTTATCTTTGTGAAATAATAAATAATGTCTAGAAAATTCATCTTAAAAAAACAGAGGGAGTATATATGTTGATGCTGAGAAAGAGATATGATCATGATGAAGAACTCCCATTTTAGGTCTCTACCTAGACCGACCGTCGACTTAAAAACAAAATTCACTAGTAATAAAAATAATAACCCCAATATCTGAAAATAAATATGAAAATAAATATGGAAGTTAATACTCTAAGAGAGGCCTGCTGTCAAAAGAAAAAAAAATGGAAGTTAATGCTCCGTAAAGACTTGAGTAGAAGCTAATTCTTGGAAAACATCTAAAGCACAAAACATTTCGTAAAACCCAAAAAAAAAAACAAGGTTTACACATAGGTATCAATCAAAGGCTTCCTCATTTCACTATAACTACAAAATCAGGCTGAGGCTCGTTTAGCTTGAAGATTCTGTTAACAACAGATAGCTCTATAGCAGTTGTGTCTGACCCACAGAAAGCGGTCCAAACGTTGGCAATCAAACCCTAACTTTGTATGCAAACCAAAAAAGTCCCTTAAAAGGTGTGGACACTTCGCCGAATTTCAGTGTCTTGGTAATGCCTCTAACTTCGCTCTGTTGTCCTCTATATTTATATCGGCCCATATAAACCACAAGTAGTTATTGTCGGCGTTGCCCTCTACAATAAACGTGTTCGGTGATTTTCATTTGAAGGTGCCAATCGGCCCATCTTATTCTCTAACATAAACTCTACATAAACCCTATTTGTAACCTTACATATATAGGATCATCACCTCTAAATGAATGAATAAGCTCATTTCTCTTCTCCTTTTCTCACAACATGTCTAACATAATTATATCATTATAACCTTATATATTAAGGTTATATATTAACTGATAAGGTTCACATGACCATTGATAACCACTATGTATCAATGAACAATAACGTCACATCATAATTTATGTATATAACCATCATCAAAAACAGAGGGAGTATATATATTCATGCAACTAAAACAAAAATTTATGTATTAATTAAAACGGTTTTTATCGTCTCATGATTATGTAAGTCCAACGATTGATTCCCGATGGCTTTGATCCTCGTCTGGTCCGTCAGAGAATAGAATCGGCGTTAGATAGGTCAAACACTTGGAAGCGTAGTTATCTTCTTACCCCTAAAAAAACCACAAATTAATGAGAGGTTTTACTTTGCTACAAAGAATCAAGAACAAGAATCAAGAATCAAGTTCATGTATTTGTTAGGATTAAAGCCAATCATGCAAGAGTGCACTTACGCTTACGGAGATTGTAATTACTGGACGAGTTGAGCTGGGTATCCTCAGTCTCTGAATCTGAATCTGAATCTGAATCTGAATCAGGTGCGTTGTACTGGGTAACATTAGTCTCTGTATTCCAAAGGTACTTAAACCCAGTGCTGCAATCCACAAGAGCTTTCCATGGCTTAGGGAGAGATGGATCCTCAGGTGCGTAACGGATTATCGAAGGTCTCTTACTAAACCTCGGAGAAGGAGGCTTAGGGAGATTGGGATCCTCAGGAGCTGTAGCATCAAACACTGGATCCCACGTCATGATTGGCCCACCACAGAATAGCGCTCCATTTTTGAGAGGATTTGCAACCTCAAAAACTTTAACATTCTCCAATCCTTTAACATTACATCTAAGTTGCAGCGCCTTCTCTATTGCGTGTATTCCCGTCATATCAACGTAAGCGACTCTATCAAAAAGCAACAAACAAAAACACATCATTTTCTTCTTTGTTTAGCATTTGATAACATATTTTGGAGGAAGAAGCCACAAACCTCCTGGCAACAGCTTCGTTTTCTTTTTCTTTGAGAACTTGTACAAACACGACTTCTCCACATCGAGAGAAATGTTTAAACAGCTTGCTCTTGAGATACTCCACGGAACGCGAAGTGTCATATCCATCAACACGCATTCTATAATAATTAGATTGAGATAATATTATCATCATCAACAAAACATAGACAAGAAAATCAATGGAGAAAGAAAGAAGAATTTACATGCGATGCTCCAGTTTGTCATCGTCTCTCGTACGAGCCAACTCACGAGCCAAGTCAGGGTCAGGGTTTTTGGCACGGAACGGGTAAGGCTTAACGACCAACTTGTTTTCTCCGCTGCTGTAACTTCCACCAATAAGTTCCAACCTTGCACCACTAAGTTCCAACGCCTTGTCTTGTGCACCTTCTCCACGAATATAAATCAAGGCAAATCTGTAAAACAAAAACAAAAAAAACAAGAGTTTAAAAAAAGCTAAGAAAACATGTTTGAGGAAAGACAAAGACGCCACAAACCTGCTGACGCCGCTGGTGAGACTAGAGCCACGAGAGTATCCGGGAATGTGAACATGTATCACATGTCCACATGAAGCGAAATGTTTTTTCATAGAGATGGCCAACTCATAGCCAGAAAGCCAAGTGTCGTATCCCTCAACGTAAATCCTGCTCACAGTGCTTCTACTGCAATACATGTGATCATATTAGTATCCTCACAACAACACACATGTTACATCTAAACAAAAAACAAAAACAAAAAAAAAACAATTTTTACCTGGTTTTTCGCAAGTCTTGATGACTATCGATCAATTCCGGAACCTAGGTTTTGAAAAAGATCTAATCAGATATTTCAAATTCAGAAACAGAGATTAAAGAAAGCCATAAGGATGCTCGAAGAAGATATTACTTTGGTGGCGGATCCCCCCTCCATGGACAAGTTGAGGGGTGAGGCAATAATAACGATATTTTTCGGTTCTAGGGATTTAGGTAGTGTGTCAAAGAAGAAGGAGGAGGTATTTAATTATTTATAATACTTTTTCTTTTCTTTTTTCCTTTTTTTTTTCTTGAGTGTTTAGATTGAAACACAACAAAGGCCGACCAAAGTCGGATTTCTGTGTCTTGGTAATGCTTCTAACTTCTAACTTCGCTCTTTTGTCCTCTATATTTATATGGGCCCAATAAACCAACCACAAGTAGTTATTGTCGGCGTGGCCCTCTTACAATAAACGGGTTCGGTGATTTTGATAAGAAGGTGCCTTGATGTTTGTGTTTACCTTGTAGAGTAAAGACATAACTGCGATTTTGAGATGATGAACACTTAGAAAACGTCGGTGTTGTGGGACATCAACGGCTGTCCGATTCCCGATGGTTTTGATCCTCTTCTGGTCAGGCAGAGAATAGAATCGGCGTTAGATAGGTCAAACACTTGGAAGCGTCTCTATATAAGCAAAAGATTCTGTCTTTTTTTTGTACATTTTACAGATATTCAAGACTAAAGATCATACGCAGAGATATGACGCCAATAAGAAGCCCGGAGATGAAAATGCCAATCACATATGGACTTGTTTGGTGGGAAGGAGGAAAATGAGCAAAAATTGGTAGTTTAAATACAAAGAAAGCACCATGGCTACAACTTGTCAGAGGAAAAGGTACTTGAAAGCTATTAGATGATTTGATACAGTGAAAGGGAATTTCTAAGAGTTGAATGGACGGTTAGGTTATAATGAAGGCAAATCTACATAAGGCTTGGACATCTCAAGCCTTGACACGTGGCACTTTTTTTTTTTTTTCGCCTAACACCAAAACGACGTCGTTTTGCGCTTTTTTTTTTTTTTTTCGTCTTACACCAAAACGACGTCGTTTTCGTTAAAAAAAAAAATCTAAATCAAAATTATGTGTAATGCTGTTCGTTTTGATGGGCTTGATTATTTATCGGACCTCTTCGTTTCCATGGTAGCTTTAAATGGGCTTACTGGCTAATTAGCTCATTTCATTTCCTTTTAAAAAGGTTGCAATTATTATTATCTATGAGTCTGTAGGATAATAATCAATCTATAATGATTGTTAGTATAAGGAAAATTAGAAGAACTCAACTCCAGTCGATAAATTATTGTATAAAAGAACAAAAAACATATGAAACTATTCACTATGAGTCTATATAAGATTTCACGTAAATAACAACTAAATTTTAAAACTATATGAAAAAAAACAAAATGCAAAACTTACAGAATCTAATATATTCGAGTAAAAAACAAATGATATATTCGAATCTAATGTTCTGAATAATTAAATTAAAAATATTTGGTTTAATAAACCCGCGCATTGCGCGGGTTCTCTCCTAGTTCTATACTACTCCCTCCGTTTTTTAAAGATAAATTTTCTAGTTTTTTCACACAGATTAAGAAAAAGTTGATTTTCAATCATAAATGCATAGATTTCTGCAATAAAACAACTTTTTATAATTTTAAACCAATAAAAATCCAACAAATACAATCAATGTTTCTTGAAAACTGAAAAAGTGCTTCAAAAAGGTAAAAAAATTATCTTTGTGAAACAACACATAATTGCTAGAAAATTCATTTTAAAAAAACGGAGGGAGTATAAAAGATGGCCATCTCTCTCCAGCTGATCGCCACGTCAGCACGGGAGAGATGGCCACGTGGCACTCTAAAAAATTTACCAAAAAAAAAAAAACATATCGACTCTTCACGTTCCGATTTCTTTCTCGCTGCCTGTTTTCTTCTCCGATTTGATTAACCTCTCTGATTTTCACCATCTTCGTAGATCACTCCCACACTATCTCGGAGAAGCATACACATCTCCGGATTTAGGGTTTCTGACGAACAGATTGCATCCACCGTTCGTTATAGATTTGCCTCTAACCATGATTCCATGAACACAGAGAAGCTCAACGCTGTTTTCCGATCGTAGGTTTTTAAAAACCTTCATCAAAGTAATTTCTCACCGTCATTCTCTTTTCTTTACTCGCTTTGACGGATTTAATTAGTCTTGTGTATCTGCAGGTTGATCTGTACATCATATCAACATCATCGTAGCGAAACGTGGTACAGCCGATGAGGAAGAGGGTACGAAAGCTTATTTAGCCGCATGTCCCTGTATCGTCTCTCTCCCCTTCGCCGTAAAACCTGAAATCCACCCACTATTTCCTCACCGTCGCCTACCCCTGCGCTCTCCACCCAATCTCCACCTCTCTGATTCGCACCTTATCCCTTTGATTCTTCCTCTTACGCCGCTTATCCTTCCAATGGCAATCCCTCCAAGTCTCATTCGAGGATTTTTTCTTCAGATGATCTTTCAGCTATGTTCTTTCAGCTATGTGTGAAGAAGTAAGCCAAATAAAATTTGCTTTTATAATTTTCTATGAAAGAGTATGGATGTTGATAGTTTATTTTGTTTTCTTTTATCTTTTGACCAATCATCTAGAAAAATTGTATGCACTTTAGAAGATGGTTTCCTATGGGATCCAATGGCTGAGTTCTATAAAGGCCGGATGCCTATGTGGCTACATGATGATGCCCTTACAGGAAGTGATAAGCTATGTACTCTCTTAAGCACATACAAGTAAACCTTCCTTCCAGTTACCTTAAGTGTTTTAAAATACAGGTGAAGGAACTAGATTTGCAAGAGATGAATGATAGATTTGCTAACGTTCCGCTCAAGTTTGTATTATAACTCACCTATATCATGTGGTGAAATGTCAACGTTTATGTTTACGTCTAATCATCGTTAACGCCATGGTCTCGGTATTCAGGTAAAGATTTATAGGAAAGGGGTGACACACTGAACAAGAGAAGCCTACGGTGGAGCCGAAAAAGAGTGCATAACAAGTTAAGAGACTCCAACTTAACATGGTACGGTTTATAATGTTTACTTTTGAGTTCGGTTTAATTACATCAGTTGACATTTGTATATGATCAATTCATTATGACCTTATAACTGATTCCCTTAGTATCAATGACTTGATGATAGTTTAGTACTCAGAAGTTTGAGATTAGGACCAAGTTTGATAATTTTTTCTTTGTTCTTCTTGTGTGAATGTCTGAGTGATTTGAATCATATGATGACGTTGGTAGTAAAATAATTGAACACCAACGATAGCTGCTGATATGGTTTAGCTTCATACATTAGTGAATTGGCTCCCTCAACAAAACTGAGGTGAGCATCTGGGAATGCTGTTAGCTTGTGAATGAGATTGTCAATGAAATTTATCATGATTAGAACCAACCTCCGATCAAACATTTTTTCTATTTAGTATACAGGACTGAAAAACTTCTCTAACGTTGTAGCTTTAATTTTAATTAACGTTGAGATGACAGGGATTGGTAGTATGTTTACAGGTTTTCGATTTTGTATGAGCAGTTAGTTCGAATTAAGGCTTCCCTATGAATAAGTATCTCCATATCTTCTCTTGCTTTCTTCTTCAACGTGAATGAAGAACTTAGAGATGGAGAGAGAGCGAGAGAGTCGGTTCTCATTTCAAGTGTATTGAGGTTATGCATTTGGACGTGGCAACTTTAGGTGAGTTCGATCTGTTCATGTGCGTTTAATGTCCCGTTCGTAAATTATTGTCAAGGTTAATAGTTGGTGATGCTTTTTCATAAGCATCTGAGACCGATTTAGTTCTCCTGGGACAGAGGTTCAGGTGAGATAGAGGAATCTCTTCAAGGTTACTATTCCGTTTTCGCGTCTCTAATGCATCTTTGCTTGGGTTGATAGTTGTTTACTGATAGTTGCAAAATACTGAGAAAAGTTATTTAGTTTATTCCTGATCATGAACTTCTCCAGCCTCGGGGAATCTTTGAATTAAAATAAATCCAAAAAAAGTTTCTATGTAATTTAGTAGCTTGAACCTATTGAAATTTGATCTTATAAGATGCAAACACTGCAAACTGAGACAATGTAAAAAATGTTTAAAAATAAAATGTACAAAGAAAATAGATTCATAAGCTCTCACTAAAACAACAAACATATACTCTGTCTATTTTTTAAAGAAGATAATTTAAGAATTTTCACACAAAAAACTATATTAAATATGTTTCATATATATGTACTAACAATTTTCAATATTTTAACCAATCATAATTCAATAATTTCAATTGGTTTTCATAAAAGTTGAAATTAATCAGTATTACTTAATAAAAAATGGATTGAGAACTGAGAAAACTCATCTTTAGAATACCAAAAGATTGGGAGTATATAATATGAAAGCAAGATATAAAAAATAATATTTAAAAGATGAATTTTCTTAATTTTCAATGTTTTTTTAAAAGAGAAGTGAAAGCTCAAAGACAAATACATCTATATTTTGTGACAAATGAAATGTGAATATGTTTGTAACTCATACACATACAAAAGTTTTGGTCTATGTGAAAATTATGGCATCTCATAGGCAATTGCATCATTAAGAAATTGATATATATATATATATATATATATATATTTTTTTTTCCTTAACAGAATTAACAACTAAACTTCCTTGAAATAGAGAAGAACATAAAACTAAGAGTTAATGATGCATTATATGTCACTTGCATTTTCCTAAATTAACTCAAAGTTTAAGATAATCGAATAATTAACTGAACATGAAAGATAAGACTCAACTTCATTCACACAGTTTTGCCAAAACTATGTATGATGTTGGAAATGCGATTTATAAGTTATAAAATAAAAAAAATGAATCAGACGTCATGTTACATGAGGGGTGAGAAAAAAAACCGAAAAAGTAAAGTAACAAATGAGTCGGATAGACCATAATATATATATTTTTTAAACAAACTTTACAAAACATGAAAAAAAAACAAAAGTAAAATGAGAAAAATTAACAAAACCACCCGCGCCGGCTTCAACCTAGTACATTTAACATCCACTGAAAAGGGTAAAAAACACTGAAAAAAACACAAACATAAGTAATAAGTTGAAAACATCTTCTTCTTGTCCGAGCTTGTCATCTTCTTACCCCTAAAAAACCACAAATTAATGAGAGGTTTTACTTTGCAACAAAGAATCAAGAATCCAAGCATGCAAGAGTGCACTTACGCTTACGGAGATTGTAATTACTGGACGAGTTGAGCTGGGGTCTCTGAATCTGAATCTGAAGGTCAGGTCGTTGTACTGGGTAACATTAGTCTCTGTATTCCAAAAGTACTTAAACCCACTGCGACGATCCACAAGAGCTTTCCATGGCTTAGGGAGAGATGGATCCTCAGGTGCGTAACGGATTATCGAAGGTCCTTACTCATCTCATCCAGACGAAGGAGGAGGCTTAGGGAGATTGGGATCCTCAGGAGCTGTAGCATCAAACACTGGATCCCACGTCATGATTGGCCCACCACAGCATAGCGCTCCATTTTTGGCTGGATTTCAACCTCACAAACTTTAACATTCTCCAATCCTTCTACATTTAAGTTGCAGCGCCTTCTCTAGTGCGTGTATTCCCCAATATCAACGTAAGCGACTCTATCAAAAAGCAACAAACAAAAACACATCATTTTCTCTTTGGTTAGCATTTGATAACATATTTGGGAGGAGGAAGAAGCCACAAACCTCGAGGCAAGAGCTTCGTTTTCTTTTTCTTTGAGAACTTGTACAAAAGACTTTCCACATCGAGAGAAGTGTTTAAACAGCATGCTCTTGAGATAATCCACGGGAACGCGAAGTGTCATATCCATCAACACGCATTCTATAATAATTAGATTGAGATAATATTATTCATCATCAACAAAACATAGACAAGAAAATCAATGGAGAAAGAAACAAGAATTTACATGCGATGTCCCTTTGTCTTTCTTTCTCGTACGAGCCAACTCACGAGCCAAGTCAGGGTCAGGGTTTTTGGCACCAAACGGGTAAGGCTTAACGACCAACTTGTTTTCTCCGCTGCTGTAACTTCCACCAATAAGTTCCAACCTTGCACCACTAAGTTCCAACGCCTTGTCTTGTGCCCCTTCTCCACGAAGATAAATCAAGGCAAATCTGTAAAACAGAAGAAAAAAAAAACAAGAGTTTAAAAAAGCTAAGAAAACATGTTTGAGGAAAGACAAAGACGCCACAAACCTGCTGAGGCCTGGGACACTAGAGCGAGAGTATCCGGGAATGTGAACATGTATCACATGTCCACATGAAGCGAAATGTTTTTTCATAGAGATACTAACTCATAGCCAGAAAGCCAAGTGTCGTATCCCTCAACGTAAATCCTGCTCACAATGCTATTTGACAGCAGGTGATCATATTAGTATCATCACAACAACACATGTTACATCTAAACAAAAAAAATCAATTTTTACCTGCTTTTTCGCAAGTCTTGATGACTATCGATCAATTCCGGAACCTAGGGTACAAAAGATCTAATTAGATATTTCAAATTCAGAAACAGAGATTAAAGAAAGCCATATCGAAGATATTACTTTGGTGGCGGATCCCCCTCCATGGACAAGTTGAGAGAATGCGCTAGGTTTTGAATAATAACGATATTTTTCGGTTCTAGGGATTTAGGTCGTGTGTCGAAGAAGAAGGAGGACATTATAATACTTTTTCTTTTTGTTCCCTTTCTTTTATTCTTTTTTTTTGTCGACGTCTCTTTTATTCTTCTTTAGATTTTATATTAAATTTAAAACCGAACAAAGTCGGAATTAAAATCCAGAAGATTTATTCGATCTAAATTAAACAAAAACATAAAGTAGAAACTAAAAGACCAATCCGATTGACCATCACCATCAATGCGACTAAATACATTTTCAAGCTTGCACTGCTGAGAAAGAGATATGATCATGATGAAGAACTCCCATATTAGGTCTCTACCTAGACGACCGTCGTCGACTTTTAAAAAAATTAACTAGTAATAAAAATAGATAGATATCATGTTACAATCGAGTGCTACTAGACCGCAGATATGAAGTAGATAGATATCATGTTGAATTTGTATTTACTGACTTTGTGATCCGAAAACACATTGAAGGTAAGCAACAATAAGAGGAAGGAAGGAAGAAGAAGAAGTTGACCCGGAATGATTTGTGAACAAGATGGAAAAGACATGGCCCATGGCTATGGGGTGGTGTTCTTCTTTAAGACATTTCATATGGTTAAGAAAGAATGGTTTGTTCTAGACTAATTCTACCGGCAAATGTTGTGTGTTTAACATATGCTTCTCTTCTAGCCTCTGTTTTTAAATTTTAATTGACCTATATACTTGTACCAAACATCTTCTTAAATTCATTTCATAAGACATTCCACATGGTTAAGAATGGTTTGGTTCTCCTTAACTGGCAAATCTTGTGTTAACATATGCTTCTCTCCTAGTCTCTACTTAACTTAAATTCACTCTGGATACCGTGTTTTTGTGTATGGAGATTATATCTACTAATTAACCAGATGGTATGTTTCGATTAAAAAAAACTTAACGTTGAGGTAATAAAGCATTAACGTTTGAATGTTCGATGGTAATGTGTTGTGATGCATGTCTCTGATAAACAAGAACCAAATTGAATTGTTGTTGACGAGCCTTGTCGATGCCAGAAGGATTCCTCCTGTTCACGAGCAAGGGACTCGCCTAATTTACCAAACCCAACTTAGAAGTTGAACATGCAATAAATCTGAACCACGTTATGCATTCAAACTTCATCAACGAGTCCCTCGAGTAGCTAGAGCTACACAGGGTTGCTGTCTCTGGAGATGTACGTTGGTGTTCTTCTTTAAGACAATTCATATGGTTAAAAGGGACAAGATGGGATGAATCCAATCAAAAATTCTCTGTTCTCAGGGAATTTCTTGTTGTAGAACTGGGCAACAAGACCAACGATCGATAATCACCACTCCTAAGTTCAGTTTGAGGTTGCTCAACCTCACGTCCTCCTTGTAGGTTGTAGCCACGCATCAGAAGGAAGATCATCGTTTACAGATGACATAATATTGGAGAAACGAATAAATTCTAGCGAGTAGGCCTTACCTCGTCAAGGATGTGCTTGATCGAGTGGTGGTCCAACAGATTGGCCTTCTTAGCATTTTTGTTCGTCGATTCTGCCTTCTTCTCTTCCATGGAGGACAGATCCGATCCAGAAGATATCAGATCTCTACGGTTCGGAGAATTCGCGCTTTCGAGTGTAGGATTTTATCGAGCGCAGAGACTAGAAGAGACTGTTTGTTTTTGGTTTGAGGAGGACGAAGACGAGACGTTTTCCGTCAACACTAATATTGGGCCTTATTGGGCTTCAAAAGATTGCACTCTTTTTTGCATAATTTTCTCTATGTCAACCGATTAAATAAATCCCCCTTTTTTGTCAACATTTTAAACCTCTTTTTGTTATCTTCCATCCAATATTTGACTATTTAAGACTTTACTAGTAGAGGACCCGCGCAAACGCGCGGTATGACGTTGCGGTTTTGTGAAGAAAATCTAAATTTAAACTCGAACCCGACCCAAAAACCCTAATCAAAATTTTAAAAAAACCCAAACCCTTTTAATATGTCTAAACCCGAAAATCCAAAATCAAAAAAATCCTGAAAACCCTGAACCAAATAAAAAAAAAACTCGAAAATTTTCCACCCGAAACCCGAATCCGACTTAAAAACCCTAATAAAAATTTTAAAATACCAAAGTTTTTTTAATATGTCCAAACCCGAAAACCCAAAATCCAAAAAATCCGGAAAACCGTGAACTAAACCCAAAAAAACCGAACCCAAACCGAACAGAAATTTTAAAAAAATCCCAAAAACAATTTGATTTAAATTAGACGTATTTCAATTTCACTATTGGAAATTTTGCAAATATCATTTGATCATATTCTATTGATTTGGTATTATCGATAGTTATGTTAATTTTTATTTTTTGCAGATTTTTTAAGAGTTGGAAAACGGAAGTTTTCTAAACCATCGGTTTGTTTTAAGTTATTATTCTTGTATCCAAACAGTTTTTTCCATTTATTCTTCTATCCAAATAGATTTTTCTCTTATTCTTATATCCAAACAACTTTTTTTTCCATTTATTCTTCTATCCAACATAGATGTTTATCTTATTCTTGTATCCAAACATTAGAATGTACTTCTCAATTAATAATATAAAGATAACTTAAAAATCCCTCGAGGAAACCAACCTCGATGACCAGTAATGTATTAGGAACGTTAGTGTGAATTCTAGGAGCGTTTTTAAATCCCTCGAGGAAACCAAGTGTTTTCCTTAGAACCTGAATTAACACTCTCCAAATCAAGATAGAGACTTGGTTAGTTAGAACTTAGAATATAGAAGGGGCTACACTCTCCAAATCAAGATATGAGACTTGGTTAGAATTTAGAATATAGAGGGGCTCTAGTATCAAATTGTGTTTATATTTTGACTGCAAAAAGTTGCCAAGTCATGGGTATAATCTAGAATCTCGCCCACGCTATTTATTTCCCCGGATAATTGTAGTCCTTAGATATAAGCGAACCAACGAACCTTGGTGATAAAACTTTTTGTAAATTTGTAATGATATTTCCATGATAAATGTGACTAAAAAAAGTCTTTTAACTTTATTGCTGAAGTTTTGTCTCTATATACAATTAGATTGGATCCATATATGTTGACTGTATTAGTAGAGAGATGAGATCGCATCAATTGTTGCAGTAGAACTTTAGTGTGTTGAAATCAATAAAAAACACCAGACAAACTCTAATAGTTCTCTGTAATGAAATTCAAGGCAATAGCAGGGTTAAGAAAGACACAAAACAAATCTACCAAATTTTAGAGAGTATATTCATAATAGAAAGAAGATGCTACTAATCCAATATTCTTGTAGAAAATACAATAATCAATTGTAATCATATAATGAAATGCACGACATTCCCAATAATGTGATAATAAACTAATCAAGAAATTACTGGAAGTTTTAATTCAATCTATTCATTTATTTCAATCTTATTTCTAAATTCCCTAGTTGGATTGGATTCAAGTAAGGCTTTAAGACTTGACTCTGCTGCTGGAGCTCGCGTTTGAGAGCAAAAGCTTAGCTCCCTTGACAAGCTCTTCCTTGATCATGAACAGAACCGCAGCCGCTAAAACGCTCTGGCAAATCTTTGTGCTCATCCCTTTGTAAAACCCGTAAAGCCCTTCGTATTTTATCATTTTCAGAATCGCGTCCAGCGTTCCTGTAATTCCAACAAAAACCAACAACAACTCTCAGCTTCTTTCACAGGTCCATGAACTGAACAAATAGTTTGGCCTGATTATTACAAGAGGGTTTTAAGTTAACTTCTAACCTTTGTACTGTTGTCTTTTGTCCCCTGTTGTGACCTGTTTAGCTTGAAGTCGCGACTTTACGACCAAGAGTGGATAAGTTGTGACTGTAGCTCCGAGTTTAGCCACAGCTCCAAGAAGAAATGTCTACGGAAACCAAAAACAAAAACGATCAAACGTGGGAATTTGACAATGGAGAGCAAGAAATGTCTTTTATCAAACGGAAGAAACAAATGGTAGAGTCCGAACCTCCAAGGCGGTTACGTTGTTGCTACCTTTCAAGGCACGCTTTTTCTTCAGCTTTGCTAACATTGTCTCGTACAGCATAAATTGCATTGATGGATTACTTACCTGTGGGTTAAAACAAAAAAAAAACACATCTTACGATCGGTAAAAGCAGCCAGACAAACGATATAAGAGAAGCTTCAAAAAGTCTAAGTTCATGTACGTACCATGATCAATGTTGGAATTACACCTTTCCAGAAGCCAGTCACTCCAGCTTCTTCGTAAACCTCTCGAATCTGATACATTGTACAATATTTATCACAGAAATTAGGTTTATAAAGTTTGAAATAAGTTTCAAATTCATCTTGTAATCAGCTTAAAGCCAGCTTCTTCTGAGTTGTAAATACGTGAAGCTGTCTCATACCGTATTAAAGGTTCCGTAGGGACGCGGCTCAACAGGAACCAGAGCTTCCGCAACAGAAGAAGGTGACTCAGAGACTATCTTTTGTTCTTTTGGCATTTTTCTGTGGGTCTGCATTTTATATACAAGTATTCAAGAAGAATCAGGGAGAGAAATGAATGAGGACAAGAAAAGTCGTTGATTTATAAATATACGGAGAAATTGATTGGTGTGGTGTATATGAAGCCATTTATACCTGCATGCGCGTAACAATCACCCAAATTGGATTCGTCATAAGAACATTGACTGATCTGCACAGAGAAAGAGCTATCATACTTCAAATGAGACCGCAGAAGGAAGAGAGAAAAAAGATAACCCTACTGAAGTATGCCACAAGAGTCTACAATCAAATAACAAAGCAGCTGTGACTACAGGACCTGGCAGTGAAAGTTAAGACCGTCCAGCTAGAAACAACACTATAAGAGCATAACATGATAGCTTCAACAATGTGACCATGGCAAGTCTTCCCTCATAGCCTACACTCATTCTAGACACCCAATGTGAAGAAATTATGAGAAAGAAAGAAGTAAACCACCTAAGCACTATTTTGCATCTAAAACGACAGAATCATCCATTCGATGTATGGCATTGCTAACTAATGACAACAGACAAAAACAAAATCACAGAAAGGATTGTGGTTTTACCCGGCTAATGCAGCCACTAAAAGTGAAGAGAACATCCCAACGGATCCGTCACCCAAACCTTTCTTGCTTTGCTGAAGAGCTGCAGCTTCCACCTGATTCCGAAACACTTGGTAGAAGTAATAGTAAACCCCCTGCCTCATCCAACAAGAGCGAGCGAGCGAGCAAGTAAGCAATCAAAGAAGATGATCACTTTCTCTCTAAAATATAAATTCTCCAAAGAGGTTTACCTGTGATGCCGCAGTTCCAGCAAGAGACGGCGCTAATCCGCCATATAATCGCTCCCATCCCTCTTGTTTCACAACCTTGAAAGCAAATTCAAGAACATGCCAATACAAAAATCAGACTTCACAGAGTCCAAAACTAATCCAATCCAGCAAAATCAAGCTCTTAAATTTCTCCAAGTGAAGATTCTCATCGCAATAAACAATCTTTCTTTGATACTGAGATTGAGGAGGAAAAGGAAAGACCTGGCACATGTGTTGGAAAGTTCCAAGTTTCTTCTTCTCCCTCTTCAGATCCCGCTCCGTCTGTTGGCGCGTATTTACCTGATTGCAACGATTACCACACAGAAAACAGAAAACATCGCTTCAAATGTGACGAAGATTATCCAGAAGAAGAAAAAGGGGAAATTCGAAGAATCGGTACAGTTTGGAGAGGATAAGTGAGGAGCTGAGCAATGATCCCACCACCAGCTCCAGCCAATCCATTGATCAGAGCGTCCGACATGATTTTCTATCTTCCACAAACACAAAATTAGAAATCAGAAACAGGAAAAATCGGAAATCGCTGCTAATGCCAAAGCAAAAGCAGAAGAGAGATCCAGATTACCTCCGGTTCAATTCAAATACCGAACAGGAATTGAAATCAAAAATTTCCGAAGATGGAGAATCAAAAGAGCTTAGGGAAAGCTGTTGTTGATGATGGCGTCAGCTTCTTCTCCATCCCCCAATGGACTTTTTTTTCTCTCTTTCGTTTCAGATTTTGTTCATTCCTAAGAGAACACGGAAAGTTGACGTTGAGTAGTGAGTGTATGGATGTTAATTGACTGATATACCCTTAAATAACTTAGTTAGATAAGCTCATTTTTCTTGAATTGCGTGTGTTCGGTCCATATGATGTGGGAGAAGGAAGAAGTAAGCCCTTTCTTGGATTTGATTTTGGTGAATTACCTTTTCAAATCTGGCCCGGTATGGTCATGACTCATGACAGTTTCAATTCCTTTTATGGTTCAACAGCAATGTGATTCAAGTTCATTTACAATGTTGAATGTTAATTTTCAGCCACACGCAATTAAAGTATTAAACAAAAATTGGGGTGATTTTGAGCACATCTCTTCCCTTTTACAACATCGTCTAGGATTCCAAGTGCTTTGATCTTTTTGTTTAACAGAAAGTTAAATCTGACTTAAAATCCACATGTAAAATATTCAGACGAACAAATAAAAGAGTCGGACTAAACGGGCCGTCTTTATATTCGAAGACGCCCGCAACATATGACTGATGCGTCCAATTAAAGTACCTGACTCGCGGTACTTGGCATCATTCACCATACACATATAACATTTGTACTTTTTTTAGCACTAGAAACGTTTCACCATTTTTTTTCACCATACCATTTTGTATGGTTTCATGTTTTTGCAAGAAAAATCAAATCGAAACTTTATAATGACAAAGAGTGTTATGTAACATATGTAAAACATTATTTAAGGTCAACTTACAGAGTTACATTATAATATTACATCACTAATTAAGCTCTTGAGAAAGACAAAAACAAAACAAAAAAAGAGGCAAATCGTTACGTTATTTCATAAACTCCGTCAATTTTTTGATACGTATCGCATAAATTCTCCGTCAGCTTCTATGCCAGCCATTGTCTCCGGCGCTAGAACCACCTCTAAATCAACACCTCCATTTCCTTCTCTCCCCGGAAACGCCGAGATCTTCCCGTCAAACTTGTTCGACCGCCCGCTTCTAACTGCCACCGGCCTTCCCCAACCAAAGTCGTTATCATACATCGGAAATCTAGGAGAGCTACCCATGGTAACGGACGCTCCATCGGCATTCCCGAGAGGAAAACACCTCGGATTCGCCTCCCAATCCGCCACAACGCTTCGAACTCTCCCGTCTTGGTGAGCCGCCACACTCTGGTTGAGCTGATCAGCGGTCCATCGGAGATCCCGAGACAGAACCTCTCCCGCGGTCGCAAATGTAGGAACGCTCTGGATCGCGTTTCCGAAGTATTCCGGGTCCAGCTTAGGACTCAACCGGTGGCGACAGTTCACCGCCATCCGAAACGTCGTCGTTTTAGAGCTCGGAAGCTTCCTTGCTCGAGTGATCGCTCGCCAGAGCAACGCGCAGAGAGACTGAAACGACGAGATCTCAACCGCAATAACGGATTTGTTCACTGTCTTCGAAACGGCGTCGTTTCTCCCTAACAGACTCTCCAGCATTTCCGTCAGTCTACCGTTCTCTTTTCCGTTAAGTTTGTCGTTGCTTTGCTTCCCCATCACCTCAACGTCGTTTATCTCGCCGTTAACAGCCGTCCAGTTTCTCTTCTTGTTCACCATCGCTTTCAGCTCCTGAATCTGTTCCCTACTGAAACTGAAGATCCGTTCTCGTAACGGCGCGTTCTCGTCGAACGTCACCTTGGGCCCACCTTTAGGTACTTTGAGCACAGCCGGTGAGATCAGCACAGACTCCCGCGTAAAATCAGGCTGACGTGTCACATTCTCAGCGCCTCTTGACACCTCAGCGAACGTATTAATGAAATTCCACAGCGATGTTCCGTCCACCACGGCGTGGTTAACGGAGCAACCGATGAAAACGCCGTCGACCAATTCCGTCACCTGAACGGCGAGGATCGGTCTGTTATGTCCCTCGTAGCTCACCGCTCTGTCGTATGAGAAAAACTCTTTCACGACGTGTGGAACGTCGATTCCGCCGACGACGTCACTGACGCGAACAGATTTCGCGGATGCGAAAACGAAATCGGCGCCGGCGTCATTGCAGGAGAGGAAGACGTGGCCGTCGCCGGAGGTGGAGAGGCGGCCGGCGAGGGGAGGGAAGTGAGAGAGGGTGGCAGAGAGAGAGTGTTTGAGGTGAGAGAGAAGCGCGTGGGGAGGGAGGTGTGGGCGCGTGAAGAGACATCCTTTCTGGATGTAGTGACAAGAGAGCATGGGGAGATCGGAGACGGAGAGTTTGAGGTCAACGAGAGTTGACTTTCGATCAGGGAAGACTTTGCTTCTGGAGATTACAGTGACAGAGTTGTCGAGAGAAGGCATTTTGTTGTTGTTATGTGTTGTCTCTCTGTTTTTGTTTTTATAGCTCTTCACAGTTTTGATTGTGTGATGGAGAAGAGAGTGATGAGAGAAGAGAAAGAGAGGGATGAGGTATATATAGTGGAGGAGTGGAGAGAGGAGAAGAGGTTCATGAATCAGATGATGATGTGGATAACTTTTGTCTTATTTGTTTTTAGATATTATTATTAAAATGGAAGCTTTGTTCAACTTGTCGCTTGTACTTTGGAAAAGTGTTTCCTTATTTCTGAATCTGTCTAATAATTTGATCTCTTTTGTTTTTTTGTTTTGTTTGTCTGAAACGGTGTTGGAACACATGCAACAAACGAGAGTGTAGGGTAAATTAGATGAATTCACATACACTTTCTTTGGGGCGACGAGTGTAAACATACAATGGTAATAAATAAATAATTGAAGATAATAAATAAATAATTATTTAATATCATAAATATATAAATAATAAATAAATAAATAAGTAACAAAATTGTTTATTTATTATTTATTTATTTATTATAATAAATAAACATAGATTTTAATGATTATTTATTCAAGATAATAAATAATAATTAAAAAAAATGAAAATCAATGGTTAAGAGTTAAGACTAAAGATAAGATGATGGACCATCATTCATATTTCTACATATACTAAAGTATCAGTTTAAGTAAATTTATCAGTTTAACATCTAGAAAGAGGTGTACTTTCAGAAATTTCTGTAAATTGTAATGATATCAAATTTAAAGTTATTCAACGAATTTTATACGGAAGAAGTACTGTCTGAACAATATGAAATATGAGTCATAATATAAAAATGCAGTTAGAACGTTTTGATCTAAAACACTTGCTAGCTAGTTTCAAAAGATATCTCCACAAATCTTATTAGTAATCCAATCTAGAAGATGATATGAATGAGTGACGGAAGACAACCGTATTTTAGAAAGGGTTTATTATTATTTCGGGTATTGCTTCGTATCAAAGGGAATATCTGAAGAGAGAGAGAGGTTTTGCATTGGAGTTCACATATATTGGTGTAAAATCCCCAAGTTTATTGCACTCTCGAGACCAGTGAATCCACGTGGCGTTTTCTCAAGCAGTTTCACTTCTTACATGGCATACATGCAGAGGTCAGTGTGTGAGACGAATAGCAAACCAAAAGGTATGGTCGGATCAGCATGTAACGGACGAGATACATATTTAATGACTTAAACTGCGCGTCACTGACGATTGTTTTTGTGTGTCATTGTAAAAGACAACGAAATTATGAAACGTTCGCGAACGGTTACTACTAAAAATGGTATGTGGTGGAAACTGAAACCTTTTGGGTCATGAACATACTTGTGCAGTTTAAATGACGTGAAAATAGATTATAATTAGATTAACTATTTTAACGTATCTTTTGACATTATTAACAAAGATATGGATCAAATAGTGTCGTATCACTATCTAGCAAAATCTGGATTGGTGTAATTGAGGTAATTAAGAGTAAGACTGTTGGAAGATGAAAAAATTGCATAAATCTTTGACCATATGAGAGCTGAGATTCTCAAATCCAAAAGATTTTATATGTATAGAGATTAAAACGTCTAAAACCACGTCCTTCGAATTACGAAAGATTTGCATGGGTGTATGTGAACTAGGCAAAGAAGACTTGTAATGCACATTTTGTAGCTTTTGTCTTATACGATTTTACAAACAATAAAAAACGATTAAAGATCAATCAAATCACAAAATAAAAAACTATTAGAATTCAAGTAATTTATCTAAAGAAAATTGAGATGATTAGCAAGTGTGCTTAATTAAAACACTATGAATCACTCTGTTAATGGGTTGTCATTCCTAAAATCCCGAGAAAAGTCGGCGTAAGGAATCTCATATTCAGCTGATACAGTCTAATTCCAACTGCTTTGGCCACTGTCACACCACTTCAAATGTGTGTATTTTATTAATTAAACTATTGTAAGAAATTTAAAATGCTAATTATATAGCTTATGTTTGAACTAACTTTGACATGAAGTGTCGGTTTCAGCAATTATTACACGAAGATTCTCGTTAACCGTCATTTTTAGTTTTGTCGGCGTCCTGAGGTTTTATTATTACAAACTGCCACTTGAAGTGATCTGGTGCGATGCAGGAAACGAGAGCCGAAAGACCACACGTCTCTTTGACCGTTGGATCAGAGCTCCGTCGTTTATTCGTTTTCATCGGACGGATAGTTGCCATTACCTGCGTTTGGATTTGAAACTTCTGTTTTATCACACATGGCATTAATCAAGTCATAACACGAGTGTTTCTCGATATTCTTTTTTTGTGTTTTTTGTAACAAGTGTATATTTCTCGATATTATTTGGAGAAATTAAATATCTCAAGTTCTTCTTTTTGTCCATATTAATATCTTCACTTCAAAAGTTTTTTCGTGTATAATCCGCAATAAAATGTTATACCTATCTTAATATATCTATCATATATTTATACCGACATGGTGTGGTATCTAATATCTTAATACTGTGGATGTGATCGAAAAAATGCTACATCATTGTTTTTAAATGCATCACAAATGTCTAGACCCTGATTTTATATATTCTTTAAGCTATTGTTACAACCATAATCAATCCGACCTTATATATTAGTCCTACTTTACAATATTTTTGTATATATGTGCGCCTTCTTTACAACATTTTCTTATCATCTAGAATTTCCTATAGAAACACCAAGAATTTTCTTGAACTAATGATCTAAAGTTGTTGGTCAAAAATATAATTTAGTTGTACGGTCTAAAATAATTTATTAGTTTTGTTAGATCAGTTTCCCTATAAGCTAGATTAAGGCAAAGCTCTGAGATCTACCACGTGTATGACAGGTTGATATTTCAAGCAAAAAGCCAAGAAGTGGAATGTATTTTGTGTTGTTTGATCTAATTGAGAAATGCTCCAGGAAAATGAGTGAATTCAAGTAATAAACTGTTAACAGATGATTTAATTGATTTGTAGATAACAAGTGGGTACATGCGAACCATTTTGCCAGTTTAGAACCAGCCAGACAAATCAGAAGCTTCGATCCATAATTTTCTGACGCATATGAATGTTAGTATTCTTTTTAGTACAATGTGCAAAAGAATTTGAAGTTTTACACATATAACATAAATAATACTCCGACGGGATAACATAATCATTCATGTATGAAATCACAAATCAGCAATCACTAAAACTCTAATAATTGTATTAGCTATACTAAGTCTAGATACATCGAAGTACCCAATATAATTGAAATCTGAAATGATGGCATGGCCGCTTGGTGATGTTTTGGGATATTTTGGTACTGAGTCGAAAACTTGTGAAATTTTGAAGGTTGAGTAAAGATCGAACGACTTTGACAATCTGATATTAAATTATATGAAACTAAACATACTAGACTAAACTGATCGGTCGAGCATTTTTTGTTTGATGTCAACGCAATATAACATACATTACTATGGATGTTTACATAACAAAAATAAAAACAATAAGTCAATAAACTTGTGAAAATATGTTGTGGTGCAAGAGTTTGAATATAATGGGAGTAGAGAAGATAATAATAACAATTTGAATAAGCCATTACAATTAGAAAAAGGCTCATATAAAAAGAGAGGCCATTTTATATAAAAAAAAAAAAAAAAACTAAAGAGAGGCCATTGCGAGATTAGTGCAGACCATATTAACGATTTTCTGTTTGTATAAAACAGAAAAAAGCATTCTTGGCTATCCAGCCATTTCTAAGGGCGCCGCTTTCTATCTACGTTTTATTTATTAAGCTATTTGCCTTTGTATATTTTTTCTTTATTTGTTTTTGTGAAAATATATTTGATTATCTAGTTATTTTTAGTTTGTGGCGAGAAAGAAAGAAATGGTCGTCTCCAATTAGAAAACTTTTTTTCCTTTCATTGATCACATCAAACTCCATTCAACGATTCTGTTTTTTACATACTCTTTTTATAATGGCCACACCAATAAAATTGTTTTTTATAAAAATGATCCATTTAGAACGAATTTCACTGTCCATATCAATCATTATCTGATTTTGAAATAAAAATGTATAATCTCAACATGTAAATGTTTTTTCTACATAAATGACTTGGATCTCGATTCCGTTTGTGTATTTTAGTTACTTTCTTGATCCATTTTCGTCTGATTCTCGCAGGCGTAATGTACATGTTGTAACGAAATCATCATTTATTATTGTGATGTTTGAGCTAAAATTTAGATTAATATTCGGAATTTATGGAAACAATTCATATACTTTTAGCATTAAAACGTTGATAAATTTTACTATAATGAAAATCACAACAGAAAACACATGACGGGTCTTCTGAAATTTACAGGATTTATAGTGTTGTAATCAAAATTATTTTATAACCGTAGACACATATTAGCATTTATGTTTTGTAAATATATTTCATAAGAAAACAAAAACTTTGGTTCGTCCAAAAAAAAACAACTTTCTTTTTCATTTTAAAAGTACTACATGTAGACGCAAAAGCAAGAATTAATGCTTTGAACAAATTACTTTCGAACAACAAAAGATTATCTGAAATCGAAGAAAAGATAAGGTAAAAGAGACTTTCTCGATATGTCTCGTCGCCCAGTACTATCCGGTTCTGTTCTCTTGTAAATGGACCAGATTGGGTGAATTTCTGGCTGAAAAGCCATACATTTTATGATTATGCCACAAATAGTTTCATCCACTAAAGCTATATATTCGAATTTAACATCCATATTAAAAGGAGATTAGAAAACCACGGTGCTTTGTTTCTCTAGAGATCATATACAAGTTGTAGACAAATTCAACATGACAGTAGACTGACATGTCAAGAGATGTGAATATTATGTCAAATTTTCTCCTAAAGAAAAAAACATATATCTCTAGAATAAGGTTTTATATCGCATTTTATGCATAAAGGCACCCACGCACAATCGGATGTGGGGATGACCTTTTTAATGGAACCCTTTATTGATCTCACGCTTGAACAGAGATTATATATTCCCATAAATAAAAAAATATGATTGACATATTCTTGCTATAATTTATACATTATCACAACATAAGTCAAACCTTGACAAGACCCTCGTTGGTGCATATACCATTAGTGTACTTATTAATAAGTAGCATGTATATATACTTAAAAACGTGGGTTCATGTACCGCTAACTAAATGCATGTAACAACATACTTTGAACCAAAGCTGTGTTCGTCATATTCATTTTATTCTTCCTTCTGCATCCACTTCTGCATCCACTAAATAGCTTAAATAAAAATTCTCTAGCTCTTTCTTTCCATTCTTTTTCAAATTCCGTTTTTTGAGCTATGTTCATTCATCCGCGTCATAAATTTTCTCCAAAATGTCGTGATTTAAAGAAAACCAAAATTATTAACTCTCTTCACATTGTTGAAAATGATCATTGAAATTATATCTTCCATGCAAAATGATGAAAAAGTTGAAAAACTTAATTCGTATGGGTTGATAGCTACGCATGATCATTTTTGGATTGAAAAGAAAAATTGGAAAACTTTGGTGTACTTTCTAGCCACCATTTCAATATAGAAAAAAAAAACTTTAAACATAGAAATTCATGAGAAGTCATGCACTCTACGTCGTTGAGGTTTACGGAGGTTCAAAAATCATTAAACATATATAGGAATTCGTAAGAAATTACAAATTAATCTTAAAAAGCTGTATGCGGTATGATTATTGCACTATACATAAATTACGTTCACGGATGAATACGTGCTTACCTGCCATGCACTCTACAACTTTTAGGTTCACGAAGGATCAAAATCAGTATTGTTATTGTTGAAGACTAATAGACAAAACAATTATTTATATTGAACCCCATCATACTATGTCATGTAAATGCATCGAACCCAAACCAAAATTGGTGACAAAAGAATGAATCCAACCCTCTAGTAAGTAGCTAGTATCATTGTTTTCCAAATGTGTTCAGGACAGCTAGCTGACATTATTTTTTAGTTTTTACACATAAACATATAATTCTGAGTAATGCCCATAATTGAATATAAGCATAACCACCACTACTACTACTAAGTACTAACTACTACTATACGAGGGATTGATTGTGACATATATAAAAAAAACAACTAACCATTGAAATATAGCTACACCTAGGATAAATAATAACTATTCTTTCAATTGTATAATTTTTGTGTGTATATGGACAACACAAATTCCCAATTTGACTTTTATGTCTGTACGTCTCTCCGTATTATTGTCGTTTGCTTGTCTTTTGTACCTACACGAAACTGTATATGAAGACATCTCGATGATCTAGCTTATATGTTTAAATTCTTAAATACCAATCTATATATTTAGCTAAAAACCATTGTCCGAATCGTTAGGTTTAACCGGGACCATATAATAATTTGGATAGAGATGATCAGTATATGATATATATAACTCGGGACCATTAATGGGTGGTTCATTTGCTTACACATTGTTACTAAACTGCATTTTTAGAATAATTCTGGTCAGAAATGTAAGGTCGATCGTGTTGAAAAGTCGAACCAAGCTAGATTGTTTTTGACACGGCCTATACGCTGAGATGCTGAGTTATAAATATAGTAATAGCTAGTCAGTGAGTCATGTGTCTTCTACCGCGTTACTTAACATTCAAAAGGAATCCAATGGATAAAATCACGAGATTCATTGTAACCATCGTAGATAAGTTTCTAATAATTCCCATCACAGGTCGATGTGACCTACTACAGTAGCAACTAAGCAGGCCACTACTAGTATATAAAATGATTCGAATATTAATTTATTGGTTAATACGTATGACACTATGTCTACATAAAGAAAAGAAAAAGCTAAGGTTATGGAGACCAATAGCTATAGATTGAAGGTGGGTGAAGTGGAATGATAAGTTAGATTACTTCGAAAATTGTACACAAGTTGCTCACTTACATTACAAGTGCATGCATGCCTTTAATGTTGACCCATCTACACACCGGCCTACACATACTGATATTGTTAAATTTGATATGTACAGCCGTATAAGTCTGATAATGAATGAGTCTTAGTTTGAGTCTGATGACGAGGTTTTAGAATTATACGAAGAATAAAATTATCATTCCATTTAAAATTTGATACAATCTTTCCACTTTTATTATTTGGGAAACATTTCTGCCAAGTCGTTTGAATATTTGATGTTCTTAAATAATTTCGTGTGATTGAAAGATGCCAATGTTTGTAGATAAAAAAACGAATAATGCTTGACAGGAGTTGATGACCAAGTAGTAGTGGATGTGCTTTATGTCTAGTGACCATTAGAGTTGAAGACAAAAGAAAAACATATCAGTCAAACTAATGCTCCCACTTATTTCCATTAATCTTGTTTTGCTTTCTAACATCCAACATGTATAGATTAATAAATATGAGTCCTCTCTCCAAAAGACAAGAGAGACCAACACCCAAATGAGGAGATTCGTAGTAAGTAGTAACAAATGGAAAAAATAAAAATTAGATTTTGAGCTGAGTCATTTTATGCATTGTTTCAAAATTAGACACCAACTAAAACACTTTTAAAAACTTCTTTTAACTCATGAAACTGAGCTTTTTGTCTCATTCTAAATTTCAATTTAGGAAAAGCTACAACAAGAGACTGAATCTTACACAAACTTGTAAACCAAAAAAAATCGAAACCAGAAGCATCAACATTGCACATTTCTCAGCAAAACCTTTCGTATCAAAGCTTATTACAGCATCTGAGCAGCTGTGTTTAGCTTCTCCGCTAGACTCAGCTGTGTCCTTGTTATGCTTGACAGGTACAACAGAAGAAGCTGGTCCTGCAATAACACACACAAAAGAAAACCCATTCATTAGTTTTTAGGATCATGTGTGTTGTTTTGGCTGCGATATTGCGATCATTTACCTGGAGACTATCATTCACGAGGTTATCGAAGACTTGTGGTGGTAATTTGGGAAGGGAAGCTACTGCATCAGCAATGAATCGTCCTATGTTGTTGTCTGGAGATGTTTGACCTTCCTGAGATATTTCATTCAGCTCAGTATCAAGATCATTTACCATCTAATGAACCGATAACAAAACCCTCTGTTTCAACTTAACGGATATAATAAACTCACCACAACACTGTCGACATACTTGTGGACATCGTTGATCAATGTTAGCAACCTCTCCATCGTCACCTCCATTCCTTCCAAATCGTTTGGCAGCTTGTCGACCGACGTGGCCTTAAGAACATCAACTGCAACTCAAAAACGATTTTCTCTATAATCAGCTCGGAGTTAAAAACCATACACTGTAGAGTCAAATTCACAAACTCTTAGGGAGATAAATCTCAAGATTACTGTATAAACCATCTACAAATATGTATATGAAACTGGCTACTAATAAAGTTCTGCTATGGAAGGTACTATAAACAGAGTTAGAACACTCACATCCGACTCTCTCAGCGTCAACCATACGGAGATCAACAGGGATCTCTTGAAACTGTGCAGCGAGCTGTCTATCGCCAAGAGAAAGGTTTGAAGAGACAAAAGCTTTTATGGTACCCTCTCCGTTGGTAAAGCCAGTGTCAACAGTAAGATGGATTGGGTTGGTGGCTTCTCTAGCGTAGAAGTCATGAATCAGTGCACTACCTCCAGTTACACCAGCACCAGTAGAGTACCTGCAAATCAATAATAAAAATTGCTTCTTTGAGCTATTCCAATGACTACAAGAATGATAAACGAACAATCATGAGAGCGAAGATGAGAGAAGTACCAGCCGACGATAATTTCCTTTGGATTCACCTTTAGGTGCGAAGCTAACATATTGTGGTGGTAATCAATATCCACCGCAACCTGCAATTGCAATCCATACGAAACCATTTCTCAGAAGACGTATGAAGAAGCATAGCTGTGATGACAGTATTGGAATCTGACTAAAATTCGTCTATAGACCTCACATTCTCACTAGCAAAATCAATCATATCTACTTTCCAGCTACGAAACAGATCTAGTAACCCCAAGAGAAAGCTAATTCTGAAATAAGGTGGAGGATTGATTCAGGATTCGAGAGATGAATGCCGAACCTGATCGGAAGATTCGTTGTGAGGGACGGCGTATGAATTGCGGATGTCGACAGTTCCGTCGGGTAAGATAGATCCGAGGAGAGTGCCGATGACTCTTTCAGCTGAGTCGGGACGTCTCACGAAGCAATCGCAGACGTTGAAGATGACGAGAGGGTGGATCCTTGCTGTGAGGACAGCGGGAGTCGCTGAAGCCGTTGATGACGGAGCTACGAACTGCAAGACGGTGTGCTCGGTCGTCGCCGCCATGGTTGAGATTCTGAGTATCGAGAAACGGGAATAGGGCGCGATTACTGGAGATTTAGGGTTTCCGCTGCGAGCGAGAGAGGAAGGAAGAAGAAAGACATGTAACGCAGAGATAAAGATGGAAGGTAATGGGCCCAATGCAAATAGGCCCGTTACATGTTTTCTTGGGCTAACGAAAAGTCTCAATAACCACTACTTTACTCTTTTGCAAACAAGACTCGGAATCAACTACGTGAAGAATGATTTCATACGTACATCTCAAGTTGGTCGGTTTCAGACAGTATCGTTTTATACATGGCTACTTCGAGGAATTTGTTTAGTCAATCGCGGTTTATCTAGTTGACTAGTTTAGTTTTTTTTTTTTTTTTTTTGGTTATCATTTGCATTCCATTTAGTAGTGAAATTGTGTTTTTCTCGTATACTAAAATCTAAACATGATAGGTGCTGATTTGTTGACAATTAGTCAGCATAGATTAGTCGTTGTTGTTACTCGTTTAGTTTGACCAAATATCCATTTCGTGGATATTACAGATACAGACTTCAGTTCTTCTCGATCTCAAATATGGACTGCGATTTTCGTTGGAGCAGCTAGTAAAAACCATAGATTATATAAAATGAATCGTATTCAAATATGGATCGTCAAATGTTCCAAAATTTCACCAACTTACATCTCTAATCACCAAATTACGAAAATAAAAAATAAACGTATGTTCCTTTCTTCATCCCAAATGACTCCAGAATTCTCCGAGGAACGTTTTCGCCGCGTCAAGGCTCGGGAAATACGTCGGCTCCATAAATATCTGACTCAGCGAGTCACACGACTCCTGACTCGCCGTCGCGTTCGTCTCCGCGCTTCCTATCATCGCCGCAACTAGCTGCCTATACGAGAAGAAGAAACTCTTCGCTGCAGCTTCCACCGCCTGCATCCCCTGAAGCAGATGGATCTTATCGCACTCTCTCTTCGTCGCGTAAAGCCTCATCGCCGCCTCCTGCAATCTCGGTCCTCCGGTGGGATCCACCTCAACCGCCAGCACCGCCGGCACCTTCTGCCTCAAATCCTTCGACATCTTCATCATCTCCACTAATCCTTTAGATCGGAAACAGAACGCGTCGTTTTTCCCTGTCGATTTGATCTGCAACTGCTTCTTCAATTTCAGAAAATCCTCCGGATCCATTAAAATGTGAAGATCTTCAATCTCCGCTAGAAGCTTCCAGATCCTCTCCAGCAAGTAAACATCGCTCGACGCGCTTCCGAATCTCCCTTCCTCGATGCTCGAGACGATCCGATTCAGGAGATTCCCAGATGCGTGGATCCACGATTCGAGGATCTGATGAAGGAGATAGAGCGTTTGATTCTCCTCGTTATCGATATGATCCGCGTACGGGTTATCTCTCAGGCCGTACAGCTCGTCCGGTCGGCAAATCGCGTCGTACCGGAGATTCGATTTCCCGGCGATGTTCTGTTCGCCGAGTCCGAGCGTGTACTTACACCGACGCATCTCGTTATCGATCGTACACAGGATCTTCTTCCCTATGGCCTCCGATTTCCGCCACGTGGCTAGCTGCGGGAGCAAGCTGAGGGTGCTCCGTCCGTCCCCGACCGGAACCGGTCCACTTCCCGGTTTATTCTCCTCATTATCATCATCATCTTCCTCGCAGATCGCTGCCACGAGCTGGATCTGGTTCGTGACGAGCGAATCCAACCGTCGGTTCCATTCGCGGTGGTTGACGTACGGTCTGGCGTCGGAGCAAACCGCTAACACCAACCTGAACGTGATCTCCAAGGCTTGGAGAGCCGGTTTGAGAATCGGTTCGGAGGTCCATTCGGGAAAATCACGAGATGACCAGAGCTTTCTCAGCTCAGGGAGACGGAGGTAAAGCTCGTAGGCGGAGCAAGCCGCGGGTGCGGAGCATGAGATCGGAGACGAGACGGTGACCTTGAACGGGGACGGGATAGTGACGTGGAGCTTTGAAGAAAGCTTAGGTGAGTTGCTAGATGACACCATCTTCCTCTTACAATCCATATCAACCATTTTTATCTCTCTCTGTAATCTCTCTGTAATCTCTCTGCGTGTTTGAAGAAGCTCTCTGTTTTTGTTTTTTATTTAATTTAAATAATGAAATTCGAAATGGATTTGGATGAATGAAAGGAATACGAGGAGAGAGTATATATATATAGGGGAAATGGATAGAAGTGGATAGAGAATGGGAAAATGGCGTGTGGAAATATACCGACGCGACTATTTTGAAAGTCAGCGTAGAGACGCGGTCTCTTTTTATTTGAATATTTTATTTTGGAAACACCAGTCGTGGGACTGTGGATTAATTTGAGGATAATCTTTTTCTTTTTTTGGCTTCGGTTCGAGGATAAACTTTAATCTTCTTATTTATGATTTAAGATAATCAATTTATTGCTTTTGTACGTTTCCAAGTAAAGTGAAATGCCTAATTATACAAATCTAGAATCATCTACTTTGTGCAACAAAAATAGTTGCTGTTTTTGGTAAGAAATTATCCTTTGAAGGAAAACAATGGCTATGTAGGAGTATCCCTTATCTGGTTTATAACTTACCTATAGCTCGTTTAATATGTGCTAATCTCAGTTTTGACCAACTTTTTTTTTTGGTTAGGCAAACCAACACTTTTTAAAATTAAATTTCACGTTGTATGTACTTATTGTTCTCATTTATTGTTACTATAGCTTTAATTGCTGTTAGTATTTATTTAGGATATCGTATTAGCAATACTAGTTGTTTGTTAGATACTTAGATCGTTTTTCAACTTATTGTTTACTTTTTGCAAATCATAACCGCGGTTATTTTAGCTAGTGCATCTGAATTTTTCGTCATTGCATTTGATTTGTTCATCATAATATGTTACACATGTCACATATACAGATATACTGTAAAGGTATAACTTTTCATTATGTATATAGATATATATGCGATATACATATAGCGTTTTGATAAGGATATCAAATTTCTGCAGTAACATAATTTTGAAAGTCAATCATGCGTTATGGGTTGTCACTTATTTATGAGTAGATCCCACTAAAACTCACAGCTCTGCTATATTCTACTATTGTTCATGATTTTTCTTCCTAAACCCACAATTGCCTGGCTTACATTTACAAGCTGTATATTTTTGTTCAAATAAAAAACAAAAATAGAGCTTTGGTATATCTACAGATATACAATGCCAACCAATCATGCACATGTTGTTTCAAATATATTATGTAAAATGTAAATTCTTATTTTTTTGTTAAAAAATCTAAATTCATAACATATGTTTTTGAACAAAAAAGAAAGGCGTAACAGATGTGACGTACCACTTAAAAGAGCAAAGTCTATAAAGAAATATCGTGATGCACATCTATGTCATAGAACATGAAAATGTTCAATGAATCGAAATAAGTCACGTCTGCGCTTTACATATAACATACACAAATTAAAGTTGTATGTATATACGAACAAGTCATCTTGAAACTATGATTTGTAATATTAAATCAATGGTATCTTATTTCATCGAAAATGAAAAAATCAATGGTATCTTTTTAAATTTTTACTAATCTAAATCAATTTGTGTATCCAAACATGAAAACAAAACAAAAATCTAAGTATTTTTACTAATCTAAATCAATTTGTGTATCCAAACATGAAAACAAAACAAAAATCTAAGTATAAGATTGCAGCGTCTAAAATCTTTTGTTGCGTTTGTTTTAATACAGATTAAGAGTGCAGTCAACCAATTTCTGTGATATACATGATACATCGGCTTGTTTAACTAATATGTCCTACATACATGTCGAATTGTTTCATTGTTTTCTTTATCTCATATCGTATTATTAATAATTTAAGCGCGTAGAATTTTATAGTCATTAGTCGCTGTGAAACGATGAAATAAAATTCATATAAAAAGGGATTATTTTAGTGTGGATAAGCATTTAGACGGTGCCGTAGTATGATAGAAGATATAAAATAAAAAGTAAGGGCACATGGAGAGAAGTAGGAGGAATATGGATGCGAAGCTTATCCAAAATAATGTGAGGAAGGTTGGAGTTTGGTCTCAATTTCCTTTCGAAATAGTAACTACTTGGAAGCTGTCGTTTCCTTTGACTCTTTTTTTTTGTTTCCTTCAAGTTGTTTAATATTCCATCTCACCGATACTTTTGTTAGCTATACCTGAAAATGAGTTTTGATTGTACTAATGTTTGAGATTTTTAACCTAACCTGATTAAATGCATGTACTATATTTTGTGACAACTTAAGTGGATGTTTTGTTATTTTATCGGTAAACTGAGGATAGGGAAAATTGATTAATGCGACTACGACTCTACGAGACGGTTGAAGATAAACCACTTACTCGGTTATGATTCCGAAATTGACAAGTGTTATATAACGAACCATTATGAACTGCCTGCAAAATAATATAGTGGTTATGTAGCTCGCTAAAAAATTAGTTATAGAACAAATTAACCTGATATGCTTAAGTTTCTTTTATCTGATTTTTTTGTTTGTTTAGGCCATAAGATCTCAAAATTTAGATTTAAAGTGTCAAAAAAAAATTTCTTCTTGCCTAATCTGTTTGACTAATAATAGGACTACTCAATCGTTATTTATATTTAGTACTATCACGTTTTAAATTAAAATCTGAAACACATGAAAAGTATGCGAAGGAGTTTGTAGCTGTCTGTTTATTTTTTGTATCTTTCCTTGGATGCTTCCTCATGCCTTAACTTTGAATTCAAACAACTAAATAAGTCATCCTTTGAGGGAAAAAAGAAGAAAACTAGTGAATATTAGAATATATATCATCCACATATTAGGTTAGTGATAGATAAAGACTCCCAATTATTCCATTTTATCAAAGCCCTATCAATGATCTCTTCTTTCTCTGTAAACCACCAGTATGATATGATCGTATGAAATAAGCAACCACCGGTCTACACAAGATATACAATACATAAAGTTTTATATATGGTCAAATATTTTTTCTCCATTTTTTTCTACGTTGAACTTAAATAGTACGTCTGATTGTATTTGGACTTGTAGTATAGTACTTCACGTGCCTACACGTAATGATCACCCATATTCTTAGTGTATTTTTCTTTTTAACATGTTTTTTTTGGGTTATATATGTTTAATTTATGGTAAAAAATAAAACAAATGAGTTATTCCAAAGTTAGGCATAATTCTTTCAGGAATATATCAATGAAGGGTGAGTTACTAAAGTATCAAAACGAGATGTCTTACTTGTTAGAATTCTATTCACGTTTACGATAAGTCTTTTCTACTCTTTTTAAAAGTTTATCTGGCCTTTATACATAGTGTCTCATACTCTTATTCCTTTCTCTCCAGACGTTATATATACGAAAAGGAAAACAGTGACATCGTATTCCAATAAAAAGAACTAAATCTACAACAGTAAGTATCTATATTTCTTTCTGTCGAAATAGATCATTGTTGATCAAGAACATACATTTGACAGAAAAAGTAGATCATTGCATGTTTGGTATATGAAAATAGCCAAAAAGTAAAAGCAAAAACATTCAAAATTTACGTTTGCATATTTGAAAAATCAACGTGCACTTAGACCTATCAAACTAGTTATTTTCATTTTTTCATTCATTGACTTGGAAATACAGCATTTGATCGTCTACACGGTCGTTGCATACTTTTCTCTCGCAATGAAAAAAAGAACAAAAAAAGAACTACTGTATTAACATCTGATATTCGTTGTTCAAAAAAAAAAAAAAAAAAATCTGATATTCCATAAATAAATATTCTTAATCGAGCCAAATCGGGGCCTGGCTTCCATCCGTTTGGTAGCCAATCAGGTGTTATCGCGCGTAAAATAATGACACGTGGGATTCGTCATGTGCATCACCAACTTGGTCCAAACTCTATCTGTTTTGTTGTTGTTCTCTTCACAACTGCCACGTGGTCGGAGCAGAGCAAATTAACGGTTCCAATACAACTATCCACGTGGCAAGACAGCTGGGACGCTGATTGGCTTTCACGTTTATCTTCGCCGCTGATTAATCCATTTGGATGGGCCCTCACCAACTACCGTTATTTCCTTTCATTTTTTTTTGTTTGAGGTTTATTTACCAAAATGCGATGGCTTATGAGTTATGACATCCAAATAATTGTAAAAAATATGTGGAACAAATATGATTAGTGTTGAAAAAAGAGAGTGGTCGAAAATAAACTTGACAAATGTAATCAAAAAATGAATTTTTGTAGTGATTCCATCAAACCTCGACTATTTTTCTCCAAAAATTACGAGCGACCAGTTCTTTTGTTTACTAAATTACTTAGTTCGATTTTGTCAAAGGTTAAAATTCGAAATTAGCAGCGGTTTAAACATTTCAAAGTTCTGAAGATTTGAAAGAAGGCATTTACCCAACCAAATTCCTATGTATCCCTTTCTCTGAGTGGTTTTGTTACCGTGGTTAGAAGAATACGAATAGTGATCAAGTGCGTTTGTCGCATTTGTTTTAGAGAAAGGCTTGTTTTCTTAAAATATTCTACTTTATACGAATCGTATCAACGGGAAAACAACGGGTTTGGTTTTATAAAACTTGTTTTGTGGATAAACTCATGATTATCGTTTATGAAAAACAAATCATAAAACAAAAAGAGTTGGGGGAGAGTCAACAAAAGTTGAGCTACAAAAAAAACAGGTTTCCTGGGAATGAAGCATGTCTCGGGCCGCATTATCCGACCATTATCCACTCTTATCTTTCTTTTTCGTTTTTCTTGCTTTTCTTTCTTAATCACAATTAATATGTGTATTATCTGAAAATGGTTGCAGGCTTGTATACATAATTACATATTCCAATAGTCAATACACGGTTTAAAGACAAACATCAGTTGTCTACGCTATAGTACTTCCAAACTAAAACAACAGCAAAATGTTTAGATAACAGAAAAGCTAAAACAATCTATCACAAATATAATATTAAATAGTAGAAGACGAATTTCACAGACAACGATACATCAATTATAATTTCGTAGATAATCGTATTCGTTTTTAATTAGTACCTTGTGTTTATTGTTATTATTTTAACGTAGAAATGGTATGATTCGGATAAAATTTGGTATGGGAACACATCACGCTGCCTAATGCTCTCAATAAATGCCGGAGAGTAGAAGACATCTTATTATATTTGTATATGGATGAGATCAAACGACAATACACATATATTATATACTTTGATGGGACATTCTTAATTTTTTCTATTTTCTAATTTGTTCTTTTCTTGTTAAGTTGTGTTCCATGACCACTATTGTCAATGGTAAAGCTGAACATGCATTTGTTTTATAGGAATTTGAAAAACACATTTCGCATCGCAATTTTCTGTAAAGAAAGTAGTAGTACTTGTGTAATCAATTCTTCTTTGCTAAAGAAATTGGTACCCTAGTTTATTAAAAATATCAAAAATGTGAAAAGTTATTAATAACCACATTATTTCGAAATCACCAATTAACTAATTTAACTTCAGTACGTTGCATTATTCGCGCTAAATCTACTTACTAGTTGCTACCCACTTAGTGTGGTGAAACATTTAACGATGATTAACACATTTCGTCGGTCCATGTGTTCTCTCATTCATAGTTTAAAAACCACTTAGATTTCACGGTTTGAACATGCGATAATTAGATGTAAAATTGAAAACAAAAAGTCGTTCTAATTTGATGTATATCCGTTGTGGAACATGGAAACATATTATTCTCCGTGGTCTATGTCGGACTCTTTTTTTGACTTTTCTTACCAAAAGAAAATGAATGCAAGTTGGAATAATACTGATGTCATCACAAAACGATATCGCCGACGCCGAGGAAGTCCTTATCCACCAAAAGCCAATAGGCCCCTAAATTTCAGAATTTAGTTGACGTTAATTAAGCACTATATTCCTCTCTCTTTTTTTTTTTCTTTTTCAAATTTCTTGTTTTTCTTCTGATTATTATAAGTGACAGGACATGTTCCTCTTTTAGCTCCGCAATTCCCACGCTTATGTTTCTTCTTCTCATGGTAATGCCAAGGATGAGTCCGATCCATTTTTCATAAAACTTTCTTGTTCTAACAATTATTAACAAAGGCATGCTTTTGCTCCAACCAGAGAAAAAGGCATGCTTATCCCCTTTAATTCTTCCCTAAATACTTTATACAGAAAACGTAAAATTCTGATTAAATTAACATATAATTTAATGAGGATTAGGTAGCTAATATCTTTAGCTTTTGTGCAAAAGCAATCTTCTAAACTGATTTTTTCATAATTCGATGCTATTTCGTAGGCATGTTTTTTAGGAAAACGTGATGCGAATGACGAAAATTAATAAACCAACACCACCGTTTTTTTTTTTACAAACAACAAATGATAGTGAGGTTTGGTACTTCACAACCAGTAACCACCACCGTTTGGACATAACCTCTCCAAGGCTGCAACTTTAAAGATGACCTAAACACCAAGTCACCAACCGTAATTATTGATGACCTAAACACCAAGTCACAAGAAGCAAATTCTGAATGATTTGATTTTGAATAGCTTACCCTTCAAAGTTTGAAACATTGTCCAAACCTAAATATTATGCCTAGTGGATGACAAAAGATATTTTATCATGCAAATACGTGTAACACTGAAATTGTTAATGTTAACCAATACAATTGTATTCAGAAGATATATATCGACGGAGAGAAAATAAAAACCAGAAAGTGATTTTTCAATATAAAGAAACAAAAGATCCATAACGTGAAACAACGAAAGTCTGAAAGGGAAAAATCAAATAAGGTTCAACCTTAAAACTGATAAAAGCCAAAAACATAAATTGGTAAAATAGCTAGGCCGGCGTATTCTAGCCGAAGAGATCGAAACCCATGTCTTCGTCAGACTCTTCCGCAGCTTCTTCCTCCACAACCACCGCCGCAGCATTGCCGACAGATTCTTCTGCAACTGGTGCAGCCGCTGCAACAGCAAACCTGCTTGGATCCTGAAACACAAATTCACAACGTTTAAAAACATTTTCAAGTCTAAATCACAAAAAAGAAAATCTAAAACTAAAAAAAAAAAAAAAAAAAAAAAACAAAAGGACAAACCTTTAGGAACTCCTTCACACTCTCAGCCTGAGGGAAAGAATACTCAGTAGCCAAGGCAATGGCAAGAACATTCTTGTAAGCATTCATAAACATGTGAGGCGCAGCCGCCAAGACTGGGTAAGAGATGCCAAGAGAGAGCGAGGTCACCAACGAGACACCATCGGCAAACTTTTCAACGAGCTGGTCTTCAGTGAGGTTAAGCACCTCAGGGCTAAACACTGAGCCGTTGTCATAGACTGACTCAACGACCAGACCATAAGAGAACGGCCTGATCCCAAGCTTGGCTAGGAGTGCAGCCTCTGACGAACCGACTTTGTCTCCCTTCTTGATCAGCTCCACTGGGGTTATGATCTCAACCGTACCTTTGTTGATCTTGGTTGGGATGTTGAGCACTTGGAAGAAAGAGGTCTGTGATGGGTCAAGACCAGTGTTTCCTGGCTGCACAACCACATCGATTGGTGCCACTAAACCAACACGAGCTGGAGCTCCAACCTGTGAAAAGTAGTATAAGCAAAGTTAAGTCAAACAGTCCAACACTAGAGGAAGCTACAACACTCTCAAATTGAAACAATGAAGGTTGCTGCGTTTCAGTAGATGACACAATGGGGTTTTGAATTCCAATTTCAACAAAAAAATGAAACCTTTTACTTTCCAAGTTAGTGATCTTACTCAATATGTAAGCAAATCATAAACAAACCAAACAAGCTCCCTGTAACAATATCATTCGATTTTCTACTCAAATTCACATTCCAAGTTAGTATCATCAATGAACAGTTTAAACCATGTTTAGTCAAACACTCAAATCACAGAGACGAAAGCTACAACAGTCGCAATTCAATCTTGAATGTTGTAATGCAACTCAAATCACTTTCCAAGTTAATGATCTTAAGCAATACTATGAACTAAGCAAATCATCAACTAAACCATACAAGCAACAATGTAGCAATATCATTCGATTTTCTACTCAAATTCACATTCCAAGAGAACAGCAGGTAAGAGATAAAGCAGAAACTATCCAAATTATCAATCCAAATTTAATTATGTAATGCAATTCCCAGATTCACTAACAACTACAAAATTGATGAAGTAGGATGAACAAACCTTGTACTTGGCGACCTCTTCACTGACTTCTTTCAAATCACCCTTGGTGAAGATCAACCCAACATTGCCCTGTAACATTCATTCAACAACAAACTTTAAATCAGATTCTCTACAAATTTCATACAAGCAAAAACCCAAAATCAATATAGGAAAGAGGAGAAATTGACCTGGAGAAGGGGAATGAGGCTGAGGAAGTTCTTATTGCCGGTCTTCTCGGCATGGAGCTTCACAGATCTCTTCATCATAGTGTTCTTCCCCATAAGAACGACGGAATCGCCGCGTAGACCTTTCCTTATGTTCTGGAGCTGAGTGGATCCGACATTATCAGCTGCAACGATCAGGATCTGAGGGTACTCGTTGAGAAGCTGGCAAAGCTTCGAGTCGTAAACGATCTTCTTCTCCGCCTTTGTTGCTTTCACCGCCATTGATTGCTACTCGAAAAGTTCGATCTAAGAAAAGATAAAATCTAAGAGAGGAGGGGGTAGGAAAATCGAGGGCCTAGACGAAGCTCGAGCTCGTACAAGGCGGACAGCGAATTGGCGCCGTCGCTTTAACCTCCGCTACTGGTTTTTCCGAGCTAGGAGAGAAACAAAAAAACCTAAAAAAAGCTGCGAAGGTTTGTGAAATCGGTGAAGAAGAGGACTTAGGGTTTATATAGTTATCGGGATAACTGTTAGGGCCTTTGGAATGACCGACCTAGATCTAACGGCTCATATTTCTTGGATCTGTACTAATACGATCATCTTTAAGTTGGGCTTGAGATGTGGCCCAAATGTGTTTAGCCCATATAAGATTAAATGAATTCATGGTTTTAAACATGTTTGAGCATAATTTTCTTCACTTTTCGAAGCTATTCGCGTTTCGATTGTCGGAATTCTTCCTCAGATCATATTCCTTTTTCATTAACAATTGTGAACACTGGGAAAAAGGAATATGATTTTGAGGACGAATTGTTAATGAACACAGAACTCACATTCGTTTTTTTTTCCATTTTCATTGACGTGATTTCCTTTTTTTTCGGGACCGTCTAAAAAAAAAAAAGTTAAAGGTTATAGTCTAATAATCATTACATATGTTGGATTCACAAAGATTGGATTTTTATGTACTCAAAAGGATCCTCGAGAAATTTCGCGTCTTCAAGGAGGAGGAAGCAATAGGTGAGAGCTTCGTTCCTTTTGTGATTTTTTATTTTTTTCTGTGTTTTCATCAGAGAAATTTTGGATTCGATGTCGATGCAATTGGAGTGTTTCACAAATCGAGTGAGAAAGTTACGAACTTGGTCAAGGGCTTCTTCGATTGATGGAATCAATTGCTTAGTTATGATTGCTGTTTACTAAATTGTGGGTTTGATTGTAATTCTGAAATTGTGATCTTTTGTGTTTTGATTATCAGAAAAAGCCGTCGGCGATGGAATCAAAATCGGCATCCGGTGTTATCCGTCGTCGTCGTAAGGCACCGTTGTTCAGATACTATCCATACGCTTCAGGGTCAGTGATGTTTACTTTCAGTGTTTGCTTAGCTTTGCTCAGGTTACAGAATCTGAAAGATTTTGACTTTTTTTGTTTTTTTTTAATTGATTGTAGAAGCAGAAGTGAGAAGGAGAAGATGAAAAAGGAGGTTGTACAACTAGGAATCGAGCTCTCGGTCTGTGTAGCTGAATCCATGTTCTTGCTGTGTGATGATATTCGTAGTATGTTACTGTTCTGCTACAAGTTATGGGAAGAGAATAGCGAGATTCTCTTGGGGGGAAAGCTGCTTCGTGTGATGCATTGCGTCTACTCAAAAGACATCAAACTGAAGCAGAGAGTGTATGATCAAGACGGTGTTGGCAAGGGCTCGTACCAATGGGAATTCATCAGGACCACTTGGAGGGATTTTACTGACGGAGGCATAGTTTTGAATGAGCTTGTTGACTTTATCGGAAGCCAAGATAGATCATCTTTTGATGATCGTCTGTTGTCGTCGGCTATCAAGAAGTACAAGCAACAAGTGCTGAAGAAGCTAGAGGACAAGCTGAGATCCGCAAAGGATGTGAATGGTTTCGCGAGGGAGACGATAGCGCCTGATGCTTCCTTCTTGTGGAAGTCTCTCTTTGATGAAGAAGCAACACCGAGAGGGGTGGAGACTAGGGCTTTCCGCGACCTGTTTCAGCCTCTCATAGATGAATCAAGGCGACCAACCTGGGATATGACGAGTTTTCGTGATATGATTCAGCCTATACATTCTCCTTACATTTTAGGGTCAGTGATATGATTCAGCCTAAACCCCTTAAAGAGAGTTTGCTTATTTAGAAAGAAGCATGTTTATTGACTTGGTTTGTGGTTTTTGCAGGAGGGATTTTGCAAAGGAGGAGATGAAGGAGGAGGTTGTGCAACTAGGAGTCGAGCTCTCGCTGTATGTGGCTCAAGCAATGTTGGTGCTGTGTGGTGACATTCGTAGGGTGTTACGGTTCTGCTTAAAGTTATGGAGAGATGCAACAAGGCACCAGCATCGTGGTAAGTTGGTGCCGGAAAGGCTGCTTCGTGTAATGCATTTTGTCTACTTGAAATACATCAAACCGAAGAATGGAGTATTTAAATACAGTGGCAACAAGTCGGTCCAATGGGATTTGGTGAGGACCACTGGGACGGATTTTGATCATGCAGCCCAATATCTGGATCGACTTGTTTCGAATCTCAGAGTAGATGGGCAGCTGATTATACTTTGTCGAGAGCATACGGAAAATACCGAAGAAGGGTTGAAGAAGCTGGGGGAGAGGTTGAGGTGTGTAAAGCCTGTTGCAGAGGCGAATGGGTTTGCGAGGGAAACGATGGAGTCGAGCTTTTTGGACTTGTGGAAGTCTGTCTTTGACAAGGAAGCCAAGGAAGCAACAGAGACTCTGAAAGCGATCGAGGATGGGATTTTTGCTGACCTGTTTCTCCCTATATTGAACCAAGTAGCTGCTGCGCCTTAGCTACCAGGTTGAAGGAGTGGCTCATTCGGAGGCATTGCATTTTTGGTATATAATTATAATGTAATTAGTGTGGTAGTTTTAGAAACCTTTTTTTCTGATAGTAGATCAGATCACTAGTGAAGAGTTTTTAGAGATCAATAATTTTTTGAGGGTCAATAATTTTTTGAAAAATGGTTCATCATCAAGGTTGAATGCTGTGATGTCTCTGTATATGGTTGTAACATTTCTACTGGCTTTCGTACTGGACAACACTGTACCGGTTAGTAAGGAAGAGCGAGGAGTTTATGTGTGGTTGTTATCGAGGATTTTGATACTCCCTCCGTTTTTTAAAGATAAATTTTCTAATTTTTTCACACGGATTAAGAAAAAGTTGATTTTCAATCATTAGTGCATAGATTTCTGCAATAAAACAACTTTTTATAATTTTAAACCAATAAAAATCCAACAAATACAATCAATGTTTCTTGAAAACTGAAAAAATGCTTCAAAAAGGTAAAAAAATTATCTTTATGAAACAACACATAATTGCTAGAAAATTCATCTTAAAAAAACGGAGGGAGTATTTGGTTTAGATTGAGAGAATCAGAATAATTGTTTTTTTTGCTCGAGAAGCCACTTGCTGCTGTTGCAACTCCTAAAGGCATAAGAATATGCCATGTTGGTTTATCTCTTTACCTAGCTTTCAATTTCCGATCCTACTTTTGAATCTCTGTGATTCAAGGTCCAAAACCCGGTAAGCCAACCGATCTTGCAAAAATGAGAAAAATACTGCTGAAGCTCAAACAGAACCCGCCTTCTCACCTGAAACTCACTTCTCAACCTCCATCAGAGCTGTCCTCTTTTCAGAAGTTGTAAGGGGTCATTTGTGTTATTATAAACATAATTATATCACATTATATGATACTAAAATCAAAATGGCATTCATGTTTTTATATCATTTGATCCCAAAAAATAACATTCATGTTCGATTCTAATCAGTCGGTTAATATCTCATATTAATTGGTTACAGAAATGATCCATCGATTTCAGGGTTAATATCTCTTGTGAACGAAACTCGTGATAAAAATTAAGACTACCATCTCAAAAGTCAGCGTTTTACACAAGGAAACGAAAAAGATTCACAGTTTTAGATCATATGGAACAAAAAAGAAGTAGACACACACTCTATCCGAAAATGATACTAATTGACTGAGTTTGTCATGTAACTTTGCACTGATATCTAATGTTCTTTATTTGCAGACTTGCAGCTGGGATAAAGACCTTACTCATTTTTGCATCCACTTCCACGCATCCTTCTCCTTCTATTGTTGTGTGCCTTCTTAGGTATTCGGGTGTCATGGGAGATTGGACCCTTATTCTTTGTAAGATCATGTTTTGATATCTTTAACATGATCGTCGTAGCTCTGCCTAGACTCTTCACAGCTGTGTCGACCTCCTCAATGGCAATAGTTACAACCCGAGAGACCCAATTGACTCAGATCAAGCTTACCTAATCTTGCATATGCCTCCTTTGCATTTTTTTCAGCTTGATTTAGCAAAATTAAGATATCGCTAACTTTTTCAAACCCATGCTCTCTCTCGGTTCACTTTTTTTAGAAGATCATAAGCCTTGTTGGTTCGCTTCTCACATTCTCTTAGCAAGAAGCAGGTTTGAGTCAGCTTTTCCACTTCGTGATCTTCAAGATTCAACTTGGGATGAGATTCAGGGGACAAGAAAATCGGTCAATAGTTTACTGTATCGAATTTATTAACTTTTTGAAAACCTTTAAATGACAGAAAATTTTGTGGAGATCCTAATCAAAAAAATATTATTCCTTAAAAATGAATGTGCACTAAGTGAGCACAACACATAAAACAAAAGTAATTACAAATGTTGTTTTTGTACAAGTATCAAGTTCCACAATTTCAGCCATCTAACAGTTCTGAAGCTAGAGCTAGACCACCAGGATAATCATAATTTGATACCCCAGTTTTCATCATGAGCATTTCTCTTTTTGTTTTTGTTTAAATTTCAAAGTCATGACTTTCATTTTTTTTAAAGACAGTTTTTTTTTAAATAAGTCTTTAAAGTTTTTCTTCAAAATAAAAGTCTAAATTCAAAAGTTCTAAAAGTTATTTCCAAATTGTGAAAGGATACATAGTAGTATTCCCATGCGAAATGATGATAACCAAATGTATAATTTCTTTTCTTCTTATACTAGATCATACGAAAGTTTTTACAAAAAAAAAAAATGTGCTCATGCGGAAATGATTTATCGGAGACAATGATTATAATTAGCTCCCAGAGGCTAAAGGTAAGACGCATGGAAGTATTTTTACACTTTTGATCAGAACAAATACTTATCCGAACATTTCTTCTAAAAAGTAATAGTTGTAATTTGGTTGTACATTGTAATAGTGACAATACAACAAGTCGTCGAAAAGAAAAGAGGGAATAGTGCTTATTATTATTTCTTCCGAACAAACATTCAAAATAGAGTAAATAATATACACAGCATCCAAAAGATACAATACTGTAGTTACATTGGCTTGTTAAACTATTTGAAGCTTAATCAGTAATCACAGTTATTTTCAAAAAGTTTAATCCGGATATTGGTCCCACAAACGTTCACATAATCTAATTCTAAAACCTATTTCAGGAAAAAAGTTTATATAGGAAAGATTTGTAAAAAAAAAACAAGAAATCGAAAACTTATGGGAATATTACAGGCGGGATCATTTTCTACAAATATTTATGAATATTTCTTTATTTTACAAGCAATGATTGGTAATGAGAATATAACCAAAACGGTGCTTTATACCCTGATTTTGACCAAAAAGAATAATAAAAAAATATGTCCAGACCTTTAAAATCACTCAGGGACCCTTGAGGAAAAAGATAATCAGCAACCGAACGAGAGAAGCTGATAAATCTTCAGTTAAAATATTTTTCTTCACTGAAATGCTCATATTGGTTTCAGTCAAATAGCGACAGAGAAGAAGTTGAGGAAACAGAAAGAAAAGACAAAGGAGAGTCAGAGGGATAGAAACTCTGAAGAAGAAGGTTCCAAACACGTTTTCCTCCTTAATTTCCTCATTGTTTTGTCCATTCTCTGAAATTTAATTTGTAAGTTTTTTTTTTTTGGTATCTTATTTAATTTTAATTTGTAAGTTATATACGAAGTTTTCATTTTATAAGTTTATACTTGTTTATGCCTTGATTTGTGTAATTTTTGCAGGTGAAAGAAGTGGTAAAGGGTAATTAGGTAACTGTTCTTCACTTTCTTCCATTGTTACTGTCACTCTCATGATCTCAAATTCTCATTCTCATCTCCTAGGTTTAGTAGAAACTTTAATAGTACCATAGAAAATAAACTCAGATAAAGCAGATTGGTTCATAAGAAGAGGGCTTTTAAAAAGCTTGGTTCCCCATTTCCCTTTTTTTTTAATCTATGAAGCAGATTTTGAAGATGTCGATTAAGGAAACAGAAGAGGGAAGAGTGGAGAATGAGAATGGAGAGAGACGAGATGAGTCAAGCATGAAGAGCTTTCTATGGCATGGCGGTTCTGTCTATGATGCTTGGTTTAGCTGTGCATCGAACCAGGTTTTTTTATATTTTTAATCTATTTCACATACTAAACCAAATCATGTTTGGTCTTGTTATGGATTAAAAATGAGAGAATGTTAATTTTGTTGACAGGTTGCTCAAGTTCTGTTGACACTACCTTATTCATTTTCACAAATGGGAATGGCATCAGGTGTAATTCTGCAGATCTTCTATGGTTTTATGGGAAGTTGGACAGCTTATCTCATCAGTGTTCTCTACGTTGAGTACAGAAGTCGAAAAGAGAAACAGAATGTTAACTTCAACAACCATGTCATTCAGGTCACATGCACTAACAAAACTCTTTTACATTCAATCTCCACCGTTGGATCTTTATAACCCGCGATTATAACATGTCATTATATTAAAACAGTGGTTCGAAGTCTTGGATGGTTTGCTTGGTCCATATTGGAAAGCAATAGGATTAACATTCAACTGCACATTTCTTCTCTTTGGTTCTGTTATCCAACTCATTGCCTGTGCAAGGTTGGTTTAGGATAACAATTTCTTCGATATATATTGGTAAATATATGATTTTGATTTCGTTAAAAAAAAAAAGATTTTGATTTCTAATCGTATAATAATGGACAGTAACATATATTATATAAACGACAAGCTGGACAAGAGGACATGGACTTACATATTCGGAGCGTGTTGTGCAACCACGGTGTTTATACCGTCGTTTCACAACTATCGAATATGGGCATTTCTTGGTCTTGGCATGACCACTTACACCGCTTGGTACCTCACCATCGCGTCTTTAGTCCATGGTCAAGTCGAAGGAGTGACTCATTCCGGTCCAACCAAGCTGGTTCTGTATTTCACAGGAGCCACTAATATATTGTACACTTTTGGTGGCCACGCAGTTACCGTGTGAGTATACCTAAATCTTGATAATTGTTTTTTTTTACGTATTTACATGTTGTTAATAATTTGAATTTTTGTAGGGAGATAATGCATGCGATGTGGAAACCAAGAAAGTTTAAGTACATATATCTAATGGCTACACTCTATGTGTTTACCTTAACCATACCATCGGCTGTTTCCGTCTACTGGGCCTTTGGAGATGAGCTTCTCACACATTCTAATGCCTTCTCACTCCTTCCTAACTCACCGTGGCGTGACGCTGCAGTCATCCTCATGCTCATCCACCAGGTAGGTTAATGGTGAACATTTTGGTTACTAAGTTTAATTTTAAAGTCGGTTCGGTTGGATATGTTTGGTTAGTTTTTCAACATTTGGTTTCGGTTAGGTTCGATAGTTATGTTGATTTGACTCATTTCAACCAATAATGTCTCCTTAAACACATACATACACTTTATATCTCCGTTACATTCATTTATGTATGTTTAATGTGATGCTATCGGTAATTTCTTTAATGCAGTTTATAACGTTTGGGTACGCATGCACGCCACTATACTTCGTGTGGGAGAAAGTGATCGGAATGCACGAGACAAATAGCATTTTGTTACGAGCGGTCACAAGATTGCCTGTGGTGATTCCGATTTGGTTCTTAGCCATAATCTTCCCTTTCTTTGGACCAATTAACTCAGCCGTTGGTGCACTTCTAGTCACGTTCACTGTCTACATTATCCCATCACTTGCTCACATCCTCACTTACCGCTCTGCTTCTTCTAGACACAATGCTGCGGAGAAGCCACCGGCCGTGATTGGCGGTTGGAGAGGTGCGTTTGTGGTGAACGTTGTGGTGGTGGTTTGGGTGTTTGTAGTTGGCTTTGGGTTAGGAGGATGGGCAAGTGTGACAAATTTCATTAAACAAGTTGATACTTTTGGCCTATTTGCTAAATGTTATCAGTGTCCTCACCGCTGAGAATTGTTGCTGCTTGGTGGATTATGGAGTTTTTTTTGAACCAGTAAACAAATTGTTAGACTTAAAAAGTTTCATAATTTTCTTTTTAGCTTAAATTTTACAAACATTTATTTTGTGTTATCCCAATAAGCATTGGTTTCATAAACATATAGTTCTATCAAAGATATTTATATTTGACTTAGCAAAATTAAGGCTTAAGCAAATCATATAAGCGCTACAAAACTTCTAAGTAAGATTTTGATTAGAATTCCAATACAAACATTCACATCTCTCTATGATTATATGCGAAAATACACTTATTAATCTACACCTACTCACCAAAAGAATATCATTAATATTTCCAATGCCAAATCTTACTAAAATATCTAAAAGAAAAATTACATTTGCAAGAAAGTATGGTCAATTAATTAAGGAATTACTTGACTAGGAATAAAAAAGAACTAGTGATACTATACTTTTTTGCTTTAGTTAATGATCTAAATGTATAAAGAGAATAAAAAGAATCGAGTCAATTGAAGCATCAATGATGATTAATTAAACAAAGCATGCTTATTTAATTGTTCTCAAAACTCAAAAACCTTGAACCTGACTGGGTGTAATAAGAAAATAGTTGACTAAATAAAAAGTAATGGTTAATTAATTTTTTGTCTAATAATTTATGTTTATCGAAAATTTGTGTCGTTCACTCTTCTTCACACGAGTTCCTCTTCACACTTGACGTCACGAAGCGATTGAGTGATTGACGGCTGACGGGTCTTTTGTTCTTAGTTTTTTTGCCGTCTTCTCCGAAACTTCCACCGTAGCTGCCGATTTGCCACTCTTCTTCTCCGCCGTAATGTCTCTCTCTTCCTCTCTCTCTGTATTTCTCTCTACCTAACTCACAGCTCAATGTCTGAAAAGAAGCTTATTTTTTTTGGGTTCTGTTTTTCTGTGTTTCAATTTCTTCGGGATTGAAGTTTTAGGGCACTTTACTTTCATCTCCACTCTTACTTGCTTTCGAATTTGTGGAAAAGATCAGAACTTTCACTTGTTTCTCAATGTTTTTGGTTGTTGGCTAGGTTTATAAAACTGATCACTTTTGGCTGCCGTCGTTTTCTCGCTATAAATTCCAGACCCATAGACTAAAAGCTGACATTTTTCTCCTCCAATTTCTTCACAGACCACGGAGACCTCTGCTTGATAGAAATGGCGCCTCGAGGAAGAAAAAGGGTAAAGCTTTACTGTTTCATTAGAGGCTCGTACATATCACTGGAGTTGTCTGAGTAATTTGAAGTGGTTTAGGTATTAGGAGAGTACGAAATGCTCTTGAGTCCATAGTTAGGTCCTCTTGCTCATAGATTTTGAATTCTTCTCTGATTACTCTCTTGTCTAAGGAGGATATTTGTCTTTATCAATGTTGCAGAAAGCTGGACTGAGACGAGAGGATGCAGCAAGAGACCGCATGAGAGATTATGGATTTGATGAGCGTGTCATCAGTGAGAGTATCAAGGGATTGGTTAAGGTATATGTTTCTCTGTTTTTAGGGTCTTCCAATTTCAAGCCTTTGGAAACATCTCTGAAAGTGAAAGTGACGATTTTTTTTACCTCTTTGGACATCGAAGCTGTATGGTGAGGACGGGTGGAAACTGATTGAAGATGGTGGATACGATGCGCTTTTTAATATTTGCTTGGAAAGGCAAGAAGAACAAAACGGACTAGTGGCTGCTGAGCAAAACGAAGAGATGGCTTTGGAAGAACAAGAAGAGCAATTGGTTGTGGAGCAAATTGAAGGAGTGGCTGAGGAAGAACATTTGATTGTGGAGAAAATTGAAGAAGTGGCCGTGGAACAAACTGAAGGAATGGCTGTGGAGCAATTTGAAGAAATAACTGTGGAGCAAACTGAAGAAAGGGCTGAGGCAGAACAAGAACCGGCTCAGGAAGAAGAACCGGTGAGTTGTTTTTCTTCCTTCTCTATATCTCTCTGCTAAGAACCTCAAGCTTTACCCATATGTGACTGTTTTCCTAAACGCTTTTAGACATAAACGCTTTTAAAGTTTAACTGGTTTTACTTGATTTACTCATATGTTACTGAACTTGCAGCGTGATCATGTTGCACATGAGGAGGAGCAGCATACTGAAGATGGAACAGACCATGTGGGTAGCAATTCAGAAACTTGTCAAACGGATGATGCGTCGATCACTAACGGTGTGGTCTTGGACTCTTCACCACCAGGTTTTCAGTCAAAAGTAACACCACCGGGTTTTGCACTGCATTCTGTTGAAGGTAAGCAGAGTTACAAACTCATCCCCATTAGTCATTACAATCTCAACACATGAGTAATACTTGTCTTGATGAGGTAAAGTCTTGTCTTTAGGTGCCAAGAATTCTCGCTGTGGATGGCTGAGCAGCGAGGAAGAGACGGATTCAGATGAGGATAGTGATAGCGATGATGATGAGATGATTCAGCTGACTCCGGAGCCTCTGTGTGAAGAGCTTGAAGAGCTGTTCAAGAAAGTGAGTGGACAGAAGAACACGAGGAAGAGACCCTCGAGGTGGGACAACTAAGGAGCTATAAGCTCCTGTAAGTAAAGTTGGTTTATATCAGAGTTTTAAGTTATAAGCTAAGAGCTGCAGTGAAAAGTCACTAAGCTAGTATTGGCTGTAAAAAATAGGTAAAAGGACCCATCTTGACATATCTGTGTGGGTCTTCTTGAGCTCTATTGGTTTAAACTCTCTATTATTTTGGATCAAATTTGGTTGTGAAGTAGAATAAGCTAATTATGTGTTTGGGATTATTCAGTCTCTATTCAAGAACCGAAATCAACCCCAAAGTAAATTTTCTTCTTTGAACATTGATTCTCACATGTAACTGCAAATTTTCAGCACTTGAAGATAAACGAAGCAACTCCTCTTATTTAAAGTCTCAACAAGTATCTGTTATTCATCTTAAACACTGACACATTTCTTTGGAAAGTGCAAGTAAATACTATACTTTACACATTAGATGAAAAGTTTGAGCGAGAAATCATATTTTTTTGTTTGGTACTGCAACTTTTTATTTGCTAGGAATGTAAATATCATTAGAAATGAAAGGTTTAGGAGTTACAAAAGAGCTTTTCCTAATACAATTGAAACCAAAAACTTGTCTTTAGCCCGTTTCCCACCTTTGAGCGAATGAATCTTTCAGCCAGGGGTCTTAAACGCAGAAGAGAATTCCAGGTTGATGAGGTAGAAGCCGATTCTTTGACACTCCAAAAACTCTGATTTCGAAGATGATGATGCTTGTGCCATAAGCTCCACAGAGAGCCATTCTCAGTAAAGAGTAACCAGATGAATCTTAGACCATGCTACTTTTGCTCCTCTGTGTTTGATCTATGTGACAACTTAGTGACAACTTTACATAAAACGAAGTGAACAACTTAGTTCCTCTGGAATCAAAATAAACTTTGGCTGTTTTGTTTCTCATATATATCCATGAGCCACTTAATACACCCCCAACCATATTTCAAAATTCAAATTCTACTCTTAGTCTGGAACTCGTCTCCAATAACATTTTGTTTCCAACATGGAGTTTAACTACTTATCCCTTTATTTTACAGTGAGTTTTTACCTATAATCTAAAAGTTAATTTAAAATGCAACAATGACATAAGTCACATAACCAACGAATAAAATTAAGATAAAGCTAACACAATGAATACTATAGGCTTAAGAATCAACACAAATGCAAATTTTTCTGTATTTTCTTTTTTGTTAAAGGTTGAAACTTTTTTTGTTGTACGCAGATTTTCTCTGTTTTCAAACCATTTTCAAAGTCATTGCATATTCCTAAGTGTTATAATTTTATAAATCGTGACAAGCCAAAGGTAAATGTTTGGTTCCTTTATTCGCTGAAACTAAAGTTTTTCCTTTTTTTCCCCTTTGCATGCAAATGGGTTTTGGACTTTAAATGCAGAAGCTGAAGAAACAAATGATTTTAGGGAGAAAAGCAGAGACGCTTGACAACTATCCTCTCGGATTCTTCTGGTTCTGGGTCTCTCTCTTTTAGAGAAAAATCCACCATTTTCGCTTTCACTCTCACTAGCTCACTCAGATTCTCCCTCTTTTCACCTCCAAAACCCTTGTTTCCCGTTGTCTTCGTTTCGTCTCCGGGAACCAAACCGGTCAAACACACGGCTTGTCGGAGAAATCCTCCGTCGATTCTTAGGTATTCCGTCTTACCCAAACCCATCTTTGCTTGTTTTCGGAGAATAAAATGTCGATCATGACTACGGCGTCGTGTTTCAGGGGTTTTTCTCCGTACTGGGTTTATTGTTGTTTCAAATGCAGAGCTCTCTGGGTTTGAAATTTATGAAATTTAGGCTTTTTCTTGTGTTTACTGCTTTCGATTTTGTGTTTACAAGCAGAAAAATTGTTCCTTTCACAGTTTTTCGAATTTTTTTTTCTTCCGACTCTTCAACTTTTTTTTCCTCCAAAAACTGGGTTTCTCTTTTGAAATTTCTGGGTTTTCTCTTGAACTCGAATGTCTCCGATTCTCTGTTTGGTGTTGTTTGCTAAGCTCTAACGCTGCTCCGCTGTTGTCTGGTTTCGATTTTTAGGGTTTTACCATGGAGGAACCATCTTCATCAGATATCCTCGAAGGAGAGATTGTTGGAATCAAATTCGGTCTTGCAACTAACCATCAAATCGTAAGCTAAAAGAGCTAACTTCTCTCGACTAGATCCATTTTGCTTTTGCATCTTTACTGCTTTTTTGTCCACTAAATCGAATGAATGCTGTTAGATGAGTGATCAAAAGTGTCATGTACTGCTTTGTTTAGTTCTAGCTAAGTCCCTCTGCGCTCTGGTTGAGTTTGGCACCAAGTTTGTGAATTTCAGCTGTGTATATTGCTCGCTTTTGCATATTAAGTCACTGACTCTTCTATTTCTCACTGGGTTATAACTCTTTCTTGCAGCGTAAAGCATCAATCAGAGAGGCCAAGATCGATCATGCCAACCAATTGTCAAACTCGTTCCTGGGGTTACCTTTGGAGTTTGGCAAGTGTGAATCTTGCGGTGCAACAGAAACAGATAAATGTGAAGGTAAACCAGTTCCATTTCTGCTTTACTTTTGTTCTTACATTGTTGTTTTTTAGAATAGCTTTTTCAGATATCAATCTTTGTTTCTCAATTTTCAGGCCATTTTGGGTACATTGAGCTGCCAGTGCCAATATACCATCCTGCTCATGTGAAGGAGCTGAAAGAAATGCTGAGTCTCCTGTGCTTGAAGTGCCTGAAGATGAAGAAGGCCAAGGTAGTACCTCACCGAGTTTTCTCAAATTCCATTTTTTTGGTGAATGGTAAGACACATTTTATTTGATATCGACTAATATTTATCACCTTTCTGATTGCAGAGCACAAGTGGTGGTATTGCAGAGCGACTATTAGGTGTTTGTTGTGAGGTGAGCAACGCTATTTATGGGACCCTTGTTCAACATTTTCATTTAGTCAGTTGTCTAAAGTTTTCCCTTTAACTTAGTCAATGCTTTGTGAAGCAGTTGTTATTGGTATTTTCGTGACACCATGGAAAATTCACTGCTTATGTGTGTTTTTGGATGATATTTTTGCTAGACTTCTTGGATTTCTAACTACTGAATTACTATTTTGTAGGAAGCTTCGCAAATCTCAATCAGAGAAAAAGCATCAGATGGTGCCTCATATCTAGAACTGAAGGTCCCATCTAAGTCAAGACTGCAGGGCGATTGCTGGAAGTTTCTAGAAAGATATGGTTATCGCTATGGAGGTAATCACACGCGGCCCCTGCTGGCGAGAGAGGTATTTACTTTCTTCTGCATGATTTTATTTCTGTTTCTATCTTAGAATGTTTACATGTTCCCGTAAAGATGTTTTGTTTTTGTAAAATTCAAGTTTATGGTATATTTTAGGTTTCGTATTCAAAATAGTTAACATTGTTGGTATTAAGCATGCTAATCTGAGTAACTATAGTTTTGAATTCATGTGCGAATGTTTGAGCAAAAGAAGCAATGATTATGCCTTTGTAAGTCTCTGCAAGGCCTCAACGTTATGTGAACTTATAGTTTACTGGATCTTGTAGGATTTTAATGTCAAATGTGTTCTTATCTTCTTTTTTGAATATTTGAAATCACTGTCTATTTTTGGCGATGCTTTGTTTCTGGAAACTGATGATTACGATCTTTGGTATCTTTTTCCATATGCTGCCGAAACAAACAGGTGAAGGAAATCATAAGACGGATCCCCGAAGAAACGAGGAAAAAACTCACAGCAAAGGGACATATTCCTCAAGAAGGATACATACTAGAATGTCTTCCAGTCCCTCCTAACTGTTTGGCAGTGCCAGATGCTTCTGATGGTGTCAGCTCTATGTCGGTGGTAAGCCAGTTGAAACGAAATTCTTGTGTTGAGTTTATTAAATGGTTTGGCTTGTGTTTAGAAAGTAACCCCTGCATATATGTCGTTCTTATTTACAGGATCCTTCCAGAATTGAGCTAAAAAACGTTCTGAAGAAAGTGATTGCCATAGAAAGCTCTAGGTCTGGTGAAACAAACTTTGAGTCTCATAAGGCTGAAGCGGATGACATCTTCAGAGTGGTGGATACATACCTGCAGGTGAGGGGTACTGCCAAAGCAGCAAGACACATTGATCTGAGATTCGGTGGTGCGAAGATGTCAGACAGCTCTTCTTCAAAAGCTTGGGCAGAGAAGATGAGAACACTTTTCATTCGTAAGGGTTCAGGCTTCTCTTCTCGCAGCGTCATCACAGGGGATGCTTACAGAAAGGTGAACGAAGTTGGGATCCCAATGGAGATTGCCCACAGAATCACTTTCGAGGAGAGAGTTAGCGTCCACAACATTGGTTATCTACAAGAGCTAGTGGACAACAAGATGTGCCTGAGCTATACTCAAGGTTCTACGACCTATTCTCTGAGGGATGGTTCCAAGGGGCACACTGTGCTGAAGCCAGGGCAGATTGTTCATCGCAGAGTCATGGATGGCGATGTAGTTTTTATTAACCGACCCCCGACGACGCACAAGCATTCTCTTCAAGCACTTCGGGTGTATGTCCACGAAGACAACACGGTGAAGATAAATCCTCTCATGTGTGGCCCCCTCAGTGCTGACTTTGATGGTGATTGTGTCCATCTGTTTTACCCGCAGTCACTTACCGCCAAGGCAGAGGTTATGGAGCTCTTCTCTGTTGATAAGCAACTGCGTAGCTCACATACAGGGAATCTGATTTTGCAGATGGGCCTTGATTCTTTGCTGTCGTTGAGGGTTATGCTTGAGCAGGTGTTTCTAAACAAGGCAACTGCTCAACAGCTAGCTATGTATGGGTCCCTGTCTTTGCCACCACCAGCAATAAGAAAGTCCAGTAGATCTGGCCCGTCTTGGACAGTTTTTCAGATTCTACAGCTCGCGTTTCCTGAGCGTCTGAGCTGTAAAGGGGACAGGTTCTTGGTTAGTGAAAGTGATTTGATGTGCTTTGATATTGGGGTTGATGCCATGGCGTCTATGGTTAGTGAAATAGTCACTTCCATCTTGTTGGAGAAGGGTCCAAAGGAGGCACTGGGATTCTTTGATTCACTGCAGCCTCTATTGATGGAACATCTTTCCGGTGTGGGTTTTAGTCTAAGTTTGGAAGACTTATCCATGTCTAGGGAAGACATGGATGTTATTCACAATCTTATCATCCGGGAGATTTCTCCTATTGTGTCTCGCTTGAGATTATCATATGACGATGAATTGCAACTAGAGAACAGCATCCACAAAGTGAAGGAAGTGGCGGCTAACTTTATGCTGAAGTCATATTCCATGCGGAACTTGATTGACATCAAGAGTAACTCAGCAATCAACAAGCTGGTGCAGCAGATAGGCTTCCTGGGTCTTCAGCTTTCGGACAAGAAGAAGTTGTACACAAAAACTCTGGTGGAAGATATGGCTCAGTTTTGTAAGAGAAAATATGGCAGGATTTCTTCCTCTGGAGATTTTGGAATTGTGAAGGGCTGCTTCTTTCACGGACTGGATCCCTATGAAGAGATGGCTCATTCGATTGCAGCAAGAGAGGTCATTGTTCGCTCTTCAAGGGGTTTAGCTGAGCCTGGGACACTCTTCAAGAATTTGATGGCTGTTCTCCGGGACGTGGTGATTACTAACGATGGAACTGTGAGAAACACATGCAGTAACTCGATAGTGCAGTTCAAGTATGAAGTCAATTCTGAACGTGGACATCAAGGTTTGTTTGAAGCGGGAGAGCCTGTTGGAGTATTGGCAGCTACCGCCATGTCAAATCCTGCCTATAAGGCGGTGCTTGATTCCAGTGCCAGTAGTAATTCATCATGGGAGCTAATGAAGGTAGAGCATTCTATAGGATGCCTTCCTCAATATAGCTTTGATCTTCTGTATTGTTGTAGCTTAATACGGTATTCTGTTTTTGTCCTTTTTACAGGAAGTTTTGCTCTGCAAAGTCAACTTCCAAAACACAACCAACGATCGGCGTGTAGTTCTTTATTTAAATGAATGCCACTGTGGAAAAAGGTATTGCCAGGAAAATGCTGCTTACACAGTTAGGAACAAGCTAAAGAGAGTTAGTCTTAAAGAAACTGCAGTGGAGTTCCTAGTCGAGTAAGTATTGGTTTTTAGCAACTTATGTTGTTCTTCTTAGTGTTTGTGGTTTTTAACTTTTAATAATCCCCTTTGCAATCTGCTTTGCCTTCACTTGTGCAGATACAGAAAGGAACAAGCAATTTCAGAAATTTTCGGAAGTGATTCATGCCTACGTGGCCATATTCATCTTAATAAGGTTTGAATTCTGGTTACAAGTCACAGAAATACTTGACTCCTTATTATCCTTATGATTCTTGCTTGTAACTGGTGTTTTTGGTTTACTAGACATTGTTGCAAGATTGGAACATCAGTATGCAGGATATACTGCAAAAGTGCGAGGATGCAATTAGCTCACTAAAGAAAAAGAAAGCTGATGACTTCAAGAGAACGAGTTTCTCTGTCAGGTTTGTACATGATTTGCTTTTCCTCTGGTTGTGGTCTATCGCTGAATGAATTGCAGAAATCAAGTCTTATGTTGATTTTCGTATTATTATGTTTACTTGAATAGCTTCTTGTTTTTTGCTGTCTAATTATGAGTATCTTCTTCTCAAACGAACAGTGAGTGCTGCTCTTTCCGAGATCCATGTGCGAGCAAAGATTCTGATATGCCTTGCCTGATGTTCTCCTCCTACAATGCCGCCGATCCTGATCTAGAAAGAACTCTCGATGTCCTTTGCAATACAATTTACCCATTTCTCTTGGAGACAGTGATCAAAGGTATTAGAATAATGCTTCTCGTTATTTTGCTAGAGTCTTCCTTTCAAATTTTTTTATATAGAGTTATTGCCAGAGGTTACAGAGCAAAAAAAATTTCCTCAACTTGTCTGAATGATTTGTCTTTCAAATTGTGGTCGAAACTCCAAAGTTATATGTTAGAGTAAGATTTCTAGAGTTTTGTTTCTGATAGTACTTCTGTATTTAAAACTGGGCAGGTGATCCACGGATTTCCTCAGCAAATATCATCTGGAATAGTCCAGAAATGACCACCTGGATCCGGAATCGCCATGCGTCTCGCCGAGGGGAATGGGTTCTGGATGTTACCGTTGAAAAGTCTGCTGTCAAGCAAAGCGGCGATGCATGGAGGGTTGTGATTGATTCCTGTCTCTCAGTGCTTCATCTAGTGGACACAAAACGATCAATCCCATACTCTATAAAGCAAGTGCAAGAGTTGCTTGGGTTATCCTGTGCTTTTGAGCAAGCAGTTCAGGTATTTAATACTTCTTGTCATATTTCATGTTTGCTCATTGTTTGTTTAAGGTTGTTTAATGTAAGATGTTGATTGGATTCGCAGCGTCTCTCAGCTTCAGTGAGAATGGTCTCCAAAGGAGTTCTGAAAGAACACATCATCCTCCTAGCAAACAACATGACCAGTTCAGGAAACATGTTGGGTTTCAACTCTGGAGGTTACAAGGCTTTGACACGAGCCTTGAACATCAAAGCTCCATTCACAGAAGCAACTCTGATTGTAAGTAGTCCTTTTTATGTCTAATACAAATTCTTTTCTAAGACTATATTGGCAGTCCTCATCATTAACAGGAATTACTTTTTTTGTTTGTTTTTAGGCACCAAGGAAATGTTTTGAGAAGGCTGCTGAGAAGTGTCATACAGACACTCTATCCACAGTCGTTGGCTCTTGTTCTTGGGGAAAGCGTGTGGACGTTGGAACAGGTTCACAGTTCGAGCTCCTGTGGAACAAAAAAGAGGTAAACACTCGATCCGAAAAATTGTACCAAATTGACTGAGTATGTTTCATGTAAGTTTTGTATGAAATCTGATGTTCTTTATTGTCAACCAATTTGCAGACTGGCCTAGATAACGAAGATAAAACAGATGTGTTCAGCTTTCTCGAAATGGTCAGATCCACGACAAAGGCAGATGCATATGTTTCTTCCCCTGGTTTTGATGTTACAGAGGAAGAAATGGCTGAATGGGCTGAATCGCCTGAGCGAGACTCTGCTCTTGGAGAGGCCAAGTTTGACGACAGTGCTGAGTTCGAAAATATACATGATGAAGGCAAGCCATCGGAATCCAAGTGGCAGACCGGATCTCTTTGGGACAATGGTTTCAGTGGTGGCTCAGAGTGGGGAGTCCCCAAAAATACAGGTGGTGAGGAAAACTGGGAAAAGACTACAAATGGTGCGAAGGAAGATGCTTCGTCTGGTTGGAACATCAAAAAGGATGCCCCAGAATCTTCCAACTCAGATTCATGGGGTGCTTGGGGCTCAAAGACAAAAGATGATGATGCAAATACAACACCGAACTGGGAAACAAGACCAGCTCAGGAAGAATCTGTTGTCATCGAAAACAATGAGCCTGGTTTTGACGTTTGGGGACCCAAATCTGTTTCAGACAAATCTTGGGGAAAAAAGAACACTGGAACTGAGTCCGGTGGTGCCACTTGGGGTTCTACGGACAAATCTAATTCTGAAGCTGAACCAGATGCTGCTGCTTGGGGTTCTCAGGCCAGAAAGGAACCAGATGCTGCTGCTTGGGGTTCTCAGGCCAGAAAGGAACCAGATACTGCTGCTTGGGGTTCTCAGGCCAGAAAGGAACCAGATGGTGTTGCTTGGGGTTCTCAGGCCAGAAAGGAACCAGATACTGCTGCTTGGGGTTCTCAGGCCAGAAAGGAACCGGAAACTCAATCAAATGTGGCTGCTTGGGGTTCCGGGAGCAGAACGTACAAAGTAACTGAAGCAGATGCTGCTGCTTGGGGTTCTCAGGCCAGAAAGGAACCGGAAACTGAATCAGATGTGGCTGCTTGGGGTTCCGGGAGCAAAACGAACAAAGTAACTGAACCTGCTCCCGCTGCTTGGGGTTCTTGGGACAAAAAGAACACAGGAACCGAATCAGGTCCTGCTACTTGGGGTTCCCGGGACAACAAGAATTCTAAACCTGGATCTGGTGCTGCTTTTTGGGGATCCAGGAACGAAAAGAGCTTGGAAACTGAGTCAGGTGGTGCTACATGGGGTTCTAGGGACAAGTCTAATACTGAAAGTGAACCAGGTCATGCCGCTTGGGGTTCTCAGACCAAAAAGACTTCTGAAGCCGAATCTGGTGGTGCTGATTGGGGTGCTTGGGACAAAAAGAATTCAGGAACTGAATCACCTGGTACTGCTGCTTGGGGTTCTAAGGACAAAAGTGATTCGGAAACTGGATCTCCTGCTGCTTGGGGACAGCCAAGTCCCACTGATGCCACTGTAGATGATGGAAATCCGTGGGTGTCCTTGAAGGAGACCAAAAACGGAGAAGAGGATGATAAAGAGAGAAGCCAGTGGGGAAATCCAACCAAGAGATTCCCATCTTGTGGCTCACAGGGTGGCTGGTCCAACGGTGGTGGTTCAGACTGGAAGAGGAACCGTCCTCCTAGGACCCCTGGATCGGAGAATAATCTGGCTCCCATCTATACATCAACGGGACACCGCATGGACACGTTCACCTCTGAGGAGCAAGACCTTCTCTCATATGTCGAACCAGTCATGAAGTCTCTCAGGAAAATACTGCATCATTCCGGGTATGCCTTTCTCAATCTATCCAATTCCATCTCTATGCTATAATGTATGCAGTTACATATTCCATAAATATATGTTATGCTTCATCTTTATAAAACTGTTGTGTTCTATCAATTAAGGTACCCTGATGGAGAACCAATCTCGGATGAGGACAAGACGTTTGTCCTGGAGAAGATTCTGAACTTCCATCCAGACAAAGACGCAAAGATTGGTTCGGGTGTTGACTTCATCACGGTAAATAGCATATATCCTTTACCAAAACTGAGCATCTCTTCTCTTCTAAAGCTTACTTAGCCTTACGTCTGATGTAGAAAATTTCTTGTTGGAACAAAATGCAGATCGATAAGCACACAACGTTTGCAGACACCAGGTGCTTCTTCGTAGTCTCAACTGATGGCGCAAGGCAAGACTTTTCATACCGGAAATGCGTCGCCAACTGCATGATGGAGACATTCCCCAACCTCGCTGAAGAATTCCTCGAGAAGTACTTCAGAAAGCGTCGTCCTGATGAAAACAGAAACAGCCAAGAAGCCACTCCACCTGGAAACCCTAACAAGGAAGAAGAGAGTCAGAGTCAGTCTCAGCCCACTGGTAGTGGTGGCGAAGAGACTCAGTGTCAGTCTAACAAGGAAGAAGAGAGTCAGAGTCAGTCTCAGCCCAATGGTAGTGGTGGCGAAAAGACTCAGGATCAGGATCAGGCTCAGCCCACTGGTAATGCTGAAGCAGGTGAAGAGTCTCAGTCTCAGAGTTGAGAAACATAGTACGTTCAGGTAAAAACATTCATCATCCACTCTGTTTTGTTTTGACATGTACAGAAAGAGTGGAGAGAATGTCGGTTTTTTTGCAATTAAAAACACTGATGTGAAACTGCAAAACATTGTGTACATGCAGTTCTTAGTTGCAGATGCTTTTGGTCTTAAATTATCTATTTAGGAATCATGAAAACTGGCTTCGGTTTAGAGTCTTGCGGCATTGTAATTTCTTAGTGATGCTTGACATTTCACTACGTATTTATCAATGCATTTTGCCATCTCATTTTCTTCAGGCTGACTTTGAAAAAATTTAGATTCTTGACTTCACTCAAGTCTCAATCAAACTAAACCGAAATAGAACAGAGAGTATAATTCAAACCAAAACAAACCTGAACCATGATTTAAACCGAAACTAAAATTGGGCTCTAGACTAGAAAGTAAAGCCCAATTAGGAAAACAAACAAATCGCTCCTTTTTTATTTTCTTCTCCGATTTCCGATTTGAGTCATCCATTCTCAAGCTTGAAACTTTAACGACAGAGAGATTTGTGAGTTGTTTTCGTTCTACTTTTCTGAAGAAATCCAAAGTTGCTTTTTGTTCGAGAGATGTCGTCTGTCTTTGAGGATTCGTTCGTTATACTCGGAGACGATGCGTCTGAGTCAGTTCCGGTCTCAGGTTCCTTTGACACCACTACTGACAACTCCTTCTCAGCCTACGACAGCGGCTCAGTCCAAATCGATGACTCGATCGATGATGTCTTCGCGGCTCCGTCTCCGGATTACGGCGCTTACTCGAACGGAGACGGCGTCTTCGGATCCAACGGTGGACACGACGGTCCGATTCTCCCACCGCCGTCGGAGATGGAATCGGATGAGGGATTCGCTCTCAGAGAATGGAGAAGGTTAGATCTGCTGTAATCTGATCTTGTTCTTGCTTAGCTTAAGGTTTACTTCTTCCGAATAAAGTGGACAACTTTAGTCGAGAAAATTGCGAATCTCTTTAATTAATGCCGCGAATTCTCAATTTTTGATCTTGTTGCATAATTCTGTAAGCTGATGATAATCTGCTCGTTCTTCAAGTCGAATCCTTGTCTATGAAGTCGTTTAGTGTCCATTGTTATAAGAACTAATCACTCTATTAGATCGGATCTGAGTTTGAATTGACAGGATCTGTAGACAAAAATTCGCTTCTAATTGATCCCAAAGTTGCTTGCTCATTGTTTCTACTCAAAGTTCTGCCAAATTCATGTCAAATGTTATGTCTTTGTAACGTCTGTTAAGGTGATTGGATGTAGAGATCTGATTTCGTGTATTGAAAAACCAATATTATCTGTATCTTGCAACTTAGCTACTCGATGAATGTGTTGCGGTGTGTGATATTGTGCTATGGCTTTATATTATCTGCAGACTAAATGCAATTCAACTTGAGGAGAAGGAGAAGAAGGAAAAGGAAGTGAGGAACCAAATACTTGAGGAAGCAAACCAATTCAAAGAGGATTTCCACAAGAAGAGGGAACTCGCTTGTGAAAACAACAAAGCAGCTAACAGGGAGAAGGAAAAGGTTTCTTCTTGTTTACATTACTCTTTTCAATTTCCTTGCACAGAAATCTTTGCCCTCTAAGAAAAGAATATTTTTGCCAAAGTTTGCAGTTAGATCATTTGTTCTCAGTCTGCGCTGTTGTCATATAGTTTGACTAGAATTGACTCTGGAAGTCAAATGGTTACTAGAAATTAAGATTTTCAACTGTGACCATTCTTAGTCAACTGTTTTGATGCATTCTTAGTTCCATTCTTAACCGGTCTAATATGTTTTACGCTTGTGTAGTTAATGTGAGGCTATTTTAGCTTTATAGTGCCTTTTGGTTGAACTATTGTTGCTCACACGTTGGTTTGTGTTTGAACTCTTAAGCTGGCTGTGGAGACACAAGAGAAGTTCTATGCGGAAGCCAGCAAGAACTACTGGAAGGCAATAGCTGAGCTAGTTCCTAAGGAGGTTCCCACTATAGAGAAGAGAAGAGGGAAGAAAGAGCAAGACCCTAAGAAGCCATCAATCTCTGTGATTCAAGGTCCAAAGCCCGGTAAGCCAACCGATCTTGCAAGAATGAGACAGATATTGCTGAAGCTCAAACAGAACCCGCCTGCTCACCTGAAACTCTCTCCTCAACCTCCATCAGAGGCGGCTGCTCCTACTCCTCCTCCAAAGAATGTTCCAGAAACCAAGCCCACCGAGGCTGTTGCTGCTACTTAAAAAACCATCTTTGGTTTCTTTTTCATTGGTTACATCGATGTGATTCGGTCTTTGCTTTTCATTTTCTGTGTTATATACAGCTGAGAGATTGTAAGGTGGTCATGTGTGTTATTATCATTAACATAATTATGTCGTCATATTGGATGATACTTAAATGACATTCATGTTTTGAGTTCAGTCAATTGGTTATTAGTAATACACATATCAATCGGTTAAAGGATCCATCGATTTTAGTGTTAAAAAGCAGAGACGAGAGTGGAGAGGTTTACATAAAATGTCAAAACACTACTTCACATATCATCATCATCAAACTCGTGTGAACGAAACTCGCAATAACAATAAAGATTAAAGACAAAGAGGATCTCAAAGGTCAACGTTATACAACAGGCTTGTTTCTTCATTCCTTCACTTCATCTCCCTTGTAAGCTTGCAGGGGACCTGCAACCTCGCTCGCTGCCTGCGTCGTCTTCCTTCTCGCTTGCCTCTAAGCAAATGCCATTGTTGTTGTAGACACTGATCTCTGAGCTTGCGTTGCTGCTTGTTGCTAGTGGAGAATCTGAAACATTCATTGGCCTGCCACGAGTATGTCCAGATCTCACACTGTACATTGATGATGCTGGAATGTTCGTCATTAGTGGCCTCAGATTCCCTGGTATGGTTCTACGTATATCCTGTTTTCATCATAATGTTGATTCACCAGTTATTACACAATCTCACAAATTAGTACTAATGGGGAAGATAGAGAGAGAGAATGTTATAACGCACCATATGCCTTATTGCCATATCAAGGGATTTCTTGGAGAGCGATCTTCCGAATCCTGCACTGTCTGGTGACGAAGACTTTGCAGACAAGTTACCATGAGGAGAATTCTTGTTGTCATCTGGTCTAGGAGGAGCCAGTTTCCGCATGTTGATAACTCTCTCCACCATTTTAGTTCCCATCATCCCAGGACTAACATTGTCATTGGCTTTGGAATAGTTCCGGTTAATCGCAGGTACAGAGCTACCACTAGAGTACATTGGTGCTCTTCCTCTTGATGGTGAACATGACTGCCTTCTCGGTCTTCCTCCTGCTGGGCCACCTGGCTCAACTGAACCAGAACGAGGACTTGGAGCTCCGGGTCTGCCTCTTGTTGCAGAGAGTGGCCTTTCAGGTAATGTTGTCCTTAGATTTGGAGGTGTTTCTAGAGAGAAACCAGGCATGTCTGATGGCTTCCATGGCCTTGACCTCACTGTAGGAGAAGCTCCACGTGACACAGCAGGAGTTTTGGATGGCGTTGGCATAGGCTTCGCCGCTGGAGAAGAAGGCTTGACTTGGGATATCGTTGGCTTTGCTGTAGTGGTTGCAGCACTTGCAGAGCTGATTGGACGGCGAGTTGGTGTAGCTGACCTCGATATAGTCTTAGGCGGAGGAAGTGTGGGTCTTGAAGTTGGTGTTGAAGATCTAGCCGTAGATCTTGACAGAGGCGTGGTGGACCTTGACGGAGCTGCAGATTTTGTGGCGGTGCTGGTGGTGGATCTAGTTGTTGAACCAACAGATCTAGCAGTTGTAATAGTCGGTTTAGATGCAGCAGGTGTGAGCCTAGATGAACTTGTTGACCTACTCAAAGCCGTAGGCTTGGTTGTTGCAGATACAGTGGACCTGGAATTAGTCATTGATGGTCTTGTAGTTGAGGAGACGGTGGCTCGTGAAGTTGGTGTTGAAGGTCTTGATGTTTTTGAATTAGTTGTCAGTGATGATGATCTTCCAGTGGGCGTGGCAGGTCTTGATCCAGGTCCACCAGATGATGATGGCCTTCGAGTTGCTCCACTAGAAGAGCTCAATCCAGGAGATGAAGTTGGTTGTCTAGATGTTAGATGGTTCCTTGCAGCAGGCTCTGATGAGGAGGAATTCGCCAGCTACAACAAATACAATCCATAGGTTACCATAATGAAGTTATGACTCCAAATTTAGAGAAAAAAAACTCAGAGCTAAACAATGAAACTTATTTGTTCAATTCAAGTGTGTAACATAGCAATAACATTCTTACCCTGGAAGTCATTGTAGCTGAGCGTCCCTTTGAATCACCAGTCTGACTCATCTTAGTCCTATGGGATTCCATTTCCAGTGAAGGAAATAGAGGAGTACCTGGAGGAGTCAGAAGCCTTCGAAAGACAAAGACAAGTTAGGCTGGAAACTGTAAACAGAGTGAATGTCTAATAGAGAGAACAGATACGCTACAACTAACTCTTCCACATCCTTTCTCAGTATCATTCACACAAAAACATGAAGACATCATACAGCAATGTTATCAATTTTGGTAAGCATTCAGTGCTGACTGCTTCTCTCAGCTACACACACCACAAATAAAGAGTTCCATATTCCAACGCCTAATTCTAGTCTACTGGATTCAACACATGCCTAACATATACATAGAAGCAAAGACATTCAAATAATCACAAATGACTCTGTGATGAGTATCCTCACAAACCATCTTGCCACAACAGGTAAAAATGCTAGCTTGAAAAGAAACAAAATTGGTGAAAAAAGTTACCATTCATAGTCATTTTTGTCGCCTTCAGAATTAAGGAAATCATCAGGAGGACCTGTCTTCCGTGCTGGAGCACCACTTGAGATGTTAAACACCGGTGAAGTCCCAGGCTTTGAACCTTACAAGACCAAAAACCATTCAAGAACTAATCAAGCTTCTTCACCAAATCAGAGACACATGTCTCCACACACAAATTATAAAGAAGAAAAAAACGTCTTTTACCTAATGGAGTTTCGAACTCATCAGAGTTGTTGAGAAGGAGATTATCCTGCTCTTTCTCTTTCCGTCTCATCTCGAGAAACAAAGAGAGCTCTTCATCTTTCTCAGCCATCATAGAAGCCCTAAGTTGTTGCCTTTGCCTCTCTGCTGAATCCAGCAATAGAGACTCTTGTGCCCTAAAACTTCGATTCATCTTCTCTCAAAATATCTCAGATCAAAAACCTAACTTAGCTTCCAATTTACTCCCTCGACAACAAACCGAAATTAATATCCTAATCAGTTTATTGTAACTGCGAACTTTTAAATTAGTTGTAAAATCCAACAAACCCAACACGAAAAAATCAAACTTTACTAGCTTCAAGACCTTGATTCGCAACACATTTTCACCAATTTTCCCGCTTGAAAGTAAACAGAAAGGTATGGAGGGAAGAAGAGGATAAAAAGGGGAAAGTGGAAAAAAAATAAAATTAGAAAGAAGAAGACACGAGCTCTCTCAACGAAACCGCCATTGTCGAGGTACGGAGCTCAAGACACTAATCAATAACGCTAAACGGAGAAACAAACCCAGCAGCAGAAAAAAAACCTAAGGCAATGAGAGAGAAAGTGGAAATTTTGGGAGATCGAGAGAGAGATTGAGAATTGGGAGAGAGAAAGAAGAAAGTGAGGAAGGGAGTGGCATCGAGTGTAATTATTGATCTGCAAGATCGGTTAAATTGGAAACTCATATAAAGTTACAAAGAAAAATCGATTTTATTTTATTTTTGGGGTTTGATGAGAAAGTTTTCGATATTTTTTTCTCATTGTTGACGGGACGTGACATCTGGAGAGTGGTACCTATAATGTGCTCTCAATTGTTTATTTCGCTTCAAGCCTAAGGCTAAGGTAAGGATTCTTGCTCTGCTCTATGTGTTTTTTATTTATTACTCAATTGATTATTCCAATGTTTGTAGTAATAGTTTATTCTTCAACCATTGAAACATGTTTTCTATGCCTAGTGTCTGCTAGTCACCATAATGTTTAGTTTTATAACTACTGTAACCGGTTTCTTATCTTGAGATTATTGTATTGTGAATCCGTTTGTTGAACCAAATACTGGAAAAGTGTTGGGACTGGTGAGACCTATGAATCCCGATTATTTAATTTGAAATATATAGGAACCTGATTATTGAACTCATTTTAGTTTGATGTCAGGTTTTAATCAGAAAATTATTTAATTCAGTTCAACACCTAATTTGCAAAGTGCCTCATATTTAGGTCCTTAATCTGTCATTATTTACCTACTGATCAGGTATATACTACTTTTTTAATAATTTATTGACAGAGTAGCGATAAACTGAAACTAAATGTTTACTCCCTCCGTTTCAAATTAATTATCGTTTTGGGAAAATGTATCTGTAATTATTTGGATGTATCTGCAATGTAAAACACGTCCAGATACGTCCAAATATTTGTAGATACATTTTGCCAAAACGACAACTAATTTGAAATGGAGGGAGTATTAAGTAACTATTTAGCCAGATACAATATGAGAATGTTGTTTAACAAAATTACTTATTGAACTTGATGATTGGATAGCAAAAATGTTGATATAAGTTTGATGATTGATGACTCACACAACTCAATTAATGTCAGACAAGTTTGAAATGGGTTTTTGTAGGACAATCCCTTTAGAATCGATGATGGTCGATGTTGCTATTTTAGACTACATGTCGGTTTCATTTTGTGGTCTCATTGATATGATAAATAAGAAATTCTATTAAGGTTAAATGGTCGAGTGAGCCCAGCATCAGTCTAAGATATCTAAAGCAAGTCCATTCTGTGTAAAACCCATCAGGCCCAAATAGCTTTCTTCTAAATGCTCTCATATTGATGTGCTTTATATGTTGTTCATCTTTTTTAGACCATCGAGACTTTTCTTTCACTAATGAGATTAAGTATATTTGTATGGGATTCGAATTCCAAGAGGCAAGAACTTTGCTCTTTAGTCTTCTTAATATCTCATTATCTCTCTGCATCTAACCATCGTTAGTGTTTCTGAATGACGGATTATAGTTTGCTTGGGTTATTGTTAATCTCACTAATTGTTTGAATTTCCCTAGTGTTTGCTTTTTCATTTCTTTCCTCTTTATTCTAGAAGATCATTTATCAAAAGGGAAATTAGTTTATTGTAAATGCCCTGTCATGTAATATGTATGAATGTCACACAAAGTTCTCTGGTACATACATAGTAGCACTATGAAAAGTTAACAGAAAACAATTGTTTTAAATGATCACTTTACATGTCACATTAGTGTTTCTGAATGACGGATTATAGTTTGCTTGGGTTATTGTTAATCTCACTAATTGTTTGAATTTCCCTAGTGTTTGCTTTTTCATTTCTTTCCTCTTTATTCTAGAAGATCATTTATCAAAAGAGAAATTAGTTTATTGTAAATGCCCTGTCATGTAATATGTATGAATGTCACACAAAGTTCTCTGGTACATACATAGTAGCACTATGAAAAGTCAACAGAAAACAATTGTTTTAAATGATCACTTTACATGTCACATACCAAACTGCAACCCTAGATGACGAACTTACTATCTCCAAGTTGCAGCAATCTAACAACAACCTTCATTAATGCCGAGATCATATATAGGATCAACACAGAAGAAAAAAAGATGAACAATCTAGTACTATCAATTACTTTTATTATCAGAGAAATTGCAGTAGAGAGACATTGAAAAAGACTCAAACCATAATTAAAATAACCCAAATGATGGGTTTACTCCCACGGATTATTCTAACGACAATCATTCATTGCAATAAAACTAACACAACAAGCAAACTTATATAGTAGATGATCATAGCTTAAACCGACTGATTCGAAATTTTCAAACCGGCCGGTCCAACTAAGAGAAAAGATCAATTTGATCATCAGGTTAAATTAAGCTCTGGTTCCGGCAGCACCACCACCGTCGTGTCCGTTCTTTTCACCGTGAAACGCCGTCGAGAAATTGGTGTTGAGATCAGAATACATGGAGACGACCTTGGAGATGTTTCCGTTGAGTTCTTGAATCAAAGCGACGTTCTTCGACATGTTATCGGCCATCCTCGATTGGTGATTGTCGTTGACTTGCTGGATCAGTGATCTGTTTCTGTCCAAAACTGATTGCACCTGTCTGAAATTCCGATCTAGATTCTCCCACATCGCCGGATCTTCTCCACCTCCTCCCTGCTCCGCTTCCTCCGCCACGTTTCTTCGCCGCTTCGTCTCGCCGTTCCTCTTCATTTCTTTCCTTCCGACAACAGAAATAGTTTTATTCCGATTTCGTTTTTATCGCCCGAAGATTTTTTCTTCTTTTATATGGTTTTTAATTTTGTTTTGTGTGTTTTCCTTTTTTATGAATTTTCGCACTCAAGAGAAATCAGATATTTATAGCAAATATCTGCCAGAGAAGATGATAAATGGACACGGATGCAAGTAGTTTTGTTTAATCACCAGACTCATAACAAGCGCGTATAACGCACGTAGAGATAGATATAGGATAATGAGGAACACGCGCGTGTGAGGAAGCTGGATAGATGTGATTTGTATGTGTGCAGTGATTGGTTAAACGGAATAAAGCAGAGAGCTTTTCTGCACTTTTCTGAATTTTAAAATAAAAAATTAGGAGAGAGAGAGAGAGATAAGGATCTCTGATTCTGTAATTTAGAAATATCTCAAGATATTTATTTGACAAAAAGTGAATATTTTTATATGAATAAAACATGGTGTACGACTTGCCACGGTGCAGAACCGTATTCCCATAAGCATATGATCTCATTTCTGATTTGTCACAACATCCCCTTCGAATTTGCCTTTGATCTGGTCAGCGTTGTTTATAACACAACATCTTATTCGTTAGAAATTTTACAGAACATACTAATACCTGAAGACTTGTAAATCAGATCCAAATATCTAATTTTCTTCTAAAAAGTGTGTAGTGTACCAAAAAATGATTTGATCTAATTAAATGGCATCATGTTAAACCATATTTGAAATTCTCCTTGCTTCTTTGAAAATTATAGATTTCATTCACTATAAGAAGAGCGCATATTTTAATCTTAGATAGAGAATTCTCATTTTAGGATGAATATCTCAAAAATAACTCAAATATATAAATTTATAATTATATATGAATCATCACAACTTTTCACTAAGAGGTGTATTTTAAGAAAACTGAAATCTAATTACAATTTAATGTTATTTTCAAAGAAAATCAGATTTTTTTTACATAAGATTATGATATTGAATGTGCTGATCACTTTAACAATAGTGTGTATATGTTTGGTTTATGAGAATAGTTAAGTCGCTTTTGTCGCCAATAACAGTTATGTTCGGTTTATTCTTTTCGATTTTAACATAAATCCAACGTAGATCATGAACCGCACCTTGCTGTTGTCTGGAGCCACCACAACCTCATTCACTTTCCTTAAGATCTATGTCCCATCCTTAGACACAAACACAATTATGTCCGCATTTTTCTTGAGTTTCTATATTTTTTAAAATCATTGAGTTAATGCATAAATATGATGTAAATTATAAAAAAAAAACTAAACTGGTGTTATATATTAGATTAATAATTTTTTTTTTTCAAACTGAAACAGAGTACTAGTTTTGATTTCGTATGTTATTGTTCTAAATATGTATAAATAATAAGCTAAATAAATAAAAATCAAAGCAAAACAATAGAAAAAATGTAATAAGCTAAAATAAAGAAAAAACAAAGCAAAACATAAGAAAAATATATGTGATTTTATTTTTAAAAAAACTTGTTCAGTGCAAGATGTAATTAAGAATATGGAAAAAATATGCTTTCTTATAGTACGCTATTTTTGTTAAAAATATTGAAATTAAGAAAAGGAAAGAATAAGCGATAAATATAAGAAATCAATAATAACAGAGGAAATATTAATTTGATCCAATTTGGTTGATTCAATCGCTTAATTGTGGGTGAAAATTATATAACCGATGTTAGGGGTACGCCTTAATCAAATATTAACACTTTGATTAAACATATAATTTTTGTGAAAGCCCTCTTTAGCTCAGTGGTTAGCAAGTTTATTAATGGTTTACCAAGAGGTATGGATTTTCTTGGAGATTAACACATAAACTAGGTTTTTAACACAATAAGCAAAGCAAAGTGAACCTAGTTTATGTTGTCACATCGGCTTTGAGATGTTATACTATACAATCACACTATTGTATAACACTTGTAATGATAATGAAATGATTCTAAACATCATGACAATGGAGACGAACAAACAACTCGAGTCATCAAAGAGAACTAAGATGATGAAGCAATAAGATTATAAGAGTTTAGGGGCCTCAATTGATGAAGACTCCTTGCGTTTTCGTCCAATTATTGAAGCTCTATGGAATCTAGGATCTCCTGCTCTCAGAGACAAGTGAGCTGCTTCGTACACTACAAAAGAAACAATGGATGTTTCAGATGGACACGGTAACTAAACTTTTTTTTATTAACAAGAATTATAAGACTTATATTACAGTTTGTTTCTTCTTTTGGTAATACACTAATACTATATTACAACAATGTTCCAATTAGTTTATGGATCATACCATCTCGGTTCACTATTCTTTGCAACCAAAATGAACAATCCACTATTTTCTTATTATTGTATTTCATTAAATTTTGATTTTGCCTTCAATTGTTCTACATCATAATTCAACAAACATCATAATTGTCCATGTTTTATTTGTGTTGTACAATTATTGAATCGAATATTTTAGATTTTCTAATGGTATAATCTGGTTTTACTATTTTGGAATAACCAGATCCAATTTCTGGTTACTTTTGACTTGGTTTTGCTCGCTTTAATTTGAACCAAGATTTAGGGAACAAGGCTAGTGCCTAGTAGTCTAGTTCTAGGTAGTAACTGTAGTCTGATGATTTAGACTTTAGAGAGACAATTTAACTCACGCACAAATAATAATCTCGAACAGAAAAAATCATCAAAGCAGAGATTAGCTAATGAAAGAAACTAAACATCTAACTAAGAATCAGAGTCGTCGTCCTCTGGATCCTCCACTGATGATTCCGCTGGCTCTTCTTCTCCTCCCACTGTTATCACCAAATTGGTCTTGATTTTCAAGTTTCAACAACAAAGAAGTAAAACGCAAATGGAGGAAGAAGAAGAAGGAAAAAACGAACCTTCAAGTTCTATTTCCCTAAGAATGGCATTAAACTGGTTTCTCAATTCGCGCAATTCCGCAAGCGCTCTATGGATTCGCTGGATGAGATGATTTTCCGGCCGAGGCGCTGCGTCGGCGGCTATTACCACCGGCCGGCGAGGAGACACCGACGGTGGAGCTTCGTCGTATAGTGGTGGGTCAACAACAACTGGCTTTTGGACAGCATCATTGTCTTCCATCTAAAAACTCAACAAAGACAAAATTAAACCAAAAAATGTATAAGCTTTCCGATAAAAAAAAAAAAAAAAAAAATCAAAAGTAAATTGACCTAATTTCATCAACAGAAATCGATTAGAGAAGCTAAAAATGCTTATACGATTTGAAACCACTCGATTTCTTTTAGGGCTAATAAAGGGGACTGTGTAGGTGAAATGACACACAAAGCGAACTGATAGAGTCAGAGAGAGACGGAGAATTTACCGGAGACGATGTAATTAATCAATCGTTTCACGAGCGGTGGTGAAAAAAAAAAGAGAAATCGCGGCTGTGAATGAGAAAGATTCGACTTTTGAGTGTCGACACACTGAAAAGAGAAGATGATGGCCACGCCATTAATGTTTAAGTTTTTCTCCAATAAACCAAAACCAAAACCAAAATCAGAGCCTAACCGTACCGGTTCAATTTGATTTAAATGTCCTTCTCTGATTCCGTTTGTATACCGGAAGTGTGTATATGAAATTTCTTTGAAGAAGATGAGAAACATAGTACTTTGGGATTGATTGAATAATGAAAAAATGCTGTGTAGAAGAAAACTTAATAAGAATGATGAAATAATAAAAATGGTGATAATTCTCAGCTTACAAACAATACTTTATAAAGTTAATTTATTGGTACATAACAACAGCCTGTGTAGAGACAAAGAATGATAAAATGTCAATTCTGGATCCAACCAGAACAAAGAATAGATTTGCCTTTGTAACATTTTCGTCAAATTCATGAATTATCTTATCTTATATCATAGAGGTAAGGCTCTTCTGACTTGTAACATCCAAAGAGCGAATTGCATAACCCAAAGCCTAGCTTCAACAGAGAGTCCTTCAAGCCACACTCTAAACCATTCCATCAACGATTTCCTCTGTGACCTCTTCGCCTCCATAACCGCATCAGAAGACACTTTCCCGATGATCAGAAACGACTCAAGCGACGAACCACGCATCAGCTCATTGTTAACCGACCGGAGACAGTCGTTTGTCTTCAGCATCAGGAGGATCACGCGTGGCAGTCTCCTGAGAAGCTCAGAGATTTGAGGGAAATACTGTGACGCATACATCTGCATCTCCGAGAGGTCTTCTTTGGTTCCTGGTATGACTAGATGATCCACAGACGTGTCCACGACTTGGTTCCACGGCCTCATTGTTAGAATCCCAGCGAACAGCACGTAGAGATCGTCTCCAGCGCCAAGCTTCGCGCTGTGTTTCTTAATGGCGTTTGCGTCCGCAAAGACAAGAGCTTTCCATAGCGAGGCGTAGTTGAATCTTGTGTCGAAGTCAAGCTCCTTGTACAAGCCATGGTCAAGAAGCACCAGTTGCGGTTTCTTCTTGCCGTATATGTTCCTTTTACCAGAAGGAGACGGACGAACAATCAAATTAGCAGCGTGTGGATCACAGTGCACAAAGCCATGCTTAAACATCATCTCTGCAAACGCTTGACTCACCTGTAAAAGAAGAGCTTCACACATAAGGCCCTATAGAGATCAGTATTTGCAATTTCTTCATAAAGATCAAAGGTGAAACAGCTTACTAGCTTTGATACGTCAAAGGGCTGAATCCCAAGCTTTTTGATGGTGGCCACGTCATTGACTTGAGCACCATCCATGAACTCCATAGTCAAGAGCTTAGAGGAGGTCAAGTTCCAATAGATCGTTGGTGCATAAACGTACTCTGCAAGATGGGGAGAGAGCTTCCTAAAATTATCCAGACATTTCTCACTGTTTTTCGCCTCTACCAAAAAATCTAGTTCCTGATGAAAAATTACATTAATAAAGAAACACAAAAGCGATCAAAACTCAAACCAGTGGCTAAAAAATAAAAACTCTATGACCATACTTAAATGCTTCAGAATAGACAGTTAAAGAAATACATGAATGAAATGAAAGTCATCAGAAATCATTGCAAGAAGATGCATGCCAAAAGCATACTAAATTTTTAATGAATCAAGTAAAGACACCAACCTTTGGTAAGCTTTCACTCATTTCCTCTAACAACCACCTGCAAACATGAGCCATAAGCTAATTGTAAGAGACATAGACACGGACTATGAATTGCCTACAGGAAATGAGAAAGAGACTGCACCTATAGTCAAACGATGGGAATATCCGGTGCAACGTGTTCACTATAACTCCAACAGCTGCAGTATCCGCAGCTGCACTGTCGGTCATATGCGCATGCTGAACCTGCAGACCAAAGATTCAGGTAATTAGAATCAACACAATGAAGGAGTTGCAGAAACTTAATCTGTGGCATTATATCCAAGTAAATATAGTTCTATTATGACCTTGACAGCAACTTTTTTCCCTTCATGGGTACGAGCAACATGAACTTGAGCAAGGGAGGCACTTGCAATTGGAACAGGGTCAAATTCAGCAAACACCTGTAGAAGCAAAGAGATGCATTAATAAATGAAGCAATTAAGTGTGGTTATTCAAATTAAAAACAAAGTAAGGAAAACAGAAACATACTTTGTCTGGCGTCTCCCCAACTTCTTTCTTGAAAACCTCACATACTTGCTCATACGAAGAAACAGGGCATTTGTTCAGCATCGACTCCCTCATAGTACGAACATACTCCTCAGGCACAAGATAATCCTTAAACCACAAATGAAATAATAACTCAGTTGAATTTCATTATTTAACCCTGAGACATTCAAATGGCACAGAGAAGAGCAGAAGTTTACATACTAATTGCCCTATATGCTGGCCGAGTTTAATATAGATTCCTCCATTTTTGAAACAGAGCTCTTGAAGCTTTTGTGCTGACCTTAGGTGGACTTCATGCTTGACCTTAGCCTTCTCACTGCTCCCCTCAGCCAAACCCGTCAATGAGTATTCATAATCTATAACCAACGCAAAACCACAACCTATAACGTTACTTCTATGGAAGAAATGGCTAAGTCATATGAATTGAGAAAACTATCCAAATCTCAATTCTCAGAAACTGAAAAAGACTTAAGAGCTCGACCATGTCCAACGTAATTAGATGTAATTAACATTTGCTTCCACAAGCCTTAGAATTCTCGAGGAACTACATTTTCTAAAGCGTTCCAATAAGATCGGAGCTCCCCAGATACGAGAGCTCAGATATAACCGCAAACTAATCAAAGCACAGATCAAAATCAATTTGAAAAAAATGATATTTGAAAGGAGAAGGGCATTGCAGCGATACAAATTCGGTTTTTAATAAATTTCCCGTACCGAAAGCGATGGAGGCGGCGGTGACGGTGTTGCGGTAGAGGCGGACGGGGATGTTGGTGCAAAGCTTGAGCGTGGCCGTTGGGTCTTCGGAGGAAGCAATGAAGGCGGCGCCGGAGCCACCGCATACGGCGGTACCAACGACGAGGAGCTTCGAGCGGGTTCTCCACAGGGATCGTGCCGCCATTGAGGAAGCAGGAAAACGCCGGAGCAGATCGGAGGGAAAAATAGAGAATAGAGCGAGCGAAAACGATGTGAATCTCCGACAACGCTAACTAAAATTCGCGTGAATTTCGTTCGTTAGAGCGACTCGAGTCTTGCTCGTTTTGGGCCTAAATGTTTTGGGCTTTTATTGGGTCTGACGTTTGACAGATCGATCTTACGTGTTTTTTCTTCAGCCATAAATTTATACCACCAATAGTAGAAATGGAGGCTAGAGACATACTCTCTCCGTTTTTTTTAATGAATTTTCTAGCCATTATGTATTGTTTCACAAAGATAAAACTTTTACCTTTTTGATTCACTTTTTCAGTTTTCAAGATACAATGATTATATTTGTTGGATTTTTATTGGTTTAAAATTATAAAAAGTTGTTTTATTGCAGAAATCTATGCACTAATAATTGAAAATCAACTTTTTCTTAATCTGTGTGAAAAAACTAGAAAATTTATCTTTAAAAAAAAACGGAGGGAGTAATCAATTACGACTATAATTTACGGACATATAAAATATTATATTTTAGTTTTAGCCCTGTAAATATTCATAACTTTTATTTCAGTTTACTATGTAATACTAAATACTAATAATGAATTACAAAAAAACATTTGGGGAATTGTGATTTGTGAGTGCATGTTTTTGGTGAGTTGAGTGGAGATGTCTTTGACTTGGGTAGAAGAAGTTTCTTCACTTCCGGTCAGTTTCGTATGCTTAAACTCTTCAATCCTGACTTTCAATTCCTCCCGTATTTGCCATTCCTTTATTATTTTTGTTTCGTATTTTTCTTTCATTCATGGAAATGCATTATTTGGTTGGTCCTACACTAAAATTTTCAACTTCGTGGATAGTTTCTTTATCATATATGATTGAAATGTAATTCTGACCGTTGCTATACACAACAAAAGAAACAAACAAATTTAACATATTGCATCAGTTTACTATTGTTAAGCGTTTCATCCATTTACTATTGTTTTGTTCGGTTGTACTCATCTTCGGGGTGCTGTAGAATATGACAATTTGATTTGATTTGATTTTGGTTTTAATGACAATTTGATATCTGTGTATTCCAGGTAAGAATAACCACTTAATCAGAATTAGAATGTTCAGCTGGCACAAATACAAAACCAAAACTAGTTAAAGATTTTTTTATTTTTAAAAATATCTTAATTTGCGAAATCTCCCAATATGTTCTGCCTTAGCATATTTATACATTCCAATTACACCATCAACTGACTAATATACACATTCACGCGTAGATACGTCTAGCTATCGTTTTCTGTGGGTTTGTATATTTTATTTGCGTTATACTAAATTGGCAATGTAATTGACAAGCATATTCATATTAACGGTTTACAATAGTTTGAGAAGAGACGACAAAAACAAATAAGAAGTTTGATAAGAAAAAGCAATCACACAATTCCTTTCTCCTATACTTTTTTGGTAGCATTAGACGAGAAAACGTCGAAGAACATAAAATAGTGGTAAAAAGTTAGATTCGATTGTTTAGTGCTGCTCACTTTTCATATATCAAATGTACAAAGAAACAAAACGAAAATAGAAAATAGCGCCTTATAATACGTTCGGGCAAAAAACGGCATGTGGTCACATGGCTAAAATCGGTCGGTTCCTCCATTCCCGTTCTTGTTTTGTGTTAACGAGTCTCGGTTCATTCTCTTCGGCGGGAGGGGATGGGCCTAACATTATTTGATAAAAAAACGATGACCGTTGTGACAATTTCATAATATTCAACTCCATTTTGATTTTCTTAGTCACAAATGAAAACAAGAAGAAATTAAGAAATGTTCCTAAGTTTACAAACTATTGAGAATTTTCTGTGCTTCACGCTATTTAGGTATTACCGTTGTTATAGGGAGGCTAGAATCTGAACACCACGAACAGTATTTTGTTTTGTTTTGTTTTTTTTTTAATTTAACACAAGTCATAGTCAGCTCTAGCCTCTAGATAATCAAATAGTCAAAGGACTCAAAGACTAGGAAGTTTCTCTCAACATTTCTTTTCTAGAATGTTTCAGTTTCTAATTAATATTTAGGATTTTGTTTTGCGTTTTTCTAACATCTATTTCGGACTTTTTTTTTTGTTATCAGAAGTTTCAGAGTGTTAATTGTTAAAATCTTATTTTAATCCGAAAAACTATCTTCTCAGATAATGGATGCATGTAAATTAAAAAAAAATTAGAAGAAATCAATAAAACGAAAAAAAATATTTTTAAATTTAATAAAAGGAGAAAGTCAAATGAATGGAGGTTTCTCAATCGTTAAGCAAATCGATATGGTGATTTTGAAAACTAGAAAACTTACACAACATATATACATGTATAGAATTTTTAAAAAAAATTAGTAATCATGATAAATAAGTGGAAATAGAAAAAAATAACAAAGTAACCCCACAAAATCACAAATCTTCAAGCGTAAGGAAAAATTATTACTATATAATTTTTGTTTGTCCAAAAAATTTCTTACTATCATTAGTTAAATATTGGTTGTGAACAAACTTGTTTCAGGTGGCAACCAATCTAACATCAAATTAATTATTTGCATGATAAGATGAAAAACCGCGCATGTAACTTTATAGTAATTTATATTTATCTATATGAACTATTGATTGATCATCATTCTCTTATTTACTTAGCCTCGTTTGCTTTCCAATAAACTGCAAATATGATTCATATATCATCAATCTATCTTATAATAGTCAATACAATAAATAAAATACGTGTTCATAGGAAAAAACTCAGATTTAATAATAATGATATAGAAAGGTAAAATTCACCAAACTAATCCAATAATCTCTGTATTCAATCAAAATTTCCAAAAGTCCAACGAGGAAATAATCATTATTATATAAAGTAGTATTTATCTGAGCATCATCCTCGTCGTCATCGTCACTTTGTATCGTCGTCCACCTTTTTAAAAAACCTCCTCAAAAGTCTCCGAACACCTTTCCCTCTAAAACAATTCACTCCACACTCCAATCCTCTATCTCTGTAATCTGATTCGATGGGATTTAGTAAAGAAGAGATCAGCAAAAGCAGAGGACTTTGGTCTTCTCTATGGAGAGGCATCAAAACTCTATTCGTTCTGTTCACAATGTTCTTCTCTTTTCTCCTCGTCTCTGCTCCGATCTTCCTCGCCGTCGCCGACGCTCTCCTCCCTTCCGCCCTCCTCCACCGCCTCTCTTCTCCAGCGAACCTTTCTTCTCATCTCACCAACTACGATTTCCGTCACTCCCTCATCGATATTCCGTTGATCTCCATCGTTAGATCTGCCGTTATACTCTGTGAGTTAAAAATCCAGACTTTGCAACTGCCCATCACTGTAAATCAATTGCTCTGTTCCCAGAAATCGAATACTCTGTTTTACACATTCGAGATCAGGAAATGAAAAAGACTTTTAATTTGTGTGTAACAGGCGTTTACGGATTCTGCGACGGACCAAAACTATCGAGAGGTCCGTACCTGACGATAACGATGATCTGCTCGATTTCGTCTCTGATCTACATTTCGTTAAAAGCGGCGTTCGTGTTCGGAGAGCCGGCGATCGGAGACGGCGGAGGTAACTACTTCAGAGCAGCTGAAGTGGCTCTGTTTCTAAGCTCGTCGGTTTTAGCAATCGGACATATCGTTGTGGCTTATCGAACTAGTTGCAGAGAGAGAAGAAAGCTTCTCGTCTTCAAAATCGACATTGAAGCCGTAAGTCCACTTCTTCTCCTTCTTCTTCCTTAGCCGTTACAGAAATTTATTATTTTTATTTAATAATTCGATTTATTGAAAAATGATTACACAGAAAGATAGGGGCCAATAATAATACCAAGTTGCATTATTTTATTTATTTCAAATCTTAAGGATGAATTAGATTTTGTACCTGCACTAGGGATCCTTATCAGACTGGGTCAGAGAAAGCATGTGGATGTCGTAATAGTCAATGTTGAATATTTATAACATTTTGACATATTTTGGCTCTTTTTGGGATTCTAGAATCTCGAGGAGATGTTTCTTCTTCCCAACCAAACCCCAAGTTGTTGTTCGTTGGAAAAGACTCGTTTCAGTTTTGGTTGGTTTTGAATTTTCAGTCGCATTAAATTTACCAACACAATGCAAAACTGAAGTTGAATTACAAGACTTTCTTGTAAAATATAAGAAATAAGAATCCCATGTGGATTCCGTGTGGCATGTAACCTAATTTTCTTTTGTTTGAAAAAATTAGTTTAATAACCCGACATGATACGTCACGTCTCACGCATGCTTCATGATTTGTTCTCACAGAGACAAACAAAGTTCCTAATCCTCTTTTTCATAAATATAAAAATATAAAACACTTAGCACTAAACTGTTTTTTGTTAATCCAGTGTGAAAAAATAATATGGTTTGTTTGATTGATACATTTTCAGGTTTCGGCTTGTAAAAACGTGTACCCAAGGTATCAAAAGATCCTCCAACAAAAGAGACTCAAATAGAGACGTATTTCAAAAAATAGAGACGTATTTCAAGAGGATCAATACTTGTAAATATGTATACACACTAACACACATGGCACATACCCTTTGTACATAAATGTAAATATAATTTTAAAATACGACGTACGTATAAACGTAGCTTCTTCTTCTGCCTTTCGGTGTTTGACCCATCAAATCCTTCGCTTTTAAGTTTCAGGTAACCAACCTAATCTCATCCTCTCTTCATTCTCTTGCTTACGTAATATAGACTTATATTCTTCTTCTTCTTGGGGGATAAAATGATTTCTTTACGTTTTATTTGCTAGTATTAAATTATTGGGGAGTGATATAATGGAGGTAACCAAGTTGAGAGCCGTTTTGCTTGATAATGTTGTTTATTATCTTTTTTTTTCTCTGTTAACAGAACGATCCAAAGGATAGTCTGTAAAAGGCGTGAGGAACAGATAAGCAGTGGGGCTTATATAACCTAATGATTTTTCTTTTAAGACAACCCCGATGAATTGGCAGTTGCTAGCTTTAATATTAGATTAGTTAGGAACATTTGAACAATAACATTAATAGTTTGCTGATTTTGTATTTAACCTAGAGTTTCATCAATGAGAAAAGAAGCCCAAGGCATCTTTTATAATTTTGTAGCTTGTTTTGGGTTTTGATGTGCGTCTCTAATTGTGAGTAAGCATGCCTCCTAACGTCACCAAAATTTATAAACGAATCGTAAAGCACCATTTTTAAAATATTTACATTATACAAAGATATATATCTCAATCTATTGAACTAGAGTGAATAAGAAACTCTTTGGTTATCAAATTTGTGTAGACTCGTCTCCAACATCAAATATACTTCATGGGCTTTTTTTCATACATGGGCTATAGGAAGAGAGAAACTTTTAACTGGGACCAAAAGCTTTCAACTTTTTGTGAACTCGACAAAAGAAATCCTTAAAAACAAAAACAAACAAAACAACGAAAAAAAACCTTAAATTGGAGACACCTACCATTAGGACCAAAGAGAAAAAGTGCAACGTCACTGAAAATAGGGACACCACAAAAGAATAAAGGTGAAGAGACCAATCACATGAGATAACGCTAGAGATAAGGCTTCTTACATCTACCATCACATATTAACGTTAGTATTATTCTAAAATCTAAAAAAAATACTATATGTTATAAAACATTTCATAACGAATCACACCGACACATAAACAATCTTGAAATGACTACCACCACTGCAGCCGCAGCTTCAAGTATCTTTGGGATCCGGGTTCAAGATCCTAGACCCGGAACCGGTAGGGTCCAAGCAAGATTTGGCTTCAGTTTCGGGAAAAAGAAAGCTCCACCACCACCGCCAAAGAAATCTAGGCAGGTCCAAGACGACGGAGACCGACTAGTTTGGTTTCCCGGCGCAAACCCCCCTGAATGGCTAGACGGATCGATGATCGGAGACCGCGGATTCGATCCTTTCGGTTTAGGTAAACCAGCTGAGTATCTTCAGTACGATTTCGACGGTCTTGACCAAAACCTTGCCAAGAACGTGGCTGGTGACATCATCGGGATCATCCAGGACTCGTCGGAGATCAAACCGACGCCGTTTCAGCCGTACACCGAAGTATTCGGGATCCAACGGTTCAGAGAATGCGAGCTGATCCATGGGAGGTGGGCCATGCTTGGCACTCTAGGCGCCATCGCCGTCGAAGCTCTCACCGGAATTGCATGGCAAGACGCCGGGAAGGTACGCTCATTTATTCGTTACAAACATAGTTGTCCACGTGTCAGTCGTTGGAACTAAAATACAAATGTATAAAAAAAAATATTAGAGCTTTCTGCATGGTTTACAAGAGTCGTTTAAGTTTTAAACGTGTAGCAAAGTTTTTAATATTTTCGGTTTAGTCCGGTTCGAATGTTTATAGGTTCAAATATTTCGAGTTTTGCAAAGAGGCCAGAATTAAAACCGGAAATTATTTCGTTTCTGTTGATTAGAAAATGTTCAATTTGCATTTCTTCGATTTTGAAGAAATGAAAATAATGAAAAGAACAATACTTAACTAATGTTAGTTACTATCTATTACACATTTTTTTATTATTCAACTTTTGTTATATTAAATTGGGTCGAGTTCATTTTATTTGATATGAAAATTCGCCAAATGTTTGGGTTCTATTGAAATCCGGTTCAATTCGAGTTGATGAATTTTGGTTCGGTTGGTTTTCTTGTTCCCATGCCTCGTAGGTGGAATTGGTGGAAGGTTCGTCGTATTTGGGACAGCCATTGCCGTTCTCGTTGACGACGTTAATATGGATTGAGGTGTTAGTGGTTGGTTACATCGAGTTCCAGCGTAACGCTGAGCTTGATCCGGAGACACGTATTTACCCGGGTGGGTATTTTGACCCGTTGGGACTCGGGTCTGACCCAGAGAAGTTGGATAACTTGAAGCTGGCGGAGATAAAACACTCTCGTCTCGCTATGGTCGCTTTTCTCATCTTTGCTCTTCAGGCCGCCGTTACCGGAAAAGGCCCCATCAGCTTCCTCGCTACCTTTACAAGTTAATTATAATACTACAAGGTTTATGTTTTCTGAAATAATTAAAACTGGAAAATGTATGTTATTTACATTGTTTATCTTAAAGAGGTTGTGATGTTACTCGACCGTGCTCATCCGACCGAGTTTGTTTATTAAAGTGTTGTTGTTGTGATAGGATTATCATATCGAATTAACGTGCATGGTAAGAAGAATCTAAAACATTCAAATTCTTTTTGGGTTAAACTGCGCAACTGCTGTGTGTTGATATTGTTTGTAAAGCAGTTTGGTTGGCCACATGAAAAATGATCACCATATACTACAGAAGATAAAATAGCAAAGTAGGTCGTTAAATATAATGCATAGCGAACCGAATATCCACTAGACTGTTGGAGGTGGGCTTAGCACCCCTCCATACGGGCCGGCCCAAATCAAGAGGCCCACCTGATCGTCCAGAACCGTTGGTCCGAGCGCCTAAGGATCGCTGGTCCGAACGTCCCCTCAAGCTATAAATAGCACAATAAATGCCTATTGACGGGACAGTTGAATCCTAGTGAGAGAGCTAGAGAGAGAAAGCGCTTGACATTTAATACTAAAAGAGTCGCCGAGCTCTATCTTGTGCCGAGCTCCGTCTCTCCTTAGAGACATCGTCTTTTGACCGATCTCTGTTTGTAATTGCCGATCCCGCTTACTTTTAATACGAAAGTCTCGACCCACATCCATTCATTACTTGTATTGCCGAACCGAACAATCTCGACTCTTACATAGACGATGTTGTAACAAGATTTGGGTCCAGAAAGCCAGTTCTCGAAAAAAAAAAACAAGATTTGGGTCCATAATTCGATTTTCCACTAGCAAGTTGCAAAAATATGATTCCATTCCACAACATCTTTAGCTTCTCTCAAATTATAGCCTTATAGGAGAATATCAATAACGTGAGTATGATGAGGTTTCATTTATCTTACTTTACATATGTAACATTATGTTTTTGAATTTAGTCCGACTAGAAATCAGGTTGGTGGTCAGATTAATATGAAAATGGTTGAAATTTGAAAGTATGTTTGTTAGTAAATAGTTTTGGACCAAATATGAAACATCAATGTATACAAAGTTCGAATCCTAATACCAACTGTATATGAGTAATTTATGTAATGTAATAAGTTGTGGGCTAAGTCTGTCTGATTTAGTTATAATTGGTTTTTGGAGTGCAAAGGTAAACCTCATTTACAATTTTATGTAATTGTTACAATTTTACAAATTCTCTGTTTTCGTAGATCCCATTACCTCATTTATACAGCGCGCGCAAAAACTAATGAAGTCACACATATAATAGTAGTTGGACAAGAGGTAGCTAGTGGCTTACAATGAAATGAACTTCCCCTTTTTTTTTGAATTCTACAGTGAAATGAATTTAAATATAAGCTTTTATTATTTTACTCAAAAAGATAAAAATTCTTCACCGTGGATGTTCCAACATTTTAGAAAATATTATCATATTGAGATTCGATTAGCTTGAAGTGTGACACTGAAAATACAAATAATGGCCTATACCGAATTTTCAAAAGGAGACAACTCCTTTGTCGTATTTTTTACGAAGATATGTTTTCCTTTCTTGATAATTTATAATAATAGAGGGGAAAGAATATTGCTAGTCTGTGACATAATAATAACAGAGTTATAGTCAAGCAAACGCAAAGAGGTTTGGTCAAAAGAAGAGAAAGACCGAAGGAGTTGTTCTTCATTTTACAGAAACTAATACGGTTTAATTTTGCATGATACTAGTAATAAAATAACAAAAGATTCAGTTATCTTATACTAGCATACATGTACACAAAAAGAAGATTATTTGGTACTTTTACAACAGTTGTAGTAATGAAAGCCAATTATAATTTCAAGAAAAGCTCCAGAAAATAAACAAGAGCATAAAGTAAAGATATTGAAATTCCTAAAATATAATAATCTATATATATATATAAAATAAAAAGAATATATATAAAATAAAAAGAAAATGGATTATAGAAAAATTCAATTGGTGAAGAGTACACGTTGTATCGCTTTTCTGGGCTGAAGAAGAAGAAAAAAAGAGAAATAAAAAAGTGAATAATTGAGAGCAGACGTTATACCTTCCCCATCCACATTTCTTGCTAACTACACAACAAACACCAATTCGACAACAATAAAGTTTTGATTCGTCTAAAGCAAATAAAAAACAATTTAAGTTTCTTTTTCTTGGTAAGATCAAGAACTCTGTTCTGCAGTTTTTTTAATTATTTATTTGATTCAGTCGAGGGGGTCTTGAATCAAAGATGGGGAGGCTGTTTGTGGTGAATCTTGAAGGGAAGATCTATAGCTGCAAACACTGCAAGACTCATCTAGCTTTATGTGAAGACATCATCTCCAAGGTTTTGTCTCTTTTCACCTCTTTATCATGATTTTTTTGGAGATAATACTTATGGATTTGTTGTGGATTTTGTGATTGATCTGAAGTTTTTTTGGTTCTCCATGATTCTTCTCGAATTCAGAGATTATTTGTCAGATGACTCTCTAGAAGAGCTGTGGTTGTGTGTTGATTAGCTTAATTCTTAATTAATTTGATTTTTTCTTCTTGTCTTTGCCCTTCTTCTAGAAATGGGATCATGCTATGAGTAAGATAATTGTGGCTTTATCCATTAAATCACTTTTTTATTCTGAGTTGCTACATTGTTGAAGTTGACGTTCATAACTTGTAGCTGCTTCATTTCAATCATTGTGTTGAACATTAAGCTGATCAGAGAGAAGCAATCATCTGAAACAGATTTGTCTTTTTGATTCTCTTTGTGGCCTAAAAACATGGATTCTTTATGTTTCTTGAGAAAAACAGAGAGTTCAAGTTACTAGCTTATCTCTGACTCATTCTCCATTTGTTGTTTGTTGAGCTAACACAAGTGTGTGTGTGTGTGTGTGTGTTTCCTTTGTTCAGTCTTTTCACTGTAAGCATGGGAAAGCTTATCTCTTCAATAAAGTGTAAGGTTTCTTATCTCAAAAGGCACCTCATGATGTGATTTAGGCTGCCAATTCTGATGATGATCTGGTTTAGTGCCAATGTATCAATTGGAGAGACAGAAGAAAGAATGATGATGACTGGAAAACATACAGTAGCTGACATTTTCTGTGTCTCATGTGGATCAATCGTTGGCTGGAGATACGTAAGCAAGAAATCGAATCTTGTAAAAGAAGCTATCTAAGTTCGATTCTTTGGTTGGTTATGACTTTGGTTGTGTGTTCTGTTTTTACCAGGAGACTGCTCATGAGAAGAGCCAGAAGTACAAAGAAGGAAAATCAGTGCTTGAAAGGTTACATTTCAGAACATTTTCAGGACTTTTTCAATTTCAAGAACATGAGTTCTCATGTGGTTTAATAATCTTGAAACTGCTGTGATAGATTTAAGATATCGGGACCTGATGGGAGCAACTACTGGGTGAGTAGCCAAGGAAGGCATATCGGAGGAAGTGATGCAGATGATGTTTGAACATCTCTCTCTCTCCTCTGATTTAACATTCTTCGTAAATGTAAATTCTTCAACCTCCACTCCTGTTTGTTGCTGTAACCTGTAAGACTAACCATAACTCTTTTCTCTTCTCTTACCTCATTACCTGAAAAATGGCACAGTAAATAAAGTCTGATTTGTATGTAATGACAATCGTATGGTTTTCTTTTGAAACCATCAAAAAATATATGCTTCATGTTGCAATAACAAATGTCACACACTCACACACTCTCTAAATTCTGTATTTGCATTTTCTGAACCAAACAAGAAAGAGTCAAGGACTTTGGAAATGATAAAGTACACAAAATTCAATAAATGTTTACAAGAGACAAGAACATGTCTATGGAAAACAAAGAGTTGAAGTAAAACGAACACGAAGCTTAGTGTAAGTACACGTAGTGGTTTAATGGTTTATATCAGAACTATATCTAGAAATTGAACTTAAAAAGGAAAAAGAAGCTAATCCGTTAAAATTAAAATCTCTAATTATGGGATAAAAGTCAGACCATCAATGAGCCAGACTTGACCTTTTTTTTTTCTTTCCATACTACTAGTCAACGGAAAGAATAGAAAAGTCAACAGTCAATATCTTGTTCTTGGTTTAGTTACAGCTGACTTTTGGTTCGTCAGTCCAAACAACATGCATCGTTAATTACGTGGCACCTTAAGCTTGTTCAACAGGGTTGATAATGGGCCGTAAAGATATCAAATGTTCAAATCTTTAGGCTCACAAAGTTCATGGACCTGTTACCTCTTCTTCCTTTCGAGAAAATATGGTTTTGGTCAACAAACCCTTTATCCATCTCATGGTGGCTTAGTAGTGCTCACTCACCAAACCCACAAAAGGTCAATTGATCAGTCTTCTTCTGTGTGATGATGTTAGGCTTGTTTCTTCATTTCTTGCTAACTACTCCACTTTATCCCTAATTATAATGTAGTTAGCTGAGATTACATATTGTGATCACTAATCTAATAGGCCAAACAAATGGAGTCAAATAATTTGACCATTTTCCTCTCCTTAAATCCCATCCTCTTCACACACATCTACATTCATTCACACACATGCTTATATAGTTTCCATAGGAAAAGTAACATATTGAGACTTTTAAGAAATGGAGAGCTTCTTCATCTACCGATGCTTATTCTTCTTTGTCTTCTTCAACGGAGCTTTCGCAGCTGCAAGCAAGTTTTGGAGCAGAATAGAGATGGCTGAGATGAATGGCTATGGAGAACACAAACTCTCCTCCGTAGTCATCACCGGCTCTCTTCTCTGCACCACCCCTGTTTCAGGTATTCTCTACATATTTTGCGTCTAACACTCTTTATGTTGGTACACATCATCTGACTCTTTACATGGTTTTTAAAGGTGCTATTGTTGCCATCAAGTGTCATACTGGTTTCAAAAGTAGATCAAAATGGGTTAAAGCAGTTACTGATGACTTTGGAGAGTTTGTCATCCATCTTCCTTCTCATCTTCACGCAATTCCACACTTGGAAAAAGCATGTTTCGTCAAACCAATACATGTGCCTAAGCACTATCATAGATGCTACAAGACTTTTTCCAAATCCAATATACACAAAGGCATCAAACTTGTTTCTTCCAGAAACGGCTTCCGTGTCTACACTTCAGGGACGATCAAGTTACATGGATACAGTTCAAGATCATCCCAAGCTCATAAAGCCGACATGTAAACACAAGAATCATTTTAATATAAGAAACAACAGATACTTGTGAAGCAAGCATGTTTTACCTTTTTATGGTCCTCACTTGTTTAGCTGGCGCTTTAGTCACACGACTAAGTTGAGTGACTTGAGTCTCTCTACATTGTTTATCATATTCACACGATGCAATGCAAGAACATGAACCTATCTGGCTATCTTCGCACTAGAGTAATATGATCACACATTTGCATAAGATAAGATAAACTCAATTTTGGCGGGATAAAGATTCACAATATGAAAAGAATCACAATTGTCTAAGAAGAATATATATGAAACCAAAAAGGACGACTCGACGTGATGTAGACGAAGTTGCATAAATCTCGTTGGTTGACGAATCTTAGATACGATTTTTAGATTTTATTAGGAAAGTATATATTTGAAAAATCAAACTAATAAAAAAATAAAAAATAAAGAACGAACTACATACAATATGTATCATGGAAGCAACACTTTTGGAGAAATACATATAACAGAATGTAATCTTAAAACATTCTAGACTAATACAAAAATCTTCCACCTGAAAAGAGTAGAAAAAAAGAGAACCTTTACTAAATTAAAGAACCAGAGACTAAAATTAAGAATTTCTCTTATTAGTAATTTTAACATATCCTTTTGTTTTATTATAAGAAATGAAGAAGAAGCATACGTAATAAAAAAAATCAATTTTTTTGATGAAACAGTTTTAGAAAATTTAACGAATAGGTAGGAATTATCAAAGAGTCTCAAAGAAAAAAAAAAAGAGATTACAAAAGACAAACGATCCCGCTTCAAAGCCTCCTCTTTTATAGGGACTCTCCTTCTCCTCATCTTCAATCTTCCGAATCTCCAAATCTCAGTTCTTCGAATCGGAAGAACAATTTTTGTGGATTCGAAGAAACCCTAATAAAAAAAATCAAAATCGAAATCGATACAAAAGAAAAAGTTTCGATTTTTTTTTTTTTTTTTGATTTTTGATTTTCGATTTTGAACAATGGGGAAGGAGAAGAAAACAGAGTCGTACGACAATGGGAGTTACAATTACAAAATGTTCAAATGCTTCAACCGCAAATTCAAAATCAACGAAGTCCAGCCCACCGACGACGTCCGCGACGTCTTCTGCCAATTCGCCGTCGGCGGAAGCGGCGGCAGCGACGGAGACTCCAGCGACGGCGACGGATCTTCCGGCGTGATCGGCGCAGAGCAGCTCTGCTCTTTCCTCGACGACCACCAAGGCGACTCAGTCACCGTCGCCGAGGCTCAAAAGCTTATAGACGAAGTCATACGCCGGCGACACCACGTCACGCGCTTCGCACGCCACGGCCTCAACCTCGACGATTTCTTCAATTTCCTCTTCTACGACGATCTCAATCCTCCCATCACCCCTCACGTAAACAATTCATAAAAAATCAAATCTTTCTCATTGCCAATAAATAAAAATCGAAACTTTTGTTTTTACCAAAATGTAAAGTTTTGATTTTTCTGAAACAGGTGCATCAAGATATGTCAGCTCCGTTGTCGCATTACTTTATATACACAGGACACAATTCGTATCTCACCGGAAACCAACTAAGCAGCGATTGCAGCGAAGTCCCTGTGATCAAGGCATTGCAAAGAGGCGTTCGAGTCATCGAGCTTGATCTTTGGCCTAACTCTACTGGAACAGATATCAATGTTCTTCACGGAAGGTAAAAAGCTTTTGTTCTGTGTCTTTAATTAAAAACGTTTTCAGATGATCAAAATCTTGAATTGTTGTTTTTGTTTTCTTCAGAACGCTTACAACGCCTGTACCGCTAATCAAATGCTTGAAATCGATAAGAGATTACGCGTTTTCTAGCTCGCCTTATCCGGTTATAATCACTTTAGAGGATCATCTCACAGCTGATCTTCAAGCCAAAGTTGCAGAGGTAATTAAAAACATGGTTATCTAGGTTTCTTGTGAATCAAGAAATTTCGATTTTGTATGAACTTTTTTTTCCCGGTTTTTTTTGTTTTTGTTTTTGTTTAGATGGCTACGCAGATATTTGGGCCGATGTTGTATTACCCTGAATCAGATAGCTTAGAAGAGTTTCCTTCTCCTGCTTCACTGCTTCATCGGATAATCATCTCAACAAAACCACCTAAAGAGTATCTTGAATCAAGGAACCCGATTGTGAAACCGAACAATAATGTATCTCCATCGTCTGAGGAAGAAACCCCTAGAAAAGAGGAGATTCAGACACTAGAAAGTATGTTGTTTGACGATTTTGAAAGCAAGGTAAACAAAAAAAGGAACTTAATAGATCATACAAATTTGTTGTTGTTTCTTGTTTTGTATAAATTTAGTTTTGAGTTTTTGAATTAGAGTGATAGTGATCAAGAGGAAGAAGATGTTAGTGAAGAGCAGAAACCGGCATACAAACGTTTGATCACAATTCATGCCGGGAAACCAAAGGGAACGGTGAAGGAAGAGATGAAGGTTGTGGTTGATAAAGTGAGACGTTTGAGTTTAAGTGAGCAAGAACTTGACAGGACTTGTTCATCCAATAGTCAGGATGTTGTAAGGTAATAGTTAGATGTATAGTAAATTTCCTAATCATTAACATACTTAGGCTGCAACAATGATCTCTATATGTTGTTTTCTAGGTTTACACAGCGGAATTTGCTTCGGATATACCCGAAAGGGACAAGATTTAACTCCTCAAATTACAAACCGCTTATTGGTTGGACTCACGGAGCGCAAATGATTGCATTCAATATGCAGGTAACAGACTAATCTTTACTGCTCTAAGGATTCCTTGACTCTTACGCTACCTTTTTGGCATTGGTTTAGGCCTCATCGTATAAATGTTCAGTCTCCATTTACAACTCATTTGTGATTATAGGGATATGGGAAATCTCTATGGTTGATGCACGGAATGTTTAGAGCTAATGGAGGTTGCGGATATGTCAAGAAACCTAACTTCTTGATGAAGAAAGGGTTTCATGACGAAGTCTTTGACCCTAGGAAGAAAGTTACCGTGAAAGAGACGTTAAAGGCAAGTCAACAACAATCTACATGTACTTTTAAATGATGTTTTAAGCCTTTCGAATGTCATATGATTTTTTTCCCCGGTTTTCTCAACAGGTGAAAGTGTATATGGGAGATGGATGGCGTCTAGACTTCAGTCACACTCACTTCGACGCATATTCTCCTCCTGACTTCTACACTAAGGTACTATTAATTTTCACAAATAGAGTTTTTGTAACATTCTTCAAGAACCTGACCAGCTTGCGGATTTGTGAGCTTTTGTAGATGTTCATAGTTGGTGTACCAGCGGATAATGCAAAGAGGAAGACAAAAATAATCGAAGACAATTGGTATCCAATTTGGGATGAGGAATTCAGTTTCCCTTTAACAGTTCCAGAGCTTGCATTGCTTAGGATCGAAGTCAGAGAGTACGACATGTCTGAGAAAGATGATTTTGGGGGACAAACATGCTTGCCTGTTTCAGAACTAAAACCAGGGATCCGATCTGTGCCTTTGTATGATAAGAAGGGTGAGAAAATGAAATCAGTACGGCTTCTTATGCGTTTCGTCTTCGAATGATTTGGTTTAATAGAAATGAGTGTGTGTTGAGAGAGAATATGCACCATTTCAGAAAAGAAAAAAAGCTTTTGAGGTATTGTATAATGTAGCTTGAAGATCAAATGGATCTTTTGCTCTGATATCTCTAATAGTGTTGTAATATACCTATCATATTGAAGAAAAAATTAACTATAGAGTCTACATTTTTTTCCATACGTATGATACTATGATCCATACTTGGAATTTGCAAAGCTGTACGTACTTATTGAATTAATTCATAACTGAGATGTAGATTTTTACAACAGGGTGAAGATAACTAGCTTATATTGTATCGATTACCGAATTGTATGAGGGTTTATATTCTAAGGAAGCGTGTATAAGAAGCTATACCACTCTGTTTCTTGTAACTTGTGTTTTACGCTACGAGTGTTACCAAGTTTTAGAATTTTCGTCCGTGGGCAAAAAAACCAATTGGCTTTGGCTCATGAATCCTTCATGTTTCCAGAAGATGGCTTTAGCCCTCATCCTCTTTGATCATATATATACCCATTGTTAATTTGATTGTTCCCTATTGGGTCAAGGGTTATAATCCCACATGAAGATTCACAAGCTTTCTACCCCAAAGCCAATTGGTTACCTAATATAATGACTCAAGCTCCTTATAAACCCCAATAATTCCTTCAATGTTTGCGATGTGGGATTCATTATGGTTACTATTTCTATTATCTGACCGACATTATCAAACGGGTTTCATTAAACCTAAAAAATAGCTTGCTTTTAATGGGCTTATGGTGCAGGATAAAAAACTTAATGGTCTCACTTCCATAATTAGTTTTTTTTCCTTTTTGTTTTGGAAATAGGTAATTTCCTTTTTAGGTTAAGCTTTTTAGCTATATTAATGGATACTAAGCTCCAGGTTTCAGCGAAACACAGTTTGATATTCTGAAATCAGTTTCAATCGCATAATCAACACTTGAGCCCATTACCGTAAAGGAAAAGTTTCCAGTGCAAAAATGTTTTCTTGTGGTAGGAATAAAAGAGATAGACATGGAAGGCAGAAGAAGCGGAGAGATCAATCAGAGTCTGAGCCAGAGAAAGAAATCAAGGAATATCTTCAGGCAAAAAATCTGAGAAGGCACCAAGTGAGAGATTTGTGTGGTGGAAGAAGATTGAAAAAGATGTTCAACATGGAAAACCTTTGAGCCAATTATTTTCCGTGAAAGCTCAGAGGAGAAGGCATAGAGAGAAGATGGCAGAGCTTGAAAAGTTGAAGAAGGCGAAAGAAAAGAGAGATATGGAGAGAGCTCGACATGAGGAAGATACGGTCTTGTTAGCAAGAGAACGTGCACGAGCTGAGTTCCAAGATTGGGAGAAGAAAGAGGAAGAGTTCTGTTTCGATCAAGGCAAGGTTAGGTCAAAGATCAGGTTACGTGAGGGCAGAGCCAAGCCAATCGACGTCCTCTACAGGCACTTGGATGGTGGTTCAGAATTATCAGATGATATGTATATCGATCTCAGTAGCGAGCCCTACATGGTATTCAAGGGACTCACTTTTCAAGACTTGGAAGAGCTTCGTGATGATATCAAAACGTATCTTGATTCGGATCGTGAAACGTCAACACGCGTAAAGTATTGGGAGCTCTTCTTGTGGTATGCGATTGGGAGTTGACTGAAGCACGTAAAAGGGATGCTATTGAACTTCTTGCTCAAGAGAAGGGACTACATTCTGGTGTTGAAGCTGATGTTAGAAGACTTCTTGATGGGAAGACACACTCGGAGCTTGTACAAATGCAGCTGCACATCGAATCACAGCTATTTTCTGGGGTAGCTAAAGTAGTTGAGTATTGGGAAGCTGTTCTTAAACTCCTCGATATATACAAGGCAAAGGCTTGCTTGAAGGAAATACACGCTGAGACGCTGAAGAGACATGTACATCGCCTCGAAAATGTTTCTTCGGAAGCTGAAGAAGAATCATTCTCTCAAGAAGAGGCTGATGATATGGAAGCAGAAGAGGCGGCTTGTTCGTTTTCTCCAGAGCTCATGCACGGTGATGATGATGATCGTGAAGAAGCAATTGATTCCGAGGAAGACAAGAAGCTACTTGAAACGAAACGGATGGTTGTGTTGGAGAGACAGAAGAAGCGGCTTAAAGTAGAAGATAACTTGGAGGTCAAGGCAATGAAAGCAATGGGAGAAATGGAGGAAGGTGATGCTGTGTTTGGCTCTAACGCTGAAGTAGTGAAGCTTGATGACAAGTACCGGCCAAGAAAACCAAAGTATGTCAACAGAGTTCACACGAGTTACGAGTGGAATAAGTATAACCAAACGCACTATGATCACGAGAACCCGCCTCCAAAAGTGGTTCAAGGGTACAAGTTTAACATCTTCTACCCTGATTTGCTAGACAATGCTACGGCTCCAACTTGCTTCATAGAGAAAGATGGGACAAGCGATGAAACATGTATCATCCGGTTCCAAGCTGGTCCGCCTTATGAAGACATTGCCTTCCGGATTGTGAATAAAGAGTGGGATCGTTCTCGTAAGAACGGTTTCCAACACACGTTCAATGGTGGGATTCTGCATTTGTACTTCAACTTTAAACGTCATCGGTACAGGCGATAAAACTGAGAGATTACTACATTTCAAACACAAAGGATCGACAAAAATGTTTAGGGTCTTATTTCTATAGCGTGTAGAAGTAGCGAACTTTGGTTTATCACTATGTTTCTTGTGACTTGTGTTTTACGCTTCGAGTATTGTTTATTCTCATACCCAAACTGATTGTAGAGCAAACACACCACTCCATATTATCGCAAGCAATTAACATTGTTCGAGAGTTTTAAAGGATCTTATAGTTTCGTAATGCTTGAAAATTCTGGACAAGTTTTGGGTAAGTTTTGTTGTTATCTCTTTCGACATTAGTTGCAGGAAACACTTGAACTGTCATTCATTCATAAGAGGAACAAAGATGAATGATAAGATATAGAAACTAATGAGTGATAACAAAAGATTTTCACATTACAGAGCAAAATATTCCATCCTCTACATGCATTAGTAGTCAAGCCAAGATTTTAATACAAAAAAACCATCTCTCGCATTAACAGATGTAACCAAGAAGATAACTTACATATTAGTGGGTCAAGGGGATGATGACACCGCGAAATTTTTCGATAGCAGTGTTGAGAGAAGCCTGGTCGCCAACAATGGTGAAAGTGTTCCCCAAGTACGTGATACCATAACCAGCATCGACAGTCTTTGCTGCAAAATCAAGAGATGTTTTACTTTCTAAATCCGACCTATAAAATGTAAAAAGATATCAAGAGTGTGCAAGAGAGACTTACATTCTCCCCAAACCAACCCTTCCCTCTGAATGGATCTGATAGATTCGTCAAGCTTCTTTATGTCAGGGTTTGACGGAGACAACTTAACTAGTAATAAACCTGACTTGCCGGCTGTTCAAACAAAAGCTCCGATGAGACAAACTTCGACCATTTAAGTCAAACGTAGACACAGAGCCAAAAACCTTACTTTCTTTCTTCTTTGAAGATGCTCTCTCTTCCCCCAAAAGGTCACCATTAGAATCAGAGTCCTCTTCTGAGAGGATGCCACTCCCTGATACACACACACACAGAACATATTTGGCATTGACACTTATACAGAAATGTTTAGCCTTTCAAGGCAGTTTAAAAAAATGGACTTTGGATACTGACATATTCTATTCAAGCCGCGAGTTTGACAGCTCTGGACATAGCGATGACCCTTTATTTCCTCTTTGACAATGTCTTCGAAGCGCACAGTGTGTCCAGAACGAATAAGGCCTCCAACGGCAGTGCACTCGATTCCCAGCAACATGCTTCCACAAAGTCTTGCTGTAATGATAAACATTGAGGAGATTTTCACAAGTTTATCAACTAACTAAACCCGCCTGATACTTAAAGAAATATAACCAAGTTAACTCACATGATCCCCAAAACAATCCTGAAGCCTGAATGGATCTTACAGCTTCGTCAGCTTCTTCATGTCGGCCTCGTCATCGTTTGGCTTGAGAAGAAGTAGAGCTGATGATTTGCCATTTGAAAAAAACGAAACAAACAAAAACAACCGGTGAAAACAAACGAACAGGATTCAATGCATCTTCAGTTCTAGTGTATGACACAAACACTCACATTCCTTCACGCCAGAGATATCAATGCGGAAATTCCCAAGTTTGCATATATGCTCTTCGACAAGGATGTCTAGATAATCGTCGAATTCATCATCCGCAGGGACGGTGGCTACAATCCGCAACAGCTCCAGTCCATAACCAATAGGTACAAGTTTCGCTACAAGATTCCAGAATAGTATTGTTAACTCAGAATCAACATACAGTATTTTGTTAGAGATGGCACCAACTCTTACATGGTCCCCAAGACAGTCCATCCATTTGAATAGATCTCAAATCTTTCTCCAGCTTCTTCATGTCGGTCTCAGCTTCATTCGGTGAGATCACTATTACCGCAGAGTCCCAAGCTGTCCAATGATAAGTACGAAAACAATGAATCATCTCTTGGCAATTTAAGAAACAAATTATGAGAATCTAAACGAAGATAAGTGAATACAAACTAAAAATTTACATTCTTTCTTCTCGCTGGATGCTTTCAAAGAAGCTGCTTTCTTTTCCTGTTCGGCCTCCTCCATGATAAGGTCAGCGACACCACTGCCTTCACAAGAGATACCTCTGCAAAGAGAGACACAGGAGTTAAAAAAAAACCAAAAGCCTTAATTAAAGAAAGATCCATGAAAGGCAAGTGGAGGAACGTACGAGATGCTCAAGAGGGTCTCAATGTGGTTGTACCAACGAGATGCATTCACATACTGCGGAGGTGGAGGCTTTGAGAGAGCCGCATAGACCTTGATATCATCCTTTGAAGCCTTGTGACTGTATAAAATGTATACATATGGTTATAGTGAATCGTTATTGGACTTTGTACATCCTAAAAGTACAACATAGTGGTGAAATAGTGAAAGCAAATACATACAGAGAATATCAAAAGTTAAAGCTCTGTGAAATACATGAAAATGGCAAAAGTATAACCTTGTAATGTAATAGCGAGTGAGAAGATGCTCGTCGAGCTTCTTCAATCCAGCATCAGAGTTGAGATTTGCGAAAGCCGCCATTTTCTCTGAACCTCGAAACTTTTTTCTCTGATTGAGAAACAAAGAGATGCGATATCGAATCAGACAAAATTCCCAAACGATTTAACAAGCAGCGAACACAAATTCGTGAAGAGTGTTACAAGTTTCTCTTCCGTACAGAGACGACGAAGAATTTGAATAAGGAGGTTTTCTGTAGAGTTATTCACAAGAGTTTATATGAAAATGAACTTGCAACCTAGTTTCCTAGCTAGATTGAGAGTATTGGAAGCCAAAATGCAGAGAAACAAAGCAAATTTCGATTACCGATTCGAAGCAAAAAAATTTTAGAGACATTACAACTGAAATTCGATCGATCTGTAATTCGCAGTTCACTTTCAGATTCAACACAGAGAAAATCACATTTAGTGAAGTAAAAGGAAATTTCAAGTTTAGAAACGAAATGCTAACACTGAGGAAGATGGAAGGAGCTCGAGCCTCGAGGCGGTGAAGGAGGAAGAACGTCGTCGTTGCTTGCTTTCTCTGTATTTTCTCAGTCACTATTTGTTCGATTTTGATATTTAAAACGTTTAAACTGGGCTTTAGGCGATGGTGAGATCAAATTTTTTAGTGGGCTCTGATGGGCCTAAAGATTCGCAAGAAAGGCCTCGTTTTTCACTAATTTGCAGACCAACCGTTTGTTCAAATTCCTCAAAGAGAAAAACATCTGGTCTAAATTTTTTTCTAAACGTTAATATCTGAATTTCATACTTTTTGCTGTTTAGTTTTCTTCGATTTTTCCCCACTTGCTTCATAGAAAAAGATGGGAAAAGTCTCGGCAAAAACTTTATAGGTTCTTTCTATAGCTATGAAGCTCAGTTTGTGTAAACCTTGACCAATCCACTGATTTTTGGAAGTATAATATTAGGGGTTCAAACTTCAAACGAAGCGTGTATAAGAAGCTAAGGTTGTTTTGTCACTCTATTTCTCGTGACTTGTACTTTACGCGTATTGGGTATCCTATATCTGAATGTGTATATTTGAAGACCATTCCCCATGCAAAACCTAGCTTAGCTTTGACTGATTCTGCGTTTGTCGTTTCTTAAGCTAACACTGAGTGTTGTGTGTATATGTTACCTTTGTTCAGTCTTTTTACTGTAAGTATGGGAAAGCTTACCATTTTAAATCATACAAAAAAAAAAAAAAGCTTACCATTTTGAATGTTATATGCCTTACCATTTTTTTCCCGATTTCTAAACAGGTGAAAGTGTATATGGGAGATGGATGGCGTCTAGATGACTTCAGTCACACTCATTTCGACGCATATTCTCCTCCTGACTTCTACACTAAGGTACTATCAATTTTCAAAAAATAGTGTTTTTTTTTTTTTTTAATATTCTTCAAATTCTTCAAGAACCTGACCAGCTTGCGGATTTGTTTAACTATAGAGTCTACATTTTTTTTTTAAATACGTATGATCCACACTTGTAATTTGCAAAGCTGTACCATTATTGGCTTAATTCACAACTGAGATGTATAGAGTTTTACGATAGGGTGAAGATAACTAGCTTATATTGCGATTACCGAATTATATAAGGGTTTCTATCATAGGGAAGCGTGTATAAGAAGCTAACATTGTTTTACATCACTCTGTTTCTTATAACTTGTGTTTGACGCTACGAGTGTCACCCAACTTTAACAATTTCGTCCGTAGGCCAAAAAAACCAATTGGCTTTGGCTCATGAATCCTTCATGTTTCCAGAGGATGGCTTGTGCCCACATCCCCTTTGATCATATATATACCCATTGTTAATTTGATTGTTCCCTATTGGGTCAAGGGTTATGATACAACATGAAGATTCACAAGCTTCCCACTCCAAAGCCAATTGATTAACTAATACAATGACTCACTCTCCTTATAAACCCCAATATTTCCTTCAATGTTTCCGATGTGGGGATTCATTATAACTATTTCAATTATTTGGCCGACACTATCGAATGGTTTCATTAAAACCTAAGATGGCTTGCTATGGGCTTATGGTGCACAAAATTAATTAGCTTTCCCTTTTAGTATTGGAAATATGTAATTTTCTTTTTTAGGTTAAGCTTTTAGCTATATAAATTGATACGCAAGCTCCAGCAAAACACAGTTTGATATTCTGAAATCCATTCCAATCGAAGAATCAAACAATTGATCCATTGCCGTAAAGGAGAAGTTTCCACCGCTTGGTCACCGTCGCGTAGACACCGCGCACAATCACCACCACTGAAAAAAAATGTTTTCTCATGGTAAGAGTAAGAGAGATAGACATGGAAGGCAGAAGAAGCTGAGAGATCAATCCGAGACTGAGCCAGAGGAAGAAATCAAGGAATATCTTCAGGCCAAAACATCTCAGAAGGCACCAAGAGAGAGATTTGTGTGGTGGAAGAAGATTGAAATCTTAGAGTAGAAGATTGAAAAAGCGGCTTAGAGTAGAAGATAACTTGGAGGTCAAGGCAATGAAAGCAATGGGAGAAATGGAGGAAGGTGATGCTGTGTTTGGCTCTAACGCTGAAGTAGTGAAGCTTGATGACAAGTACAGGCCAAGAAAACCAAAGTATATAAACAGAGTTCACACGAGTTACGAGTGGAATAAGTATAACCAAACGCATTACGATCACGAGAACCCGCCTCCAAAAGTCGTTCAAGGATACAAGTTTAACATCTTCTACCCTGATTTGCTAGACAAGGCTACGGCTCCCACTTGCTTCATAGAGAAAGATGGGAGAAGCGATGAAACATGTATCATCCGGTTCCAAGCTGGTCCGCCTTATGAAGACATTGCCTTCCGGATTGTGAATAAAGAGTGGGATCGTTCTCGTAAGAACGGTTTCCAACACACATTCGATGGTGGGATTTTGCATTTGTACTTCAACTTTAAACGTAATCGGTACAGGCGATGAACAAAACTTTAGAGGGTCTTCTTTCTATAGCTATCCAATTCAGTTGGTGTTAACTGTTGAGTGTTGACCAATATTTTTTTTTTGTTTTTTTCGAATTATATTGGCTTCTTAAAGGAAGCGTGTAGAAGAGGCTATCTTTGGTTTATCTATGACTATGTTTCTTGTGACGTGTGTTTTACGCTTCGAGTATTAAAGTGATTGTCAAGCAATCTAGTTTTAGAAATTTCATGGTACCTGAACAAGAACACACTCCATATCATCGCAAGTAATTAACTTTGTTCGAGAGTGTTTTAAAGCATCTTATAGTTTCGTAATTCTTGAGAAATTCTGTACACTTATGGGTAAGTTTTGTTGTTATCTCTTTCGACTTAAGTTGTTAGGAACTCGAACTTTCATTCATTCATTCATTCATAAGAGGAACATAGATGAATGATAAAATATTGAAACTAATGAGTGACAACACAAAAGATTGTCACATTGCAGAGCAAAAATTCCCATCCTCTGATAGCATTAAAACAAAACAAACCATCTCTGGCAGATATAACCACAGCCAAGTTTGCAGCTTTGAGGTGTTTTGAAAATGGGTTTCTACATATTATGGGTCAAGGGGATAACAACACCGTCAAATTTTTTGATAGCAGTGTTGAGAGAAGCCTGGTCGCCAACATTGGTGAAACCGATCCCCAAGTACGTGATTCCATAACCAGCATCGACAGTCTTTGCTGCAACATCAAGAGAGAGATGTCAACTTTCTAAATCCGACCTATAAATGTAAAGAGAGTGTAAGAGAGATGTATTAACCAACTTACAATTTTCCCAAACCAACCCTTCCCTCTGAATGGATCTGAGAGATTCGTCAAGCTTCTTTATGTCGGGGTAGGACGGAGACAGCGCAACTAGCAATAAACCTGACTTCCCTGCTGTTCAAACAAAAGCTCCGGTGACAAACGCATTTCTTTATTCACCATTTAAGTCTAACGTAGACAACGAGCCAAAAACTTACATTCTTTCCTCATAGACGATGCTCTCTCTTCCCCCAAAAGGTCACCATTAGGATCACTTTCCTCTTCTGATGTGATACCACTCCCTGAAACACACACACACACAGAACATCTTTGGCATTGACTCTTATACAGAAATGTTTAACCTTTCAAGGCAGTTAAAGAAAAGGATTTTAGATACTTACATAATCTATTCAAGTCGCGAGTTCGACAGCTCTGCCTCTGGACATAGCGATGACCTATTACTTCCTCTCTGACAATCTCTTCGAAACGCACAGTGTGTCCAGAACGAAAAAGGCATCCAACGGCAGTGCACTCTATTCCCAGCAACATGCTTCCACAACCCTCCGAGTAAAGTCTTGCTGTAATGATAAATTCACAAGTTTATAACTAACTAAAGCCGCCTGGTATTTGAAGAAATATAACCAATTTAACTTACATTCTCCCCAAAAGAATCCTGAAGCCTGAATGGATCTCACAGCTTCCTCTAGCTTCTGCATGTCGGCCTCGTCCTCGTTCGGCTTGAGAAGAAGTAGAGCTGATGATTTGCCATTTGAAAAACGAAACAAAAAACATTCACATTCACATTCGAATAGGATTCAATGCATCTTCAGTTTTAGCGAATGACACAAACACTCACATTCCCTCACGCCATTAGTAGCAATGCGGAAATCCCCAAAGTTCAATATATGATCGGCAAGGTCGTCTATTTTCTCATCGAATTCCTCTTCGGGGGCGGTGGCTATGATCCGCAACAGCTCCAGTCCATAACCAATTGGTACAAGTTTCGCTACAAGATTCCAGAAATAGTATTAAGTAGTGTATACATTTCCCATACTCAGAATCAACACATAGTATTTTGAAAGTGTTAGAGATGCAGCAACTCTTACATGGTCCCCAAATCAGTCGTTTCATTTTAATGGATCTTATCTTTTTCTCCAGCATCTTCATGTTGGTCTCAGCCTCATTCGGTATGATAACTATCACCCCAGACTCCCAAGCTGTCCAAAGAAAAGTACAATGAATCATCTCTTGGCCATTTAAGACAAATGATGAGAAATCTTAAACGAAGATAAGTGAATACAAACTAAAACTTACATTTTTCCTTCTTTCTGGATGATTTCCGAAAAGCTGCTCTCTCTTCAGCCTCCTCCATGATAAGGTCATCGTCTTCATCATCATCACTATCAACCTACAACATGATGCAAGAGCAATTACATATATAAGACAAGAATCTCACTAATATACAATCTTATGTTATAAGGTTAAGAGCCAAACAACCTCCTCTGGGGTAAGTTCATCGTTTTCATCATCATCACTATCATCCTACAACATGATGCAAGAGCAGTTACATATATAAGACAAAAATCTCACTAATATACAATCTTATGTTATAAGATTAAGAGCCAAACAACCTCCTCTGGGATAGTGACACAAGGGATGCCTCTGCATCAGAGAGACACACGAGTTAGAAAACAGAAAGCCTTAATCAAAGATCCATGAAAGGTTTAGTAGAGGAACGTACGAGATACTCAAGAGGGTCTCAATGTGGTTGTACCAACGAGATGCATTCACATACTGCGGAGGTGGAGGCTTTGTAAGCGCCTCATAGACAGTGGCATCATCCTTTGAAGCCTCGTGACTGTAAAAAGCATACATATGGTCACTTTGTACATCCTAAGAGTATACATAGTGGTGAAATAGTGAAGCAAATACATACAGAGAATATCAAAAGTTTTAAGCTCTGTGAAATACATGAAATGGGAAAAGAATAACCTTGAAATGTAATAGTGATTGAGAAGATGCTCGTCGAGCTTCTTCAATCCAGCATCAGAGTTGAGATTGGGGAAGAAGGCCGCCATTTTTTTCTGAAGCTCGAGCTTTTTTTTTCACTGATTGAGAAACAAAGAGATGCGATATCGAATCAAACAAAAATCCCAAACGAATTAACAATCAAAGAGCAAACAAAAAAGTCGTCAAGAGTGTTACAAGTTTCTCTACCGTACAGAGACGACGAAGAATTTGAATCAGAAGGGTTTTCTGTAGAGTTTTGTTCAACGTTCTTCACAAGAGTTTATACGAAATTGAATTTGTAACCTAATTTCCTAGCTAGATTGAGAATTATCAAAGCAAAGATGCTGAAAAACAAAGCAAATTTCGATTACCGATTCGAAGAAAAAATTTCTGAAGAGTGATTACAACTGAAATTCGATCGATCCTCTAATTCGCAGTTCACTTTCAGATTCAACACAGAGAAAAAGGAAATTTCAAGTTTAGAAACAAAATACCGACACTGAGGAAGATGGAAGGAGCTCGCAGGCGGTGAAGGAGGAAGAAGAACGTCGTTGCCGCTTTCTCTGTATTTTCTCAGTAACTTGTTCGACTTTGCTTATTTAACTCGTTTAAACTGGGGCTTTAGTGGGCTTATGGGCCTGAAGATTCGTAAGAAAGGCCTCGTTTTTCACTAATTGCAGACCAACTGTTTGTTCAAATTCCCGAAAGAAAAAGTTCTGCTCTAAATTATTTCTAAACGTTAATATCTGAATTTCATACTTTTCCTGTTTAGTTTTCTTCGATTTTTCCCCACTTGCTTCATAGAAAAAGATGGGACAAGTCTCGGCTAAAATTTTAGCTATGAAACTCAATTGGTGTTAACTGTTGACCAATCTACTGCTTTTTGGAGCTATAATAGTAGGGGTTCAAAGGAAGCGTGTATAAGAAGCTAAGGTTGTTTTATCACTCTGTTTCTCGTGACTTGTACTTTACGGTTCGATCTCCCATCTCGTTGATTCTCGTGAGCATTTTTCTCAGTTACATCGTTTAATATTAAGGTTCTGTTTAGATACTAATCTCATTTGTATATGTCATAGCATTAAGGGGCATATACTATTTTTTTGACACAGTTTCAGAATATTGGGTTCTTGAATAGGCTTATATGTTTGTAATTGTTTTCTAGATGGTTGCTTTAGTTTTCTTCAGTGACAAGGTTTTAACAGATGAATAGTTTAACTATAATTGAGTAAAGGTATACGCTGATTTGTTATGGCAGTAATTGTATGTTTGTCCCTAGATTGTGTAGAATTATCCAAGGTTGTGATAAAGCATGCTACTGAGGTAATCTTTTCTTTCAATGTGATATAATTCGCTGTCTACAAATTTATGAGATTCAGTGGAAGAAAAATGCTCGAACTGTCTTCATTCATAACTCATAAGAGGATAAAAATACACAAAACCAACAAGAGATAAAATAACAAGAGATTGTCACATTACATAACCAAAAGCAGTCAACAGAAACAGGCCGGCTGTTTCAAAAAAGAAAAAAGAAAAAAATCCGATGAAACAAATCCATATTTTTCTATATAGACCATTTAAGACAAGACATGATTACATTCTTTCTTCGATGCTTTCAATGAACCATCATCATCATCAGCCGCATCATCATCCTACGATATGATTCAAGCAATAACATAAGTATTGTGAGAGACAAATATGATCTACCACCTGTGGACAAGTTAAATAAACAAAACGAGTACCTTAGAATCAGATTCCTCTTCTGACTTGATACCATTACCTGATACACGCACACAACATTACCCCCAACATTTATAGAAATTTCTTAACCTTCAAGGCATGTTTTAAAAATGGATTTTGGATACTTACATATTCTATCCAGGCGGAGAGCTTGACAGCTCTCGACATACGGATGACCCATTATTTCCTCTTTGACAATGTCGTCGATCGTTAAGAACCCCTTGCATCCAAGACGCATAATGCCTCCAATGACAGTGCACTCGATCCCCAACAACTTGACTCCACAACCAACTTGGACAACTCTTGCTGTAATAATAAACATTGTGAGAGATTTCACAAGTTTATATAACTACTAAATTATAAAACCAAGTTTCTTACATTCTCCCCAAAACAATCCTGTCGCATGAATGGATCTAACAGCTTCCTCTAGCTTCTTCATGTCAGCCTCGTCATCATTCGGCTTTATAAGAAGTAGAGCTGATAATATTGACATTTAAAAAAAAAAAAAAAACCATTAAAAAAATGAGGAGAGGATCCAATGCAGATTTAGTATTAGTGAATGACACAAACTCTCACATTCGTACAAGCCAGCAGTATCAATGCTGAATCTCCCAAATTTCCATATATGCTCATCGACAAGGATGCCTAAATTATCCCATTCCTCATTACAGGGGACGGTGGCTACGATCCGCAACAACTCCAGTCCATAACCAATGGGGACAAGTTTTGCTACAAGATTCCAGAATAGTATTATCAGTGTATACATTTCCAATATAAAGAAACATAATTTTTACATGTTAGAGATGCACAAACTCTTACATGGTCCCCAAAACAGTCCTTCCATTTGAATAGATCTCAAATCTTTCTCCAGCTTCTTCATGTCGGTCTCAGCATCACTCGGTGTGATAATTATTACCGCAGACTGCCAAACTGTCCAAAGAAAAAATACGATGAACTAATTATCTATTGGCCATTTAAGACAAAATGATGAGAATCTTAGACGAAGATAAGTGAATTACAAACCAAAACTTACGTTCATTCTTCTTTGTGGATGCTTTCAAAGAAGCTGCTTCCTTTTCAGCAGCTTTCTTTTCCTCTTCGGCCTCTTCCATGATAAGGAGGTCATCATCAATTACAACAACCCTACCATCCTACAATATGATGCAAGCAATAACATATATAAGACCACTATTTCACAAGCTTGCTAATATATAAATATATATGCAATGTTATAAGAGCCAAACATATGTATCCATGTAACCGCTATATATGGATTTGTAGCTGTGATAGAAATCCAGAAACAACCTTTTCTGGGATAGTGTCCAATCCATCAATAGAGACACCACTCCCTTCACAAGAAATACCTCTGCAAAGATAGACACACAAGTTAGAGAAAAAAATATCCAAAAAGCTAAAAAACAAAAGCCTTAAAAGAGCCGCATAGACCGTGATATCATCCTTGAAGCCTTGTGACTATACGTAGTAAGATAATAATGGTTATTGGACATCCTAAAAGTATAACTAGTAGGAAAACAATGAAGAAAATATATTAATGAAAAGAAGAAGGTTAAAATCTAATATATTAGGGTTGTGCACTTTTGAGACCACCGATTAAAAGTAAAGCTTGTGAAATACATGAAAACGGCAGAATATAACCTTGTAATGTAACATTGAGTGGAAAGATGCTCGTCGAGCTTCTTCAATCCAGCACCAGAGTTGAGATTGGGGATATCCGCCATTTTTTTTCTGAAGCTTGAACTTTTTTGACTGAAATAAGAGCGAGAGAGAGAATCAACAAAAATCCCAAAACGATCTAACAAACAGGAATTATAAGAAGGTTTTTTTTTGTCGACTCACTTATACGATTATGAACTGGTAATTACAAGAAAATATTTTACATTTAATAAAGAAATTAAAAAAGGGAAAATTTGAAATAAAGGATGTTTTGACTTTTGACTAGGTGATATGGTGACTTTATATTAAAGTAAAATACATATATACTCTCACTAATTAGAAATTAGAAATTTTCCATTAACTATGTATATAATTAACAAAATATTTAAAATTTAGAGTTTCTGATTACATTGGAAATTCTATTGCATCGGTTGCTTCTTCGTTTCTTCTGAAACATCATCATCTTATGCTTCTCCATTTTATCTTCTTTTATTCTTACACACTTCCTCTCCTTCCGTTCTAAATTTGTTAATTGTCTCAGACTTTCTTAGTTCAAGGTTTATTTGCTGTTATCTCTTTGACTCTATTTCTTTCAATAGCCACTGTTTACATGTGAAGTCTGTTAATCTTTTCATTCTTTCTCCACTCATACAGCAAACAAAGGGTTACAAAACCCATCGTATTTATTGTAGTGTTCTATAACGCGGTGTACTGTTTCCGGTGCATTAGAAATTTAGTGGTCCATGAACAACAACACACTCCCATATTGTCGCAAGTAATTAACTTTGTTTGAGGGTTTTAAAGCATCTTAGTATCGTTATCCTTGAAAATGTTAGAACACTTTTGGGTAATAAGTTATGTTGTTATCTCTTTCGTTTTACTTGTCAACCAATCTATGAGATTTGGTGGAAGGAAATATACTTCAACTGTCTTCACTCATAATTAAGAGGAACAAAAGATGATGATAAAACAAATATTTATTGTAGTAGCTTCCCCCTGGAGTTTTTTTTCATCCTCTGCATTATTATTCAGGCCAAGATTTAATACAAAACAAATATTTTTTTTTGGCACTAATTAACAGAAATAAGATTGCAGCTTTGATGAGTTTGAAAATTGACACTTACATATTCTGTTCAAGGGGATAACTTCACTGCCAAATTTGTTAAAAGAAACCTGGTCGTCAACAATGGTGAATGTCATCCGCAAATAATTGAATCCATAGCCAGCATTGATGATCTTTGCTGAAAATAATCGAGAGATGTTACATTGTAATTCCGACAAAAAGATATCAAGGGTGTAATAAATTAAGAGACGTATCAACTTACATGCTCCCCAAACCACTCCTTCCTTCTGAATGGACGATACATGTTCCTCCTCTACCTTCTTTATGTCCGGGTAGGACGAACATAGCCCAGCTAGCATTAACCCTGACTTGGTGCCGGCTGTTCCAGAAAACAAAAAAATAAATCTGATGAAACAAACCCATTTTTTTCTGTAGACATTAAGACAAACGTAGACATGATTACATTCTTTCTTCGATGCTTTCAATGAACCATTATCATCATCAGCCGCATCATCCTAAGATATGATTCAAGCAATAACATGAGTGTTGTAAGAGACAAATATGATCCACGAAAAACCCTTGTGGACAGATAAACAAACAAAACGAGTACCTTAGAATCAGATTCCTCTTCTGACTTGATTCCATTACCTGATACACGCACACAACACATCTTTGGCATTAACATTAATAGAAATTTCTTAACCTTCAAGGTAGTTTAATAATGGGTTTTGGATATTTACATATTCTATCCAGGGGGATATTTTGACAGCTCTGGACATCCGGATGACCCATTATTTCCTCTTTGATAATGTCGTCGACGTGCACCAAGCGTCCATGACGTATAAGGTGTCCAACGGCAGTGCACTCAATCCCCAACAACTTGATTCCAGAACCAAGTGGGACAAGACTTGCTGTACGTAATAATAAACATTGAGAGAGATTTCACAAGTTTATATAAGTATACTAATTAAACACGCCTGACATTTTAAAAATTATAAAACCAAGATTCTTACATGCTCCCCAAAACAATCCTGTCGCATGAATGGATCTTACAGCTTCCTCTAGCTTCTCCATGTCGGCCTCGTCATCATTCGGCTTTATAAGTAGTAGAGCTGATGATTTGCCTTTGGAAAAGAAAAAAAAATAACCGATGTAAACAAACGAACAGGATTCAGTGCATCTTTAGGTTTAGTGTATCAAATAAACAAACACTCACATTCTTTCAAGCCAGCAGTATCAATGCTGAATTTGAATCTCCCAAATTTCCAGATATGCTCTTCGACAAGGATGTCTAGATTATCAAATTCCTCATTATGGGGCACGGTGGCTACGATACGCAACAGCTCCAGTCCATAACCAATTGGGACAAGTTTTGCTACAAGATTCCAGAATAGTATTTTTAGTGTATACATTTCCCATATAAAGAAACATATTTTGAACGTGTTAGAGATGCACAAACTCTTACATGGTCCCCAAAACAGTCCTTCCATTTGAAGAGATCTTATATCTTTCTCTAGCTTCTTCATGTCGGTCTCAGCATCTGTCGGCATGATAATTATTACGGTCGACTCCCAAGCTGTCCAAAGAACACAAATACGATGAATTAATTATCTATTGGCCATCTAAGACAAAATGAATGAGAATATTAAACGGAGATAAGTGAATTGCAAACCAAAACTTACATTCTTTCTTGTTTGTGGATGGTTTCAAAGAAGCTGGTCCCTTTTCAGCAGCTTTCTTTTCCTCTTCGGCCTCTTCCATGATAAGGTCATTATCAATTACAACAACCCTACCATCCTACAATAGGATGCAAGCAATATAAGACAACGATCTCACTAGCTAGTATACAAATCTATGCATGTTATAAGAGCCAAACATATGTATCCATGAAAACCCTATATAGGGAAAAATAAACGAACAATAGAGGAATCAGAAACAACCTCTTGTGTGGTACATGCCAATCCATTAATAGAGACACCACTCCCTTCACAAGAAATACTTCTGCAAAGATAGACACACGAGTTAGAAAAAAAATATCCAAAGAGCTAAAAAAAACAAAGTCTTAAAAGAGCCGCATAGACAGTGATATCATCCTTTAATTTGAAGCCTTGTGACTATACATAGTAAGATAATAATGGTTATTGGACATCAAGTATAACTAGTAGGAAAACAATGAAGAAAATATATAAAAGAAAAGAAGAAGGTTAAAATCTAATATATTAGGGTTGTGCGCTTTTGAGACAACCGATTAAAAGAAAAGCTTTTCAAACAACATCTTGGGTGCTTTGTGAAATATATCAAAACAGCAGAATATAACCTTGTAGTGTAACATTGAGTGGGAGGATGCTCGTCGACCTTCTTCAATCCAGCATCAGAGTTGAGATTGGGGATATCCGCCATTTTTTTTCTGAAGCTTTAACTTTTTTGACTGAAATAAGAGCGAGAGAGATAATACACAAAAATCCCAAAACGATCTAACAAACAGGAATTATAAGAAGGTTTTTTTTGTCGACTCACTTATACGATTATATGAACTGGTAAACCTAGTTTCCTAACTAGTTTGAGAATATTTCCAAAAACTAGATTAAATCCCTTGAATAATATTACAAAAAAATATTTTACATTTAGTAAGGAAAATAAAAAAGAAAAAAATTGAAATAAAGGATGTTTTGACTATAACTTTGGTGATCTAAACCTTTTTTTACTTTGGAGGATTAGTCTTTATATATTAAAGTAAAATACATATATACCCTAACTAACTAGAAATTAGAAATTTTCCATTAACTATGTATATAATTAACAAAATATATAAAATTTAGAGTTTCTGATTACATTGGAAATTCTATTGCATCGGTTTCTTCTAAAACATCATCTTATGCTTCTCCATTTTATCTTCTTCTATTCTTACACACTTCCTCTCCTTCCGTTCTAAATTTGTTAATTGTCTCAGACTTTCTTAGTTCAAGGTTTATTTGCTGTTATCTCTTTGACTCTATTTCTTTCAATAGCCACTGTTTACATGTGAAGTCTGTTAATCTTTTCATTCTTTCTCCACTCATACAGCAAACAAAGGGTTACAAAACCCATCGGATTTGAGATTTAATAAATAGCAATAAAACAGAAAATAAGATGGAGAAAAGAGATGAATTTCTCGGACTGTTGTTCCGCTCTAGTTTTCGTGTTTGCAGATAAATCTGTTGGAACATAATTGAGTTTGTTCTAACACTTGATCTCTTTTAGTAACCGTTTAACAGTTAGGTTGTGATAGGTTTAGTAAAGAGACACAAGTATGAAGAGACACAACTCTTGTGTTATTGTGTCTGTTCATTATCTATATAAACCTATGTTGTTGTAATGTAAACAATCAAGTTTCATATTAATAAAACCTATTCCTCGTTAATTCTTCTTCTTCACAAGACAAGAGATGCACTCTCATCTCTTGCTCTGTTTTTTCATTCTTTCTTTTCTCTGTTTGTAAATCAAAAGTTCAACATGGTATCAGAGCTTTCATGGTCGTGGAACCTGTTAAAGCACACAAATAATGAAGAGAAATCTGATGCGAGAAGAAGAGAAGAGATGGAGACTGAAAACCGGAGAGAAGAAGAAGAAGAGGAAAGGAAAAGAAAAGAAGAGGTGGTGACAAGAGAGAGCACCATGAACCTTCGCAAACGTATTCACATGTCGTACCACAAGAGGAAGGCTCCAATAGAGATGGAGGAGATAAGAAATCTACTCAAGTGGCAATGGAGAAAGCGGATGTGGAATCATTATGGAAGGAGAATTCTGAAACTTGATGGAGAAGCCACCTGTTGAGAGAGACAGAGCAAGGCACATTGAAGCGGTTACACATAACCGAAAAAGACGTGGATAATGAGATCCACGCATGGTGGATAATGAGATCTACACATGCAGGCGGGGCGACCGGAAAAAGACATGGTGGATAATGAGATCTACACATGCAGTGGTTATGGAGACGACCACAAAAGGACATGGTGGATAATGAGATCCACACATGGAGTCGGTTACGGAGATGACCGGAGAAGAAGTGGAGAGAGGATTCACGCACGGAACGTCGAGGAGACGTGATGGTGATCAAAGGTAGTCACCAAGCAACAAAAGAGGATGCTTACCTCGGAAAAAAAAAATGGAGCAAGTCGGTTGAAGAGTTAACCGAAGAAGACATGGAGAGAGATCCATGCGGGAAACGTCAAGGACGTTAATGGTGTTTAAAGAAAGACACCAAGTAAAAGGAAGATTGCTTAAATGGAAAAGGAGCAGGAACTGGTTACACAAGTAACCAAAGAAGTCGTGAAGGAGATTCACGCATGAGACGTCATGAGATGTCAAGGAAACGTGAGAGAGGTTCCATGCCAGAGACGTCCAGGAGACGTGATAGTGATCGATGGAAGTCGCCAAAGGAAACGTTGAGAGACTTGAAGGAGACATGGAGAAAGCTTGCGGGTCAAGAAAACTAGAGTTTCAATGTCTTGATGGTCAACGTGTAATGAAGGCAAGAAAAGGGAATATCCAAGTGATGACAAGCCAAGGAGAGAAGATCATCAAAGAGGTGTTTCTAGTGCCAGATTTACTCTTGAAGAGACAGAGGTTACAAGTTCAAGGAAGCAACTTAGAGTTAGACCGAAACTCAATTAAGGGGGAGTGTTGGAACATAATTGAGTTTGTTCTAACACTTGATCTCTTTTAGTAACCGTTTAACGGTTAGGTTGTGATAGGTTTAGTAAAGAGACACAAGTATGAAGAGACACAACTCTTGTGTTATTGTGTCTGTTCATTATCTATATAAACCTATGTTGTTGTAATGTAAACAATCAAGTTTCATATCAATAAAATCATTTCCTCGTTAATTTCTTCTTCAAGAGAAGAGATAAATCCATTATCTCTTGCTCTGTTTTTCTCCAATCTCTCTCTCTCTCTCTGTTTCTTAATCAAAAATTCAACAAAATCAATGGCTGCAGTATACTCGTTTGCTCCAAAAATAAGCTCGGGAGCTCTGTATTACATCGAGCAAATGTATGAAATATGTTGGCTCTCCTTTCACCTGTTTTCAAGAAACCACCATTGATCATCAAATATAAGAATTTGTACATGTTCTGCCATTTGTACATGTTCCGCAAGTCTGTGGAGTTTGTTATTTAACACTTTTAAATGGTGTGATGACCAAAATCTTTAGTGAGTTTATTTACAAGCGTGTATAAGAAGCTAACTTTGTTTTATGTTTTTTGTGACTTGTGTTTTACGCTTCGAGTATTGTGTGTTCATACTTCATACCCATAGTCCATGAACAACAACACACTCCCTTATTGTCGCAAGTAATTAACTTTGTTTGAGAGTTTTAAAGCATCTTAGTTTCGTTATCCCTGAAAAAAAATTAGAACACTTTTGGGTAATACGTTTTGTTGTTATCTCTTTCGTTTTACTTGTCAACCAATCTATGAGATTTGGTGGAAGGAAATATACTTCAACTGTCTTCACTCATAATTAAGAGGAACACAGATGATGATAAAATATAAAAACTAATGAGAGAACAAAAGATTGTCACATTACAGAATCAAAAGCAGTCCATAGAAACTACCTTTATTATAACTTCCCCTAACGAGTTTTTTTTTCTACCATCCTCTGCGTGCATTATTAGTCAAGCCAAGATTTAATACAAAACAAACCATCTTTGGCATTGACAGAGATAACCAAAGCCAAGATTGCAGCTTCGAGGGGTTTGAAGTTAAATGGGGTTTTGATACTTACATGTTCTGTTCAAGGGTATAACTCTACCGGCAAATTTTTGGTTGAGAGTTTTGAGAGAAACAACGTCATCAACAATGGTGAATATCATCCGCAAAAACTTGAATCCATAGCCAGCATTTGATGATCTTTGCTGTAAAAACCGAGAGATGTTACATTGTAAATCCGACCAATATATAAAAAGATATCGAGTGTGTAATAAGAGATGTATCAACTTACATGCTTCCCAAACCACTCCTTCTTTCTGACTGGATCTTACAGATTCCTCACTCTTCTTCATGTCGGGATTTAACAGAGACATATTAACTATCATTAATCCTGACTTTCCGGCTGTTCAATCAAAAACTCCGATGTAACAAACCCATTTATGTATCGACCATTTAAGACAAAAGAGACAAAAGAAAAAACACTTACATTCTTTCAAAGAAACTGCTCTCTCTTCCCCAAAAAGGGCAGCATCATCCTACGATATATATGATTCAAGCAATATAACATAAATATTTGTAAGAGAAAAACATATGATCCACGAAAACCCTAGATAAGATAAACAAACAATTGTGTTTGAGTACCTTAGAATCGGATTCCTCTTCTGAAGTGATACCATTACCTGATATACACATCACATCTTTGTTATTAACATTTATAGAAATTTCTTAACCTTCAAGGCAGTTCAAAAATGGATTTTGGATACTTACATATTCTATCCAGGCTGAGAGCTTGGCAGCTCTGGACATAGTGATGGCCCACTATTTCCTCTTTGACAATGTCTTCGAAGCGCACCAAGCGTCCAGGACGTATAAGGGGTCCAACGGCAGTGCACTCGATCCCCAACAACTTGATTCCACAACCAACTGGTACAAGTCTTGCTGTACAATAAATATTGAGAGAGATTTCACAAGTCTATAACTAATTACACTCACCCGATCGATATGTGAAGAAATATAACCAACTTAACTTACATGCTCCCCAAAACAATCCTCTCGCCTGAATGGATCTTACAACTTCCTCTAGCTTCTTCATGTCAGCCTCGTCATCATTCGGCTTTATAAGAAGTAGAGCTGATAATTTTGTCATTTAAAAATTAAATAAAAACCAATTAGAGGAGAGGATCCAATGCATCTTTAGTATAAGTGAATGACACAAAACTCTTACATTCGTCCAAGCCAGCAGTATGAATGTTGAATCTCCCAAGTTTACTTATATGATCATCGACAAGGATGCCTAGAATATCAAATTCTTCATTATGGGGGACGGTGGCTACGATCCGCAACAACTCGTGTCCATAACCAATTGGGACACGTTTTGCTACAAGATTCCAGAATAGTATTGTTAGTGTATACATTTCCTATATTTAGAAACATATTTTGAATGTGTTAGAGATGCACCAACTCTTACATGCTCCCCAAAACAGTCCTTCTTCCATTTGAATAGATCTTAAATCTTTCTCTAGCTTCTTCATGTCGGTCTCAGCATCTGTCGGTATGATAATTATTACCGCCGACTCCCAAGCTGTCCAAAGCAAAGATACGATGAACTAATTATCTATTGGCCATTTAAGACAATTTATGAGACCATTTTTTGTTTTATTCTGTGAGAATCTTAACGAAGATAAGTGAACAGGCCAAAACATACATTCTTTCTTCTCTGAGGATGCTTTCAAAGAAGCTGCTCTCTTTTCCTCTTCGGCTTCCTCCATGATAAGGTCAACGTCTTGCTCATCATCAAATACAACAACCTTACCATCCTAAAATATGATGCAAGCAATAACATATATAAGACAACGATCTCATTAGTATATAAAGCCAAACATATGATTCCATGGAACCCCTATGGACAAATAAACTAACAATAGAGTGCCATTTAGAGTCAGCAACAACCTCTTCTTTGATAGAGGCCAATCCATCAATAGTGACACCACTCCCTTCAGAAGAGATACCTCTGCATGCAAAGAGAGAAACACGAGTAAAAAAAATAAAAATCCAAACAGCTAAAAAAAGCCTCAAAAGATCCATGAAAGGGCAAGTGGAGGAACGTACGAGATGCTCAAGAGGGTCTCAATGTGGTTGTACCAACGAGATGCATTCACATACTGCGGAGGTGGAGGCTTTGAGAGAGCCGCATAGACCTTGATATCATCCTTTGAAGCCTTGTGACTATAATAAAGACAATATATTTATTAAGAAAGAAGGTTAAAATCACTTTTGAGTCAACCGATCAAAAGAAGAGATTTTTCTAATCTTTGGTGCTCAGTGAAAATACATGAAAATGGCAAAAATGTAACCTTGTAATGTAGTAACGAGTGAGAAGATGCTCATCGAGCTTCTTCAATCCAGCATCAGAGTTGAGATTTGGGAAAGCCGCCATCTTTTTTCTGAACCTCGAACTTTTTTTCACTGATATAAAAGAGAATTCTTTTTTCTCCGATCCGGTTTTAAACTGAATGAGAAAGTCACGTGAAAAAATATTGGGAAAATCCCGCAACAAGCGACACATTTATTGACTTTGTTGTTTAACACGTAGGCTTTAGCGATGGTGAGATCAAAATCTTAGTGGGCTTATGGGCCGAAACAAGCCCGTCTTATAAGAGAAGCTCCCGCCAAACCCTCACCTGCACTTTTGTCTAGTAGCATCTTCTCCGCTTCTACGAAAACTTTAGTCTTCACTCTGAGTTTCTCTCACTTTGTTGGACCAAATTTTACAGATCGAAAACTCGGCGGATTCTGAAGATTTGTGTGTTTTTCGACAGTTGGTTATGGAACATCTGTGGAGATTCGCAACAAAGACCTCGTTTTTCACTAATTGCAGACCAACAGTTCGTTCAAATTCCTCAAAGAGAAAACATCCGGTAAAATTACTTCTACACGTATATCTGATTTTTTTTTTTACTTTTTACTGTTTAGTTTTCTTCGATTTTTCACCTCTGCTGTCAGATAATTTGCTTCGATTTCCAATCCAAAACTATAAGATTAAATATTCGCACTAATCTATGTAAAATTTCTACTCGTCGTTCATTACAATTAGTTTTTATTTTTATTAATTCTATCGACACAAACCGAACCGTTGAAGAACTAAACCGTTTGTTTTGTTGTTTGATTCGAGTATTATCAGTTTTTTTATTAGGGAAAGATAGTCACTAATTAATTAACTACACGTAATCTTTATATATACAAAAAAAAAACTTCTTTGTATTCATAAGGAAATTAAAGAAAACCCTAAAGACATCATTTGCCTTTTACATTTTACAGACACTAAACACATAAAGCAGAGCTGAGAGATGGTGACTACAAGTATAACACCAAAAGAAGAAGATATGGAGTCTGAGGAGAAGAAAACCACAAGTTTAACACCAGAAGAGGTAGAGAAAAGGAAAGAAGCTGAGTTTGAGGCTGTTTCGGCATTGATACAACTAAGCAAAGCTCATCCAAAACCAAAGAACAAGAAGAGGAAGAGAGCTGGTAAAAGTCAGCTTGGAGAGGTGGAAATCGCCGGAGAATCAGCTGATAAAAAACAGAGGAAGACCGTGGAGAAGGACGATTCGGAAGAAACCCTAAGGGAGATACTCCGGTGGAAAGGAACTATTGAGGAAAAGCCTCATTTCCTCAGTGAGCTCGACGTGGTTGGGGTTTGCAGCGAGCCGACGTGGAAGCAGTTGATGGAGAGCGACGTGAACGATAATCAAATCAGGCTCATGTTAGGGAAGCTGCAAGTGAAGAAGATGATGCTTCAAGTTATGGGAGATACAGAAAGAGATGGGACTGATTTTGAGCTTGAGGTTTCGGTGTACGTGCGAGGCGGTGAGTTTCGTAAGATGGTGTTCAAGACTTGGAAAGGCACGCCTGTGTTAACGAGTCCGGAATGGAAGAAATTTGTGAGTGATCATAAGCTCAAGAAGCATTGTGATTTCGTCACTGTTTGGATGTTTAAGCACAGAGAGAGTCGTCAGGTTTGCTTTGCTGTTGATGTCACTCGTCTTGCTGTTGAGAAACGGCTGAGTAACAGGATCATGAAGATTACAAGTTAGGGTTTTGTTTTGCTGTTTATGCTTATGTTTTTGTTTAATTAGGATTTGTCAAATTGCGTAAGCAATTAAACTTGTGTTCTTGCCAAATTTTAACAAAACAAAACAGAGGGACACATGGGATTTGAGGAGTAATCTCTCTACTCCGGTTGCAGCCATAGAGCCATGATGTTTCAGATTTGCTTGGAAAAATCTCTTTGAAAATGATCGATGTTGGAGTGGATTGCTGGTTATGTTACTTGTGTAGCACGTTTCCGTTCTCGCCAAAATTCGTAAACAATAGCCTGAGCCAAGATTTTCCTATACATCAAAGGGACTAGATTTGAGATTTTTCCAAGTAAAGTTTCTGTGTTTTCTAATTTATTTGGCACAGAAAAAAAAAACAAAATCTCTTTTAATTAGAACTGATTATAGTAATTTTAGAAGAATAAGAAGTTGATGAGATGGCTTTCTAGTTAAAGACTAAAGAGTGCTAATTTTGGTATTATGTAGGATGTTTATTCCTAATGTGAGTACACTTATATAACGTTTAGTTTGCTTTTTGTACTTAATTAACATTTTTCATTTTATTTTCACCAAAAAAAAACATTTTTAATTTTAAATATCATTAGATTAATATACAACGAGCGAGAACTCAATATTCAACCACCGCCAATTAATTTGATAACCGCTCGGCTCGTTTACAAATAAGGAGACAAAATTGGCAACTTATCTAAATGGAAAAATAACTAAATAAAAAAGGAAGTAAAGCATATTAAAGGAAATTTCTGCACTTAAAACATTCATTCGACAGAAAGAAAGAAAAAATTAAAATAAAGAAAGAAAAGCTCTAGCAAACTTGTCACCGAAGGTAACGAAGTAGAAACAAAAAGATAGAGAGAACGAGAGAGACCATGACGAGTTCAATAGAGGGAACCACAATTCTAACACCAGAAGACGAATTAGCTGCGCAAATATTATTAAAACTAAGCCAAGAGTATCGACAACAGCTAAGAGCAGCTAGAGCTGAGGCTGAGGTTCCGTCGACTCTATTATTACAAGAAGTAAGTGAAGCTCCTAAAGCTAAAAAATCATCAAAGAAGTTGAAGTGTGATGAAAAACAGCCTAACAAGAGAAAACATGTGGAGGAAGACGATTCCGAAAAAACCATGATGTTAGTGCAGGAAGGAAACCAAACTGAGCTCAATCCGGGAGAAGGTGTTAAAATCCAGCCGCAGCCGAGGAAAGTCGTGGAGGAAGACGATTCCGAAGAAACCCTAAGGGAAATACTCCGGTGGAAAAGAAATATACCGGAAACGCCTCCATTCCTCGACGGGGTGGGGGTTTGCAGCCAACCGGTGTGGAAGCAGTTGATGGAGAGTGACGTGAAGGAAGGTCAATGCAGGCTCATGTTAGGGAAAGCGCAAGTGAAGAAGATGATCCTTCAAGTTATGGGAGATAAGAGGAAAAGTTGGGACTAGTGATCTTGAGGTTCCAGTGTACGGACGAGGCGGTGAGGTTCATAAGATGATGTTCAAGATGTGGGGTGTGGACACACCTGTGTTGAAGAGTCCGGGATGGAAGACGTTTGTGAGAGATAACGAGCTCAAGATGCATTGTGATTTTCTCACTCTTTGGATGTTTAAGCACAGAGAGGGTGGACACATTTGCTTTGCTATTGACTTCACTACGCTTCCGGTAGAGAACAAGCTGAGTTGGAGGATCACGAAGGTTGCGAATCAAAATTAGGGTTTTGTTTTGTTGCTTTTTGTTTATTTTAAGATGATTTGTGTGTTAAGCTTAAGGGAGTTTTTAAAGGGTTTTTTTTATCCTTATTGTTTTCAAGTTAATTTCTTTCACATTGTGGATTCCACGTGAGCTTTTAAAACCCACATTGGCGAGTCAATCGATTGAATCCCAAGAATAACTGTGGAGCTAACAAAGTTTATATGTATGGATTTTTTTTTGAGTTTTGAATTGTATTTTTTTTTTGTTTAAGCAGTAAGTTAACACTTCTACGAACACTGAGTTATCTAATAAACTCATAAGAATACGTTTGCTGGAGTTTTGAATTGTATTTTTATTTTAAGTTGTAGTTAATTAAGACTTCTATGAACACTGACTTATATAAGAAACTCGCAAGTAGATTTCTTGATTATAGTGCTTGTATTTTTGTTTTTAATATGAAATTATATTTCGGTTTTACAAAACTGTTAAACCAACTAAACTTGTGTTCGATCTTGCCAGAAAAAAAAAACAACGACATTTAATGTTAATCCACCAAATTCGAAGGAAATGATAATAGTTGTGTAATAATTATCGTACAACAGAAATTAAAGAACGGTAACAAAATGGAATGTTTTATGTGAATTTCTTCAGGCATGAAAACTAAATCGAACATGTACGTATGAGTTTAGATATTAAATTGCCTGAATATTCAGATGAACTTTCTGAAAAATTTATTTTGTTTTTTCTCTTATTTAGCTTTCATGCGAATGTGACGTAGCACCGAAGAAGCAAACATGTGCGGTTGTTGCATCGACCTTACGTCAATTTCCCCATTGGCTAAATAATGTGTATCGCTTTACCAAATAATTTCTGTTTTCGGGAGGATAACAATAACACATGGAACTATTCGAATAATGTGGAAACTACTTTGTTTGTCTTCATTTTGCAGTAGATTCCACACCCGTCTGGCATCATCTAATGAGCAAACCAAGGAGAATTGTGAATTCAGTTTCTAAATTCTAACGACACACTTACGGATAATTGTAAACTGTAACTTTTATTGAGTCTTTTATGGGTACTAGACATGAGATAGTGCTTCTTATGTAAAAGGCTGAAATATTTTCAAGTGTTAGAGAAGAGAATAATTGGACTAACCAATAATTCAATGGTTGAGACCGTTGGGTTTAGTGGTCCGTCAAGGCAGACTTAACACTTAAGTGAGTGACTTTAGACTATGGCTTTTGGTTTAAGGTATTACGGATGGTGTCGGGTTTTTAAGAACATTTAGTAAGCGGAAAAGACTAAAGAGAAAGGAGATTTAACCAAGAACGTATAATCCCAATGCAAAGGTGTAAAGGGTAACAAGTGTACGAATTTGATTTATAAAAAAAAATGGAAGCAGAGTTTGGCGGAGTTAAGAAAATTTTCTTTTCAAAATTATTGATTTATTAATCATCTTTCTCATATAAGCAACATAAACAATCAAAATTAATAAATTACAAAAGGTTGCCTATTTATATGATACTAATAAGTTGTGTAAAATACTTTGCTTAGAAAAATTACATTTAATGTATTTAGCCATTTATAAATCTTAATGAAAATAAAAACAATTTAGCCAAGATGCACATATATAAAATAAGTCACCGAGTTCCTGAAATTCCTCAAAGTATGTTCAAATGCTGTAACATAAAAAATAAAAATAAAAAACTAATTTTCAAATTCCTCAAGGTACGTATGTTCAAATGATGTAACATCAAAAAACTTTCAATAGAAATTCCACCTATTCCACGACAATTTAGAAAATAAAATCTAATACCATGGCATCAAAATTAATCAAACTATATTTTGATATATTTATAAATATTTATCATGTCAATTTTTTCATATCCATCTATTATTATACAGCTAAAATATATATTAAAGTATAACTCCATCCGTTTCAAATTAGTTGTCATTTTGGCAAAATGTATCGGAAAATATTTGGACGTATCTGGACGTGTTTTGCATTGCAAATACATACAAATAATTGCAGATACATTTTGCCAAAATGACAACTAATTTGAAACGGAGGGAGTATAAACCTAAAAAAGGAAAAAAAAAAAACTTCAGTTTTAAAGGAAATATTTTTAAAATTTGGATTAGCTATTTTACTAGTCCTTCTTAATCTATTTTAAAAAAATATAAGTAACACTTATATAAAAGTACCAGTTTATTAAAAAAAATTAACATATTAGTTTAGAACTATGTGAACTAGTTTTATTGGTAAATGATTATAAAGTAGAAATATTGCTTGGCAAAAAAAACTAGATTCATTTCTCACTTTTCTATATTTACAGATTTACTGTTGTTTTCATATGCATATATAAATAGTTAAATACCATATGAGGTGAACCAAAAGCATTGTGTCTTCTTCTACTTACTTGTGTCTTCCTCTTTCTCTCTCTCTCTCTCTCTCTCTCTGTGTCTTTCTGTCTCTCTCGCTCGCTCTCTCTACAATCAAGATAGAAAACTGATCTGTAAAGAGTCATCTGAATGAAGAGATCAGTAGCACAACTGGTGATTCTGTGTCTAATTGTGTCATGTACTAATGGAGAAACCAAAGCTGCTGGAAGCAACTCCGATGGATCCGAAGTTTGGGGATACGCCGAAGTTAGGCCAAGTAAGTTCTTTGTATAGGCCAAGTATATATATATATATATTTCTTACAGTTTAAGCCAATTTCAAGAATGAAAAAGATGTATTTTGATTAGATGTGACTAAATGAGTTTTGTTTTGACTTTACAGAAGCACACATGTTTTGGTGGCATTATAAAAGTCCTTATAGAGTTGAAGATCCTTCCAAGCCATGGCCTATTATCCTCTGGCTCCAAGGTGGACCTGTAAGCTTATTTTTCCTTTTTTGTGTGGTTGTGTAATTATATCTACTTTTGTATAACGTTTTGTTCTCATCTCTTTCGTCTTTTATACATTTGTCTGTCTTCTGGAATATATTTCTTTATCGAAATTTATTGTTTCAATTATTTGATTACCCCTGAAACAGGGAGCTTCAGGGGTTGGAATAGGGAATTTTCAGGAAATTGGTCCATTAGACACATTTCTCAAGCCCAGAAATTCAACTTGGTTGAAGAAAGCTGATCTCTTATTTGTGGTATCCATTTTCTTTTTGTCTCACATTTTATATTTTTCTATATTTATGAGAAAAAATATTCATTTTACATTTAGAAAAGCTTATTTATTTTTTGTATATAACTAGTTAGAGTTGCGTAGTATCTAATTTGATGAGTCTTAAAGACTTCATTCATATGTTGAATTTAATATTAATGTTTTTTTATTGTTGAACAAAAAAAATGACAAAAAGGATAGTCCGGTTGGGTCAGGGTACAGTTTCGTGGAAGAGAAGGATTTGTATGTGAAAAGTGATGAAGAAGCAGCAAAGGACTTGACTACACTGTTGCAACAACTCTTCAACAAAAATCCAATTTTAAATCGAAGTCCTCTCTATATTGTTGCTGAATCCTATGGTGGCAAAATCGCGGTTAAGCTCGGTTTATCGGTTATCGACTCGGTTCAATCCGGAAAACTGAAGCTTCATCTTGGAGGTAAGAGATTTTTACTTTCTTTAAGAAAATGAGAAACAAGTAGTGCATAGACATTAATTCACTATTGTTATGTGTGAATAGGAGTGATTTTGGGAGATAGCTGGATATCCCCTGAAGATTTTGTGGTGAGATATCTTTTGGCATGTTACTTCCTACTTGTTAGAGTAATATCTCAGTCTTTTTTTATTAATTAATGGTTTGCAGTTTTCATGGGGACCTCTTCTCAACTATATCTCGAGACTTGATTACAAGGGCTTGGATCTCTCTAATAGGTCTTTCTTAATACAAAATCCAATTTTTATAACTAATACATGATTAAGCGTCTCTTTAATCCATATACTTAACTATTATTGGAGCAGCTTAGCTGAGAACATTAAGAAACAGATTCAGAATGGTGAATACGCTGAAGCCACTCAAACGTGGATGGAACTCGAATCCACAATTTCCCTCAACTCCAATGGCGTGGTAATTCTTTTCTTTTACATTGCATCCATGATTACTTTAGTCACACGTCTTATATGTATAAATTAAATGATGAAGTGGTTTTAAATGTAGGATTTTTACAATTTTCTAATGGATACTGGAACGGACCCTGTCTCGCTTACAACAAGCGAAGTGAACAGAAACGAAAATCGAGTATTGAAAAAGTATTCGAGATATTTAAATGATTTGAGAAGTTCGAGTGACGTGAATAATGAAGGAGGCCTTGAAGGATTAATGAATGGTGTTATTAAGAAGAAGCTCAAGATTATTCCCAAAGACCTCTTGTAAGTAACTTCTTAACCGTTACGGAGTATATATCAAACATTTTTTTGCTAGGGAGTATATATCAAACATATTAATATTATCATTAGTTTTAGTTCTTATATGTGTAGGTTTTTAAACTACTAATTAAAAGTGTATTATTTACAGATGGGGGAACAATTCGAGTAATGTGTTTACAGCGATGCAAGCTGATTTTATGAGACATACAATCCAAGATGTAATGTCCTCAACTTTCTTTTTAACTACTTAAATTAGTTTAAGTATTTGATAATCTATATTGATAATATATATATATATATATCGGCAGGTTGATGAACTTCTTGCCAAAGGAATAAATGTGACCATCTACAATGGACAAGTAAGACCCGTCAACATCGAATTTTATATGAAAAATGAAAAAGAATTCAGCACTCAACAAAATTGTTTATTGATTTTTTTTTTTTTTTAAATGAGATAAATTGTTCTGTGGTTTATTCGCAGCTTGATGTTATCTGTTCAACAAGTGGAACTGAAGCATGGGTTCACAAGCTCAAGTAAGATCACTCTAATTTTTTTTTCTAGTTTTAACTACATGACATGATCATTAATGAAGAATATATAAAAAATGGAATCCAAATTGTGTGTAAATAAACAAAACCTCGAAGAGTCATAGTATACACTATTATAAATAAAATTTACTTAACATAAGCACGCTCTTATACAAAAAAAAAAAGTAAAATTCTAATGAATGATAATACATAAGGAATAATATTAACCAAGTTAGCTAAGGTTGTTGGTATTTATAATTATATATTTATAATGATGTGTAAGGTGGGAAGGGCTAGAAGAGTTTAAGAAGATTGAAAGACAACCATTATATTGTGAAAGTGATAGAAAAACAAGAGGCTTCACAAAATCATACAAAAATCTCCATTTCTATTGGATTCTTGGAGCTGGTCATTTTGTAAGTACACTCCCATTGCCTATCTCCCATCTTTTAATTACTTCTCCTCTTTCATATTTTTATATATCTAATTATTTCAAATTTGTATTCTTTCGATTGAATTTCAACTAGTAGGTTATATATCATACATGTCACAAAAATTTGCATTTGCTATTAAAAAAATAGTATAGGTTTTATTTTTCATTCATATTTAATGAAATAACGTGAGAGATACGTGATGCATTTATTAAACAGAAGCACAAGTCTCTTCTGTGTCCGTTTAATTTCTTTTTTTTTTCTATCTTTATGCAAATTCTTTAATATTTATAAAAAAAAAAAAAAAACAAACAGTCCACTGTCTCTTTAATACTTCACACACAGTCTGAATCTTGTCTGAATCTGTGTAATTTTTCCTCTCATTAATAGAGAAATGGTAATTTTCAGTTTCCTAATATGTTAGAATGATTATTTTGTTTGTAACAGGTACCAGTAGATGAACCATGTGTTGCATTGAAAATGATTGGAGATACAACGAAGTCACCACACCAACTTTGACCAATCTTTCTTCCAAACTTCACTTCACAGATATGACACAAAGAGATGTGACACATTTCAATCTGATCTGATTAATTCAAAACTTCAAAATCAGAAGATATATCATCTGTACTTGAAACTACAGATGCTTTACGTTCTTTTTTCCATATGTGCCAATAAAATTACAAAATATTTAATCTATTTATCATCATTTCTATCTTATAATTTTATCATCATTCGTATCATTAGAAGCCGAACTAGTAATATTAAAAGATTTAAAGGTTGACTCTCTACTTTCTACTGTCTAGTTAAAGAGTGCTAATTTTGGTATTATGTTTTTTTTATACCAGCAGTTTTGGTATTATGTATTATGTAATTTTGGTATTATGATTATATCTAATATGGTACTTATCTGAATTCTAAGATACGCGCGTATCCGCCACCAAATAAGGAAATAAGGAAACAAATTTGATAATTTGATAACCGCTCGACTCCTTTACAAATAAGGAAACAAAATTGAATATGAATCTAAATGGAAAAATAACTAAATTAAAAAAAGGAACCAAAGCATATAAAAGGAAACTTATGCACTTAAAACATTAACACAACACAAAGAAAGAAAAGCCCTAGTAAAATTGTGTCGCTCACAACAACGAAACAGAAACAGAAAGTTAGAGTAAACGAGAGAGATCATGACGAGTTCAATAGAGGAAACCACAATTATAACACCAGAAGATGAATTAGCTGCGCACATATTGATACAACTAAGCCGAGACTCTTGGAACCGGCCAAGAGAAGAAGACGCTATAGCTGATGAGGCTGAGGTTCCGCCGACTTTAGTATTACAACAAGTAAGTGAAGCTCCTAAACAACCGTCCAAGAGGTCAAAGTGTAATGAAATTCAGTCTAAGAAGATTAGGAAACAGCCTCGTAAGAGGAAACGTGTGGCGGAAGAAGACGATTCCGAAGCTTTAACAACAAAAAAAAGTGACAATTCCGAAGAAACCCTAATGTTAATGCACGAATGGAACCAAGCTGAGCTCGATCCTTTAGAGATATTCCCCGGTGTTGCGGAACAATTCAGCGAACCGATAAAGAAGCAGTTGACGAAGAGTGACGTGGAGGACAATCAAAGCAGGCTCATGTTAGGGATGCTGAAAGTGCAACAAAGGATGCTTCCTCTTTTGGAAGCATCAGAGGATCCGTACGAGGAAGACGGGATTGATGTTAAAGTGTACGGACCAAACGGTGTGGTTCAAAAGATGAAGTTCAAGATCTGGAATAATAAAACGCCTGTGTTGACTACCGGATGGAAGGAGTTCGTGGCCAAGTGTGGTCTCAAGATGCATTGCGATTTTATCGCAGTTTGGATGTTTAGGCACATGAGGACTCGTAAGATTTGCTTCGCTATTGGATGCAGTAGGTTCCCTTCTATACAGAAACCTCTAAGTACAAGGATTGTGAGGGAAGTCTTCTCGAATCAAAATTAGGGCTGTTTTTGAGATTTTTCGGGTTCCTCTAGTAATTAATTTATTATAAATTAGGGATTCTTTTGTGTGTTAACTATTAATGTTTTTTAATTCTTTTTGATATACCGTAATGATTTACGAATGTTACGAGAAGCAAAGCGAAAAAAATTATAATTAATCGCAAACCTTAAAATTAGCCAAAATGACATGGAACGTAACAAAAGAAGCAAAGTAAAAGCAACAAAAAGAACATAAACAGACGACGTCTTTGACTAAATCAATACGTCGCCATGAGCATGTTCCCAATTATGAAAGCAAGGTAAGCATTAGCTGTTGCAAGCTCGACCTGATTATGGCCATTAGAGAAGTCGTTCCAGTCATCTGAAACTGTACTTGTTGGTTCTGTAGTAGAGATAAATCGACGCACAATACGGCAACTCTCCTCAGTCTTGTTTAAAAGGTCCCACGACGAGGGTCCGATCTCAACAGCATTGTTGCAGGTCAAACCAAACTCACTCTCAAGATTCTCCAGAGTCTTGTTGATGCCAATTCCAACGAATGTGAAATCAGGTAGGTTGAGGAAATTGAAGAGAGAGACAGGAACAGGAATTTTATCTTCATCAGAGGGAAGTTTAAATATTAGGCAATGGTCTCCATCGCAGAGCTGGAGCAAGACTGTTTTAGTTTGGTTACCTGCCTTTTGTGCACGTTCTGTGCTAAGATCAATGATTTTCTTCATGTTCTTCGTGTTGGACAAGAATATCTTCACAAGAGTGTGGACGCTGCCGTAGTTGTCAGTACTAGCTACGGCCGTCGTTCTGATGCTAGCTCCTCCAATTTCTACACACGACGCACACGAACGATGCATCTTTGGAATAATATGAGGGTGGGTGATAGATGATAGATCCATGAACGGAAGATATTTGCATCTTTATATAGACGTACGTAATAGGAAATTTAAAAGTCGCATCTTTGTAGAGGAAAACGAAGAGTCAAATATTAAATGCATGTACTATCAATGACAGTTGTCTCGAGCTTTTAGATTCACGAGCCATTAATTTTGTCAAAACGTTAGGTATTCTCATCGAGAATTGGCCACATAGAAGAAGCCATTCCAACGTATCTTAAAAGAGAAACTAATGCTTAAAAGTGAAGCGAATTTTCTCTTTAAAGGCTAAAAATATTATCATAATGATGTAAAACAAACAAAAAAAACAGAAAAATAATCATTAATTTCGGATGTTATGTGTATGAGTTTTTTAATTAGAGATACATAATTACGTGACTAGCTTAAATCTAAGGAATAAATAATTCAAATATTTCTTTGATTTCTGTGGATTAATGAAAGTATATAAGGTTCTCAATGGTTAAAATGATATGCGCATTGTTGTTTGAGATTTTTTAGGTAAGGATTCTAGTAATTAGGGATTTGTTTGTGTGTTAAGTATGGTTTTTTATTTCTTTATTAAAAAAAACTGAAAATGGTGTTAATTGTTTATGGGAGTTATAAGTCTTTTTGATCTGGCCATGTCATCATGCTGAACCATCCACAAATATAAAGTAAAAAACAGTGAGTCATGCTTATGCAAATATGAATAAACATCCGCCGATTTGGGTCTCCGAACCTTTCTAGAAATATAAGTTGTTGACAGAAAAAAAAAAAAAAAAATCAAGCAAGAACATACCTATTTGTACTTAACACACACTTTTAATATAGGTTTGTTATTATTTTAAACTAATAGAAAACGAATGTGTGGAAAAATACGCGCCACCAAATAGGCCAACATGCGAGTGTCTCGTTAATTTGATTAACCGCTCGGCTCTTATACAAATAAGGGAACAAAATTACTCCTATATGTTTATCTAAATGGAAAAATAACTAAATAATAAAAGGAAACCAAAGCATATAATATGAAATTTACGCACTTGCAAACATTCACAGAATAGAAGAAAAATAAATAAAAAGCCCTAAGCAAATATTGTTGCCTACGGCAACGAAACAGAAACAGAAAGATAGAGAAATTAAAACGAAAGAGACAATGGCGAGTTCAATAACTACAATTCTAACACCAGAAGACGAATTAGCTGCTCGCATATTACTACAACTAAGCCAAGAGTATCGACAACAGCCAAGAGAAAGAGAAGCTATAGCTGAGGCTGAGCTTCATTCGACTCCATTATTACAGCAAGTAAGCAAAGCTCCTAAGAAACCGTCGTCGAAGAAGAGAAAACGTGCGAAGGAAGAAAACGATTCCGAAGCAAAAACAAAAGAAGAAGACGATTCCGAAGAAACCCTGACGTTAATGCAGGAATGGCACCAAACCGAGCTCGATCCGGGAGAGATATACCCCGGCGTTGCGGAGGGATTCAGCGAACCGATAAAGAAGCATTTGAAGGAGAGCGACGTGAAGAACGATCAAAACAGGCTCATGTTAGTGAAGCATCAAGTGGAGCAAAGAATGTTTCCTATGCTTCAAGAATCAGAGATCCCGCGCGGGAAAAACTGGCTCGATGTCAAGGTGTACGGACCAGACGGGAAGGTTCATGACATGACGTTCAAAATGTGGAATAAGGAGAACACGCCTGTGTTGACTACCGGATGGAACGAGTTCGTGGACAAGTGTGACCTCAAGATGAATTGCGATTTCCTCACGATTTGGATGTTTAGGCACATGGTTACTCGTAAGATTTGCTTCGCTATTCACTGCACTAGGCTTCCTATAAATAATCCTCCGAGTAGAAGGATCTTGAGGGAAGCCTTCTTGAATCAGAATTGAGGTTTTCTTTTTGGGGGTTGTTTGTGTGTTTTTAGGTTCCTCTACGAGTGTTTGCTAGATGCTGCCTTCAAGGTTTACTAATTAAGGATTTGTTTGTGTTAACTTGGTTTTTGATTGTCTATGACAAGAAAAATCACAAAAATTTGGTGTTAGCTTAACTATGGAAGTTTTTAAGTTTGACAGGTCCATCATTAGCTCTTAAAGAATCAATCATATATTTATATATATACCGGTCCGGATTTTGCATTCAAAATGAATAATCTAGACAAAAGCTAAAAAATTTAGTCGGTTCATGGACTACCCTTTTTAGTCCAATAAACCAGACTTGTTTCAACACTTACTTTCCATTGCTGTATGTGAGTGAGCTATGAGAGATTTCCAACTATCTGGATTCATCAGGGACTTGTGATGGTGATGATGATGATGTCCAGCAAGACCTTGGTATGCCTTGCTTTTCAAACCATTCAGGCATGTGAAACCTATCGTAGAGAGCTGGTCTTACATCTTCCTCTTCCGAGAGTTGCTTAAGAAGTGGAAGAATAACATCCAGTAGCTTCAATTATGTTTTTTGGTTTCTCATTAGACTTCCAAAATGATTATAAAAATTGTTAAGAAACAAATGAGTTTTCATTTTATTATACACACCTGAGTATCATTAGGCTGTTGTGCAGAAAACGGAACACATGGAATCCCGTTTAGAGGTTGTAACAGAAAGCTGTAAGGATTGTTGTCGACGATAACTGTCCTACACATGTTCTTTGATGCTGACGATAGATCCTTCACGTGATCTCCATATTGCCTTCATATTGATAAAAAAAAAATATACATCACCACATCACAGTAATATATAACAAAAGGAAGAGAGATTCAGGAAGATAACTTACGTGCTGACAGTACAAGGTCGATAAAGCCGGTCGTTTAATACATGCTTTGTATCTATTCTGTCCACAAGCGGTCTAGCGTAATCTGACACACGTAAGGAATGTTTAAGACAACACTTAACCGGAGAACAGAGAAGTAGTAGTAAAGTAAAATCAAGAGACCTTCGAGACCAGCGGTGAAAACAATAAGATTTGCAAATTGGCTGAGTTTCTCTAGGAATTGGTGTAACCCTGGACGTTCAAACACTGTGACATGATTGATTTTAGGTTCTCCGTTGTATACCTTCACGCAGAGAAGAAGTGATTATTATTGCAATTTAACAACAACAAAAAAATTAGTTAACTTTTAAGAACTAAAAAGAGAAACAAGAAACCTTGGTTGATGATATGCAATCTATCTCAAACCACTTTAATCCAGCTTCAATAGCTTGAGTACGTATAGTAGAAGTTAGACTTGATGACTCATACGCACTCACTAATGTCTCATCCACGTCGAGAACTACCTGCAAGTTCATAAATCTCAATCTGCTCAAAACATTACCAATAGCTACTATCCTCATTAGCTTCCAACTAAATGTAATTACACAACCGAAGATTCAAGAAATGAGAGCAGTTTCTCCAAAGCAAACCTAATTTCCGGAAGATTACAACTTAGTTGATACAATAAGAGGAAGCAAAGCAAAATTCAAATTCTGAATTTCATATCCAAAGATTCTAAAATGATAAGCAGTTTCTCTAAAGCAAAACTAATCGAGGAAAATGAGAAAGGTAAGATCTTTACCGTGAGTCTGGGGATGCTACGAACTTGGCCTTCGTCGGAGCTTCTTCTCGCGGAGTCGATTTTCACGGTGACGGTTGATTTCGCCGAAATCTCCGGTAACTCGGTGACTGGCAACGGTTTAAAACCATCGGCGAGGGCTTTCGAAGAGGACGAGGAAGAAGAGGTAGAGAGAAGAGGAAGGTGAGCGACGGCGCGAAGGATCTTAAGAAACAACTGGTAGAGAAAATCGAGCCAGTTCACCAAAACATTCCACAGTTTAAGCGACCGAGACGAGTAAACCAGATCGGTTTGAGTCAATTCCGACATGACTCGGACTAATTTCGATCGACGAGACTAACGAAGCTTCTCCGGGGAAGAAGAAGAAGAAGAAAAGGAGGCAATCAAAGTTTGGGCTCTCTCACTTTGGGTTTTTTCTCTCCTTTTTCACTAAAGTTCACGCGCTATTCTGGGAGACTGAGAACCACGTCGAATGTTAATGATAAGGTGGGAGACACGCGCTGAGATATGAAGGTGGGGGAAATATGGAGTAGAAGAGACAGATTTTAAAAGAGAAGAAAGCGCTGTGTTGGTTCGTTTCTATTGGGCCCTTTTCTACTGTATCTAGACGCCATAGGTGAACCGGAATTAACTTCGGTTTGTCTTGATTTAGCGTCGGTTCGGCTTATCTAATTTAATGCTTTAACGATAACTTTGAACATTCCATTATGAAAACAAAATTACCGACAAAATTGATTCATGTATTAAAACTGAATAAATTAAACAAGATGTCGTGAGATACACTTGATCTCTAGTTAACCATATATCTTCAAGTCATTGATTACCTTTTTAGTGTATTAGTTATTTAACAGACACAATCTCAGAGTTTAATGTAATAGCAAAAAGGAGAAATCCTTTTTAAATTTTCTACATGTGTATAGAAGAAATCCTTACCTTGTTTTTTATTTATTTATATGCATGGTTGGTAATCTAATAATCGAGATACTCTAGCAAGCCTGAGAAAATAATTTTGATGACATAACCAATTTTTATCTCGAAACAAAGTTTGGACTACATCACTATCTTATACCTTTGACATTTTGCAATTTTTTGTTTGTTTGTGTCTTTCACATTCAAATGTATTAAGAAAAAAAGAAAAATACACCACTAGTTAACAATTGCTTAGTTTGTTGCGTCTCTAGAGTCTAGACCAGCACGTATTTCTTATGATATGTATTAGTTGTGCTACATTGGAAGTTTGTTCCAACGACTAGTCCCATTATTGGTATTTAGTCAGAGAGTATACACACACCAGGTCCAGAATAATCAAAGATGTATCATATTTGGTCATCACAAAATGAACTTTATTATCATTGGTACCAAAATTTAGTTGATTTTTTTTTGTTTTGATCTAGGATATTGAAACAATGAATCAAAATTATATTACAAGTTTTGATTCCAACCCGTTGGCTACTATGATTAATCCCACAGAGGGCAGTCACATGTCGCCTTTTTGTTCCTCCACTCAGCACCACAAGTGTAGCAGAACTCGAATTTGCAGATTCTGTACAAAAAAAGAGACAAATAATCAAATCAAATTAATAACAAACACTATCATAACAAAAGCTATATGTTACACAAAGTAAAAATAAAAATCTAGAGATTGTACCTGCATGTTATATGTTTGCAACCATCAACAAGTTGAATCATGTCGTTACACTCTCTGCATCTCTGCCATCCCTCACTCTCAGCATGAGACAGATACATTGCCTTAAAAGATGTCTTATAAGACTCTGTCTTTTGGTATTCATCACATGTCATGTTACAGTGCCATCCTGTACCGCAGTTTATGCAGAACCAAATGTGACACTCCATGCACTTTCTTGCTCCTGAAAGCTCAGCACCATCGAAGAACGAACTAGTGTATTCAAGGAGGCTTTGCTTTGCCATTAAAGTGTTACATTCCCGACAATACACTCTCTCTGAAAACTTGATCATGCTCTCCCTCTTGCGCTTGGTCATAGTAGCAAGCTCGTCAGGACCCAAAAAGCCTTCACAGTCCTCTGCCTCAAGCTCTGAGTTGCAACCCGAGGCTGGACAGTCTGCTGGCTTCCAACGTTTTAATGTCGTTTGGACGTGTTTCCTAATGCATTCAACGCAGAAGCGGTGCAAACAACCTTGTACCTCAAACTTGTCATCAGATGGAACGTCTTCATAGCATAATCAACAAGTCTCCATGTAGATGTCGCCTTCAAGCCATCTGATTTGGGAGTTTATAGCACCTTTTGCAAGTTGATAGACAAAAGTGATGTCACCGCTCACTGGAAGTGCTTGGCAAAACGAGAATTTACTCTGAAGATGAGTTTCTTCCTTCACAAGTATTGCTATATTTTCCTCCTTTGGTCAGCTGCACCTATTAACTGTCACATAGAAAACATAGGCATAGAGAGTAAATCGATAGCTAATACACATACTATATGTTAAGAGTCTAAATAGAAAAGTTCTTTTGGGGCACTTACGTATTGGAAGATGTTGGAATCATCACAGAAGAATGTGAGCTTTCCCAAATTAAGCTCTAATGCCCATTTCAACCCATGAACTAAGGCCACCAATTCTGCAACTTCCTGGTGTGTTGATTCGTCATCTCCAATAGACGAGTATCCTCGGAGTCACATATGGCCAAACCAATACCACCGATCTGCTTATCATCGTCCTTAATAACCTCTTCACTCACCAAACCCTTACAGTATAATCGAAAGGTCTCACTCCCTATTAAGGATTCGAGGCTGTGAGGGGCTAATGTTTTAGTCGCCATTACTCTCTTCACGGTTACTTATGCTTCACGTTTATGCTTCTTCAAGTTTGTTCCAAGATTATATAGGGAGTGATTTGTTCCGTATTTCCTTTTTAATCCTGACCTCACAAAATAAAGTTTCCATTTATGGTGAGAGATAGTGTTGCTATTTCCTTTAAGAATTGTTTTGTTTGTTGTATCTTTCGTTTAGTACTTTCTTTCTTTATGACATGTATTTGTATGTTACACTGGAAGTTTGTTCCAACTACTACAATTTCATTATTGGTATTTGGTACCAGCATGATCAATGGCTGTACCATATTAGGTCATCATAAAATGAACATTATTGGAGAGCACAAATGTTTTATTTACAATGAAAAATCAATGGAAATAGTTATATACACATATCATCTCACAATTACCAAACTAAAGTGACTAAAAACAAAATTTACAATCAAGAGGGAAAAAAAAAGTAAAGAAACAGAGAATCAGACAAAACCAGACAACACAAGAAGAAGCCAGAAAAACACACACACAAAATCAATTGTAAGAAGAGGAAGAGAGCCAAGGGTGATTAAGTGCCTCTAGAGCTGTAGGACGTCTCAATGGATCTATCTCAAGCAGAGTCCTTACAAAATCTAAAAACATTTCATCACTAACATGTAACTGATCTTCCAAGCATGATTCTTCTGTGATTATGTATTCAATCTCATTGCTCTCCTATCAACAAACACACAACAACAATGAGCAACAAGTCTTTACTCTTTCGGTTCAAAATCAAGATTAAAAAAAAAAAGTTACCTCGTTTAAGTGGTAGAGATCAAACTCTTTGGTGAAGTATTTATCTGTTTCTTGACCTTTCTCAAGCATCTCTGTCTCTATAGGACCTAACACCGCAACAATCCGAGCCAATATCATCGCTACTGCTTCGTTTGGAAACAGAACCTGGCCAGAGCATAGCTCTGCTAAGATACACCCGAGAGACCACAAATCGATCTTTTCATCATACGGAAGTCCAAGAATCACTTCAGGAGCTCTATAGGAACGAGATTGCACATACAAGCACAAGTTGTCAGAGCGGAAACAACTGCTTCCAAGATCGATGATTTTCACCGAGCACTTCTTGTAACTCTTGATCAGTATGTTCTCAGGTTTGAGATCACAATGTATGATTCCAAGCCCGTGAAGGAACACGAGAGCGTCCAAACACTGGCGTGTGATAACCTGAAGCCTTCTCAAGTTAAAGTACGGCTCTCCTCCAGATTCTTGGTTGAATTTCTGGAACTCGTACAAGTTTGCTCGGAGAAGTTCACACACAATAAACAGATGTTCCTGTTTTTTTTACATTTTCAAGAAATTAGAAAACAAACTCATTGAGAGGAAAACAGTTGTTTTCAAGAATCACGTACTTGGTGGTAGAAGTAATCATAGAGACGCAAGATGTGATGTTCATCGGAAGGATCATGTTTATTGACATGTTTCAAGAGCTTGATCTCGTCTAAACTCTGGTCGAAGAAATCTTTGTCGTTCTTGATAATCTTGAGGCATACATCGACGCCGTTGTGTAGATCTTGCGCCTGAACCACCTTGCTAAACGCAGCTGAGCCAATGTATTCGGTTATGTAGTATCTTCCTCCGATCACCGAGTTAATCACAATCGGTAGATCCTTGTTCTCTTCGAATCCCGTCCTATTTTTCCAGTGAATGATTCTAAGATCAAAGACTTCATACTCATCTTCTTCTTCAATGTCATCATCAACAACATTAACCTCTTCTTCATCTGTTGCTACATTCACCTGATCTTTTGCGTCTTCTTCACAACTAAACCCCAACAACTCTCCATCGAAACACTCTCTTTCGAGTTTATCATCAACACCAATGTAGTGTTTTGAGTCTTCCTCCTCAACATTGTTGAGCAGAGAGGGCTTATCTAAGTAATCAAGACTTGCTTCGGTTTGAGATCCTTGGGATGATGATTTGTCATAGACACCACCAACACCAAGTGCGTTCTCGAATTGGTTATCAGTGATGAACTTATCCTCTGTAGGAGCAGGGAAGATGAAGAAGTCAGATTCTCTAAATGCAGGAGACATGAAGTCTTCTTCTTCTTCATCTTCTGTCTCTTCGTTCTTGTTGTTTGTCTGTAAGTAAAACTCAGTCCACTCTGGATATGTACGAGCCGTCCCAAATTGAGACCTTCCATCAGATGATAATGGTGAACCATCTCCATACGGATTCACAAACTCTGCATTTATTCAAAATGTGATCTTGAAAATCAGATCAAGAACCAGAAATTTCAAGAATATGAAGCTTAATTAAAAGTTTCTATATTTAGCTAAATTTCGGTTTAATGTTACCGGAAGAAGAGCAGAAGCCAGAAGTGGAAGAGCCCAAGCTGACAAACTCGTCGTCGGAAGAAGAAGACTTGGACTCATTCTCGCCGGAGGAATCGGACGGAGGAGGGAGACTAGCCGCCGTGATTCTGATCGGCGGCGGGATCGGGAAGAAGAACTTCTCGAAATCGAAAGAAGCGAGGTGGTTTTTCTCTTTGATATCGTCTCTGAGAGCAGATTCCGCCTCCGATAAGCCGTTCCGCCGGAGAAACTGAAGGACGGCTTCCACATTCACCGCCATGGACCACCGTCAGGAGAGGTTTTCAGAGCAGTAAGAGAGACGACGGAGAGAGATAGTTGAAAAAAAATAATCACGGGATTGAGAATCGAGAAAACCCCATTGTTGTTGTTGGTATTGATGATAGCTTCAAGTGTCGCATCATTAATCTAAGTTAGGTAGTGGATATAAATCTGTGATCTTTCTTCATTCTCTTCATCTTCTTCTTCTACTTCTCTTCTCTGTAGGACCAAAGCTAACAATAACGGACATGGTTGCGATGTCTCTTGTCTTACCGGTTTTTTTTTCTTTTTGGAGGAAATTTTAGTTTCTTCAGGCTACGGGATTGAGATAGGTTTCAACTTTCAACGTCGAGGGTTAATTCTTCTACCTTGATGACACGTGTACTAATAGTTGTTTGACATGTGTAAATGATATCACTGTTTTTTTGGCGTATTTATTTTGACTTTATTTTATAATGTCGAAACCGACGGAGTTTTTAACATTTTTATTTTGTCTTGTATTGGGGACAGTCGAATTCAAAAGTTTAATAGAATAATGAAAAAGCAAGAATCTTTCAGATGATTGTTGTTATTATTTTACTCAAAATCATCTAAATCTTCCCACTACGCTTTTATTTTATTTTATTTACAAGTGATCGAATCTATCAATTTGAGCTTTTATTTTATTTATGCCACTCACATAATCTTATACTGTACATTCTAGTATTCTACTAAGACTTTTCAACGTTACAACAAATTGTTATTTAATATTTAGATTGTCAATTGGGGATGTAGCTCAAATGGTAGAGCGCTCGCTTTGCATGCGAGAGGCACGGGGTTCGATCCCCCGCATCTCCACTATACTTTTACCGAATTTTAGTTTTTTGTCCGTCCATACAAGTAGATCAGTAGATGGGGCGTGAGCGTGACAAAAACACCGAGATTAATTCTTAAAAATATATCGTCAATTTGGGAGATAAAGAAATCACATCATAAAACTTTATAATATTTTTTCTTTTAACTATTTATTAAATATTTCCAACTATTTCAGTAGAAGGTCGTCTTTTCTGTTCTTTCTCTTTTGTGCTTTTCTCTTTTGCTTTTACCCCTGACCTTTTTCAATCAAATTGTTTTCCCCTGCCTTTTCAAGCCTGATTGAGTTATTTGTAGTAATTGAACGTTGTAGTTGGGGTAGAGGCGAATTTAAGTAAAGCAGAATAGTGTGTATTTACTATTTAGAGAAAAAGGTGACATCTGAATATCCGTGGAACGAACGATAGAATAATGTTTTTATCACATGTATTGTTAATATGATTTTTAGATTATGAACTTATTGATGTGTTTTTTTATTTGGTCAACATAGACAATCGGGTTCAACGAAACAAACATTTGAGTGTTCATATAAGTATAGTCTTTACAATTTGAATCAAGATCGATAGTAGATTAGTAGCAGTGTATATACAAAAATAGTTAAAGCTAGGCCAAACTAACTGAACAGTTTCAGTTTGGTTCGGTATGAAACTACCTTAATAATACCAAATGATTTTGAGTAGACAAGGTTGGAGTAGACGTTAATCTTCAATTAGGTTTTTCTTATCGTTTTAAGATTAGTTTCTTGATTGTATACTCAAAATTTTGAATAATGTGACAGTGCTAATCTTCTGTTTGCTACAAATTAGTAACAGTAAGAATGACTCATAGTATCGAACTGAATAATGTGATAGTGCTTATTTTCTGTTTTAAACCAAACAAAACAAAAGCGAACCTCGATTCAATTAATCAAAAGTTTGAAGTTTTAATTGTTCGCTTTTGATAAAGAAAAAGACGAACGAAATGATAGATAGCTCATAGCTCGTCTACTTAATATAAGTACCGAGAAAAAGAAAAGAAATCCCTACATAATATGCTCGCAACATTTCAAGTTTTTATAGCCATTCGATTTTGGACTAATCTTTATATATTTAGTTTTATTAAAATTTAATAAGTACCCGCACCGAACCGAGTAGCCACAATCATTATGGATTGTGTTAAATCATAATTTATTTGCTTTAAGTCCAAGATAGTTCACACATCTCTCAGTAACATAAACATGAAGACCAGAGGCGGACCTACATGAGAAGGAGGGTGGTCACCTGACACCCCTAAACTAATTATATATTTAAGTTTTCAGCTAATACATCAGCGTTAACACAGCTTAGTTGGTTAAAATCTCCTTCTCTGACCCCTCTAACCAAGGTTCGAATCCCTTCACTAACACCTAATTAAAATTTTGACCCAGGTAAATAAATTTCCTAGGTCCGCCACTGATGAAGACAATACAGAAATAATTTTTTGAAAATCTTTGTGAAGTCCAAGAGTTATTATCTGTTTCTCTATTTTACAGACGCCATTTTCTCTCATATAATTCAATTTGGCAAAAGAAATTAAACGTTACTAACATTTTCTCTTCTTTAAAACTGGCTCAAAGGATCCAAAATATGCTCAAAGTATTACATAAATCTAGACTAGAGCCAACCTCTGAAAGATTTCAGATTTTTAGAATAGTGATAATAACAAAAAGGAAACAATAAAACAAAGGATTTGGTACGACGTCCATGTGGTGGATGATTTAATCATAGTTTTTACTGGTCGCTCTAAAGTAAATAACCATAATTATGACATATTTTTGCTATGATTAATCTGAACCCCACCGACTACAATTTTTTTTTTCTTAGCCAAGGCGATAGTGTGACCTATATCAGCTTTTCCATGTGATTGAGATTTGGTTTTTTGTTTTTCGCCAAAAAATTTAAGGTATTTGCTAGTTGGAAATTAGTTATTCGTCATAGATTCTCTAGTCCGATAATGAAAATATTTGGTAGTTTCTAGACACAAAATTAAGTTTTAAATTACTTAGTTATAGTGAAGTCGTTTATACTTGATTTGATCATATAGTTTTAAATTTTTGTGAATAGTTTGTGCATAGAAAATGTTAAACGTATGTGGATTCTCAAATCTTCCTTATGCGGCTGGGAAAACGTATGCTATAATTGATCTGGAGAATAATGCTATACCAAGAACATATGATGCCACATTGCTCGGACCATTGGTCCACAATTACCTATATGCATTCGGTTACACTGGACCCGTCCAAGTTCACGCTGTTTCTGAAGGAATTTATCAAAAAATGGGCGGAGACAAATGCAACCCCTGCCAACATTTTCCTGATCGGATCAGATAATGGGTATGCTAAACTACTCCATGAGGTTTACCTTGATGGATACAATGTTCTCATTGCATACACTGAAGCTGGAGTTAAATTGCACTCTATGTTGTCATACAGTTAAATTGTATTTGCGTCATCAAGTTTGATATGCATAAGTTTCCCGAGATTAATCCCTTTCATTGTTTTAGATTTATTTAACATTGGTAATGTGTGTTTTTCTGTGTCACTCATCGTAATCCGTAAACATTACTGCTTTTATCGTATTATATTGTTCAACCGGAATCTAAAAGCCTACGAGTCTCACTTGATGTGTTACCTAACATTTGTCGATTTGAATAATATAGTTGGCTAGTTGTTAAAATAAATATAAAAAAAAAGAATGATATAGTTGGCATATCAAATAAGGTGGTGCTATCCTTTAATACAAAGATTACAAACATTAACCCGCCACCAAGATGTGAGTTACTTATGAAGAAAAGGACCGTGAGCAGTTCATTGGAGATGTAACACTTGGTCCCTATAACTAGCACAGTAGAAAATTCGATGCTGTTAACGATTTTACTTTGAAAATTTGACAACTTCAGTTTGATGTTTTTATTGGAAAAAGCATGATGGGCTATATTAGTTGAGTCAGGCCCATGGATAGTTCCCTTATTTCACTCGTTCCTATAGAGCTACAAGATTGATGGATTATAAGATCAAGTAAAACAATTAAGATTGGAGGTAAATATGGATACAGATATACTTTCATGCAACTGTCACAGACTCACAGTGATACATGTTTTGTATAACTATTTTGAACGTCAATCATGCACACTTACCAGTAAACTACAAATTAATATACTTATGTGATATGTAAGTCTGACCAAAATGGACTATTATCTTTTATCAACATAAAAAGGACAGTAGAGAAAAGAAAGAACGTTGATAAAACCACTAAACTCAATCAGTTTTTTGCTGGCCCAAGTTTTTTGTATTACATTGCCTTCTTTTTTTGGTGAAAATTTTCCTTTTGAGTTTTGTCATCATAATACAAACAGTTAAGCGCAGTAGTCTTTGTCAAGTCACTTACGTACGGGACTCCCACTCATGGAACAAACTATTTAACGTGTCATGCAGAAAAATAACCCATCCACGATATGATACGTTATTTGATTGCCTTTCTAAAAGTGAAAACAAAGATGTGGTAGTTTTGGAAAATAAAATTAGCAATCGTAGTTTTGGAACATAAACTTATTTTTGTGGAGTTTGGGGTCGCCCTAATTTTTTCTCTCAGGCACGGCTTCCGAGGCCGCCGCACGACGCAACCTTCCTCAACGGAATGAGTCTCCGGCTTCGCCTCCCTTCCGGCAGTCCGTGCGTTTTGCTCCCCTGAAGTTGCCGCCTCCCTTGGTCGCCGTTACTTCTCCCTCGTCGCCTCCTCTTTCCGACGATTCTACTCACTTCTCCGACCTCGTTCTCGCCTCCGGCAGCCAACGATGGAGTACGTGGGACTTTTGAGGACTGAGTCCCCATCCCGTCCGGTTGCTCCGCCGAAGCCGCCAGATCGAACGTCCACCAAATCTCTCCACCCTCCCCATCCGCCGGAGCCACCAGACCCACCGGATCCGCCGGATCTACGGTCTGTGCCTCTCCTTTTCCCTCCTGGTCTCCCCCCTCCTTCGAAGCTCACCGCATTCCACATCTCCTCTCCCCAAGTGTTTTCTCCAGATCTAGATCTAGAGCTTTCCCATCTAGATCCGATTTTTGCTTCCGGTGTTGTTGTGACGCCTCTTGGGTCACCCATTCCTGCAGTATGCAGTCTTTCCTCCGATCGA